AAAACTATACATCTAAATATTAATATAAGATATTTAAGGAACATTTTGTTTTGAAATATTATGGATAATTTGATAAATATTTTATATTTAATTTATATTTCTGATTTTTAGGTTAATTTGTTAAACCAATATACAAAATCATACATTAATGTATTTTTCCTTAAACAAATTAAGATTAATGTACTTTCCAAAACCGATATTGATGGTTTAATTTGGTAGATTTCGAAATAATATATATGGAAACTGGTATTTAATATCTTTAAATTTTTAGTAAGATCCAATTGAAAAATTTCGGGTTAATTTTTTAAAAAAACCCGACCCAAGAAACTTTTGTACTTCTCTTTTACTATAGTATGGATATTGTTCTTTTGTAGTTTATACCATAAGATATAGTTTTTATAGATAAATACCATTTTTCAGTTCGAACAATACCTTGATTTAGTGGACACGTAACTACTTCAAGGAAGTCTTGGAATATATATATATATATTACACAATTTTATGAAAAGATTATGTCACTAGTAAAATAATTAGTCTTTGGCCTCACCAAGATTATTAAAATAATTAGTTTATCTCTATATAAGGTTTCAATAAATCTTTCCATATCGAATATTTTTAGTTAGTTTACTTTGTACAACTGTTTTTTTCTGTTCTGGTTTATCTTTTTCTTTTGCCAAATGATATATATGAAATAGTAAATTTAAGATTTATAAGATATCCCTTAAACAAAGATGATCCTATAATCAATTATTAAAAAGCTTTGCTTAATTAGCTATAACGTATATGCTATGTATTTACATCCCCATAAAATAATAACCTTTGGTGGTCAAATCATCAAATTCTAAGGGACGTGAACTAGAATATATTTTAAAAAATCCTGAGAGTTTCCTTGTACGATATGGTTTGGTGTGATTTATGATTTTAAAAATAAAAAAGTTTGATTAATTAACAAAACCAAACCAAAGAAAAAAAACAATTAAAGTAAAACTGTGTGATCCCTTGATTTTATCTCTCTCTATGATAAAAGTCGCCTCTTTCGACGCAGCTTAGTCTTTCTTCTTCCTCAGATAAAATTCTTATTCAACAACACAAAGACCTCAAAGAGTTTTCCCTTTCCCCAGCAATCCTTAAGGCAAAGATCAAAGCTTCTTTTTCTCTGTTTTTGGTAAAATTAATCTTCTTTCTTTTTTCTTCTCCGTTACAAAAAAAGTCACTTTATGTTTTTTGTTTTTGTTTTGTATATATGATCACGAACTCGTTTGCTTCTTCTCCTCTGTTTTGGTCTTTCTGAGAATATAACTTTTTTTCTTTCTTTCTTTTTGTTCTGTTTCAACCCGCTTGCTTCGTTTCTTAGCTCTGCTGTCTCTATTCTTAATCACTGTCTCTGTTTTCCCTTCTTTGTCTATTAGGGTTTGGATTGTATTTTTTGCTAATCCTAGTATCAAAATACTGTTTTGCTGAACCAAGCTAAGCTCAAGGTGTTCTTGGGATTACAAGTTTTTTCTTGTGAACCTCATAAGTAAGTACACAATAGTCTTTTTAGGGGTTTGAGTGTATTTGAAGTAGATACTCACATATTTGTATGTTTTGATCTCAGTGGCTATTGTTGTTATCTCATAATTGTTAGTATCTGTTGTTACCTTAAAGTTGGTTTTGGTGTTTGAGTTTTGGTTTTCCAGTTACAAATTATGATCCCAAAGCTGGAGTTTCCAACGAGTTTTATGAATTTTGTCTTGGAATTATACAGGTTACTTGAGCTGCCATAACACTGACTGATCTTGAAACTGTCAACAACTTTATTATACCAAAAGAATGGGTTGCTGCTGTTGTCTACCGAGTATACCTGAAGTAAAGCTTCTTCTTGATCTTTCTTGTTTCAAGAACAACCACAAATGAGAAATGTTTGTTTTCTTATGTTTTTATTTGTTTTGTGCAGAACTCTAGAACTATAGATGAGCATGTTCCCTTATCTCTTGCACCGCCTTCCTCTCTCTCTAATACATACACTTCACCGCTTTCCCCCCCTATTCCTTTGGCCTTCTCGAATAGAAATCTTCAAACTACTCCATCGAAGTTGCCAATAGCTCAGAGCAATTCGAGCGGAGGTGCCCCTGGAATCACACAGGTTGTTCCAGAGAAGGAAACATGGCCTGTTGATGATAAAACAACTGATGATCTTGATCTAAAGAAAAAGGATCGAGAAACAATCGATGAGTGTCCGATTTGCTTAGAAGGTATTTTGTTATTTTCATTCAAAGTTACATACTGGCAAAATGTATTCAACTTCATATGTTTTGTTTGTTGGCAGAATATGAGTTTGATAACCCGAAATTGCTCACTAAATGCGGCCACGATTTTCATCTCGCTTGCATTCTTGAATGGATGGAAAGAAGCGAGGCGTGTCCCGTTTGCGACAAGGTCTGTGTCCCGTTTAATAACCGCCTTTTCCACATACAGTTTCGACTTCTCGAGTCACTCAATAGTCTAATGTCTTCTGTATTCTTTCCACAGGAATTGGTACTCCCTGAATCATAATCAGAGAGCATGGACACAAGAATTGCAAAAAACTGGTACAGAAAATTTGATTAAACTGGCATATTAGGAGTTAGCCTGGTGGTCTGATGAACATTTCATTGTTGCTCTACAACATTCATAAGCTTTGACAACTTCTTCTTATTGCTTTTTTTCTACTTATCAATCTTTTGATTATATTTTCTATATTGTAGAAATTATATTTGATTGTTTAAAATTCTTTGAAAAACTTATTCACGAGTTGTTGTATCTCAACCTGAATTACTTCAAGGAAAAACAGAGCAGTTTGAGAAGAGCCTGTTGATTCAGAGATTTTACTGTGTATATAAAAAAGGATTCTCTGACAAATTTCTTACATAACAGCTTTTTTTTATTACTAGATCCTCTGTATAAATCTAACTCTTATGGCTAAAATAATGATAATAAAAAGAACAAAGAAACTCTAACCTTTTTAACTTTTACAACAAGAAAGTCCTAAAACTTCTTTCTCTTAGGGTGAAGTGTTATGAATCTGATGAACATTGGATAATAGCCTCGTTAGCTTACTCAATGTCTCGCGAGCCGACACAGTCCCAGGATGATCCTCTCCTGAGATTGATGTCCTTATGAAGATTGCTTTTCTTATTAGATCATCAGCCAAACCGAACTGCCCGCCTCGTAACATCAGCTTGGACCGAGTCTCTAGCACGGTGGCTCGAGCCAGAGCTAGTTCTTCCCATAGGATAGGGTTTAGCTGTGCGCTTGTCTGAACTGGCCTCCAGCAAAGTGACTTGTCTAGCCACTTCTCCACAGGCGTCACTAGTGTTTGGTCAGCCGCTTCAAGAGCGTTTGTGCAGACCCTGAGTAGCTCGACAGCTGGGCTGCACCGTGAAAACGTTATGAACGTTCTGATCGCTAGAGGCAGAATTACTTGTTTCACAAGAACCAGCAGCTCTGTTATCTTTAGCTGAATAGTCGGAGCTTCGTTGCTGAAACCGAACAGCAAGAAACAAACCGCCCAGATCTGCTCTGCTGTTTCGACTGTCGAGCCGCGGCTTATCACTGCCTGAACCATCGCTGGTGCATTTTCATTAACCAGTACTCGGTTTCTTGCATAGAGTTTCACGAGCTCATGGATTTGTATAAACCCTAGCTTGATGCTACTGGTTCGAGCAATGTTAAATCTAAGTAGCATAGAAGCCGCTTCAGTTCCTGATCGCTTAGAATTTGTAGATGTAAAACCGCAGCTTATAGCGCGTCTTAGCCTTCTCCATAGCCGCTTCGGACCTCTGTGTTTCTCAGGGAGTTTATGAGCAGCCAAAGCTAGCAAAGAAGCTGGAACCGGCGCTGGAGCTAACCACCCACTAGCAACAACCATTCTTGTAGCCAAACTTCTCGGTCCATCTGCATGATCAAAGATCGAAAAACACACTTCAAACAGCTGCAAAAGAAACCCATTTCTTCGCAATAAGTTGCCGTCCCGACCACTACATATCATCTCTCTTAAAGGCATTCTGTTTATGGTATCCAAAAGCCGGCTCGGGTTTATAGGAAGCTCAGACAAGATTGCTCCCACAACAGCTAATCCCAATGTTAACCGCCCAAGTTTCTCTTCAATCGTTCTCAATGCATCCATTTCAGAAACCGGATAATCTTTCACATTCCCCTGCATTAACATCATAGCTTCAGCACCAGAGAGGTAAGAGAGTTTCATTGGCTCCATATTCATTACTTGAGAGAGTCGCGTAGAGATCAAAATGTGAGTCCCGCCTCCAAACCGAGGAAGAAGATCCATCACGAGCTTCGAATCCCACCAGTCTTTTTCACTCTCCAAGTTATCGATCACAACCAAGAATGGTATATTCCTCATCAGCTCTTTTCTGATTTTGGAAACCGCAGCATCTTCTTGCTCTTCGAAGCTCTTCATCCGTGTTTTATCCGAACAGTTCTCTATCCCGATATCGACTTCCAAATACTGATAAAGATTTAAATAGTTCTGTCTAATGTAACGGCTCTCACCACCTATCCAAAGAACCATCTTATACCTCTGGTGATGTCTGTAAGCAAATTCAAGAAGCAGCTCAGTTTTACCAATCCCCGATTCACCCGAGACGCAAGCCACGCCTTTCCCATAAACAACCTTCATCGATCGTTTTCTCCTTGTGTTCCGCCCTACTTTCGTTTGATTCCGCGAAGGCAACTCTGTGCTTTGCATCTCAATCTCTTTCTCAGACTCCTTCCATACAACTTTCTCTTTGCCTTTCTTCCTTCGTTCTTCCGCTGAACCGCTTTTGTTCCACCCTAGCGTAACGTTCTTCTTCCTCCTCGTCGGCCTCGCCTTCAGCTCAAAGTAATCCCTCTCCGAGTCTCCAGCAACATCTCCAAATAAAACAAACTCTAGCTCTGATACTTCCTTCTTCCTCCCAACAAAATTCTCGTTCCGCGGATAGGGAAACTCCTCTTTCTCCGCTTTATCCCGCCATTTCGTTAACCTCTCCACGATACTTCTCCTCCCTAACCGCATTGCCAATAACGTAACCGCCCTAAAAACACAATCCCTCCAGTTACCTTCATGAGCTTCAAGCTTCCAATCATCAACCCGAGATAACCCGTGAACCGCCTCTTTCCATTCTTTCTCAATCCCTCCATACAAAACCCACAACTCCCCTCCATGTTTCTCCCACAAATCTCCTCTCTTTTCAACTATATCTCTCACAAGACAGTCTCCAGGAGATAGATCAAAGAAAACAGGAACCAGATTCTTCTTGTTTGCGAAAAACCGCAGCTCCTCGATCGTGTAAGGGTTCTTAAACGCCTTTCTCGTTAGAATTATAACCCCGAACGATGCACCATCCATCGCTCTTTCGACTATTCTCTGTTTCCTAGAACTCCTACACCGTCCTCTATCAGACATAAAACAACTCATCCCTTGAAACTCCAACTCAGCTCTAAGCCAATCCGCAAACCGAAGCAGAGAAGGCTTCTGACCGTGCAATCCTATAAACACATCACAACATCTCAACCTGTTATACGAAACAGAAACCGAAGACGTCTGAGTATACGAAGAAGAATCTTGCCCTCTTCCATATCTAGAAGGAGTGCAAGAGATCACACTACTCGAAGCTATTCGATTAGCCTCAAGATTCTGACACTGAGGAGGAGGAGGAGGAGCTGCGGCGGCTGCTAAAAACCCGAGCTCCGGGTCTTGAAAACCAGAGCTGGAGCTAAGGGGATCAAAGCTATCACATTGAGCATCAGACCGAGTAGATTCAGACAGTTCTTGATTGATTTTAGGAGATCTTGGAGAGAAAAACGGAGACTGATTAGCTGAGAAAAAAGCAGCTGATGAAGATGAAGACATGTTCCTAGAAGGCTTTGTCGGATACTGTCCGAACCTAGAAGAACTGTCACCTTGAGAATCCATAACAACCACAAGTTTGCCTTAATTAACAATCTATCAAATCCCATAAATGCAGCCTATGATGAATCCATCCATTGAAGCCAATCTGATCCAAGAAGAAAAAAAAAAAGTCAAACAGCTGTTGAAAAGGAGAGATTTATTGGGATTTAAGATTCCAAAAAGTGAGGTAACAAAAGATTCAAGATTTGGACAGTACAAGAACCCTAGAAAAGTTGAAAAAGGTGACACACAGACACAGCCTTTGGAAATGAATCATAAATTTGGTAAGGAATGAAGTTAACGGCAATGAAATCTCTATAGTATATGTATATACCATAACCTTTTCTTGAATAGTTGAAAGGATGATTTTTTGAAAATCTTGAATAGTTAAAAGGGATGGTGTTTTTATTTTATTTTCACAGAAATGGAAAAACAAAAAAACAAAACAACTTCCCAAAAGCATTATAGAAGAAGAAAATCATGATTTTTTTCTTTTAAGGAAAATAATTGATTTTGAGGACGTTGCAGATCTAAGCAGAAAGGGTAATAAAATATTCATAATAAAATAAAAATGATTTCTTTCTTTTTTTTTTCTTTCTCTTTTTTTTTACAGTTTCGTACAGAGGATTCAGATCTGAGAACTTACCTAGCTCGGCGCCTTGAATAAAACCATTAACAAGATCATCTTCAATCAATTTCAAGAACTTCAGATGAATGATGAACACTTTGAAGTGGCGTTTTTGGAAGAGAGAATCTTGATGTTTTTTTTTTTAACTTTCAGAGCACTCTCTCCTGAAGAAGAAGAAGCTAAGGTAAGGTCAATTAAAAACGACGTTTTGTAAAATTCCTGTATCAATCAATGAGAAAGGAGATGAAAGTGAGAGGTTTAAAGAGAGTAGTATAAGAAGAAGATGGAAACACTAGAGCTTTCATAGAGTAGTCGAATGCATCGCCATTTACAGATAGACTTTGAAAAGGACTCTAATTTTTAATTTTCATTTTTTCCTAAGGTTTAAAAAAATGAAAACAGGGGAGACAAAAGTTAAGATTTTTATAATGGAATATTCAAAAAAATTGAATTTTGATTAATACCCAGAAGAGAACAAGACATGTTTCTCATAACCCAGAAGAGGAAAAATCCATAAAAGAGTTATGAAATTGTTCTTAGAACTAATTAGCTAAAAGAGAGAGGCTTTACCTGTTTTGATTGAGGTTGAAGCATGGAAGAGGCAGAGATGATATATAACAATAGTAAGTTTTTTTTTTTTTTTGGCTTCTGAATATGTAACTAGGGAGAAAGTAAAATTTAGTTTAGAGGTCCTTATCCAATAAACAGAAACATGGGGCACTGTCAAATCACTAAAACTCACAAAATCAAAAACACACTCTCTCTTTGCTCTTTTCTCTTTCTCTCTCTCTTTCGGAAAGATCTTTTTCTATTTTCTTGAAATGTTGTTGTTGTTTCGAAAGGAGGATGAGAAAGACAGAGAGAGGTTGGGAGAAGTGAATATTTTTTTTCGAATTATTATTAAAAGAATAGAGAGACCTAAACGAAAGAAAGAGAGAGATCAAGCTAGGCTAGGTATGGCTTGTGGGGCTCCATTCTCACACACAAGTGATTTGGTTATTTACAAAAAAATGTTTTTTATTTCCTGTTTTTTCATTACTAGTGTCCTGAATCTGCTGATGAACAATGTTTCCTGATAAGAAAATTTTCATGAATTTGGTCTGTGGGGGTTAAAGAAACAGAGGTTTCTCATAGTCACGTCCCTGACTTGGATATGGGCGTCACTGTGCTTTTTCGTCTGTTCTTTTGTTCTTATAGATAAGTGTGTGTGTATATCTTTCTCGGATACAATAAAAAATAAGATCAAACCAATGAGAAAAAAGAAAAGAAAAACATTATTTGTTAGGGAATTAAGTGTAGATTATATTTATACGTGGATAAAGTATATATTCAGTATCTTTTCAGTAATCTTCATTACTAGGATCAGGATGTGAGTTTTTGGTTCAAGAGAGCAATAGCCACACCACCTCTCCCATGATTCTTAAATGAATAGGTATCTAATCTCCACTTGAATCATGTAAAATGGTTTCTTCATATGGGTTTCTCTAGGGTCGAGACCATTGCTCCTTAACATTCACCTCCAACTTGTAAAACATATACGCAAGACCAATCAGTTAGCATAGTGACTTAAGTCAATAAGCTTATTGAAGGTTTCTTTGTGGCCATCATTTACTATGAAGTTAAATGAAAATTCAATAAGGTCCACAAAACTATATAATAAGTATTATTCAAGGAAATGAACCTTTATATAACCTTTATCCTTTCCAGGGCTACTGCGGTTAGCATTATATAGTACTCTTTTATAAGATATTTTTTACTTTGTGTTTGATATATTTATATACTGTCACCCTTCTTTTTTTCTTCCAAGAGTTTTTATATATTGTCATATTTTGCACCTTGTAATTGGAAAATATCGTAAAAAAGAATAAAAATGGTGTCTAACCATGTTTTGGCTGCACATACACATAATACATTTATGCAGCACTAAAAAATTCGATTGGACGAGAAACCACGTAGAACGTTTGTTGTATGATCTTATCTGGAGTTGTTAATATACAGAATGATTTAAATTCTGGATTAAGAGTTGACACAAAAATATGAAGTACGTATACAAATTGCAACGTGCAAGTGCTAGACCAAAAGACTTGACGTAGATATATAAGTCATTGCATGGATTAATTATCCATTAGAAATGGAATATATGGTAGGTCTTCATCAATAACACATTATGAAATTAAATATATCAATGTTTTATTATTTTTAATGCCGAACATTGCAAAGTTGCATTACAATTGACCAATTTTCTTTTGGATCATTTATTTGCTAACTTGCCTAATAAAGGTCGGGTCAATTCAAAAAAAAAAAGAAAAAAAAAAGAAAAATTCAAATAGATTGATCACACGTTCTGAATAATGGGCACGATACTTTTAGAAAATATTATTTTGTTCGTTCGGTGATTTTAATTACTACTTTTTTTAAGTGTGCTTGTTACATTGTTTATGGCTCTATGCCAATACATATACTTCCTTTTTTTGGCAGTGTACATTCACTATTCAAATGATCTTAAATTTTAGTTTTTGTCATTCGGATTATAGTTCATGAAAAAATGCCAAAAACCCATATTAATTACGCACAATTTTTTTATAACAACCATGAATATGGGAGAAACTTGCAATAGAGTACTTGTGGGTCATAAATCAGGATCCTCCTCTATTGTACGTAGTTAGCTATTGTAAACATAATAATTAGTCGTATATAACTAAACCATATCTTGAATTAGTCTTGGTTTGCAACAAAATCATCTAGAGAAACAATTTTTTAAGATAAAATAACTCAAAAGTTGGTGCGTGATTTAGTATTAGTCGTGTTCACGACCACTGCTTTTGTGGGGGTCAACGATTGAAGACGTAGACTTTCCCATGAACGCAGTTTAATTAATTATCAGTCTTTTCAAGCAATAATTGATTTCTAACATAAACTCCATTATATTAAAGTGTAGGATTATCCATGCATGTAATGTAAGGAATATTAATGATTTTGTTGTACATTTTAAAGTATTGTACCGGATTTATATAATTTTGGTATTAACTATATATCAATGAATGCATGTCGACCACACCACAACTAAAGTTTTGATAAGAGCTTAAGAATGCATGTTTACCACCATAATTCAAGTTTTGATAAGCTTAATTAAGATGGGTTTAGAAATAAAGATTGAAATCGTTAATTGAGAAGATAGATCTGATGATAAGACAAGGGTCTTGTGTTTGACACCATATGTTTTTCTAGGGTAGAGAGAAACAACTCAATGATATGTGTTGTTTTTATGGTACACCGAATGATGTTTCGATGTTTCCCTGGTTGCTTCCAAAGGTCGTCAGTCCAAAAGACAGTTTTGTTTGTACATGCTAATCACTCACCCCACGTGTCCTCACGTGACACCAATGCACGGTCCTGATGGCCTCATCACTCTCTTTTCACACGTTTCATCCTCGGCTCTAAAGCTAGCCGCGTCTCTCCCAACACTCGAGAACTACTCTTTAATCTCGTTTGGCAGAAAATGTTCTTAATTATTCTCTAAAAGTTTCTTATCTTCTCATGATAATTTTTTATTGGTTGGGGGAAGTTTCGACTCTCCTGATGACCCGAATACATATCATTATCTCAGGTTCAAACAAAAATATTGCAAATCCAACAGATTTTGTTTTGTTTCTTTTGTTTGTCCAAACCACTTATTTTCTTTATAGTTTATGTTTAGCAAAAGTAAATTTTAATGAGTCAAGGTCGGGTAAGATTTTTAAAAATAATCATAGACACATTTTTAATGTTACATTCAAATATTTATGAGAACTAATTATATATATATAGAAAATGGTAAGTAATATGCATGAAGCATGAATTTGCCACAATACGGAGAAGAGCAATTATTAAAGTTAAGGGGCAGAAGAATACAAAGAAAGTGTCCAATCTGTACATGTACTACAACATGATTGACTTTTTGGTAATGACAAAAGTTTATAAATAAAAAAATAAATTATGTAATTCAATTTTACCACAATTAATTAATTTGCATTTGTAGTAGTACCACGGATTAGTTTGCATAAAAGTAAAAACACAGGTGTGAACTTAAAACCTTTTTTTTCTAAGTGTTTTGGTGGCTGCTCTCTGCTCAGATCAGAGTTCAGATACATCATTACCAAATTCTCTCATTCATTATTTACTTTATTAGTCCCCACGCCAACCCATTCACATATGATTGTGATATCTGTTCTTTTTAATATTTATTTATAGTTTGTTTTTATTTTCTTTTTCGAATCGAATGTTAAAGAGATGCAAGGTTGCTTCATATGTTTCAATATTACAAACATATTGATTGGATTTGATGGTTTTGGCTTTTAAAGTTTAATTGTTTCGTTTGTTTTGTTGTTGAATATTTCTGTACCTTGTTGCTCATCACCAACATTGTTTGTCACTGTTTTATCAACAACAACAGTGAAATGAAGAAACCTACATATTAGGCCCATACAGGCATACACTGTTTGAGGAGTAATCCCTAACTCGACCAGTTTCAGTCACAAACAAAATTTTAACAAAGAGGAAACAAATTTTACATAACTCTATCAGTAGATATATTGTGTTGTTGCATAATGAAGAAATAGTAGAAAGCATTCAAAAATAGTTTATACATACAGTCCAATCAATATATGTCGATATCTCTCATATATATGAAACATGTGAATTTGCATCAAACAGTTCGTACATTCAATCGATATGATTGTCCACAGTATAACTATGTCTCATACTCTTGTGCACAGTCACAAATACTAAGAAGTTTCCTACCTAGACCATATCAAGTTTTAAACTAGCCGATGCTCAAATTTTCCAACTCTTTTCCTTTTGGGTAGCTACAATAGTAGATTAGTACATCGGTTGAAGCATCAACAATATGATTGTTTTTAGTGAAACGTTAACACCGTTTAAATTCGTTATCTTACATCAAATAAATTTTATATAGTGCATGTCATGAGCATATGAAAACTATTTTGAACATGGGTTGGTCCAAATCAAATAAATAGGAAAAAAATGCCATCTAACGACCGACAATTATATATTGAGGGTGTGAAAACAATTAATTACAGAACCTATCTACATACATAGTTTACACTTTTTAAATAACAACACACACCACTCCATATCGACAAAGTGCACGTTATGCTCCAAAGTCCAATCACAAAGACTAGTTAATTAGTTTAATCTTCCTATAAGAAACCATTAATAAAGTGTACTTAAACTAAAACTATCATTGTTTTCTTTTCTTTTTTCATTTCTGACCATCACTTTAATAATGCATTGACAGTGTTGTCTCCTCCTGTTTGAATTCAAAAGTAGTCTTTATAATCTTCTGATAATCAATTACATATATACTTCTTCTTTTTTTTAACTTTTTTTCCTTGAGGTCTCTCTGTTCTCTACAACAGGGAACCAAACCGGTAAGAGCCAGAACTAAAACACCTTTTTGCAGAGTTGAAATGATGATAGTTTTGTTATACATTTTATTTCCTTTGACATACACTGAAATAAGTATCACAACTTCACAATAGAGACTGAAACGTAGAAACCACTATGGTAAACATTCACTGAACATCTATTTACTTTCAAGAACTACTTTCTCCTGATTTCGAATCTGTAAGCTTAGTGCTGAAATCCCAAACCTTCTTGGCCAATTCTGAATCTTTAGCAAGTGGTAATGGTTTAGCAATGTTACTATCTGAAAAGTATTCGCCTGTAACTCCTGCAACCTGAGGATTCAATGCCACATAGCAAGTTGTAGCTGCCCCCTGCAAAGTCAATTATTCAACATGATAAGATAAACCAGATATCCAACAAACCAAGGCAACCGCTAAAGCTACACTGGTATATTTAACCAGCACCAATGCTCTCCTGGAGAATTATTTACCTGTGGAACAGTCTTGAGCATATATTTAGCCACTGCACCAACAGCTCCTGCATCAAGCCAGTGACAAAGAGCATCAGAGTATATATATGTGTGTGTGTGTGTTTGTTTATAGGTCTGTAACCTTATAAAGAATGGGTTGGTGAATGTGAAGTCAGAGAAAGAAATGTTACCAGCCAAATAGCTGTTGAAGTAGCGCCCGAGATTTGTCATAATGGCTCCTGGATGAAGTGAATTTGCTGTTATATTGACTCCATCGTCCTGTTATTATTCATACCAGATTTGAATCAAGATAACAACTGAAACATAGATTCTTGATTCAATAGATCCTTTTGTTATTTTTTGGTAGTTACCTTCAGTTGCTTGGCAAGCTCGTTGGCGTGTAATACATTGCAGAGTTTGGATTGTCCATAAGCTCGCATACTACTGTAACTGCAGTAGAGACCAAACCAAGGAATAATGTCAAATTTTGAAGAAATAGACAGGATCAAAGGATTGTTGTTTAATCAACCATTAGTACCTTGACTTGTCATTGATCTTATCAAAGCGGACTCCTCCTGGGTACGAGAACCTATGAGCTTCTGATGATAGGTTAACAATCCTTCCTTCTCGTTTGCTTTCACGTGATGTGTTCTTCATTGTATCTAGCAGAAGTTTGGTCAACAGAAAATGACCTGAAATACAATTGGATCACAACATCCACAGCACTGATTAAAAACTAATAATGAGAGTAACTTAAGTTTAGGACACGGCCATAACATTGGTTTGATTTCACTCACCTAAATGGTTGGTTGCGAATTGCAGCTCGATGTTGTCCTTAGAGAGCATAAAAGGACAAGCCATGATCCCAGCGTTGTTGCTTACGAAATTGAGACAAATCAAAACATTAACGGTCAGTAATCCTATAAACTGCTATACATAAGAGCCATGGTATCTCAATCGCTTACATCAAAAGGTTGAGTGGAAGACCAGCAGATTTGTACTCAGATGCAAATTTCCTGACAGATTCCAGTGAGCTGAGATCTAACTCCATGACATCAAGTTTAGCACCAGGGACTTGATTGACAATATTTTCCTTAACTTTAGCACCAGAGCCAGTGTTCCTCACAGCCATAACCACATGCACACCACGCAATGCAAGAACGCGCGCTGTCTCTACTCCTATACCACTCGATGCTCCTGAGAAAAATATGAACACAAACAAAAGAAAACTTATGGATCCAAAAATGTCCAGAAAACTTGATCCAGACGAATAATAAATTAAGGTCGTTCCAAGCCTTTAGGCTGATACAGAACATGTGGAAACCTCTATCAAAATCCATCTTTTGATAAACTACATCTTCAATCTTAACCAAATAAGGAAGCAGCACTTCACAAAAAATTGGCTCAATCGATGCTATACTCGAATCTGTTCTCTGCAACTCCTAGTGTCCTGTTTTGTCTTAAGCCTATAAGTCACCTAACAGGGTTCTATCAATACAAGGATTCCATTGTTCTTGCTTCAGGTCCTTTCTAAAATGATCAAAATACTGAAACGATTTCTACAAACTAATCTTTTCCCTGGCCAGAAATAGTATAGACTGTGATGTATAAAACAACTTAGAATCAGCTGAAACAGAGACGAGTATATATATATGTAAGTTTCTCTACAAGCACATGTTATTTGCAGATCCATAGTTATTTTCCCTTGCATTGAAATGGTCCCAAACATGTCGTACTCTTAAAATTCACCAAACATATAACTTTAATCCAATTCTAGAGACAAACTAGTGAGCAAAAAGATTGTGATTTATTCACCAAAAGGACAACTTTCAAACAACAAACAGTAAAGACCTCTATATTTACTATGGTTGACAGAACCAAAAACAGACCCTGATCATAAAATCAACCTCCAAGTGCAGTGTATAAACAAATAAAGTCAAATATAGTTGCCTTCAAGTGAAATCAATTCACAGAGATGACCCAAAATGAGGAAAACTGTAGAAAAGTCCTGAAATTTAGACAAACCCAAGTCGTGTGAAAGGGCATCGAAAGATAACCTGTAACTATGGCAGTGAGACCAGTTCCATCAACACCATTTGTGACTTCTTCTGCAGTGGAACGAGACGAGAATCCAGATGCTCCTTTCGATCCAAAAAACCACATCTTTTTGTTTTTCTTTCTGGAGAAGATGAGGGAAAGAAGAAATTACACAACACTGTGAAATAGAGTTGGTAGCGTTTTTATTTTTCTTCCTTCTTGAGTGGTTGATTGATTTCGATTCTTATTTTATAACTCTTTTTGTTCACATGTGACCCAAATGTGATTACTTTAAATAAAAGGGAACAAGGTAAAGCAAATTCTGAGGAGAGAACCCACTCGTGGTGGATATTGCAAAGTCAAAAGTTACGATTTTTAATAATTTTTTCCAATACTAGTGAGATTAAGCTTTAGAATAATGAGAAAACAGATACGTTTAGGACTTTATTTAGTCCATATTTGTTACCATTCAAATCTCAAGTTAATTACTGTAACAGTCAAGACCAGAACGAAAAGAGAGCTAACAAGAATTGAACTTTAGGAGATTAGGAGGGGCCGCGCGAACGCAGGCCCCCTCAGCAACAAATAATGACGCAGGATCTTCCACTTGGGAAGACCTTAAGCTAAGCACACTTTCAAAGTGCAATAGAAGTCACTAGCTTAGGCCACACACCTTCATGATCGTGTGTTGACCCCGTCCAGGTAAGTATCTATTACGGATCGACATTAGCGTTGTTTTATACGACAAAACAGATGTCTCCTATAGTGAAGCTTCCGATGTGGGTTTCATGATTTGATGTGATTTAATTCCTTGATCATTTCTTGATGGACCTTAATGACTGTACTCAGGCCCATAAAATTTTTAAATTAACAAAATCATATTGAAATTCAGATAATATCACTAATCTAGCTTTAACGTTTGACATAATATAGTACTTATCACTAATCAAGCTTAGCGTTTGAAACATATTTGTTAGTTTAACGTTTGATACTAGATAGTTTACAAATTACAGTACTATAGTTATGCTATAAGATACAATGATATGTGTGATAGTGTGTGTATGTCGTGTAGGTGTATACATCCCCTAATTAAATATTATTCAAGTTCGAGTCTTCTTTGCTAAATATTTTGTTTTCCCACAGCCAAATGTAAACGTGAAATTATCTGAAAGAACTGATCAGGGCAGCCACGGGACCAATAAAAGCGGCATTGATGTAAGTTGTTGGCTCTGCATGAGCGTAATCTGATCTTTTGTCGCTGTATTGGTCGGATGAATTCGGACCGCCTACAATTGCGCCGGTATGCACATTCGGGTTTGGCGTATCAGAATTGTAGTATGAAAACCCTCCATTGCAGTCGATTTTCTCCTGTTTAGATTTTATTGACGGCAACGATGAGCCTCTATGATGAGGTTGTGTTGGGTAGTTTTTCCCAAATCCGACCATGTACGACATTTTCATTGGATTATTTCCAAGTATGTAATCCACCTGAATATTATAAACCGGTTGGGTAAGAATAGGGAAATTGTGAATAGAACCGGATTAGGTGAGGACTATATGATTTTATTTACCTGTGATTTGGCGAAATTACGAATTTGAGATGCGGTGAATTGGGTCGAACCGCACTGGATTGAACCGATCTTTGCTTTGGTTAGAGTTTTTGAGTAATGGAACAAAACAGTTGTAGCCGTTGTTACATATTGTAAGTTGCTACTGCCTCTAATATACAAAATGCCACCTGAATAGACAAAAAGTACAAAGAAATGTAAATCATAAATAACCAACAAAAACAACCAATTAGCCGGTAACAAGTGAAAATGATTACCAGGAGTTGGTTTAATTTGTTGAGAGCTACTTCCTGGCATCAATGCGCAGACGAATGATTCAACATCGGTTTTAAATTTAGCTAAGTCATTGTTACCCTTGTAAAACTCCTTCAAAATAAAGGAAACAAGAAGAACAAATATTAGTAATTTAGAGATCAACTTAATTAAGGTTAAATACAATTTAACAAAGCCGGTTCATACGATAATTATATACTAACCGAGGCAAGTAAAGCCTGCGCGCCAGCGAATTTGTTGTCCCAGCTGAATTCATTGACGGCTCGGCTCCAATCTTTATTGCTTACAACATAATTTATGTAACTCTTCTCTCCTGTTGCTTTGTATAGCCATGCCGCAGCCCATAATAACTCGTCTTGGTAGCCTGAGTATGAGCAGTAGAAGGGGCAAGATGCTTGGTAAGAACCTCTGTACTTATCAGCAAATTCAAACAGCTGCAGAAACAAAACAAAAAAAGATAAGATGGATTATAAACATCATGATTGAATGTAAATATGTAATGATCATTTTAATGTGTATTTGAATGTAATGATCATTTTAATGTGTATACTCACGGTTTTTGCATGGTTTAGTAGCGTGGATGAGTAAGTAGAATCCACCGATTTGAAAACAATTGAGGCGGCAGCAAGAGCGGCTGCGGCTTCACCCGCAGCTTCGGAACCGGGGGAAGAGGAAGTGATACTGAAGAGAGTTCTAGGTGTGTCCATATCTTCTGGCCTCTCCCAGCAACTATGATCTTTGTTCCCATCTCCCACCTTTTTATATCCATTACAAAACAAATTACAAAAGTATTTGAGATATTTAGCATGGAATGAAATATATTTTGGATTTCTCTATAGTCACATCATAACAAACCAAAATGTGTAAAACTCTTGGGGAAAGTTGGTTTAATTAGTAATTACCTGTGTATATAGCATGGTGGGCGACGTATGAGCGCGGAGGATAAAATTGGTTGCCCATTTGATAGTAGACCGGAGATAACCGAGCTGGTTAACGGAAGAAATCTCATTTTGGTATTCAATTGCAGCCCAACTCAGCAAGGTTGTGGTAAATGACATTGGCCACACAAATTTTACATTGTCACCGGCATCGTAATACCCTCCAACCAGATTCACCTGGATAATGTAGAAAGCACACGAAAATTGGTTAAGAGATATATATGGCATAATTAGTATATACCAAATTATTGATGTTTTGATAAGGTTCCTTTTTAAGACATATATATATATATATATATATGCATATAGAGTTATAGAGAGATATATATGTTTTATAAATAGAGCTATGGATTACATTAGCTGATGCACCGTCGGAGAGGGCAGAATCTCCTCGCCATTTAACCCGTTGGTTAGTCGGGAGTTTACCGGATCGCTGGCCTTCGAAGAACAAGATCGACTTGTTCAGTGCATCTCCATAGTTAAGAGCTTCCAAGCTTTCGAAAGCCAAGAACATCCCAACTAACATTAACACCAAGAGCTTTCCCATTATTAATTACTAAAAGTGTTTTTTTAGAAATGTTTCTCCTTTGAAATGGGTTTTGAGTGTTTCTTGATTTTGCATGAAATGTAGTTCATGAGGGTATTTATAGATATTGCATGCAAGTAAAGTTGGGTACGCAATTTCACTACATGAGATGTTTTTCACGTAATTTTAGGGTAATTTGGCTGCACTTGTTAATATGTTTTCTAACAATAATTAAGTTTCGATGATTAAGGAATCACAATCAAAGGTTTTCGATATAACAAGTTGTAGTTATTGACATTTCATATAGTATAATTTTTTTCTAACCACCATACTTTATTTTTTCTCTTCTTTCTGTGAAGGTTTAGAAATTGTTATTTAATGTAGGAGTTTTTAATATAATTTCTTAAATAAGGCTTTTTTTCTGGCTCATTACAGCAAAACAAAACGATATTGTATTGTTAGGTAGTTTTTCTTTTTGTTTCTTCTTCTTAATACTAATACACATTACATATGTAAAACCTATGCTTGTATATATTTGATATTTCTATACTAATCCCTAAGAAATGCATACATATAAGTCATGTAATATCAAGCCATAAATCTGGAAAGTCGTACTCGTACGACAATATATTGTTGTAAAACTGAAAAATGCATTTTAAGGATCCCAAGTTGTGTGTTAGCTAGTATATATAAATGAATATTCTAAAAATTAAAAAGATAGAACAATTGGTTCTTGGTTAACTAGGGGGTCAAAATCAAATACGCCGGTTCCATTACGAGAATTTTGGAATCTTAAATATATAAATAACAGTCAAATTTAATATAAAAACCCCATTACTTTCATGGATAAATGCATATATCATCCCACTATCAAAGTTGCCTAAGATAAACAATCAAGAACAACATCGCAACAGAAAATATCAAAAGAACAATAGAACAGTAGAACTTAGCATTTGCTACTTATCAACTCCTATGTCTAGCTACCACCTATCTACCCACTTGGAAAATGATCATGACTTAATTTGCATAATAATTAGATGGTTAAGAACTAATGAAACCGCATAGGACGAAAACATAACATTGAAAGTGACCAAACAGGTTCACTTAGCTTGGATAGTGGTAAACTACAAAATTTGATCCCAAAAAAAAAAAAAAGCAACCTTTATGATTCTTATCTAATTGTGAAAACACAAACTAACATTTTCACGTGTAAATAATGTTTTGACTGGTATTGATATGGAGATGCCGTGCCGTAGAAATGGCTGTATAATATATATTTCCAGCACCCATTCCTCAAACGTCAATCTAAGATCTTGCCGTTAGTAATTTATCATATTTTCATTTCAGTTGTCATAAACTTATTTCAGTTGTCTTAGTTATTTATTATTAATTAGTTTCCTGTTTTCCTGAAAACGTATTGCACAAATTTCATGCGTGTTCAATGTATATATGTTTTTAATTCTATTTTCGTTATTTCACAAACAATAAGGTTCCATCAAAAAATAAGGTAATGCATGGGCTTGATGGCAAAGCATGTGACAAAGTTTTGTTTATGTCCACTATTTGCTTTCCGCCTAATACAATATTCGTGTACGTTACATCTCCCCATTAATAATACGTTAATTACTCTGCCGAGCACATTTTTCATTTGTGATTTACTTGACAATGACATTCTTTATTCTATGAATTTTTTTTTTTAAACAGACACATTGTGAGTATTTAATTTGGTAAACTTTTTAGTGATATGTGCATTAGTAAGAATATTTTGTACCAAGGACGGTGTTTATCTTGAGGTACAAGTGTCCCCATAGCCGCAAGCAAGAAGCAAGGAAATTGAACAAAGCAAAAGGCAGAACAAATGTAATTGGAGATTGAAATATTTATAAGGTCCAAACCAAAGGACTTAAGACAACTAAACATCGATTCTTGGAAACAAGTCATGCATAAAACTCAAATTGGATTCTTGAACAGTATTTGATATATGACATAACACTTAAGGACTTAAAACTCTTAGATAACTTGAGATACACTATGTTGATCTCGTCAGCTCCGTAGAAACGCACTGAAATGTTTCAAAATGGATTACTCTCCAAAGAGTTATCATACTGTCTGTCCCGGGTTTGGAATGCTTTCCAACTAATGCTATGAAGTAATCAAGCCGCCTGCATTTCTAACTACCAGCACATCATATTAATACTTTCATGCAAACTTGTCTTAAGACTAATTTGATCATGCAATAGATCCTAATACTCAGTCTACAACTACATGAAACATTTGAGAAGCAGATCCATTAACATCCTCCATGACAACATGCAACATCAGTGGCTTGGATCTCCAAGACTGACAGATTTAATTATAACTACATGCAACATCAGTCATCAGTGGCCCTAATTGTACTTTTCTCATGGGCCTTAATGATTTATTTCGGTCCAGATCAAACCCACAAAATTCTTGGTAGGCAACTGGTTTTTCTATTATTTATATTTCAGTGACATTTTTATCGAGCGATCGTTGATCGGACTCATACAAAAGGATGTGTACTCTTAAAATATACTTCACCACATCCACTTGGTCGACTATGAATTGACTTCTTCTCCATATCCACACGGACCACACCACACGTATTTGAATCTTCCAATCGAATTCCTCGAAACTACGAGGAAAACAGAGTTTCTTAGTTTAAGGCAAATGCTCACTTCACATTTTTTGGGTAATCATAAGATTTTCAATTAGTACCAAATACCAATCATATAGTATGAAAAGATACTATACGAATAAAATAAAAAATTATTTCATACTTATTACACAAATAAATTTTACAGGAAAAGGAAAATTAGTATTTTACTTCTAAAATGAAGGAGAAAACTTATAGAAAAAAGGAAAAAAATTAATAATTGGGTTCGAACTCTTCAACTCCCTCAACTCAACTCAACTCGGATAAAAGGAAGGAACAATCTAGAAGAAGGATTAGTAGCATAGCATCCATCTCTTTTATATTCCTTGCTTCCTTCATTGTAAAACTTTGCATCTACTTGACAATTCTCGTTGTTTGATTTAATCATACTCTCGTTCTCGTTCTTCTCTGTTCTTTTTACGCCTAATCGATGGCTAAGGAGCTTGCTGATAAGGCTAAAGAGGCTTTCGTAGACGACGAATTCGATATTGCTGTTGACTTGTATTCCAAAGCCATTGAATTGGATCCCAATTGCGCTGAGTTCTTCGCTGATCGTGCTCAGGCCTATATCAAACTCGACAGCTTCACTGGTAAAACTTGTTTGTCTTCTGTATCTTCGTTTTTTTACTGTCGTCGACGCCTTTTGGGTTTCTGGGTTTTCATGTCTTTGATGTCTTGTTTTCATTATACTTGAAAGATGTTGACTTTGTTCGATTCTGTGTGTTTTAGGGGTTAGTTTTGTGTCCTGTAGCTTGGTAGTGTCCTATGGTTCTCAAAGTTTAGAGCTTTAGTATCAATTTAATGAAAATATGTCACTCTTTTGCTGTCTGTTGAGGAACAATGTATCAGAATTGCTTTCATGAGAACGAAATTGAGGTTTTTTTTTGTCATCAGCAGTGCTTGCCCTTTACAAGTTATGGGTTTAAACATTGGTTGGGTTGGTTTTAGCTGTGTTAGTCTTTTGATCCTTTGACTATGAATGTGGAGAATTTGGTTTAACAGAGTAACAGTATTGAAAGGTTCGATTTTTACTTGAGTGGTTAGTATGAAGTTCAAGTATTGAATAAAGTATCCTCTGCATTTTCATTCCCATTGTTACTTGTTAGTTGACTTAGTGTTATATAAATTAAGTGGTTTGATTTGGATTTGTGTCTGTTTTGTTTCTCAATGAGCAGAGGCCGTAGCAGATGCAAACAAAGCAATTGAGTTGGATCCCTCACTGACCAAAGCTTACCTAAGAAAAGGGTACGGTATTGCTCTTTCCTCCTATGTATCTTTGTAATCATGTATTTAAGTTTTAGCGAGAGTTACATTGTATCTAGATCCTTTGTTTGTCATATTAGTACGGTCTACAGTTGTGGTATATGTCTGTCAAGTTATTCATTCCATTGTTCATATTTTGGTTTGTGTATTTGTAGAACTGCTTGTATGAAGCTTGAAGAGTATCGGACTGCGAAAACAGCTCTTGAAAAAGGTGCTTCCATCGCACCGAGTGAATCCAAATTTAAGAAGTTGATAGATGAATGTGATCTGCGAATCGCAGGTATATTCTTAAGAGTAATTGTATTGTTTGCTATGGCAAAAAAATTATGATATGTTATTGTATTCACCTATGGTTAAGATTTATGGAACTTGTTAATATTCTTTTTTTTCAGAAGAAGAGAGAGATTTGGTTCAACCGGTGCCATCAACTATGCCTTCTAGTTCGCCAGCACCATCAGTATTGGAACTTGATGTTACCCCTGCGCCTGCAGCACCAGCCAAAGCAAAGTACAGGTATTTTTTACTGTACAGAGCAATGCTATTTTCAGAATTAAGTGTTAAAGAAGTATATAATATCTCATATTCTTGAGTTTTTTCAACAGGCACGAGTACTACCAAAAGCCAGAAGAAGTTGTGGTAACTGTTTTTGCAAAAGGGATACCCAAGCAGAATGTTAACGTCGACTTTGGTGAACAAATTGTGAGTACACTGATCTTAAGAACCCAACTTAATGAAGCTTCTGTGTTATTGTGTGTAATTCATGGGTATTGTTTTGGTGATTTGCAGCTGAGTGTTGTGATTGATGTCCCTGGAGAGGAGGCTTATTATCTTCAACCGAGATTGTTTGGAAAGGTAATTTATTTGCTGAATGAATTGGTTTTCTTTTCAGCACTCTGAGTTGAACACATTACATGACTATTTTATACGGTGTATATTCAGATAATACCAGAGAAGTGCAAATATGAAGTATTGTCAACAAAAATTGAGATCCGTCTTGCAAAAGCCGATATAGTCACATGGGCCTCCCTCGAACATGGCAAAGGGCCAGCGGTTTTGCCTAAGCCTAATGTCTCATCAGGTTTTTGACCTTTTCCTGCTTTAGTTTCATTGGATGAGCTTAATAACAGTATCTTGTCATGTCAATCTTATGTTGTATGTATGATGGTGCAGAGGTTTCACAGAGACCAGCTTATCCATCTTCTAAGAAAGCTAAGGACTGGGACAAGCTGGAAGCTGAAGTGAAGAAACAGGTCTGTCTCTAAGCCTTGTCCGAGCAGTATACCAAATGGATTGTTTGTTCATTTGTTTTTATTTAATATTGTGGTTGATGTGCAGGAAAAGGATGAGAAGCTGGAAGGAGACGCAGCTTTGAATAAATTCTTCCGTGAGATATACTCGAATGCAGATGAGGATATGAGGCGAGCAATGAGCAAATCATTTGTGAGTATTATCTATATTTCTGGTCTTTTTTTTTCCATGGAGTCTGTCATAGTGTTTGTCCGTTTGATTGACTCATTTACGCTTCTCTGGTTTTGGTTAATGAACAGGTGGAATCGAATGGGACAGTGCTGTCAACAAACTGGCAAGAGGTTGGGACTAAGAAAATCGAGAGCACTCCTCCGGACGGCATGGAGCTCAAGAAATGGGAGATTTGATCTGATAATGATATGGTTTTTTCTTTTAAATGCTTTTGTTGGTTTTGCCTTAATCTAGAGACAAATCTTAAAACCTGTCCCTTTCTTCCTGTAATGAGGATCCTAAGGTTTTTGCTTGCCCTTTTGCTAAATATGGCGTTCTGCTTTTACATTGTGGTGGGATATATTGTCTTAGGAATCCATTTTTTCCTTTTTGTGTTTCATCTTTACTGGTCATAATTTCATTGTGGTCACTATTTCTTAAGTTATTGAAACTTAAATTTGAGAAACCAAATAACCAAAAGAATTGAGTGAGTTTGTATCGAAACAGAGATTATAAAATTGAAGGGTGAATTCCTCAGAATCAGAGCAGCCAAGAGAACCTCTTCGACAATGGTGAACACTTGTAGGATCAGCTTCATCAGCATCATGCTTCTCTTGTTGATCTTCATCAACCAGTCTGTTCTTTCTTCTTCTACACGCATTCGTCTTCTAGAAGGTCCAGATAAGCTTGTTCACCACCACAGCATACTTGACGAGATTGAGAAAGCTGATAAGGCACGCCTCAGTTCCATATTTAGAACGATCGAGGCTGACACTAATCTGGATGAAAAATTTTCTCTTCCGCTTCCCCAGTTCGCTCGATATAATGGGTTTCCTACTGGATCAAGAATTTTATGATGATCCGAGAGTTTACACTAAATATCTTCTGTTGCACGCAACGTGATCTAGGTCTTTGAATTTGCTGTGTTATTAGGGTTTGATTTTTCGATTGATACTCAACGTTTCAATCATGTAAACCTTCATATATAAAAAAATCATAATTAGTCTAGTAACCTTGTAAAGTCTATCAGTTTATTAGATTCCGATTGTGGTAATCAATTTATCATAGTACATCCAATGAAATATTTGTTTCATATTTATCTTAGTTCATCAATTTATCTTTTAGTAGTACAACCAATGAAATCATCAATCATAAGGAATGCTCAACTACTAGCTATCACACCATGAATTGGTTTTAAAATTTTACTTTCGATGTTTAACTTTGTCGTAGTAAGATTTTTGTAGGAATCGGACTACTATAAATCACCTTGTTATAATTGAAGATCCAATCATCCAAGTATTAAATAAACTCTAATTTCGATTTCGTTGGTTAAATATCTTTATAGAGTAAATGAACTATCGTACGTTGAGAATCGTATATTATTTTGTGATCACCTTGATAAGAGGAAACCCACGTTCCTCTAACATGTATGGTCTAGAGATATATTATTATTATTTCCTATTCTTTTCTTATCACGATTTAACGATACTAATTTTATACTCACCACGTGAAAATATCAAATTAATAAAAATATGCAGAAACTTTTACTATATAATCTGACTAGTAGCAATGAGAGTAATCAGCCAAAAACAAATACTTTATATCTAGCTAGAGAAAAAAAAGAAGTTAGCTATTTCCAACGTAATAAATATATATATGGCTAGCAACGGATGCGTTGACTGGCAGTTCAGTGGCAGCGATGCAGCTGGAAACGCGGCCTTAGCGTCCTTAGGCACATACTCCTCTGAAATCTTTGGCCTGTGCGACCCTCAAGGAAAGCCTATTTTGCCTCCACTAAGCGAGGAGGCAGAGACCAGCCTTACTGCCGAAAAGGCGGTTGTTCAAGCTGTCCTATGCGGCAAGGGAAACGCCTATGCTCCTAGTATTGGCCTCCCAGTTGCCAAACGGTATAATCTATCAACACACAAATGATGTTAATAATTTTAGATTTCTTTGTACTCTTGATAAAAATAGTAGCAACTGTTTTGCATATTAACTCTAGGTTTATATATATATATATATATATATATATATATATATATATATATATATATCAGTGCTGTGGCGGATTATTTAAACCGAGATCTTGACAACAAGCTAACGGGAGATGATGTATTTATGACTGTTGGATGCAAACAAGCGATCGAGCTTGCGGTCAATATCCTGGTTAAACCGGAAGCTAACATCTTGCTTCCGAGGCCTGGCTTTCCATGGGACATGGTCCACTCTATATACAAAAAACTTGAGGTCAGAAGGTATGAATTCATCCCCGAAAAAGACTTTGAGATCGATTTCGACAGTGTCAGAGCGATGGCAGACGAGAACACGTTTGCTATATTTATAATCAACCCCCACAACCCCAATGGGAACTACTACACTGAGGCTCATCTTAAGCAGGTATTAAAGTAATTTTTCTCTTGGAATATTCACATGATTGGCTAAATGATCTAGGCACGCATGCATTTAAATCTTTTAGCTTGTGTTTACCTTTACGTTTTCATGGTTACGTTTTTTCTCCAAATTGTAAGACTACAACTTTTAAAATAATGTTATAATCAGGTTCATTCTTGAATCTAATTAAAGAAATATATTTTAGCAAGCAAGATGCTAATCTTTACTTTTGTAATTAACCCCAGCTCGCTACATTGGCTCGTGAACTCGGGATCATGGTGGTTTCGGATGAAGTATATAGATGGACCGTGTTTGGGAGCAATCCCTTTGTTCCAATGGGGAAATTCTCCTCAATAGTACCTGTGGTTACAGTCGGGTCCATATCGAAGGGATGGATTGTCCCAGGATGGCGAACCGGCTGGCTTGCACTGCACGATCTAAATGGTGTCTTCAAAACCACCAAGGTCCGTCCGGAAAACAACAGTATGCATAGTTTTCCAATATAATATACTACATTTGATTAGCAGTAAAAAAAAAATGTTTGCCTTTCAATTTATTTTCTTGGCTTATCTTGTTTTTATATGGACAGGTTTTAAAAGCTGCTAAAGAATATCTAGAGATTAGTTCTAAACCAGCAACTGTTATACAGGTTCGTATCATTAAATTGGTTTGCTCTCCATAAGTTTTAGTAATGTTTGTTATAGTATTTTATGGTCAGTTCATCACTGTCATGATATTATGATGTATAGGCGGCTATTCCCACCATCTTAGAGAAAACTCCTCAAGAGTACTTCGATAAGAGGCAGAGTTTTCTGAAAGATAAAGTGGATTTTGGATACTCTAAGCTCAAGCTCATACCAACCCTCACCTGCTATATGAAAACTGAAGCATGCACTTTCTTATGGGTATTTTATTAATCTATTATTGATCACATTTTTTGTTTGTTTACTATTTTTTGTTTTTTCTCGATATTTATAAGTTTGTAACAAAACTTTTGATCTCATTATGGATACTGACCATACCGCAGACCAAGCTGGACCCATTGGATTTTGTAGACATCGAAGACGATCACGACTTTTGTAGGAAGCTTGCTAAGGAAGAAAACGTCATTGTTTTACCAGGTAATAATCCCACTTTTACTTATGATCACTGTTTATAGGACAAATATATATAAGATTTGTTTTTGATGAACACTTGTCAAATAATTAATAAATATTGACTAAAAAAGTACATAATTAAATATTATGTGTTGGATTGGTTTAGGGATTGCATTTGGTCAGAAGAACTGGTTGAGGCATTCTATTGATATGGAGACTCCGAGATTGGAGGATGCATTTGAAAGATTGAAGAGCTTCTGTGATCGCCACTCCATTATAACTGAACCTTCACTCAAAGACGTCAATGGCGTCAACTAAGGGCTTTCCATTTCCGAATATATCTATCTGAGTTTGAAATAATAAATGTGTGGTTTTTCTGATATGAAATAAATAATGAAGAATTAATTTATAAGTGTTTTATCAATCGTCAATCATGGATTTATATTTCCTCATCTTTTAGAAACTATTTCCATGTATTTTCTAATGTTCTACTCTATGAAATAAACATGTCTATTTATTCTCAGTTGAATAGATTGGTTCGGCTTTTTTTTCTTTAAAAATTGTTATTAATTAGGAGACCATTATACAAACTGAACTATAAATCACACCAAAATGAGTGATTTATATATATACACCACAATGTTCTATTCAGTTAATCTGATCCAATCCATACAGGCTTAGTGACATAGTGACATTGATTCAATAAATAAAAGTTAGAAATCGTTTTTTACACGAATCATATCAACATCGATCGGCTGGTGGGGTTATTTGTAATAGTTAGAAAATACGAATAAAAACATGGCCGGTTTAATTTTCCTCCTACCATGCATGTCTTCATCGTTTGAAGACAAAAACAAGAATACTGATCAGGATCACTGATGCAAGAGTCTTTGCCTCTTTTTGGGTTCTCACGATGAGTTCTCGACAAAACAGATAAGAAAAGAGAATTCGACTCTACAAAATGTGTTTATAATATACATATGAACAACAAGCCTTTTTAAAAATTTGATATAGCAACAAAAATTTACTCGATTAGCGTTTGATTTTGCTGGCATTTACATAAATAGTTCAAGAACCAAGTACATGTAGCTAGGTTCTACTCAGTCTTATCCATACTCGCTCGTTTAATTATTTTAAGACAAACACACACTATTTTGGGTTGACAAAAAAAAAGTATTTTTTCCAAACTTTTAATCACCTTATAAATCAGAGGAAAACTCATGTTCTAACATGCATGTAGAAGCACGAGATGCATTATTTCCTTTATGTCCTCTCAGATCATTTTATATTTTATCATCCCACGTGAAACATATATCTTGTTCAAGAAAAGTGGTTGGCAATTTACTATGTACTAGGAGACTAATATTGATGGTTTAAGTATGTATGTTGTTTGGATTCGGAATTCTATCTGTGGGATGTAACGTTTCCGACACATCTCAGGTTCTCCTTTTTTTCACATCTCAGATTCATACCTACCTCGTCCGAGAGAGTTATTATTATTTTTATATACATCGGAGAGATTTTAACTACCCGGATTTTTTATTTGGATCGTCGAATGACCATCACAATAATCGGCATAGGCATATATTTATCTACGTGTATTGAGATTTTGAGATACTTTACATCGTCGAATGATTTTAACCAGAATGATATTACAGCCAAAGTGAATTATGATTTTAGTTTGTTTCAGCTAAAAATTAACCTGATGAATCCATATATACACGCTTAAGTTACACTGATTCGATCCATTAGAAAAAGTAAGGAAATAATGTTTTTTTTAGGGATCAAAAAGAAGTAATGATTAAAAATCGTATTTTACACGACTCATGTGAACAGAGAGGTTGGTGGAGATGTGGGGTTTTTTTTTTAGTTAGATACTACAAACGAAAAAGTCAAAAACATACGAAATCTAACGTACGAACCTTCTGCATCTTCTTGGATTTTCATGAGCTATCGACCAAAGAGATAAGAAAGGAGCATCTGACTATACCAAACAGCTCATTAGGTCATGTATTTTTAATGTTTATTTACGAGGACGAAGATGATACAAAGTTGTTATATATGAGTTTCAAAATATCTATTTCTCCTTATCTATTCATTCTCCATTTTTTTATTACCAACAAGAGTTTACTCGATTTATTAATTATAATAACCAACTACACGTACTTAAACCATTATTATTGATGAGCTCTTAAGATAATCTCAAGTTAAAAAATGTCTTCTTATATGATGGTTTTAGGTTCTTCTGAGTCTTATTCTTATTCGCTCATATAGTTAGAAATTTAAGACAAACAAATTATTTTGGATTGACAAAATATTATTTTAATGAATGTACATGGTCTTAGAATAATATGTGAAGGGTGCACCAAAAAAAAAGAAAGAATAATATGTGGATATTCGTTGGCAACCCAGATAATTAGTTGGTAGTTGTCTCTTTAACAAAACAAAAAAAAAAATCTACTAGGAGATTAGGTACATAGAAAATGTAACAAGTTGAATGTGATGAATATTATTGATAGTAGAGAGCTGAAGATATGTACGTATAAAATTTATAGGATATTCTAATTACATTAACTCACTTTATATAAACAGATATAGGATGGACTAAATCATGTATGCGCGCGATATTGTCATATTGATCCTTGATCATATCCTTTTAACAATTTATTTTATTTGGTATGTATTTTGTTTGGGACCTTTGGGTGCAGCATACAGTCGGGGGAGAGGCATGTCGCATTTACAAGGGAGGGAGGCCAGCTGACTAACTAAATTTTGCAGAAACATGTATTTTTAATTAGAAATAACAAAATGATTCTTCTAAATTTTGTATTTTGACCTTCTTAAATTTTAAATTTTCATTTTGAGCCTATTAAAATATAAATTCTTAAGCCTCCTAAATTTTGTATTTTTACCTCATAAAAAAAACAAATTTCGTTTTAAACTGTCACTAAATTTTGTATTTTTACTACATTAAAACAAAAATTGTTTTAATCCTCTATCTTTTAGTTCTGGTTCCGCCACTGGATACGGTACTTTGGATATCCAAAGTCTTCTTAATTACATAGAGGCATAAAGATACTTGGTTATTAATATGAGAATATTTGGACTACCTTTTGTCTATTTTTCGGCAAGACTATAAAACTCACACAATTATTTCACTTTCTTATTAGCTCTCTTGTTTTATCCAAATATCCGATATAATCTTGGAACACTCATAATATTTTTCATCAACTTAGTTAGAGCAATATCCATCTTAATATCGTTGATGCGCCCAATATATCACTTAGAGCAAGAGTCAAGAGATCTCTCAGACTCTCACTAGTATATACGAAGTCTCATATGATACTATGCTAAACTTGGTGAAACATGCATGAAAACCGCTAAGAATTATACTCTACTTTACAAATTCATGTTCATCACTCTTTATTATAGGAGCAGGAAGGACTTGAAACCCGAGTAAATTTATTCTACATACTAATCACCTTGATCGAAAGAAACCGCCGTTCCAACGCACATAGACTCAAGATACAGGTTTGAACAAAATAAAAAAAAAAGACTCAAGCTAAGTCAATTACTATTCTATGAGACTCAAGATTATAAGGATTTGACCCCAAAAAAAAAAGACTCAAGCTAAGTCAATTACTATTATATGGTACCAATTGAATCCTAAGTCTTAGAAAAAGAATATTTGTAATCACCTTGATCGGAGTTGCTCGCACGTAGGAGACTCAAGATAGATTGATTATTTACAATTTTGTACTATATAAACCCACTCGTAGCGATGAGAAATAATCACCAAACCAAAAACCTAAACAAGAAGAAAATTCAAACGCTAGACAAGAGAAATATGGCGAGCATCAACTGGCAGTTTAGTGGTAGCGAAGATGCCAAAGATGCTTCAGCTGCCACGCTAGGCTCTTACACCTCTAGGATCATGGCTAAGTGCAACCCAACTCCTGAAAAACCCATTTTGCCGCCTCTAGGTGAAGCCCCCGAGACTAGCCATACCGCTGAGAAGGCCGTCGTGAAAGCTGTCCTTATGGGTACTGGAAACGCCTATGCTCCAAGTATTGGCCTTCCCGCGGCTAAAAGGTAATATACACATCGAATTATGGGTTGATCATTTTAGACATTTTTTGTTCAAAAAGTCCTAAGAGAAACTGTCCCACAGAAAATATGTTTTACAATATGATCACTTCTAGTTTCACCTTAACTCTATTATATATCTTGGTATACTTTCTCTGACGAATTATATATATTTTGCTTCCGTTATTTTCAGTGCCGTGGCAGAGTATCTAAGTCGAGATCTTCCGACCAAACTGACAGCAGATGACGTGTTTATGACCGTTGGATGCAAACAAGCCATCGCGCTTTCAGTCTTTATCACGGCTACACCAAACTCCAACATCTTGCTTCCGAAGCCAGGCTTTCCATGGGACATGGTCCAAGCAATCTACAAGAATGTTGAGGTTCGTCAATATGAATTCCTCCGGGACAATGACTATGAGATCGACTTTGACAGCGTCCGTGACCTTGTGGACGAGAACACGAGTGCGATACTCATTATCAACCCACACAATCCTAATGGAAACACGTACTCTGAAGCTCATCTTATGGAGGTACTTTTATTAGCTATACAACATGCATATGCATGCACCTTATATGGCCTAATCTTTTGACAGTGTGTAACTATTGAATCTTTCTTTAGCTGGCTGTGCTGGCTCGGGAGCTACAGATAATGGTTATTTCTGACGAAGTTTTCAGATGGACTGTGTTTGGGGATAATCCCCATGTTCCCATGGGAAAATTCTCGTCGATCGTACCTGTGATTAGTCTCGGTTCTTTATCTAAGGGATGGAGTGTACCCGGATGGCGAACCGGCTGGATCGCCCTGCACGATCTTGATGGTGTCTTGAAATCTACCAAGGTAAAAATTCCGATCGCTCTTTAAACATCATTTCCATTAATTTCTATCCTCGGTATATTAATCGACATTTATAAGGTAAAAACAACTTTTTACGTGCAAACTAGAAATGAGACTACATGCCGTTGACATACTAAATCTCTATGAATATATGTATTAGTTCTATATAAATATTGACCAATGTAAATAAGTTTGCATGGTGTACTTGAAATTCAAAATTTCTTCTCGTCCACATCGTGAATCATATTCATCTAGTATAAAATGTCCTTGTTTTGTACTGTCCTAATTATCTTGCTATATATGGACAGATCACAACTGCTCTTAAGCAATTTCTGGCGATAGATTCTAAACCACCAACTGTTATCCAGGTAAGGGTTACCCTAGTCTGGAAGTTATATTGTAACCAGGCTTTTTTTTTTTTTTTTTTTTTGCATATTAAGGTGCATGAATTCGTGAGTGTCATCATGTAGGCAGCTGTTCCCACCATCTTGAAAGACACTCCTAAGGAATTCTTCGAAAGGAGGAAGACTTTTCTGAGAGAGAAATCGGACATTGCATTTAATAAGCTCAAACGCATACCAGCCCTAACCTGCTACAAAAAAACTGAAGCTTGCACCTTCTTATGGGTACGTATTCTATTTATATATTACTACTACGTCTTTTTTTACCATTCTTTAAACATTCTTATATACATGTTTCTTTTCTTCTCGCAGACGGAGCTGAACTTGTCAATGTTTTCGGACATCGACGATGATGAAGAATTCTGTGAAAGGCTTGCGAGTGAAGAAAACCTCGTCCTTTTACCAGGTTTTAATCCAATAACTCATTACCTATGATCAAGGTTTAACCGTTAGCATTTGAGACAATTCTGACAGATATGTTGTGTGTTGGATTGGTTTAGGGATTGCTTTTGGTCTGCAGAACTGGGCGAGGCATTCTATAGACATGGAGACTTCGGAATTGAAGGATGCATTTAAAAGATTGAAGCGCTTCTGTCATCGCAACTCCAAGGCTCCGGAATTGGAGGATCCACTCGAATCTGATGATGATGTCGAGTAAAGGGTCGTCGACAATAATAAAAAAAGGGTGTGTTTTATAGATCTGAGATAGATAATGAACACACTCTCGTATACTTGTCTCTATTTGCTGCTTAAGTCTTTTTAAGTTATGCTATAATAATATTTGAACGGGGTGTTTTTATTGATCTGATGAGATAGATCATGAACACACTCTCGTACTTGTATCAAATAAAATTGGTGCACTTATCACCAACCATGCGTGTAATGTTTTCTTTTCAATATTTCCGATGTATTTCTATTTTGGTTTGACAAAAAAAAAAGTATTATTTCCAAACTTGTAATCACCTAAACAACTCATCTTATGTTGTGGTTTCATCGCATCTCTAACTATGCTCATAGCAGTTACTTTCATCGTCCTCTCCCTCACGGTTTTTCATCTCCACAACCCAAAACTCACGGTTGATTCCATATCTTTCATCCAAGGGTTGGAATTCGTCCGCGGTAAAGTCAACACGAACCGGAACGTTACAGTCTCAGTCCAAATCTCATTACATAACCCAAATCCAGCATCGTTTAAAGTGAGATATGTTAGGCTTTTTTTTAGACACGGTGAATCCGTGGTAACTGGGGAAAGTATTCAAAGAAGTGAAACTATTCCAGCGAAACAGACGGTTAAGATGAGTCTGACGGCTGAGATTGTTACAACAAAGCTATTAGCATCTGTTCCAGGTTTCATGGATGATTTAAATGGAAGAGGAGTGGAATTGAAAAGTAGTGTTGAAATTAGAGGTATAGTGAAGATAATGAAGATTTCTAAGAAATCTGCTCATCTTATGATAGATTGATCCATGATGATGAACAATTCCTCAATGCTTACATTACAATATGTGTCAAAAGAACATATGATATGACTAAAAACATGTCTATATCTTAAAAAGATTAATTTTTGTTTCCCTTTCTACGCTTATTTGTAGATGTCTGTAAATAAAATAGTCCAAATGTGTAACTAGAGCTCTCCGGCTACAAAATCCATTCTTTAAGATCCATTCAAGATCCTCCTAAGGAGATCGATCACGATTTGTATAGGAATCTTGCTAAGGAAGAAAACATCATTGTTTTACTAGTTAATAATTCAATTCACTTTACCTATCATCACTGTTTCTGATCACTTGTCAAATAATATATATATAGGCTAAAACATGCATGCTAGGTGTTGGAACGATCGATCCGATACCTTCTGGAATTTTTTGTCTCGTCCGTAGGAAGGTAGACCAATCGGTTTCCAAGTGGACTAGTGGACTGGTTGGTCTGACCCTCTCTGTTTCCAATTTCTGCAACTGTTTCTTCAAATTCCCCCCTGTTTTAATTGTTTACCAAAATATATTTTTCACGAAATCAGGTATAAATCTTAAATGCATCGTTAGATTTCTTTGAATTATCTTTCAAATGAAAGCTAACATTTGTATCCATTTTTTAAAAAAAAATATGAGAAAAATCAAAGGAAGCCCTTCAATTTGAGCACAAACATCTGACACTCCTATAAATATGTATTTCTAAATGTGTATTTCTATCCTAAAACGTCTGTTTTATTCCGAAGCAAGATAAAACTTTTAAAAATTTAATATTAGATTAAAAACTTTTAAAACACATTTTGAATAAAAATTATAAACTAAGAAAGAGAATGAAAATTTTAAAATTTAAAACCGATAAAATACAATATATAATTAATCCTTGTAACACGCTTAAGTGACATAGTGACATTGATTCAATAAATAATGACCAAGTTATAATTTTTTTTTTATATAAGACTCATCGTCAACATCGGCTAGCTGGTGGGGTAATTATTTTCATAGTTAGAAAATACGAATAATTAAAAAAAAAACCCCAATAAAAGCATGGGGGTTTCAATAAACAATAGTACGTAAAATTTAAACATGGGCAATTATTACCAATAAATAGTTCAAGAACCAAGTACACGTAGGGTTCCTTACTCGCTCATTTAATTACTATAAGACAAAAGTTGTATTGTTTTCCAAATGTGTAATCACCTGATCATTGTGTTGGATAGGTTTAGGGATTGCATTTGGTCAAATGAACTGGTTTGAGCCTTTGAGGTACTCCATCGACATGGAGACTCCGAGACTGGAGGATGCATTTGAAAGATTGAAGAGCTTCTGTAAACGTCATTCCATTATATATAGTTGATGATGAATTCATGATTCACTCAAAGACGTCAATGGCGTCAACTAATTAAAGACTTCTGATTTCCCGAATATATCTAACTAGCGCTAAGGCTAAGATGTAAATTATGGGATGGTTTAATTTGATCTGATATGAAGAGTATGTGATAAATAAAATGGTGTTATTAATAACTGATCCGTATCAATCATGTATTTTTGAGAGATTCTTTGGATGTATTTTCTAATTATTCTACTCATCTATTAAACAAATATAATTCTATTTATTCTCATTTCATTATGTATTGGTCTGAATGTTTGATTTAAGTTTAGAATTTGGTATTTGGAACCTTATTCGGAGCCAATGAAACAAATTTGAACCAGAATTAATGAAATTACAGCCAAAGTGAATAATGATTTTAATTAGTTTGGTTCAGCTAAATACTAACCTGATGAATCCATATATACGCGTTTAGTTTCTCAACTTAATCCATCATACACGCTTAATTTACACTGATTCGATCCATTAGAAAAGTAAAGAAATAATGAATCTCTTTTTTTTTTAGGGTTCAAAAAGAAGGAATGATTAAAGTTTATATTTTACACGTACGACTCATGTGAACGAACAGAGAGGTTGGTGGAGTTGTGGGGGTATTTTTTTAGTTAGAAACTAGAAACCAAAAAAATACGAATCTAACGTACGAACTTCTGCATCTTCTTGGATTCTCATGAGCTATCGACCAAAGAGATAAGAAAGGAGAATCCGACTATACAAACCGCTCATTAGGTCATGTGTTTTCAATGTTTTATTTTACGAGGACGAAGATGATAAAAACTTGTCATATATGAGTTTCGAAATATCTATTTCTCCTTATCTGTAAAATGCTAGCTGTACATACAACGTATATGTATTGTAGCTACACATGGTTAAATCAAACGACAAAAACAAAACCAACTAAACCGGGACGTATAATCTCTGATATTGTTAATATGTACATATAGAGCATTCCTTAGTTTTATTTTTGATTACCAATAAGAGCTTTACTCGTATGTACATTCCTTAGTTTTATTTTTGATTACCAATAAGAGCTTTACTCGATTTATTAATTAAGGGCACCTGCATTAGCGTCATTAAAGGGATTCTCTCATTAATTTTTGCCCAAAAAAAAATCAAAAAAAAAAATTGAAAGACGTCAGTTAAAACGGGACGGTCCTGCGTCTTCTTCCTTCACAATTCGCGGGCCGTGATTTCTTTTTTTTTTGTTAATCTAAAAAAGAAAAAAAAAAAGCCTTTTGCTGGGACGTCCAACCGCTGCACTTGCTCTAAATGGTTGATAACTGGAATTCAATTAGTAAATTATAAGAACCAAGTTTTATCCTTTTTTTTTTGCTAAGCTTGTCAATATTATATAAAATGAAAAGAGTTTGGATTAACATAGTAATTACCAAACCAGTTGGTAATTTCTTGGGAAAAACAAGGAAGCAAACAAAGCTTTAACAGAAGAAGAATTCTTACACTGATCCAGAGACGCATTAAGTTTCTGAATTTTCAACCACTTTTAGGCACTCATGAGTATTAGAGATATCATTATGATATTCACTAAAGACACAATATTTGATTATTCTCTTTAAGGAACATTATGTTATTAGCTTAACTTAGGAGTCTCCTCTCTTTGTATAAATATGAGTTGTACAATACATTGAAATACATCTCAATAATATTCTTTTTTTTTTTTTTTTGCTAACTAATAATATTCTTTACATGGTATCAGAGCAATAATGGATACCCTAATTTTTTTTCTTCCTTTGGCTGCCTCCTTTCTCTTCTCAAATTTGTTAGAGTGTTGATGATCTCCTATCAATGGTTCTTCTTATCCTTAATCGCTCGTTTAGTTAGTTTAAGACAACCAAACTATTTTAGATTGACAAAAGATTACTTTGATATTTGTAATCACCTTTAATCAGGGCAAACTCACGAGAATACGTACGTAGATGCATGCACGAGATTCGAGATGCACTATTCCATTTGGTCCTCCCAACTCATTTTCAGTATCCCACGTGAAATATCATATTCTTAGAATAATATGTGGAGTTTTACAGAAAAAAAAAAAAAAGAATAATATGTGGATATTCGTTGGCAACGAAGATAAGTGGTTGGTAGGAGCCTCTTTAACAAAACAAAAAAAAAATGTACTAGGAGGAGACTAGGTGACATAGAAAATATAATAAGTTCAATATGATGCTTATTATAGTAGAGAGCTGAAAATATAAACATATAAACTTTATAGGATGTATTCTAATTAAATTATCAAACTTTAAATAAACAGAATATAGGATTGACTACATCATGTATGAGATATTGTTATATTGATCCTTGATCATATCCTTAATTCTTTTTTTTTTAATACAATATATTTTGTTTGGAACCTTTGGGTGCAGCATACAGTGAGGGGCGGAGGCATGTATAAGGAGGTGTGTATAAGGGAGGGAGGTCAGCTTTGCAAGCTGTGAAATCAAAGCTAATGGTTCTAGAGACCTGTTTTCATTATTATTCTTAGGTTCTGACCTCACTAATTTTTGCAAAAGTAGTATTCTTAATTAGAAATAACAAATGATTTCCCTAAATTTTGTATCTTGACTTTCTTAAATCTTAAATTTTCATTTTGACCTTATTAAATTTTGTATCTAAACCCTATTAAAATTAAATTGTTAAACCTCCTAAATTTTGCATTTTTAGCCCTTAAAAAATATAAATTTCCTTAATTTTAAACACTCACTAAATTTTGCATTTTTACTCTATAAAAAAAATGTTTAACTCCTTCACTTTTGGTTATGCCTCTCTACTGTATACGGTATTTTGGATATCCAAAGTCTTCTTAATTACGTAGAGGCTTAATTAGACATTTGGTTATCAATATGAGAATATTTGGACTACCTTTTGTCTATTTTTCGGCAAGACTATAAAACTCACACTATTTATTTCACTTTCTTAGCTCTTTCGTTGTATCCAAATATCCGATATAATCTTGGAACCCTCCTAATATTTTTTCATCAACTTTAGTCAAGAGATCTCTCGTTAGTACATACGAAGTCTCATATGATACTATGCTAAACTTGGTGAAACATGCATGAAAACCGCTAAGAATTATACTCTACTTTACAAATTCATGTTCATCACTCTTTATTATCTTAGGACTTTAGGAGCGGGAACGACTTGAAACCCGAGTAAATTTATTCTACATATACTAATCACCTTGGTCGAAAGAAACCGACGTTCCAACGCATAGAAAGGTAAGGGTTTGAGCAAATAAATAAAAAGAGTCAAAATAAGTCAATTACTATTCTATGAGACTAAAGATTATTAAGGATTTGACCCAAAAAATAAAGAGACTCGAGATAAGTCAATTACTATTCTATGATACCGGCCAATTTAATTAATCTCAATTCCCAAGTTTAGAGAAAAAGAATATTTGTAATCACCTTGATCGGAGTTTCCCACGCGTGGGAGACTCTCGAGTCTCGAGATATAGATTAATTATTTACAATTTGTCTCTCTAGATTTTTTGGATACCCAGCACGTGAAAATCAAGTTTATAGGAGTTTTGTCTGAAAGTGTCGAAACTTGCACTATATAAACCCACTCGTAGCGATGAGAAATAATCACCAAAGCAAAAATCTAAAAAAGAAGTAAATTCAAACGCTAGACAAGAGAAATATGGGGAGCATCATCAACTGGCAGTTTCACGGTAGCGAAGGAGCCAAAGAGGCTTCAGCTGCCACGCTAGGCTCTTACACCTCTAGGATCATGGCTATGTGCCACCCAACTCCTGAAAAACCCATTTTGCCGCCTCTAAGTGAAGCCCCCGAGACTAGCCATACCGCTGAGAAGGCCGTTGTGAAAGCTGTCCTTATGGGTAGTGGAAACGCCTATGCTCCAAGTATTGGCCTTTCCGAGGCTAAAAGGTTATATATACACACCGAAATATCCGTTGATCATTTTAGACATTTTTTGTTCAAAAAGTCCTAAGAGAAACTGTCCGACAAAAACATGTTTTACGATATGATCTCTTTTAGTCTCACCTTAACTCTATTATATATCTTGGTATAATTCCTATGACTAATAATGTTTTGCTTTTGTTATTCTCAGTGCCGTGGCAGAGTGTCTAAGTCGAGATCTTCCGAACAAATTGACAGGAGAGGACGTGTTTATGACCGTTGGATGCAAACAAGCCATCGCGCTTGCAGTCTACATCACGGCTTCACCAAACTCCAACATCTTGCTCCCGAAGCCAGGCTTTCCATGGGACATGGTTCACGCAATCTACAGGAATGTTGAGGTTCGTGAATATGAATTTCTCCGCGAAAAGGACTATGAGATCGACTTTGACAGCGTCCGTGCAGCTGCGGACAAGAACACGTCTGCGATACTCATTATTAACCCGCACAATCCTAATGGGAACACGTACTCTGAAGCTCATCTTAAGAAGGTACTTTTATTAGCTATACAACATGCATATGCATGCACCTTATATATGACCTAATCTTTTGACAGTGTTCTAACTATTGAATCTTTCTTTAGCTGGCTGAGCTGGCTCGGGAGCTCAAGATACTGGTGATTGCTGACGAAGTTTTCAGATGGACTGTGTTTGGGAATAATCCTCATGTTCCCATGGCGAAATTCTCGTCGACCGTACCTGTGATTAGTCTCGGTTCTTTATCTAAGGGATGGAGTGTACCCGGATGGCGAACCGGCTGGATCGCCCTGCACGATCTTGATGGTGTCTTGAAATCCCACAAGGTCCAAATCCACTCTTTAATTCCCATCGCTCTTTAAACATCAGTACCATTATTTTCTATCCTCGGTATATTAACTGACATATCTATAAGTTTAAAACAACTTTTTTACGTGCAAACTAGGAATGAGATTACATGCCGTTGACATACTAAATCTCTATGAATATATGTATTAGTTCCATAAAAACATTGACCGTATGGTATTAGCATGGTGTAAACTGAAAATCAAATTATTTTCTCCACACGTGTCGTTGTTTTGTCCTGTGTCTTAATTATCTTGCTATATATGGACAGATCACAACTGCTCTTAAGCAATTTCTGGCGATAGACTCTAAACCAGCAACTGTTATCCAGGTATGGGTTACCCTAGTCTGGAAGTTATATATATATATTTTCCATATTAAGGTGCATGAATTCGTGAGTTTCATCATGTAGGCAGCTGTTCCCACCATCTTGAAAGACACTCCTAAGGCTTTCTTCGAAAGGAGGCAGAGTTTTCTGAGAGAGAAATCGGACGTTGCATTTGCTAAGCTCAAAGGCATACCAGCCCTAACCTGCTACCATAAAACTGAAGCTTGCACCTTCCTATGGGTACGTATTCTATTATATATTACTACTACGTTTTTTTTACCATTTTTGAAACAATCTTATGCTTCTATTTCTTCTCGCAGACGGAGCTGAACTTGTCAATGTTTGCGAACATCAAAAGTGATGAAGAGTTCTGTGAAAAGCTTGCGAGTGAAGAAAACCTCGTCCTTTTACCAGGTTTTAATCCAATGTCTCATTACCTATCTATGATCAAGGTTTAACCGTTTAGCTAGCATTTAAGACAACTCTGACATATACGTTGTGTGTTGGATTGGTTTAGGGATTGCTTTTGGTCTGCAGAACTGGGCGAGGCATTCTATAGACATGTCCGTTCCGGAATTGGAGGTTGCATTTGACAGATTGAAGAGCTTCTGTGATCGCCACTCCAAAGCTCCACTCAAAGGCAAAGCTGCCAATGGTCTCAAGCAAGCAAAGCCTTAAAGGGTCGTCAACAATAATAAATAAAACGGGGTGTTTTATTGATCTTGAGATAGATCATGAACACACTCTCGTACTTGTCTCAAGTTATGCTATTTGCTGCCTAAGTATTTCTAGTTATGCTTTAATAATACATAAAACGGGTGTTTTTATTGATCTGAGATAGATCATGAACACTATCGTACTTGTATCAAATTGAATTGGTGTACTTGTCGTCACCAACCATGCATGTAATGTTTTCTTTTCAATATTTCCATGTATTTCTACTTTCCGAAAATTCAAATAATAAAGTTCTAGTTTGTGTTCTAGACTTCTAGTACATCTCTATTGATTTTGTCGTATCTTACAAACTGAAAATTAAAGACAAAAAAAAATTCCAGTTTTCCAGAGATGAAAATTAAGTTTAATCCAGAGATGAAAATTCAGTTTAACATATGTCCAAAAGGAAAAAAAAAAAAAACTAGTGCAATTATTAAATCAAATATTCTAGACTTTAAAATTTTCAAAAACATTATTAATCATTTGAATTTTGAATTTATTTTTGTCCTCTTGTTTTTTTTTTTTGGAATTTTGAAACTTAAGAAACGTTTCACCTTTTTATATTTCCTTTCCCCCTTGCATCGTAGACAAATTACTAGCCTACAAAACTATTTTTTACATATTTTTTTAATGTTTTTTTTTTCTTTTTTCATTCTGCTAAATAAATTAATCCACAAATCAGAATCATTAAACCGAAGAAGAAGCTTCACGAGTTATAATCAACTCAAAATAGTATATGATCATTGGAGTCTAGAGATATTAATTTTTGTCTACGTTAACCTCCAAGCACCGGATTTGTTACATGACCTTCGGGTTTTAAACAAGCTTGTGTCGTGCCAAAAATTAAAATACATATGGTTCTTTGCTAAATAAACACCAATCACATCAAAGATTAGAACTTCTTATTTAAGAGATTCACAATTTTAAAATGTTTACTTTTCAACCCCAAAAAAAGAAGAAGATTAGAAGATTCACGACACTAATGAAATATCAGCTTATCCCACTTTACATTTCCTTTTTCCAAAGTCAATAGTCAACCGTATTTATTTTCCAGGAAAACGCGTTACAGAAAATTATACTACTAATATATACACACACATCTAGCTCACTATATTGTAACTTTTAAACCTCCAAAGTTAGTTTTATAACACACATACAAGAAATTTGAGTTGGCCATGGCTGAGTCTAAAGAAGATCAAGGTAAGCCTTCAGCCCCACTTTTTCTCACTACCCGGAGTGACCAACCAAACGAAGATGATCAGTACCACCGCGACCGAACCAAATATGTCCACTCGCATACAAAGCTCATCTTATGCTGTGGTTTCATCGCATCTATAACTATGCTCATAGCAGTCACCTTCATCGTCCTCTCCCTCACGGTTTTTCATCTCCACAACCCAAAACTCACGGTTGATTCCATATCTTTCATCCAAGGGTTGGAATTCGTCAACGGTAAAGTCAACACGAACCGGAACGTTACAGTGTCAGTCCAAATCTCATTACATAACCCCAATCCAGCATCGTTTAAAGTGAGAGATGTTATGCTTTCGTTTAAACATGGTGAGTCAGCGATAACTGGGGAAAATATTCGAAGAAGTGGAACTATTCCAGCAAACATTCCAGCGAAACAGACGGTTAAGATGAGCCTGACGGCTGAGATTGTTACAACAAAGCTACTAGCATCTGTTCCAGGTTTCATGGAGGATTTAAAAGGAAGAGGAGTGGAATTGAAAAGCAGTGTTGAAATTAGAGGTATAGTGAAGATAATGAAGATTTTCAAGAAATCTGCTCATCTTATAATGGATTGTTCCATGATGATGATGATGAACAGTTCCTCAATGCTTACACTACAGTGTGTCAAAAGAACACATGAAATGACTAAAAACATGTCTATATCTTAAAAAAGATTACTTTTTGTTTTGCTTTCTACGTTTATTTATAGATGTCTGTAAATAAAGTAGTCCAAATGTCAAAAGAAAGAAATGCATTGTAGAATCAAAAGATAAGAACATTCTGCCGTAAACTATAGCTCTCCGGCTACACTAATAACACCAAAAATAAACTTCATTTGATAGGAACTTGAGTCCTAAAATGATCGTTCCATTCATTTTTTCATCAACGTTTGAGAGAAACAAGTATGAATACCATTTGGGTTGCACCGGATAATCGCAGTTAATATGTCTCACTGGTTTATTTCTTTTGCTGGTCAGAAACACGTCCTCCAGCAATCTTAACAATGGGTTCGTCTTTGGGCTTTATAAGCTTTAACGCCGGATGAACCTTGAGGTCTCCCATTACTAGCTTTTGCCCGATATCCAATTGACTAAGATCTACTTCTATGTATGGAGGGATAATCTCTGCTGGGCATAGGAACTTTACCGTTCTTTTTATCGTATTCAGAGATGCTCCTGCAAAATGTTTAAGAAATAGTGATCACTACTAAAATCTAACGAGAAACTAGATGCTGCGATTTACAAAAACTTAGGTTAGCCAGACTGACATACAAACCACTACCAAAAGCTGGGGTCATTTTATACCAAGATATAGTATGCAAACCAGAAACGGATCCCTAAAACCAGCACATAGATTTCTTTATGCTCGAGTTAAAGCTTAATAAAACATCTAAAGTATTGTCCTTTGAAGTAATGATTACTTTCCATCGCCAAAGCTTAGCTCAGACTATCCAAGAAAAGGTAACTGAAACCAGGGCACTATCACTTCTCTTCAGATTAGAAGCTCAATGGACTCCAATCAAGACGTATTGACATACTTTAATGTGTGGCCTAACTACTTCAGAACTCAAGAAATGAGTGTCTAGCAAATCTCTCATTCACATCTTTCATCGTATCTCTCATTTGTTTCATGATTGGCCTCCAAGTCCTATATTTCGAGAAAGGAAATGCTATCGAGAAACTCTTAGTAAGAACAGTGATTCCTACGTAAGCACCTCAACTAACTCACCAGTCAGTCCAAGGAGCTCAAATGCTTATAAGGATCCAAGATTAGGAATCCATCTCTCTAGGAAAATCAAAACATATAAGTAGATTTTGAAATTCAGTAAAGGGTTGATTACCTTTTTTTAATCCAGGGGAAACATCATCACCTATGAACACAAGAGGGATATCAACCTTCAGTAAAGCACCTGGAGGCGCTCTAATGAATGTCACATTCAGTGGAGCATCAGTTCCAGAATGCAAATGAATCTGAAACATTTCAAAGCACAGACTTTCTAAGAACTCGATGCATAAACCAATAAAACAAACACACATTTTTAAAAATCAACAAGTGAAGATTCAGAAACTAATGATAAAATGCGATGTGTAATACCAAAAATTTCAAGAGTGCAAAAAAAGAAGAAACTTTACCGCTCTGGGCAAAGCTCGGACTTTCTCAATGACCTCATCGGAACCAATCTCAGCTCGAACCTCAACATCAAAGAGCCTAGAGAGGAAAAAAGAGTAACCCAAATGAGTCACAAGCTTCCTGATCTGATTCGTCTGAACTGATACAAGCCTCTTGTTTCCTCCGTGTTGTCCATCCTCTTGTTCGAATATGATCGAAGGAACTCTACCGGCTTTACGCTCTTTCGCCGATATGCTCTTGCCCGAGACAGACCTTGGAACGGCGAGGATCGTCTCAGCGTACTTCGGATCGGGTCGAGGGAATCCAGGGAGGTATGTTAATTGGGTATCTAGGGAATGATCGAGAGCTAAAGCAGCTGTCGCCGCCGGAGAGAATAACCGGAGGTTTTGTAGGGTTTTGGGTAGTGTTGTTACACGACGGAGCAACATTTTGTTTACTTTACTAGTGAGAGAGCAACAATGGGTTTAGGAGCTGTGTGTTACAGAAATGTGAGATTTCTCCACTGTAAACGGCGTCGTGTCAAAATCTTAAATGGGCTTAGTTGTAATGGGCTTCAACTTAACTCAACTCAATTATAACTGGAACTTGATACTATGATCCACCGGGATATTCCATCACCTATTATTTGTAAATAACCAATTCACCCTCAATGTGTAGCATGTATATGTATTACAGTAAAGGGTAAAGTGGTCTAGACAAAACATATGGTCTCCACCAATTTAAATAAGCTTCATCTTTGCTTCTCTCGACCAAAGAAACAAGAAACAGAAAAAAAAATACATTTCTCTCACGTCGCAGTACCTAAATCTTTGTTTCTCAAGGTATTATTTTGATCATGCTTATAATCCTATCACTCGCTTTATCATCTACTCAGGTTTAGCATTTATATTGTGTTTTGTTTTTCGTTTACAAAAGAGAAACAGAAGATGTGTTTGATGACACAGCTTATAAAGACAATGGAGCTTCTACTTCTCCACTTTTGTCTTCCATGTGCAAGGTAAATAAATTTTCTGGTTTCTGGAGGAAAAAAAAAAAAGAAGTAAATCGATTTGAGCATATTTTTGTTTGTGTATGCAAGCAATTATGGAATGGAACATGACTTATTGTGATCGATCATCTTTTTGTAATGGGCCCATGAAAGAACTGGTATTGGGCTTGAGTAGATCAAAGTCCATCATTTATGCTTTATTGGGCTCCACTCTTGGTCACTTCACATTTTATACAACTTTTTCACATTTTTTTTTTTACAAGTGATAATATCATAATACTGTTATTATCAACTCTCTTGTCCTATTATCACTATTTTTATTTTGCCGACTATCATTTTAATTCTTGGCGTTAAATACTGTTGTTAATATTGCTGACCAAAAAATATACTGTTTTTTAATAATATGTAAGTATAATTTAAAAAAATTTGTTTGATTGTGCCCTTTTTTGACGCAGACCGAAAGAACGTGACGTCTGTACGAATGGCTGAATGTTACACCACGTGTCCTGTAATAAAAATATGTTCGATCGTACAGCATCTCGCTTCAGCCGCGTGACACCTGATCATACCTCAATTAACTTAGCTCTAAACGACGCCACGTAACGTCCCCTCATGACGGGAGACGTTAACTCTGACGGCGTCACATGTCGACCACTCCTTTTTGGCTAAATGTATTTTTGTGTTTCTTATTTGGCTTTTTTCCTTTTCCCCTAAGGCTTGGGCTCTAATTAAGTAACGAACGTATAGCTTCGGATCCGAACCAACTAGCGGTTCAGATTAGTTTTAAGTGTTTCGACGGATGAGATTTGCGTTTCGAATTCTTTCTTCTATTTTAGGCTTCGAGATCTTTTTCTTTTCTTCTCTCAAAAGGTGAAAACTTTGGGAAGCAGCTCAAATACTGTGTTCTTTGTTTTGTTCAAATCGAAAACTCGAAAAAAAAAAAAAAAAAAGAGCTTAAGATCTTGCGATGGCGGAAGAACACAAGCACGATGAATCTGTGATCGCTCCTGAGCCAGCTGTTGAGGTTGTGGAGAGGGAATCGTTGATGGACAAGATATCTGAGAAGATCCACGGCGGTGATTCTTCTTCTTCATCTTCATCGTCTGATGATGACGACGATAAGAAGAAGAAGAAGAAGAAGCCGTCTTCTCCTTCGTCTATGCAATCGAAAGTTTACCGCTTGTTCGGTAGGGAGAAGCCTGTGCATAAGGTTCTCGGTGGTGGGAAGCGTAAGTTTTTTTCCGATCTGTTTTTTTTTTTCTCATCGAGTTTTTTTTTTTAATATGGTTTTGTTGATTTGGTTTGATCTGTTTCTGATGTGTGTTGTTTGGTTGATTCTTTTGTTTTGATGTCTCATTTTGGGATTAGGTTTCCTTGAGATGGTGCGATTCGTGTTTTTGAATCTGCATAGCTTGTTTGCAGCGAGCATCGTGTTAGCTTAGGGTTTTTATTATACTCGTTGATCTGTATTGACCATTGTGTTCATTTGGTTTTGTGGTTCTTTTATTTTGGCATTTGTTTTGAGGGTTTAGTGTCACAAAATGAATGCTTTTGATCATAGAAATGGGGGGTTGTATTGCTTTTGATGCTATGGCTTTTATCTTGATTTAGAAACTTTAACTTGATAGTAGTGTTTTAGTGTATCAAGTTCAATGTTTTTCTAATTTGCTTGATTCAATGAACGATATATGTAATGTTTGCACAAATTGATTTGTCTTCATATTTGCAGCGGCTGATATATTCATGTGGAAGAACAAGAAGATGTCTGGTGGTGTACTTGGTGCTGCTACAGCCGCATGGGTTTTGTTTGAATTGATGGAGTACCATCTTCTCACTCTACTCTGCCACGTGATGATTGTTGTTCTTGCTGTACTGTTTCTGTGGTCTAATGCCACCATGTTCATTAACAAGTAAGTTAGTGATCAATCTAATGAATTGTTAATATTTCGGAGATGCGTTTTATGCGAATTAGTTTAAGATCTTTCACTTGTGCATTGCTAACAATTGATTTTCTCTCAGGTCCCCACCAAAGATTCCTGAAGTTCATATCCCTGAAGAGCCTATTCTTCAACTTGCATCTGGGCTCAGAATTGAGATCAACCGTGGATTCTCTTCTCTCCGTGAAATTGCATCTGGAAGGGATCTCAAGAAGTTCCTCATTGTAAGTTCAAGTGTGCTTATTAAAAACTATTTGGGACTTGGTACTTTCTCTGTTTACCCTGATCTTTGACAATGCACCATTGGATTGGATAGGCTATTGCTGGGTTATGGGTTCTCTCAATCTTGGGTGGCTGCTTTAACTTCTTGACATTGGCATACATAGGTAATGCTTAATCTTCCATCCACTTATTGCTTTCCTTTCTATTATCTCACTGCAAGCTGAATGACTAAATCTTATTTTGCTGCAACAGCTCTTGTACTGCTCTTCACGGTTCCTCTTGCCTATGACAAGTATGAAGACAAAGTTGACCCATTAGGTGAGAAAGCGGTGATTGAACTCAAGAAGCAGTATGCAGTGTTGGATGAGAAGGTGTTGAGCAAGATCCCTCTCGGCCCCTTGAAGAACAAGAAGAAAGATTAGGTTTACACAAAGGTTGCCCGTGGCTAGCAAAGGGGTGTTGTGAAATGATATCGAAGTTTTATGTGTTTTGGTCGGTTTTTTAGGCGACTCTTTTATGTGAATGAACATGGGATTTCCTTGACTGCTTTGTTTTTGTTGTTTATGTCATTGTTGATCAGCGTCGAGGGATATAAGTAGTGATGTTTCTCTCTTTAAGCCTCTATATAACTAAGAATTTCACGATATTTGAATTTTGCAATCTTGTGTTGTTTACTGTTTTTGTTTATTCATATTCTCTTCTTTTGTTATATCCATAAGTAGAACCATTGTATCGGAAGTAATAAACTGATAGCTTCGAAGAAGCTTATACAGTTATACGTTCACACTTTACAGTATCTTACTACCTCTTCATCCATTGGCGAGGAATATAGAACGGTCCAGATCTTTCTAAACAGTATTCGGTGGTTATAGCATGGCTCTTCCCGGGTGTTTGGTGAACTTTGTTGCAAGAAAGTAACGCGGGTAGGGAAACAAAATCATCTAGCTTGTTTACTCTAGCTATATATCTACTTAGTGAAAGAATATGCAATAAGTCAGGGTGGCCGAGTGGTCTAAGGCGCCAGACTCAAGTTCTGGTCCTCGTGAGAGGGCGTGGGTTCAAATCCCACTTCTGACAATATTGTTTATTTTTTATTTTGAAATTCTGCTCAAAAAGATATCACCTGTAGTAGGTCCTGTACAGAGTTATGTTTAACCTTTATTTACATTTTGACTTTTCTACATTAGACTGAGTCATGAGTTATCAGCAACACAAAAGTAACCAGATATATAAGAATATCAGTAAACTATAAATATTACAAAAATGAAAACATCATATCCAAATTTAGAATACTCTGAACCACAAAACTCTCACAGAAATATCAGTAACAAAGACTCACAAGTAATAGTTCATGCCCACTTTGATCAAACAAATGTGAGGAATATTCAACATCACGCCTGGGCTCCGACAATTCTTCCTCAAGAACGAGTAAGCAACGTTTATCACTAGCCGTTTCACAAAAACCGAGTTCCGCTTCGCCTTCACATGACCATGCCCAACAATGTAAGCCACTTCCGCGTCCTTGGCGTTCACCAAATCAAACAGCTCCTCTTTCACCTGAGGTTGCCTGAACTTAGTGTCCATTGGTCTGAACTGAAACATCCTTCTCATGCTCAGCCTCGGAAGCTCTTGCTCATACTCTGCTCTCAGTCTAAGCAGAGCTGGAGATTTGCTGTTTGTTACAGTTGTCTGTGATCTCGAGCTACCTGCGATGTTGGCCTCGGATATAGACCGAGACAGCCTTGTCCCAAACTTGTTTGAGGCTTTCACAACAGCGAGCCGGCCATCGATGGATCGGTCAGTGTTTGAGCCGCCGTAGCCTTCAGATTCTAGCTGAATAAACTCAGCAATGCTCATCACCAGCTCGTCTTCAAAGTCGTCTCCATCTTTGTTCACGTCTTTATAGCCAGCTCGGATAATGCAACGGTACATCCTGTACGTTTTTGGTCCAATCCGGCCAATAAGGTATCGCTCTTTCTGTGGTACATACGGGATAGGGACAGTTTTGCAGCAGACAAAGACAACAACTTGATAGAATGCCGGTAAGTTTGTTAGAAAGTGAGTAAATGTGGCAGGGACACCACTGGCGAGCTCGGTGTAGATAAGACCCATCCCTGGGACTTTGATGATCCCGAGGCTCGGGCCGAGACTTAGGATTGATTTCATAGGGACCTTGTTGTGCTGGTCACATAGGTACTTCTTTCTGCTGCCATAATGCCATACATATGTGATGAAAGTGAAGAAGAGGGAAAGAAGGAGAGTGATCCAGCCTCCTTTAGGGATTTTGACTAAGGCTGACGCGACGAAGACAAGTTCTATGGTCCCAAAAAAGAGGATAAAGAGGACAGAGAAGACAATATTACGGTTCCAGACAAAGTTGATGATGAGAGGCATCAACCAAGTTGTCACAAAGGCTAGAGTCATGCAGGCAAGCCCTGGAGAACAAAGGATTAGGTTTGATGATAAAGATAGAAATTATGAGTCTGATGAAAGGTTAAGCCCTTACCAAAAGCAAAAGCTAAGTGTCGAGTGTCTTGGAAACAAATGGTGACAGCGAGGGTGAGGATCATGACAACCCAATTGATCTCAGGAATGTAAATTTGGCCAAGGACCCATCTTGGTTTGTGAACAATCTTCACTCGTGGGAAGCATCCTAATGCATAACATTGTTTGACAATCGAGAACGTGGCAAATATGACTGCTTGGCTTGCGACCATTGCAGCCAGCATAGCCATCATGAGAACCGGCCAGAAAAATGGATCTGAAGAACAAGAACAAAACACATGAACATATGGCAAACTACACAAGTAAAGAGGAGCGCATGAATGAATTGTCATAATATGTACTTGCAGAATTTAATAATAAACTCGAAACTTTGGATCTAGACATGCATCATGGACATAATCCACCACTAAAACATCCCAAACACTGAAAGGTCAGGTACATACATTTGAGAAATTGTAGTACTTTGGAACTTGCAGTGGAATTCTCAAAAATTGGAGGACTTAGGGTAAAGGAAAGAGACGTGACAAGGAAATTGACCAATTTATTACCTGGAATGGAAGAATAAAAGCTTGAAGGTAGAGCAGAAAAATTCTTTGACAGAAACGCAGCTTGGCCCATGTATTGAAGCACCAGACATGGGTAAACAACACAACAAAACGCAAACTGCAAAGAATCATAAGATTGCAAAATGTTATTGTTTCTTCATCTTCAGTAGCCAACAAAAGAGGCCATCAAATAACAATAACTATAACCAGATTCTAATTGTGTTTCATATTTTTTCTAATTCCTTGAGTCAAGAACATCCCTAATATGACCAATTGCTTATGGATTGTTCTAGCAACAAAAATCCTTATAGTATTTGTACAACAATTCCTTAAGAGCTGCTATAAATATTCTCTCTACTGGTTACTGCAGCATGATTGAAAGAACCAAATAAGCTTCTTCACATACCCTTATAGATGTAGCTGTAAATTGGCCAAGTTCAGCAAAGATAGCCTCCGTTCCTGAAAGTAGACAAATTGCCAAGATGAGACATAATATATAATTAACACTTATTGAGTCGATTTTCGGAACATAAATGACCATATTACCTGTGATACATAAAAGAATGCCTCCAAGGGACAGCCATCCATCTATTCCCGTGTCTCTAAAGAATACATAGATATAGTAGGGAGATAAGGCTTTGTATACACTGGGGTTCCAAGTCACAATATTGTACACACCAACAGTTGCGATTATCAACAACCACAAAATCATAATAGGTGCAAATAGAAAGGCAACTTTATTTGTGCCACGGTGCTGCAGAACGAAAAGCCCAACCAGCAAAGCACATGCTATCATAACCACAGTACCTAGGAAAGCAACACATTGGTAAAAAGATATATAAATAACAATGAGGGAATGTTGTAAACATATATAATCAAGATACGCAAGTATAAAGATAATAGCAAACATTACTTACTATGCTTCAAACTTGTCTTGGCCACAAGGCCATCAATAGATGAAGAGACTACAAGAAGATAATGTTAGATGCTAAACCCTGGAAAAAATAAAAATGGTAACGTACTATACGACCAGACAGAAGCTAAACAAAGGTTCGACTAATTACCTGAAATTGCTGGTGTAAGGACACCGATGGTTATTACCATGGAAGTTCCTACCAAGACTAAAACAAGCAAAGCTGTTTTTGATCTCTTATTTCGTTCTATAAGGCTTTTGAAAGCAGAACTAGGCAAATTTCTACTTGCATCACCAGGGCCATAGTATGTGGAGATTTCCTCATCAGCAGCTTGCTGATTAGGAAGCAAAGAAAACCTTGCGTGTCTACAGAGCAAAGCATACAAAGCAAATATCCCTCCTGCAACAGAAACCCAAATTTTACATCCTAACCCAAGTATCCGAAGAAAGAAAAAAAAGGGATTCACTTAGAAACCACTGCACATACCTTCACCATTGTCATCTGCACTTAATACAAAAACCATGTACTTGATGAGTGAAAGGAGAGTTATGGTCCAAAATATCAAAGAAAACGCGCCAAATATGGTATCTTCTGTTTGATGGTGTCTCAATCCTCCGTAGAATGTACATTTATACACATAGAGAGGAGAAATACTCAAATCTCCAAACACTAAGCCAAAACTCTGATATGCTAGAAGGAGGACCTGGTTACACCTGTTTCTCCTATCAGCCTGATTCAAGAGGAAGACAACATCACACTTCTAGCAAAACTCTTAACACATACACATACACGCAGATGCTGGCTAATATTTACATGAGGATAATCCATGAAGAAGCCTAAAATTCCAGATTGAAACTACTACATCGTGAAAATCAGATCAAAAACTCAGAGATGCACTGAAAATAATCATTTACAGTAATTTACTTTCAGCAGTGACATTGACTCAGATTTCAATACTCTCACAAATTTCAATGAATATGGTTGCATCATTCATTTCAGATTTTCTATCGAGATCACAATAAGGAAGGTAGGGGTTTAAGATTGCAGACGTATCGGTCGAGCTAAAGGAAGAAAAAAAAGCTGGAGTTAACATACCATGATTCAAGCCGCCGGCGAGTAAGATGCGGCTGTCGCTTGGAAGAGGATCGTTAACGATCAGAGAAGACACACGCCGGAGACTAATTCCTTGGAAGATGAATCGGAATCGAATCTAGAGGAAAGCTGTCGATGATGATCATTTGTTTGTTGTTTTTATTATCGAGTCGAGAAATTTTTAACGGATTCGATCCAAAGCTCGCGGTCCTTCTCCTTCTTCCTCTTTTTTTTTTTTTTTTTCTTCACAGTTGGTTTTATTCGTTTATTTTATTTATTTCTATTCACTTTTATCATAATGCCTCTAGTACGAGGACATGTGGTACAGGATTGGGATTATAATTTTCTATGTAGATTTGAACATTAAATCATGGGAATATTTTTTATATGTTGAATCTCTCATGAAACAAACCTGCAAATGGGTTTTTTAAATCCAAACGCATATTATGTTTTGTTGATAAAAGAGATTGCAGGAAACAAAATAGTGTAGTTGTAACAGAAACAACAACAACAACACAAAGCTAAGTAAAAGTGAGGGAACCAAATAGAAGAAACATCAAAAGATCTCTCTTGTGTAACAAGGAGAAAGATTGTGTTAATACTACCCTCCAGGCTCCAACGTTTTTTACTTGCATCTGCGTCGGTTTGTCACCAATTCTGGATTTCCCTTCTTCATCATTGCTACGAATTCTTCGTAGTTGATTTTTCCGTCCTATTGATGTTGAATATAGAGAAGAGAGTGTTAGGATCACAAATGATAAAACTCTTTGAATGGACCAAAACTAAAGATAAATGTATAACACATACACGATCGGTGTCTACTTCAGCAATGATCTCTTTGATGGATTTATCATCACCCATGTTGTATTTCTTCATGGCTTGCTCTAGTTCTTCCATTGTTATGTAGCTGATATCACACAAATCATGATCAAAGAGTGTGAGTTTTATAGCTTGTTAAACAGAGAAAGGAGAGAGCTAAAGGATATTGTTTTACCCGCTGTTGTCATTGTCAAAGTACTGGAAAGCAGTGTACAAGTGGTCCTCACGTTCGATTCTGTTCATATGCATTGTGGCTGATATAAACTCCAAGTAGTCAATTGATCCATCTCCATCCATATCAGCCTAAATGAAAACATCATAAGCTTTCTCAGTTTTGTGTTTTGCAAGGGGAAGCACTCAAGATTCGACATCAAAGTAGCAGGTTGAGATACACTTACTGCTTCCATTAGCTGTCTTATTTCAGCCTCAGAGATCTTATTACCAAGTTTGGGGAGACCGGTTCTCAATTCCTCCAAAGTGACTATTCCATTGTTGTCAGTGTCTAGAGATTTGAACATCTCTTTAAGACCAATGATTTCTTCTTCGGAAAGGTTCTCAGCGATAACCTGAAATGCAAAACGAAAAGCGGAGATTGGCTTTAGAACAAGACTAAGTATGATGGGGATGATCAGACAGTTTCAATCAATGTTCTTATTACCTTCAGGGCCATTTTTTTGAGTTTGTTCATCGCCCGGAATTGTTTCATCCTCGATAACACAGCATTGTCAAGTGGTTTGTCTGATGCCTCCCCGTCTTCTCTCATCCACGGATGATCTGTGTATATAGTAAAACATGTTAATGTTGGATCAAAATACGGTGTTGTCATTAATTTTATTCATCAAAACATGTTATGAAGGGTCTTACTTAGCACTTCAGCAGCTGAAAGCCGTTCTTTAGGGTCATATTTTAACATTTTCCTTACAAGATCTTTGGCACCATTAGATAGTGCTGGCCACGGATCAGCTGAAAAATCGAGCTGCCCCTGAAGAATGGCATCAAAGATCCCCGTTTCATTTTCTGCATAACAGTAAAAAAATAGACAGGTGACTATACATTCACGGTCCAACCATTTAAACAGTGCAGCCAAATTCTCTTCTTAAGAAAGATCAAAGCAATACCTCCCCAAAAAGGCGGGACACCACTGAGAAGGATGTATAGAATTACACCGGCACTCCAGATATCAGCCTCTGGTCCATAGTTTCGTTTTAGAACTTCTGGGGCAACATAGTATGCACTTCCAACAAGATCTTTAAACTTATCTCCTGCATTAATAAAATCAACTTCATTAGGGAGATAGATTCACTCTGGATGCAGAAATTACACCACTAATAAACTACAGCAACAATGGGGAAAGTCTCTAGCCTGTTTCCTAACCTGGCTTGAAGAAGACCGAGAGGCCAAAGTCTGTAGCTTTCAATGGGGAGTTCTCATCTTTACTAAGAAAGAGAAAGTTCTCGGGCTTCAAGTCTCGGTGCATTACACCCATAGAATGACAACTATGCACAACCATCACCATCTGCCTGCACAAATCCGCAGCAGCTCTCTCTGAGTAAAGACCTTTAGCTATGATCCTATCGAACAATTCTCCTCCTTCACACAGCTCCATTATGAGATTCACAGAGTGTCTGTCCTCGTAGGCTCCCTTCAAGTCCACTATGTTCCTACAAACCACTCACAAACTTGAAACTCAGGTAAATACGCAAAAAGGGGAACATGAAACTAAATTGGAAACATTTTCAATAGTTTAACATAGGACCACCAAACATTTCATCCACATATGATGCAAACCACTCATTAATATAAACATTAATCTCATAGGAGACTTGCGCATTGGTTCTAGCCTAGCATTCACCAATAGTGTTCAATAAAAAGGCGTTTTAGGTTCCATTTCAGAATATCCCAAAAGAATCAATTTACCATAAAATCAAAAAAAGTTTTACCGGTGGCCACTTAGATGGTGCATAATCTGGACTTCACGGCGAACATCGTCAATGTCGTCTTTGTGGACAAGGCGGCGCGTAGGGATTGACTTGCAAGCGAACTGTTGCTTGGTCTCTTTGTGAGTAACAAGATAGGTGACACCGAACTGGCCACGACCTAGCTCACGACCGAACTCGTAGGTTCCCTTAACGTTCTCCATAGGTCGACCTAAGATCCGACCATTCTGCTGAGTAGATGTGTTGGAGCGAGATCCGCCGGTTCCAGAGACTGACGATCCGACGGTTCCGGAACCAGAGGATCCACGGCGTTCTCCGGAAGGTCGGACATGGTGGACTACGTTGTCGGAGGAAGAGGAGGAGGACGATGGTGGATCGGAGGATTTGGACTTGCTGTGTCTGTGTCCCATTTGTTCAGAAGCTTTCTCTCAGTCAATAAAGTCAATCGAGAGAGAAAGAACAAATCTCCGATTCTTATGGCTTTTTATTTTATGTCCGAGATCGAACACGGAGATGCTGACAACGTGGCCTCTTTTTATTGGTGTAAGTTGGAGCAATTAAACCGCGTGTTACTAATATTATTTGCCTCATTGGATGATAAATTAATGAATAAGGAAATCTTCTCTAAATGATGTTTCCACTTTCCAAATCACACGGCTAATTCAATGTTAATGAATTAGCCTCTAGTCATTTACATTACAAGTCAATTACGTAGGTCAACTATAAAGACAAAAGGAAAACCTCTAGCTTGACCAGAAGGTTTTGCTCATTACTCTTGTCAACACTTTGAATGAGTACATTGCAGACACAACAAGTCTCCTGGAAACAAAAGAAATAGATCCCAAACAACAACAACAGCTCCTTTTACCAGAATCATAAACTAATCTAATAGAGTTAAGTTTCAGCTTATCTGGCAATGGTTCCATCAGCTTTTCGATCCTGTAGGAGACCACTTTGAAGCAAGGCCATGTCCTCTGTTTCACTTGCTGTGTCTTAAAAGTATACTTCAATTCTTCATAAATAGGATACTCACATTATAGCTTCATCCTCATTCATTAACAGAGAGAGAAATAGAGAGAGTCTCTATTGAAAACTTCTTCCAAGTACAACTCCACTAAATACGATAGCACCAAACCACTTGTTTGAAACAAATCTGTACAAACATCAAAACTCAGAAAGTATTAGTTTCCAAGGCAAATCCTGGATTGAGAAAGAGTACAAAGGCAAAACTCAAATTTTCATACTTTCTACTGCAGTCAGCACCAGATGATAAGTCAGCTGTCCCTATTTGCCATCCTAGCTGCCCTGATGCAGCAGCCAGTGATGCGTAATATTGCCACCCTTAATCATTAAGAACGAGAAACGGAAAAAAGAGTCAAAAGACGGTAAATGGAATTAGGAATCACAAAAGAACCCTTGTAAAGCTTATTGAGTACCAAGATCTGCACTGAGTCCAGAAAGCGCAAGAAATCCCATGGATGCTGTGCCAAATCCAGTTAACCAAAGCTTTGTATTATCACCGAACCTAAGAGCTGTTGACTTAACACCAACTTTTATATCATCTTCCTTGTCCTGAAGACACAATAGATTCATACACATTAGCTCATGAAAAAAAAAAATGATTAATCTCTAGAATATCTACTTGCATAACACCTGAACTTTAGCTGAAATTTTGGATTCGTAACTAGTGGCATATACTATATCAAAAGAAGACTGAAATCCTATTTCATTTTTCAGTGGGCTACAAGGTAACTTTCCTTTCCACTTCTGTTGCAAATAGGAAGACTTTTATGGTGCTCATTCTTCACTTAAATTGTAGATATCAGATGGAAAATGTGGAGAGCGGGGTAATTCTCTTCTTTATGATTGCCATTAGACAAAAGTTGAACATCAAAATGGATACATTTGCATGAGACAGGGAAGAAAAGCGGAAAATATGCGCACATTGAGATGGACTACTTTGCTATTGGTCGTAATCAAATAGATTTTGAGCTGAAAATAAAGTGAATATACCTGATGTGCATAAATAGTATCATAAACAAGGGTCCAGCAAACTCCGGAGAGATAGAGAGGGAGTACAACAGCTGGCTCTATGCTTCCTTTAACTGCAGTCCATCCTAGCAATGCTCCCCAGTTTATGGTCAAGCCTAAAAAGGCTTGAGGCTGCAATTACAAAATAGAATGATCAAAAGGGACCGAGAAAAATTATAATGTCTAACTTTGAGAAGCCAAAATGGATGTAAATTACCCAGAATGTAAACCTCTTCATAAGTGGGTAGGAGAAAACAAGTAACAAAGATGAAGCCCCTAAAACACGGCTGCAGAATATAAATACTGAAATGAGCTCAAGTAGAAAAAGAAATGAATCACAAAAGTAAAGGGAAGTCATGACAATATGTTCATAATTTGGGCCAACTACACCTGGGTGAATTTTAAACAAACACCTGCAAATAATTGACTTCAGGCACATAAAAATTCCAAACAAACCTGTAATTGTTAAGTTGGAGAAGAATCCCTAAGCCTAAAAGCAACTGTATCCCAAGAAATTGAATCCCTTGAAATGGTGTCAAAAGACCACTGGCGATAGGTCTTAATCTTGTACGATCAACCTGGATAAAAAAGTGTAAGACAACGTAATCTAAAATAAAACAATCAAATAAAATCTTGAGCCTCAAATATTCTTAATTTACTCACAAGCAACCCATCTTTGTTTGTGGAAAAATGAATCAAGTTACATGAATGCTGTTTAGCTCCCCTATCAACTAACACATATTTCAATTGAAAAAAATATTCCACCTTCACCACATCTAATACCTGAATACTTTCACTTTTGTAACAAAGTTGCCAATACATGCAGATGAACTATATACCCAAAACATAAATGTGACTGAAAATGTTTGCGTAAATTGATCCGACATACAAGCATCAAGACCACTTCCAGCTGTCAGTCAAAGCACAAACAATTTCCCACCATGGCCACAGAAACCATAGTTATACAAAACAAGTTTCTTAACCAACAGACAAAGGGATATATATATTTTACATCACTTGTCTTTATCACCATACCATAGGATAGCATAAAAACAAACTGACCTTTGTATCTATGTCCTGATCAAGCAGATCATTTATAGTACAGCCAGCACCTCTAAGAAGTAGTGCTCCGCAACCAAATAAAGCCATATATTTAAAACTTGGAAGGCTTCCAGGATCAGCGGCCAACGCAATCGACCTATGTAACAATGATGGAGATCAGACTTACGATCTATTCACTTATCTCTGGAAACCCAGTGTAAATTAATAGTACTGTAATATTAATGATTCAAGAAAAATCAGGTTAGTAGCATTTTCCATCCACCCTGTTTTCTGCCAATCCTTAACCACAAAGACACTCTGCCATGCTATCAAAGATCTCAGCTCAAAATCATACTAATTAATTGCCTATGAGTTGTTGAGAGGATCAATATGATTAAAGACTAAAAACAAAAAGTAACAGAGAAAATCTAACAATAACAGACTACAAGAATTTCTCCACTGAAATGAAGTCTACCAACAAAAAAACTTGACAAAATTTCTTTTATAACTGTGCTTCAACTTGCAAGTCAGTCGGAAAACATCACAGCCAAACCAACCAGGAAAACACATGACTTGATCACATAAAACTAAATTTGACGTGATCTGACTTAACATAAACCATCCTTTGTGATGAAAAGAAACTGTATAAACTCGCAGTCTTCTTTCCCTCAGCTATTCTTTCTTATGAATTATAATGAATCTTAAAAGTGAAATGTCTTGATTCTAGACTCCATTATTCAACAGAGAAGATGAACTTACCACATACAGGGCCAAGCAAGCAACCACGTACCAATGGGTTTATCCAATCGAGCAAGCTTAGCATAACCTCTAGCATCTTGTGGTAAATACAAATCTATCCAAGAAGCTTCCTTAACACCACCGACATCACTCTTCTCCTTGTCATCTTTCTTAGGCTTTCCCTCCATAACTGAAGAGGACGAGGACATTCCACTAACTAATCTATAGTTCCAGCCAACACCAAGAAACTTCTCCTGTTGCAATTCCCTCCCTTTACTCCATACTTGATAGTTATAATTCCATGAAGGGTAACACTTAGTGAAAGGATTTGTGCAATGGGTATTCACAGGATTGGACAAGGATTTATGTTGTGACTGCAAAACAGCAAAGGAAGAAGATGGAGTTGCCGACACGGAGGATCTCAACAACCGTCGAGAAACACGGAAGAGCCCAAAAAACGCCATCTTTGGGAGTAAATTGTTGCCTGCAAGAAACAAAGACTTGAGATTTCAAACGTATGTGTATACTTACTTGCTCAAGAAAATCAAAATTTGTTCAAAAATGTATATCTAGTTTTCAAAGACTTGAGATTTCAAACGTATGTGTATACTTACTTGCTCAAGAAAATCAAAATTTGTTCAAAAATGTATATCTAGTTTTCACTTTCGAGTGATGAGTCCTTAAGAATCTAGTACGTCCATGGAGAACGAATCTCAAATATATTTAAATTCCTTAAACAATCAAAGCTCAGAAAGAGGAAAAAAAAAAAAAAGCGGATCAACGACTGACCAGTGAGCAACGACGACGACAACACCGGCGAGAAAGAGCACCGAGCACGTCGTGTCGGAAGTGAGACTTCTCCAGTAACGCGGATGGATCAGTAATGGGCTTATACATGATTCTATTTTATCTGATATAAATGGGCCAATTAAAAAACTTGGGGGCTAATGAAGAAACATGAATGCTTACAGGGTCCAAATTAATTGGCTATCTACAAACCGAATCAGATAAACAAATATTTTACTGTTTCATACTAAATGTAAATAAATAAAAGCTTCAATATCCGATATATATGTGATTATGATCACATAGCTAGTGCATCACACCCTAGGAGCTGAACTCACAACGATACGTTCTTTCAGGGGTGTTCCTTCACTTGGTGGAATAAAAGGCGAGTCAATCCAAGACACTCTCCAAGTTCGATCTCCCTTTTTTCTGCCCAGCCAAGACAGAAAAAGCCTTTTCAATTCTATAATTATCTCCTGAAAAATCCTGATTTTCTACTTCTGATTGGTTTTTCCTGGTTCTCCATCAATGTTGTGGGCTCAAACATGTTCAGATTGTCTTTCAAGCTTAAAGCAATCAAAGAGTTCAGACCTGGAAAAAAGAGTTGTTGAAGCTGTTGAAGCCCTGATATAATGTAGTTTTGATAATCATTAAATAATCTCAAACAAAATCTAACAAATTTTTAAAACATAAATTACAAAGAAAATATTTCTCGCACTAGTTATCATACAATATTTCACCGATTTATAGAACAAAATACAGGTTAATTAATTAAGTTGGGGTCGTTCCATGAAATTTATAATTGCTCTAACTGCTTCAGCATCTTCACCAGCATTGAAATCATCATGCTTTATCATCTTTACTGGTGCAGGTGGTACAGATGAATTCAGGGAACCGAGATGGGGGAGCAACTAGTGGCTCCGTTTGTTGGTTAAGGAGAGTCGAAGGGTGGGCTGAGGCAACACTGAAACCTCTCTTCTGTAAAGAAAGACGAAATCTGCAGAATTTGGGGTCTTGTTCCGTCTGAGCCATGTTTTCTGAGAGTATCAGCAAATTTATTGGACTTTTCACGTTGAATGACCAGAAAGCAATGTTCGCTATAATCCTATTAAATCTGGCACGTTGATCCCCTGCAAATATAGTATAGAGATTATATGGAGGGTTTGTATATAATAAGATAGATCAAGTTTTAGAGGAGAAGGAATTGGATTAGATAGAGAGAGCACCTCTGTAGACATGGAATCTATCTTTGGTTGTCGAATATTCTTCCTTCAATGCATTCAACCATGAATTGTCAGCACTACCGAAAATCCAGATGTTGACGTTCCTACTCCTAAGACCCTCCTCCTTGGCAATAACTGCTTTGATTTTCTCAAGAGTCGAACGAATATCGAGACCTTCTGGGATTATGTAATTCTCCAGCTCCCATACGACTAATACGTTAGTGACTGCACAATCCAGGTTTTAACATCAAGGTACGAATTTAAGCAATTTACGTTTTAAACAAAAAAAACAAGATCGCTACAAATAAAATAAATCCAGATATCATATAATAAATTTCGAGAAATCTTACAGCGGGATTTCCAGTCGGTCAGCGGAGGAAACAATTTGGTGTACATAGTTACGTCGTGCCAAGCTTTCGAGAGGATCAGAGATGCTGCCTTTCCGTTGGAACGCTCAATCTTAGAGTGGTGGCTGATGAGGGAATTTGTGAATTTAGGGTTACAGCAGGTTACACGTTTACTACCAAAGTTGTCTGTCAATGGGCCAAGCCTCGTTGGCAAGTTTTTTGGCGGTTTAGATTTTCGGCATGACATAGCATAATACTATATTTTTATTGGTTACGATAATAAGAGATGACGTATAAGGAACCCAATACAATACGATATTGCTACCTTTATGATTCGCTTTGAAGTAATTAATAAAATAGTAAGACCTAAGTCATATTCATAACCTTTGTTAGTTTGTTCCATATATGAATGATGCTTGCTTCTTCTTCTATCTTTGCCTGTATTGTTCACTCAACGCCTATCTTTACCTCCAATTTCAACATCTTCCGCTTATCCAAGTCCCAAGCACAAGTACTCACGATTGATTTTTTTTTTAACTCTTGTATGATGCAACCACAGTTTACGTCGATGATGGTCAGATAAAGATGTCCAAAAGCAAATATATATGATAGATAGACAATAATATATGATAGATAGACAAATCCAAAAGCTTCATATCTAACTAATATATATAACATCACCAACACATAATGCATAGAGCATCCCTTGAGGAGAGATAGATTTGCAAGGGCGCACACAAAGTTAGTCCTCGGAATCAGCCAGAGTATCCTGTCACGGGGCTTAAATCACAGTATTATCCGCTGCCGCTAACGTTCGGCAATGAAATCGCCAATGTTGGTAATCTAGGTGAGCTCCTATCAAATATGCTTGCCAAAAACGTGGGTGCGCTTCCAACAGGAAATCGCCATATTGGATTAGGTTCTTGGGATAAGAGAACACCATACGACCAGGAGTCAGACAAACATCTAAAAGCAAAACCAAAGTCGTAGTCGATTATTTTTGCGACTATAATCACATTTGATGGTGTAGGATTTTCCAGTGTCCACAACATAACGTCACCATATATGGAACAATGTCTCCCATATTGATCCCCTGCAAAGTGTAAGTAGGCAAGTAATATCAACAACAACATCTTATCTTAGATTATATATATAAAAAGAAAAGATCAGTACCGGATTTCTCAAAGACTTCGAATCGGACTCCAGCATCCGAAGATTGACGTCGGAATTCATCCGAGATGGTATTATTACCAACATAAGCCTGAATGAACACCTCCTCATCACAACCATAGTTCTTGACAGCCGCTTTGATACTCTGGTAAATCGAAGCAGCATCGAGACCATCTGGGATTGGGTAATCCTCCACATCCCAAAACACACATGTCTTACCAGCTACACAAAACGGACACCGATTAAACAAAATTAATCATAAATTAGATCCGATTATATACATATAGAGAGAGAGAGAGAGAGAGAGAGAAAGATCTTACACTTGTGAAAAACCAGCGGGGGGAGGCACTGTATAAGGTCATCTTCGGTATTGCATATGGGTTCCGTGGTTTGTCGCCTGAATTCTTCCATATCGACCTCGGTAAAGTTGGTATCGAACATGGTTTCGACGGAGAAGGCTTGCGGTTGGTCACGATCACACATGGTTTGGTCCGAAAGCTCCGGTGAGAATCTTTGTTAATTTAGGGTTACAACAACTGTGCTCTGCGTCTTTCATTACTCATTACAACAATTGGGTTGGGCCTGGCACTAGTAGGTCTTGGCATAAAATCTAATCTGAAAACCGTACCAGAACCAATCCAATTCAAAATGGGCATAAAACCACGTCGTTTCAATTAACTTTAAGAAAATTAAAAAAAAAATATGTAACAAAATTACAATCTCAAGATTTGAAACTCTTGACCTGATGTGTACCAGCGGAGCTGTGTTAACTTTTGTTACTGTTTGTTTACAGAAATTGTATATGTAAAGAAATAAATCAATAATAACATTAAAAAGTCTTTCTCTCTGTTTAATTTCTATCTCTATATTTAGTTTTTAATCATCAAGTAGGTACACTCAACTATAGTACTGCCGGTTATTAATAGTTGAAAGAAACATACTAGCTACTACCTAGTACCTCCAGATGTTTTATAAAAATCTATATACAGATATGAACATTGTAAATGGCATAAACACCGAATCATGTATATAACAGAACCCGATATATGAATATGAACATATAAAAAGCATCTTCCAATACCAAATTTAAAACTCCACACAAGAGCTCCTTTATTATATGTAAAAACACCTTAATTGATGATACATCGAGATACTGAAGATGGACTGGTGATGATGACGGTAATGATCATGATAATGATTAAGCTTTAGTGACGTGGCCTTCAATGTCAACAACCATGTTCTTGACGAACTTCATGAGGCCACTTGGTTCGGGGAAGTCGTCGTTGCGCTTCTCCCAAATCATAGTGAGTTTGCAGACGCAGCTATCCTCGGATTTGGGAATAAACTGGTAGATGACATCAAACACTTTGAGATGCTCCATCGGGTGACCATCCAGTCCTCTTTTCGTCAATGTTTTGTTCGCATCATCTATCTCCCTCCTCTCTTTGAACGTCGCCGGCTTTCCATCTTACAAATAAAAAATTTATGTTTCCAGGATGACATCAAAAATATCTTAAGTCACTCATGCTCTGTGGCTCAAAGAGTCAAAAGGTCCAGTTTGCAGCCAACTAGACCAACCAATCATGCTCAAGGATAAAAAAAAGAACTAATATATAGATCAACCTGATAACGTAAGAGGAAAAAGACAAATAAATTCTAATTACTCTAGATGATATGCTGACTTTATGAACTCAGACTTTTGTTCAACTGTGTTTGTTAATTTTTTGGTTTTACAGAAATGTCATTAAAGATCATATTTCATCAAAGTCATAGTTTCATATTTTGTACGCCAATATAATTGTGTGAGTTTATAATAAAGTGCTAAATATACTGTAGATATGGAGAAAGTATACCAAATGTGTAGTTCCAACTCCTGATAGACCCGTGAGAGTCATGTGCGCCTTCGTGAACAACGACATGTTGGATGTGTTGGCCGATGGCGTCAGGGAAAAGATGGTTCTCGCTCTTCCAGCTCTTGTAATGTTTCTCCGCAGATCCTTTCAAAGGAACCTCTGTTACGTATGTTCCCGACGTCGCCATTTCTTTCTCTCTCTCGTTTTAAAAGCTTCCACTTGTTTTGTTTGTTTGTTTTCTATGCTTTATTACACTTGTCGTTGCCTAGGTTTATATATAGTGAACGTGACGGTTAAAATTTTAAAACATGGTTTTCACCGTTTCTTTTTATCATTTGATAGTGCATGCTCCTATCGTTTTAACCCTCCATTATAATTAATAAAGAGCATTAATATTGATGGACAAAAGTTGGTACGTAGGCTAATTTTCGACAACGTTATTTGGGTGGGTAGTTGGCACATCATCATCATCCTTTAATTAGAAGATAATCATTTTTTTTTTGTTAAACAATTAGAAGATAATCATAAGACATGATTGACCCCCCATACTCGTTTATCACGAGGTCCAAGTATTATATTGTTCACTTCACTATCTCACGTCAGCTCCCTCTCTCTTTTGTATGCTCTGTTTCTCTCCTTTTGTTTTTTACAAGAGAACACTGATGATCTCTCTCTTATTACTCTCTTGTCTTATACTTTGTTTAGTTTCTTGTTCGAACAAAGACGTACGTAAGTGTTTTGAAAGAGAGAAGAAATATAAACTGGGTTACTACATTGTGATTTCGGATCCTTTAATATTGGATTGGATACATTCATTAATTTATACTTTAATTTCATGCACAAATACTCATACTACTACTTGCTATAACTTACTTAATTGGACTATATTAATAACGTATTAGACTAGTTTTACAAGCCCTAGCAATTATATATAATTTTTAAATATATATATATATATATATATAATTTTTTTTTAAAGATCAACAACTCCAACTAGCAATCAGCAAGTAGGCTTGTGATTGAACCATGATTTGTGCCTCTGAGTGGAGCAGGAAAAAAAAAGCAGAGATTATATTGACACTTGATTTTGGTATGGGATAGAATCCACATCTAGGAAGAAGGCCAAGGCCCATGAGTGAAATAGGGGTCGACCACATGGCGCTTAAAGGAGCGTTTTTGGTTTGTCGGCGGCTTGGTCAACTCCGACTAACTTTACGCCAGTGAACATATTTCCGACGACACGAAAGGAGCGTTGTTGATTTCTATCACGCACGTGAGAGAGGTCTTAGGAAATAGGAAGTTTCACGCTGGATAATTTTGGCCCAATGTGTTATTCTATTGGAGCCGATACAAATGGGCCGCTAACACTTGGGGGCTAATAAAGAAATATACATAACGATTAAAAAATTTAAAACACATCTAAAAGACATAAATGTTTGGAAAACTGATGCACTAAATCAACTTTTATTTATTTGAAGGTTGGTTCGTTGTTTTGTATAACTAGTTTATTAGTATATTTTTTTTTTAAACTTTCTTTAAATTTTGAAAACTAAATAAAACGTGTTCCGTTATTGTTATTGATATTGATATTGTCGTGTCAGAAACTCGGATCAACATTATCCTTCATCCACCACTTTGCTGGTGATGTGTCATGTATCCATCTATTTTGGCTGCCTCATGAATCCTTTAATTTCGCATGCACGGATGCAACACTACTGAGTTGCATCATGTGTGGCTTTTATATTGTATCGTCATACGGTTCTGATCAATAGAAATTATATTTTCATAAGCATCAGGGTGTAACATACAAGCATCCGAATTGCAGGTGAATATATAATAACTGTCTTAAAAATCCACTGAAGAATGAGTCGGATTGGGAGATTGTGTATTAGAGGGTCTCCACGTCGCGATGGCATGGATACTCAAAGTCAAGATCGGGATGTCAATTGTTATTTTGTTTTAAAATGTGGAATTAGAATAGGCTATTCCGAATATATCGCTAATTGCATAATACAAAAGAGAAGTGGAATCTTGTAGTGAAATGAACAATGAACTTTATACTTGAGAGTTGAGAGTCATTAGATTTTCATAAATAAGTATTCGTTATGATTTCATTAAAGCGAAAGCTTTTATAGTTGTTTTAAAACCAAAAGGTTATCTCTTGAAACTTTGTTACTAGTTACTACATATCATTTTCATAAGTGGGAAACTTTAATTAATATATCGCTGAGAAAACACACCTTTTGTAAATAAAAATTCATTCTTTTTCTAAAAGCATATGCATCGGCAGCTTATTGAGCGCCTTACACCCAAAAAAAAAAAAAAAAATTAAAAAAGAAGGACGTACTTCCAAACGGGACGGTCCTTTGGCTTGTGCTTAACTATTCGCGGACTCCACTAACACGCGGCGGTCCGCTATTGGTTACATATGTTTTTTTATAAAAAAAAATCGAAAAAAAAAAATGTATATATAAATAAATTCTGGGATTAATATGCTGTCCAACCAATGCATTTGCTCTAAGTGGTTGTACTTTGTTTTTGTTTTTACAAGTCTTTCTATGCCAATGTTATCATACGGTTCACAATATCTATGTTTCGAACTTGGAAGTGACTGTAGTATTCGTTAATCAGATGCCTAGAAGTTTCTGAGACTAAGAAACAAAATATCATAACAATTGACTGATCATGTAGATAGGAAGTTAAACGTCTAATAATAGCTCATAGATTTTCCAACCAGCAGTTGATAAAACATATCGGAGTATGGGACATTGATCATCCATCCACCCTAATTAATTATGTCTCTATCTAGAAGTATCAAGTAACGTCTTCTAAGATAAGCTTACACGCTCAAGTACGGTTATTACTATAGCTAGTTGTAAGAAATACTCGTTTTTTTTATATTTGTTTTCGGGATTCCAAATTTGTTACGATTGGTGCAGTGGGGTCAAGTTACTTGAGTTCGGTAGGAAGCGAGCAATAATAAATCTCCATTGCATCAGAGTGGTTGCATTTTTCGTAAACGAATAAAACCATCTTCATAGGGCCACGGATCATGTACACATAACACATCAATCATTGAATTCAACGCTGCTTATGTATAGAAGATACGATTTAATAATGGTAAAACTGCAAAGTCCGATTAAGGATGTTTTCTCTGGTGGTTGTGCCACTTTTGGTCGTCAACTCAAAATTATATAGCAATGATGTTTCTGAGGTTTATTTATGTTGATTAGGTATGGCCTAGCTAAGGGGGTATAGCAGTGAAATTTAGGTGAAATGAGATGTGTATAATATTAAATATATACTTATTACTCTTATTATTTGCTAAATTGCTATTCAGAATCTGCCTAATCCACAAATACTAGACCGTTAACTTATATAGTGGTACTAGATGTTTACTAATCTGTATATAAATGAAAACTTCGAATTAAATAAACATTGAAATATGCAGTAAACTTATTATTAAGAATCATTATATCGAACCCGATATATGAGGACCATAACAACACATATATCAAAGCATCTTACAGATCCCAAACGTACACATAGAAATGAAACTCCACAACAAGACCCATTTATTATACTGAAAAACACCTTAATCAATACAATACATCGAGACAGTGATAATGGTGGTGATCGATGATGCATGGTGACGATGACGATGGTGATGATAATGATGATGGATGGTAACTGTGACTTTGGTGACGAATGACGATGATTAAGTTTTGATGACGTGGTCGTCCATGTCAGCAACCAAGCTCTTGACGAACTTCATGTAGCCGCTTGGCTCTGGATAATCATCGTTACGCTTCTCCCATATTAAAGTGATCTTGCCGACGCAGGTATCGTCAGACTTAGGAATAAATTGGTAGATCACGTCATACACTTTGAGCTGCTCCATCACGTGACCCTCCAGTCCTCTCAACGTCAACGTTTTAGTCTCGTCATCTATCTCTCTCTTCTCCTTGAACATCTCCTCCTTTCCATCTTTACACACATGTACGCTCATCAGTTAAAACTTCCCACATCCGACTTAGTCATAACATATATATATATATATAAGAAGATAAATATGTGACTATATGATCACAAAGAATAGTCGAGAACAGATCTGCATAGGTTATTGAAAAATCACGATGTCATGCATAGTGAATCAAACCTAATCAGAGCTGAATTCACAATACTTTTACTTTTAGAAAAAATGACGTTCGTTTTCAATACAAAAAAAAAAAACGCAAAATATAAAATTTTAAATATAGTCTTGTCAATGTAAAAATATAAAGTAAGTGTATTTTCAAACTACTTCTGCCAGATTGGTACACAAAGATATGTATTGGTTATATTTTATTTGTCTTGTATAACATACATTAATTAACCATCATAATTCATAGTTGGCAGTAGATCACCAAAACCCTAGTTTCACGCATACGCCCTAATTAATTGTGTGGGTGTGTGTATGTATAAACTATAAAGTACAGTATATAGAGAGAGGAAATATAAGTAAATATGTACCCCAAGTGTAGTTCCAACTCCTGATAGAGCCGTGGGAGTCATGTTCGCCTTCGTGAACGGTGACGTTTTGGATGTGGTGGCCGATGGCGTCAGGGAAAACATGGTTCTCGTTCTTCCACCTCTTGTAGTGTTTCTCCGCAGATCCTTTCAATGGAACCTCAGTGACATATGTTCCCGAAGTTGCCATTTCTCTCTCTCTCTCTCACTAGCTCTCGGTTCAAAGCTTCCACTTGTTTTCTTGTGTTATGTTTTGCTTTGGTTGATGCGATAACACTTATCGTCGCCTAGGTTTATATAGTGAACGTGACGGTTAAAAACATGGTTTTCTACTGTTTCTTTAATTCATTTGCATAGTGCATGCTAGAAACTTCTTTTCTTCATAGTTTAACCTACACTATTTAATGAGTCGTCCTGTAAATGTGTATTTCGGTTGGTAGGGTTTCGACCACGTTATTGATGTGGGTAGTGGGCACATCATCCTTTAGAATGATCTATAATCAATCCCCATCCCAAACATTAATCACAAGGACAAGTATATAGTGTATTTTTTTTTTCACATCAAGAAAAATATACAGTCTATATACATCTGCAGACTGCAATCTATGCATCATAATTAGAAACAACTAATCTATTTTTCTCAAATTCTTTTAGAAATCGACTACATGATATAAACAAAATTATTCAATTAAAAAAAATTTCAAATAATCTAACTTTTCTTCAATCAACTCTAATGATTCTTAAATTGTATATTAATCATGACTTGATTTTATTGACCTTTATCTAATGATGCATATAGTGATTGACCTTTATGTACATTGATTAGTATATTTAACTAATTTAAAGGTCGAGCGGGTGAGACCAAAAAAGTTTAACATGTATATTTTAGTTTCTTAGTATCAATCAATCATACTTATACTTTTCCAAAAAAAAATCAATCATTCTAAAAATTTAATAATTTTCTGTAGAAATAAGAATGTGACACCCATTCCCATGGTGTGGTGTTGCATTAAATAATTCGGATTTGGTTTGAAATGGTTGGCCTAATTAACTGCGTTATGATTCTCGCCAAAACAAAAACAACTCTTTGCGAGACCTATAATATAAAATGAAGAGAAATGAAATTTTATTGGTCATACTTTATCCCTGCCATGTCTCTATCTATATGGAAAATATTTAGTACATTTTCAGAAAATTAGAAAATTATTAGTATTTTGATATGCCATTGGGATCTGAACATGACAATTTGCTTAGACTAATATACAGCACTCTCTAGTTATATAGTTTGGTACTGTTTCCCTTTATATTTTGTACTATTGGTATGGACATTTATCGATCACTATTCTATATTCGCATATAATTGCAGTTAAGATGAATACAATCAAGTTACGGCACTCAATACGAGCTTAGTGATCAATCGAAATATCGAATCATATATCGAACACAAAGAATAGATTAGGGAACTTTGCCGAAGGAGCACTTAACATCATCGAGTTAATAAATGTGTTTTCCATAAGAATCTCTTGATGGTTATATTTTATTGGAATAGAGAAACAGTAATTGTAGCAAAAATGGTTCGATTTGCATCATTAAGTACAAACTTTGACATCGTATAGTAAACATATGGAAAAACTAATCAATGTTTCATTTGGTTGTTAAGCTTTCACTTATCTTGAAAACCTACACACTTTTGTTTCACGCGTGGATACACTAATGAGTCTATGCATTATTCTACTTGGTCCAGTTTGGATCGGCCCGATTCAAATGGGCCAGAGTGCTTGTGGTACAGTTAGATGCCAAAGTGCTTGTGGTGCAAATTAGATTTAATTTGTGGAAGTATCAACGCACAAGGATCCAAAATTCCAAATTATATTAACTTGTAGCCCAATTAGTTTTAATGGAAACATGACTAACTATTTCATGCGGGTTGATATAAGATACCATGGGGGAAAAAGATTTTCATTTTGTTTTTGGCTTCTAACCATTGACAACATTAACCATAAATCAAAAGAACAACACAAAAAAGGGACATACAATAAAACACTTACTTATTATAGTAACACATAATCTCTGTGTTACACACAAATTTCAAGCCAAAAAAAAAAAACACATATAATTAGTTAGTAACATTCGTAAAGTTTAATATCCATCTTAACTCGGAAATACTTAGCGCCTTGGAATAGATCTGTCACAAAGGTAGCGATCCCACGAGCCATGAAGAAGTCACCTGTCCCACCAACGACTGATAGATCTCTTGTCGGCTCCATCATCAAATCCGCACCCATTATGTTCAATGTCCCTTTGTGTTGAGTTGAGTTAAACACCAGCGTGTAACAAAACCAAGCATTGAAGTCCATCTTCATGTCATAGAAATAGAAGCCTTGTGCACGAGCTACGGGTTCCGAGAGATAGTTCTTGTCCATCGTTATTGGGTCGTCGAATATCACAAACTTACCGAACTTGAAGTTTCCTAGCCCTGGAGGGCTCACGATGGCGGCCGAGGTTGCGTTTGCTACATTGTCACCATCGTAGAGGATGTCGTGGAAGTAGAAGGAGAAGTGTTTGCATGGTTTTTTCTGATCAAGTGTTCTTCGTGATCCGAAAACAGTATCAGAGAAAAGTAAAACCAATAAGAAGAATGAGAAGAGGGATTTGAAGAGTTGTTTCTCTATTGGAGATGCCATAGTTAGCTAGAGGCTGGTGTGTAGTGAGTTGTGTTTAAATGACGAGGGCTTGCACCCATTTATATAGAAGTATCATTTGTTTTAATATAGATAAAATATTATTTGGATAACAGAAAGAATTAAAAAGTTTGAAGACACAGCTAAATGGGTCGTTGATGTTTGGTCAAAATTTTATTTAAAAGAAATTAGAGTGGAATATAAGGTTTTAAGTTCATGTATAGGGACAAATTAAAAGCGGGGTTGGTGATAACTATAAGCTACAACTTAATTCACTTTTTCGATAGAAATAATTTGTATGTTGACAGAAAATAAAAAAGACTGGATAGGTTTAATGATTTTATATGTACTATATATATTTAACGTTTGGTGAGTCCAACCTAAAAGTATAAAGTCGACGGCTAGCTGATAACACAACAAGTTGAAGATTATTCTAAATTATTTGAAAATAATTTTAACACAAAAAATAAAGTTTTACACGAAATTGGAAAAAGCAAATCAATTATTTAAAAACTCTTTGGGAAGTATTGCCTTAAAATAACGGAACACCCCATCACTCATGTGCGGTGCATATGGTGAAAATTAGGTAACGTGTAAAACAAATCACGTTCAAGCTTTGCTTCTAAGATTGCTTCACAAAAATTATACGTTTAGTATATTGATCATTAATTTTAGTGATACACTTACTAGAGATCGACACTAATTAACATCAAACCAAAAATCTAACAACTTTGAAATTAAAGTAAAAAAAAAAAAAACTAATAAATGAAAAAAAATTGAGATTTTGCTCCTCAAAATTCCTTTCTCTTGAATCATCTAGCAAGAGTTATCATCTAGTTCGAGCGATATGCCAAGATTGATGTGATAGGAATTTTGCATAGAAAAACAAAACTTGAAACTTCAACGACGGTAGATTCATAGAGGTGTTTATTAATTACTTAGTATTGTTAGAGTATTTTAGGTATATAAATGTTATAATTATACAAAAAATAAAAAATTATACAATTTAAATAAAGTTAAGAATTTAGTTCATTTAGAGTATTTTATGTATATAAATGTTAAAATTATACAGCGGCATGCGCAATTGCTCATACAGAGCAATTATTCTCTATATCGCTTTACTTTACGTATAAGACTAACATATAAATTAAAAATTCTTCGAGAACTTTATAATCAACTAATTCATTTAAGAAATCGTATTTTCTCATATTTAGTTTTAAAATAGTAGTATTAGTCAATAATATACATGTCACTAACTCCTTCCTAACACATGACTACATGAGTAAAAAAAGCAAAAACGTTAAAAGGTCAAACAATATGATTTGATTCTAAAAAGAAAAAAGAGTTCAAAGGGATTTAGTTGCCTAACTCCTCATTTGTCCCTTACTGACTTCAACGTAGACCCATGTCGATACTAGATTAGCTTCTAAACCAAGTATGTTTTAGCTTTTAACAACTAAGACAACGCATATATAACAAAGTAAGAAACTTTCACAAAAAAATCTTATATATATATATCCTTCAAATACAGGTTTGGAAAGAAAACTGCTTTGAGATTTTGTGAACATGAGTACTCAAAGAAACTAATAAATCTGCATAAAATCAGAACTAAAGTTTTGTACAAAGCCTTTGAAAATGGGTAAGATAAACGGAGTTGAATACCAAACCACACTTGCCATGTCATGAATTTGTCCGTAGACTATAAAAGTCTTGGTTGTACTCGGTGTCGTGCTCATGTTAATTTCTATTTTTATTTTAATAAAGATCATTATAATTTTTTTTCTGAAATTAAGACAATTTTAATTAAAGAGATTATTAGGATTACAATATAAATACATATGGAATAAAAGTGATTAGCGCGAAAGCCTATTTCCTTAGTACGAATCGGTCTTGAACCACTACTAGAGACTAGTGTTTGAATTCGAATGCCTCAAAATTAATATATATTACCTAAGACTTAAGTAAAACCATTTTTGTCACAAAATACAAGCAAGTACTTGGTTTTATTCTGATGCATGATTTATCATTTGCTACAAAATTAAGCCCGTAATTTATTTTACACTGATACATGCTTTCTATCATTCTCAAAGTTGCAGTTCAAGCATCAGTCTTTCATATTTGGAAACAGCTGAACAATGTACTCCACAACCAGCAGTACATCTTTCTTCTGTCTATTTTCAAAAACATTGACCGTGAAGTGCGAAACACCATCACGGCTCGGAAACATAGAACCCGCTGAAAAACTTTATGTTTCTTTGGCTGCAGTAATTCTCAAACCAATTTTACCTTATTGTAACCGTGTTTTATTTTTTTGCCAAGGTTTACTCTACTTTTGGGCTTTGCTATATGTAATCCTTAAACTTTTGTTTGATTATGATATTAACATTTTTAGAAAAAAAAACGCATGATCTATAAAAGAAGTCAGGGCTATGGTGCATGATTTACATTTTTTTTTCTCTCTTCTTGCTCTACAACACACACTTACATATTCTAGGACAACTGAATACATAATTAGCGAAATACCCAATGTATTTTATCAATGTTTTGGCCCATCATCGTATCTAGGTGAATATTTTGAGATATATCCTCGTATGTTGCACGAATCCTATAAAAAAAAGGATCATTCGTGATCAGAAATCTCAAAACCAATATGCTATTGACATCACCGAAACATTATAAATTTATAAATTAAACAATTAGTGTGCAGCCTAGCAAATTATACATATTAGTATGAACAACAAACAGATTCGATGTCGACATAAAAAGTGATGAAACACATCATCACAGTTCACACGTCAGAACGCATATTTGATTAGGCAAACAAATTAAATCTTGTCAATTAAATTCCATGAATTCCAACACCAGATCTAAAATAAAAACGATTCCCCAAAAATAGCCGTCAACCACAAAACATTCCTATAAACTTGACAATTAAATTCCATGAATTTTTTTGGTTAAGTTATTTGACCAAATAAAACAATTTGGCATCGAATTAACTTCAAATTATTAGCACCAAATCAACTTCAAATTGACACATGAACTGATGACCAAATAAACTTCCACTTGAATTTCTTTCGTAATTTTTTTTTTTGTTAACTACAAATATTTTTTTTTTACTAATAATGGACTTTATAGTTATGAATTTGTGTTTCTCCCTTGACTCCTGTTAGTTGTGAAATAAAACTTTAAAACCAAATCCAAATGAAACAGAGACTTTGCCATACACAAATCATATATTCGGAATATTTACAATATGAAACACATGTCATCATCATACAAGCCAATCTTTTGACATTTCGAATCACAGAATACCAAAGAGAAAAACCATTAAGGACTCTCAGAATCTTCAACCAATGACTTTTCATTCATGACGTCCTTCGAGAGCGAAGGAACACGGCTAGCAATGTACTGTTGCACCACCAATACTGAGGCTACCGTCGAGACACTTTCACTTGCCGTTAACAAATTCCCGATCGGTCCAAGCTCAGGAGTGTCGCTTCTTTCCACGTGTAACCCCGACGCCACAGAACCTTCAGGTGACTTCCCCACCAAGAAAAGATTGCTTTTAGAACACTCTTTGATAGCTTCGAAAACTTCCTCGTGAGATTTCACGATTTTCTCTTCGTAAACGATTAGAGATTCGGATTCCAAATTAGACAGAGAACTTTCTTGTTCTTTAATCTTTGCTTTAAGCTCGGTTATAGCTTCTATATCAACCAATCTTGTTTCCACTGAGCATGATGCATGATCTTCGCTTATCTCAAGCTTTACGTTTTCCGGTTTAAATTCCTCGCTAGGGATAAACCGGACAACGTTTAAACTTATCCCTGGATGCTCCGCCATACGCATCGCGAACGCTAACGCCTCCCGATCATCATTCCCTCCAAAAAACAAAACCGTTATAACCAATGAGAAGTCACTAGACGCTACACGAGTCGTACCACCAAGTCCACGATCAACCAGAATCGCAACAGAACATGAAGCTTCTTCCATAACCTTCTTGTTAATCCAACGGTAATCGTTCCGAGTCGTCTCCCATGTTCTGTCCAGCCTAACGTGTTTATGAAACGGAAGAATCACCATAGCAGTGCTTTTGCGTGTCGCGCTTTGGCATATATCCTCATGAATAGTCGCCATCGCTGAGATTGCCGTCATGGGACGCACAGAGACACGGCTGAGTCTTCGGAAAGCCTCAAATGCGACCACCACCATGTCGGAAGAACTATCGTTCCCTTTGTTCCAGAAAGGAAGACCATTTTTCCTGACTTTATGAGCCATGAGTACAGCGGATGACCTCTCGGAAAGCTCCATAAGATGCATAGCGTAGACCGATAGAGTTTCTTTGCGGTTTGAGCCTCGGGATGCTTCTATGAGGTTGACGATTGTTGGGATGTTCATTATGCTTTGGAAACAGAACATGAGACGGAGAGGTTTGTTGGACTTCTTTGTATCCTCGATTGTTCGGTTTTGGTAATCACCTTTGGCTAAAGATTTACCCGGTTTATACACTGCAAGAACTAGAGGAGTTGTCATGAACGTGGTGAAAATCGCCATAAGAACCATTATTGCGAATACTTGATCATTCAAAACCTGTGACAACACATAACATAAATTCAAGTTAAAATGCAATTTTTGTGTGTAAAATTTGGTTTTAAAGTATAAAATTTATGGACTTACCCCTCTGTCTTTACCGATGTTGAGGACAATGAGCTCAACAAGGCCTTTTGTGTTCATCAAGAAACCAAGTGCTAAAGACTCGTCAAGGGGAACTTTGCAGTAAAGCGAAACGAGAACTGTACCAACGATTTTACCAAAACAAGCATTGAAAATAACCAAAACCAAGAGTCCCCAAGACTGAGCTCCTTGAATCGTCGCCACATCCGTTTTCAAACCGCTTGAGACAAAGTAAAGTGGCAAGAAAAGACCTGACACGAGATCCTCAACTTTCTCAACCAGAGCATTCGCAAAATTACCTTCTTTAGGGAAAATAACCCCAATCACAAATGCACCGAACAGCGCGTGGATGCCAATCAAGTCAGTGACAAAGCTAGCAGCAAGAACAATACCTAACGTGCAACACACGTAAAGTTCGTTAACTGGTTCTCCCTCAGGACAACGTTTAGCAATCAACTTAATTCCCGGTTGCACGACAAAGATACAGAACAAGACGAAACCGCACCCCGCGAGAAACACCCACAGAGATGTGAGAGGAGAGTTCCCGTCACCCGAGAGAGCCACTGCGAGAGCAAGGAGAATCCATGCTGCCACATCATTAACCGCAGCAGCAGACAAAGCAATCTTTCCGACATCAGTGGTCAGAAGCTTGATCTCAGCTAGAATTCGTGCCAAGACTGGAAAAGCGGTGATGGAGAGAGCAACCCCCATGAAGACAAGGAAAGGAGCTTTACTGACTCCATCAGCAATGGAACTGCGGAGAGCAAACGATGTTCCAATACCGAGGATAAAAGGAAAAGTCATTCCAGCTAAAGCGATCGAGAGAGCTCTTTTTCCGGTTCGTTTGAGGGATTTAGGATCGAGCTCGAGACCAACGAGGAAGAGGAAGAAGATGAGTCCTAAATTTGCAAGTGTGTCTAAGACCGTTAAACTCTTCGGTGGGAAAATAGTAGTGAGATACTTTGAACTTTTCCCGAGAGCTGATGGTCCAAGTAATATTCCACCCTAGTCACAACAAAAAACATAACTCAAACTTAATGACATTATTTTTCTGAATAAATCAATGTAATAATCAAATGAGATATAATCCACCAAAACCACAACATAAAACTAAAAGTTAAATACGTTATAATTCCAAAATTAATAATGTTATAATCAGTGATTCTGTGTTTAATTTTTTTAGTGTATTATTTGCCTAGTCATATAATAAAGAAAGTAATTATACATGGATTATCTATGACTTAATCAAAAGTTAACATCGTCATATTAGTATTTTATTCCAAATGTTGGAATTAATCACTGGCCACAAGATTCATAGGAACGTGGATGCAAACATAGATATTATAAGATATTAATGTGTGTGCGTGTAAGCCTGTTTATAGGAAAGAAAAAAAAGATACTCTTAAAGCTTAACGTGTTAGCGAATTATGTGGAAGAAAACGAATATTCTGATGAAAGTTCCTACGATAGCTACGTCATATAAATAAACCCGACGACTAAATCAGAATAATAATTGGAGCTAAACTAGTCTTCTCAATGTAAAATTCCAAAAAATCCCGTCACCTGATCGAATAATTGATCAAACTGGCAATAATATCTTTTGACTATTAGACCCCAAAATGGATAATATAAGATGAATAATATAAACATTGACCCCCCAAAAAAAAAACAAATTGAACCCGAAAAAAAGAAAGAGAGAAACGTACGACAATCTCGGCGATGACACGTGGCTGCCGGAGAGGACGGAGGAGAAAAGCAAGAAGACGGGTGAGAAGAAGAACGATACAGATCTGGAGTATGAGAAGAGGCAACGCATGCTCCAGAGGATTCTCCCCTTGGAATACTCCATTTGATGTTGCTTTCATTGGCCCTGGACATGTTGTTCCATTTGTTCCTCCCATGACCTATAGTTTCCAATTATTATCATCAACTATTCATATTTTTTGCATTTCCAGGGGAAAAATATGCACATGATAGATCTTTGGATTCTTTCTATTGACTTCTCAGCATTATCATTGATAAAAAAAAAGAGAGTTGTATTATGGTTCCCTATTAGTCAATATAGAAGAAACGTAACAAAGAAGGTGCATGTTACACGATCATCGATTATTGTGTTACTTAAAAAAGATCAGGATTGAAATATAATATACTAGTTTTGGATGGATAGAGATGAAGATATACTCACCGGATAAGTGTAGATATATCTGAATTTAATAAAAAAAACAGATATGTTTCCGTTTATACTTGGTTGATCTATAAGATCTGAACGAAGGGATTATACGGATTTTGTGATTCTTGTTAGTGAAATTTGGAACTCTTTTATTTATCTGTTTCTGGATTAGGACTTGAGGTTAAGGAGGAGTGATGATATGTTAGTAAGAAGCGGATGAAGATGTATCAGACTCGTTTACTAGGGCTCTTTATATAGCCTGGCAAGTCTCTTAAAATACCGATTTTGCCCCCTTTTGCGCGGGAGTTACTTTTTTCTTCTTTTTAAGTTTTATAAATAATAAGATAGAAAACATTATCTTGCGGCTAGGATTGGCAACTAGCAAATTGATTTCCTTTAACTAATTTGGTGACTAATGATTCTGAATTTGGACGGTTTTTACTGTAATTGTCATTTTAGTTCTCATATCGTATACTCTAAATCATGGAACTTGTTATTTGTTAACCATGTGCCATGATACATAGACATGATCATAATTAACCTCAGTTATTTCATCTTAAGCATGTACACCTTAATTAATTAGGTTTCGCCATCACTAATTCATTCTTTCTTTAGACCCCAAGATATAAGATTTTCACATCATCTTAGTCTTAGATTTAATTTCACCATATGTTTGTATATAATGCATTTTCGTCTCATTATAAGACATTATCACTACTGTGAGCTATTTGATTCCAATTCCCACATACAATTTTTATATTCACTTATAAAATATGAGATTCTTACAAACTCGAGATCATTGTATGCATGTTCTTCCGGGTGTCTCTCTTTGACGATGGTGCGTTCATATGTCAACATCTGATTCGTCCTCTCCTACAAGCAAAATTTACCACTATCATATTGAAAATATCTTTTAAAAATAATACAAATATAATATATCATTTTATGAATTAAGATGACTCGGAAATTCGTTGGATATTTTAGAAAAAAAATTGCAAGTCTTATTTGTATACGTACGTGCCACTTGTAAGATAAGCCCAAAATTACAGTCTTTATTTCTTATCTCGGCATTCACATTTCAGAAATTAGAGCCACCTAAAGAAGAAAGCAAATAAAATAGTCAAAGTTAGACTCTTCTGTAAAAAGATCTCAAATGTATCTATTGTCTCTCTCTATCTCTTATTAGTTGTCGCCGTATGCCACCATCTCACACCTTTCTAGCGAAGTTAAGTTGACCAAATTAAGTTTCTTAATCCAGTTTATCCTTGCTCTTAAGCACACAATGATTAATGAATTTATAGATATATTACCATTTATCTCGTACATGCACAAAAAGTATATGACTAAACACTCTTAGTGTTTTAAAAAAAGAGACTTAAACACTCTTAAAACATAAACACCAACCGACCACCATTTTTATATGTACATATCCCTATTCAAATAAAGTAAATGTGATTAAGGTCTCAGTAGCACAAATATATGAATAAGACATTAGTTTGAAAATATTATTTTGACAGGTAGTTCAACCTATCATATGGGATTACTACATATAGTGAAAATATACATTATCCATACTCAATTTACATTCCACGTTTCACTTAATGTATATGACAGACAGACAGAGATCACATATTTTAACTATAGAGATTTGTTTGACCGAAATAATAAAAAGATAGAGAGATTAAATTAAACTCAAATTAACCCCACATCCTAATTACTAAAATATAATTATTGGTACCTGAATGAACCAATCTTTTTCACATGTTCGGATTTGATGAAAAAAATGTGAAAACATTTAAATTGAATCCGTTTTACTAATGTTTTCGAACTATCATGATTTCATTTTCTTTTTTTCTTTTTTTTTTCATATTCAATTTTCTGTTAAGTATAAGAATTTGAAATCGTTACTGTATTAAGGAAAACACGTGTTAACCAACAAAAATTATAATTAAGAGGTTGTGTATACTAGTTCCCCAATGCTCATCAAAACAAACTCAGAAAGAGGAGTACTCCAATTTCATATACAGTATATCTCTCTCCAACTTTATGAATCTCGTTGACAAAAAAATTATGAAGGTTTACATTCCATATTGTGAATGTGGAAGGGCTTAGTTACATCCAAAAACTAATTATCAATCAGTGCAGTAATACATTTACATTATTTACTTAAATTATGTATCTTACATTTCTCATATGAACTTATAACGTGTTCTTTTGTTTAGTGATTGAATATTTGTATCGAGTCAACTTGGATAATTCTACATTATGGAGGTTTTATATATATGATTTTTTTTTTCTGTTAATCAATGAGTAGAGGAACAATGATATATATTCAATTCGATGAGTTGGGGTCCATATTCCATTTGACCTTTTGTTATTTTTTATTTTTTATGAATACGTTTTAACTTTCAACCCATCAAAGTAAAAATCTTATATATATTTTGCCATAAACATAGAATTCCAACCAAATCTTTACATAATGAGTTTTATCCACAGCACCTTTATCCAAAATTTATAAACATCTTTCTATAAATATGTGATATCATCAATTGAATATGTAATAACCTAAACATATATACGACATTATATATATATTTTTTAAACAACAAAACCATTCTTTCTGCCAGCATAATAAAGTATATATCTTAATATATTTGAAATGTTCATCAAAAGAACTTAAAACGTTATTTAAAATACCATCAATCATACTTGGAAAGTCAGATTCCAAATTCAATGTATTATCGTTTGATAAGTTAATGTCAATGCTTGGTTGATTGAACATATAAAAAATGTTGGTTTATTATTGGATCACTTAGAAAAATTAGTAAATTGAACGGGAAATAACAATAAGGGTACATAAACTATTGTCAGATTCTTGTCGAATGTCTTCTAAAATCATAAACTATACCATATATATGGTCGAGTAATATGTTTAACATATATAACACTGATTAACATAAACTATTAATTTATACCAAAAGTTTGGGATATCAATGACTCAAATAAATATGTAAGAGTTCGCAATCAGCAAGCAAATTAAGTATATGTTAAGATGATAAATGGCATATACAAAAATAAATAGTGGTACCATACTCTCATGTCTGATCTACGTTGTGGCTATGCAGTGTGCACACCTGTTACGTGTGTCTGTCATGTTGAAATGGTAAACCACCCAAAATATTTAGATAAGAGTGTTTTTCTAAAATGGAATCTGAAAGGAGATACTATTTAATTTAAGAAATTACAAGACGGCAAAACTGCGTATAATAGTTTAGTGGTTTTGGAGTTCCGGACACGTGGGAGGACATCAGATTCTAGTGACACGTGGATGTGTAACGTTTCGACCATACAAAAAGGTTCAAAGTCATCATGATGATTAGTTATTAAATATATATACTTTCGTGGTCTATGAATCGCTTTCATCCGACAGTGTCAACCAATATACTTTGATAATTAAAACCTTATAGCCGACTTTTTAAAAATGTTAAACAACATCACAATTCGTTTTAGATTTCAACTTTGGATTTTGGATAAGATAATCCTATTCGGGCAATTCCTTAATCTATCGTGAGAAAAGAGAAATTAAGTTCAGTTTTTCGTTTTTTGGGGTCTAATTCTACTATAGATTCATATTAACTCAAATCCAATTTTCTAAAATTTATCCTTTTTTAGTTAAATTTTTTCACGGTTACGTTATGTATCATCAATCATGTCAAATACATCCTAACGATCATATATGTCATTAACATGGTGATCATAGATACATAAGAGTATAAGACTTTTCCGGGCAATCAGTGATTAGGTTATCATGCATGACGTAGTTATATACATTTATTTATTTTGTACATCAACTTGGCCTACCTAAGAATCCCATTCTTACCTCACTCTCTACCAGATAATCACATTGATACGTCCAAGGGTTGTGATTGGTGTTTAGTAGAGTATTCTCACTAGGGAGAAAGAAAAAAAAAAGGGGGTAAAATGAAAAAAAGGGCAAACTAAAAAGACATTGAAAAATACAAAACCACAGACACGAAAACAAAAGTAAAAGCTTAAACTAGAGATCAAAAGAAACAAACTTGTCGAACTTACTCATAAATCAAAATGAACAAAGTCAACCATAAAGATCAAAGGGCAACACACGTCCGCTTTGTAGCTAACGAAGCTAAAGTACCTCTCAAAACAACAACAAAATTTATATTCCTTCTAAATAATCACTTTTTTGTACTAGTTGGTTTCATTGAACATTGTATTAAAGCCTATAAAGAAGAACAATGTCTACGCTGGAACTGAAAGTGTGTGTGACTACTGGCTACAGCCTTTGCAAATTGCTTACGGGTCCATTCCATTAATGGGCCTCATTTTAAAGCGTATAATGGGTTTAACCAGGCCCGTTATTCTTATAGAATAATATATTGTTCATCTCTCTCTGTTTTCCTCTTCCTCTGAGTAATTCAATCTGTTGATCTTAATATTTTTCCAAGTCTTCGTCTCTCTCCATTTCCGTGCTTAAAGCAGGTAAATTTCTTCTCTCTGTCTCTCCTAGATTTCTGGGTTTTGATAGATTTGTTTACACATTTGTCGCTAGATTGTTCTCATTTCTCAAACCAGTTTGTACAATTTAGGATTCTAGATCTTATTTGATTCAATGTTAGATCAGAGTTCTACTTGTTTTGATCCTGAATGCTGAATTTGGTTGCTGGGCTGAACAGATCTGATTTGACTCTTCGAACAGAGTTGTGATTTGAATCTGTATAAATGTATTTTATAAACAAAGGGTGATCGCATCTTATGCTCGATCGGATCACTGTTTTAGATTCATGTGTTTGTTTGTAAAAAATGCGTACACTTTGTTAAAGTTCACATTTTTGGAGTTTGACTTCTCACATAATCATGTGATCATCAAACTAATTGAATGATCTGAACTGTTCTTAAAGAAAAAAAACAGATTCTTTTTGAGGTTTTGAAGAAAACATGGAATCCAATCATGGAGGAGGGATCCAGCAATTGCTTGCTGCTGAACACGAAGCTCAGCAGATTGTCACTGCGGCTAGGAACGGTATTTACAAGCTCCTTCCTTATATCGCCTTTCAGTCTGAAACTTTAGAATCGTTAAAGGTCTTGCATTTGATTTGTTTACTCATCGTTACATGTTCTTATAACAATTCTGGTTTCTACGTGAATGTCTTAAAAGCATGATGGTGTAATGTTAGTACCTTGGTGATAAGAGTGATGACATAATGACTTAGTTTGATTAGCATTTGATTGTAACAAAGAGCTCTCTAGTGATTTAGCTAGCATAATTGGAACCAGTTGACACTAAATGAATGACAGAAATTGCAACTTGTTATTGAGAATGTGGATGTGTTTTTATGCCCAGCAAAAATGACAAGACTGAAGCAAGCCAAGGATGAGGCTGAAACAGAGATTGCTGAGCACAGAACCAGTACAGAGCAGGGTTTCCAGAGGAAACTTGAAGCGGTAAAATTTCAAACTTTATCTTAAGCCACTACAAATGTTTTCTTTTAGACATCCTGGTTGGTTCGAACACTTGTTATTGATGAGAAATGTTGAATGTGAAAACAGACAAGTGGAGATTCAGGTGCAAACGTGAAGAGGCTTGAGGAAGAGACTAATGCCAAAATCGAGCAATTGAAGAACGAAGCTTCGAGAATTTCCAAAGATGTTGTGGAGATGCTTCTGAAAAATGTGACCACAGTGAACAACTGAGTATATCACAAGGCAACCATCGAGTGTAAAATGGTGTGAAGTGTAACTTTTGAGTGGATATGTTCATTCCTTTTTGTATTGTTATGTGGATCACAGACGCAACTATTGCCATTGAATTTCAATTTATGTCTTGAATTATTGTATTCGTTTCTCCAAAAGTTGCTTATGACTTTTGTGTTTGTAATAAAATTGAGAACAAAGGAGTCCACTGGATTTTGTCTCATCAAGAAGATTGCAAATATAAAAACTCTTGATAAGAGGGCAGAGAGGCCCTAACTTCGACTCGGGTAAACATAAAATAAAAAAATGTGAATCTTCGAAGAATGCTGACGGTGAATCAGTTAGAACCTCAAGAATTTGGAGCGTGAGGATCACATACACACCTGGTATGTGATTGTGATCATTGTTCACTAATCTTGATGGAGGTGGTCAATGGTAAGTTTTTGAGCTAAGGACAATGCGGTATGGGTCCTCCCATCATTCTTGATCAGATACTTCACGAACTAGTTCATGGCCTCTTTTTAAATTATGTTCATGGTTCTGGTCATTAAGTTGGTCTTAGTATATATGATTGGGGTATGGTAGGTTTCTCTAATCCGTCGGCTGCTTGTCCGGGGCTTAGGCTCGCATCATTTTTTCCAATCCCTTACCGTTGTAGTTTAAAACCATATACTGAGTGATGGAAACGTATTTTAATACTCACTCTTGTCAAAATTCATTATCTTTTCCAGGTAAATGATATCTAACTAGTTAAAATGTTTATTCGAATCAACTTCTTTCTATTTGCATATGTTATTCTACTTTTTATTCTCTTACCTATACTATATCTTCTTTTTATAAAGCTTAAATAACTTCAATAAAACAAATATCTCTGAAATATCAAATTTTAGTTATTTTTCAAGAATTTACTTATTCATATAAAAGTGTATACTATATGACAACAAAACAATCAGAAAGAACAATGGTTTGATATATTATTAACGTATCATCAAGAATTTCTTAGATTTTTTTTTTCTCATATAAGAAACAAAAGAAAAGTAAATATTGGGTAAAAAAGGAATAAAAGGATATAGAGTAGTAGTAAGTAAAAAAGTAAAATAAAAATAGACTAATAATCTATAGGTATACAAGTTTGTAGATGAGAAAAGGGAACTATCCGGTCTAAGCCTCTACACATTAAATAATTGACAGTTTCCAACATTATCTTAGTTTGTGTCCAAGTAAGTCCACGTACCAATGAAGTTAATAAAAATATTGAGGCAATTTTTCCTTATTTTTTATTCTACAAAATTTACCTCTACAGTTCAAAACATTTGCAGCTTATAAAAACCCATCACTACTTTTGCATTCTTGTATCCATAGTGTATTTCCTCGCATCTACCATCTACTATTTTCTACGCCTCTCTCTCTTTATCCCTCTATCTCTTTCTTCATCAAATCTTCTTTTGTTCAAAGTCTCTCTCATCATTTTTCTCTATACACATACATGCATCCACATACATACATACATATACCATCATCTTCTTTTCTCATCTCTAGTTTTTGTTTATAAATTTTGTTCCAAGGATCTGTATCTCTCCAATAAAGATACATACAAATTATTGTTGTCATAGATCTATTAGAATTGCTTTAACTTTTATATGAGATCTAGGATTTCTTCCTTTTCTTTCAAAATTTGCTGCATATTTTTCAAAATCATGATTTATCGCTTGCTAGGTTCTAGATCCATGCAAATTTAGAGTATTTTTACACACACACACGCTTGGACACAAGTACATACATGTAGTTTTCTTTTATGTGGTGAAAAGTACATAACATGTAGTTTATAGTTACTAGTCGCTATATAATTTAAAATTGATGTTATAGGAATATATGTACGGAGAGAGCTTCCTTGAGTCCATTCACAGGTCGTGATATGATCCAATTAGCTTCCGACTCATTCATCCAAATACCGAGTCTCACCAAAATTGGAACAAGACTTGTTAAATGAATGAATGATGCGGTAGACAAATTGGATCATTGATTCTCTTTGATTGGACTGAAGGGAGCTCCCTTTCTTCTTGGTATTCCGATTTTCTTGGTTAATATCTCTTATGCTTAAACATGTAGTCGATGCAAGCTTATATGTAAATATATATTTCTAATAAAATTAACATTTTGGGTTTCCCTATGTTTCAGGCATCTCCTTGCACAGGAGAAGAAGAATATGACCGATTCCAGATATTCAAATCTGGTATATCTAGATGTCCTCATACCTCTCTGTATTAATATATGTAATCTTCACAATATCTTCTCTCCCTCCGGTTGCCATCGTTCTAGGTTAACAAAAATTTGAACCCTAAATTGCAAATTAGGTTTTTACTTTTGTATTTCATTACCAGTTCTCAAGGAAAGAGACGATGTGTGTGTATAAACATGTATGTGTAATGTTTTTGATTTCATTTTTATTTCACTCTCTCTCCCTTTGAGTTATTATTCTCTGGGAATTAGCGGTTGCAATTTTCAAGTAGGGTTTTGTCTATTATTGAGATGATGGCTAGGGTTTAAGTGTAATTAAAAATATATTTGTATAAAAAGGAAGCAAGAAAGATGGCGACAAACTCATGAGGTTTTGTTTCTCTTGGGGTTTGAAGAGTTAACACTGCAGCAACAAGTTCCCATAATTTTCATTTTTTTTTACACTTCCCAATTATGGTCCTCCCTTTAATGACATTCTTTAGAGTTTTTAAAAATATTATTGTTTCGATATTTACACTAAATATCACTTTTTAAAACGCTACGGTTTCTCTTTTTTTCTAATCTTAGAAATTCAATTTTGATTATAACGCTAAATTATTCAACATTTTTTTGTTTATGTTCCAAAATTTTGATGTAAATGTTACTAACATTTGCAATTTTGCATCAATTATGTAACGGCTTATATTCACCACCTCTAATTACGAACAATTTTTCCTATGTTCACATGTTAACTTTCATATATACGTGTCAATGTCTGTCTACATATCCTGTCACATTATTTCACTTCTTCTTTTTTAACACGTTTCTCTTTATTTTGTTTGAACCCACAACAATTATTTTCTTTGTGTAAATAAAAATATATATTTTTCCTTTGTTTTTTTTTGTCATCTATATTTTTTCCTTTGTTTTGAAGGAAATGATAGGAAAACCTAATACTATATAAAAAATAAAATAAGCATATGATTTGACCCTTCCAATTATGCCTAAACATCAAAAACAATATTGGTTACATAGTATATATTGGAAAGAAAAAAACTTTCTAATTTTGAAGATGTGAATAAAGAAATCAGAAAGTTCATTAGTATATCTTTAATTCTTTTGTTTGATGCTGCCTAATGAAGTCAAAGGTGGGCTGTTTAAAACGCCTAAGATGAAGCTTTGGACCTAAAGCTACGTCGTTTCATTGAACGAATTGAAGCTTGTCGACGTAGGAGCCTAGGAGGCCACTCCCTAGGGTTTTGCTGCAGAAACTGGTATTGTATTACATACCTCTTTTGTATACGTATCATATGTATATACGTATCTAGATGTACATGTGTTTAATCAGTGTCAATATTTTAAATAACTCCAATGATTGATACTTTGATAGTTTGATCAATAATAACTCTAGTATCAACAATCTATATATTTGTTATATATCTTCTCCACACAATCTTGCATTCGAGACAACTTAAGCTTTGTAAATATCAAATATTATATATGTCATATATGTTCTCCACATAATCTTTACATTCGAGATAACTGAAGCTTTGTTAATATCAAATATTTTGGCAGATTAAACAAAATGGAGATGAACATATATATAAGGCATGCATACAAAGATTCAGTGAAGATCGGGTGTATGCGAACATATAAGTGAGGATCTTGATTGATAACCTAACGGCAAATGAATGAGAAGTGATCATCATATGAATATAATCATCAAACTCTAAGCAGTCACACAAGTCATGTAACCAATTTGTATAATTTGGGTGTAATTTTCTGTTCAAAAGATTTAATTATTTCATTGTAAAAAATAATTATGTCGATGTCAGTAAAACATCAATTTAAGGAAAAGCTCTGTCTCTCGTGGAAATTTGGATGCCTAGTGATATAAAAATGTTACGTATATGTTTGGAATCTATAGACACATATTAGCTTCTTTTTGATGAAGAGACACATTTAGGTTATAACCCTTTTGCTTTTGATTAATATATCCCATAAAACCCGTGCTTTTACTCTAGTTTTAGCCTTTTGGTAGTTGCACATGCAATATAATAACCTATCATTTCAGATTAATCGATTCTTGGTTAACATTCATGCATATAAACTATTTGGCTGGGGAGACATTCTAATAAAAATCAATGCCATAACCATCCATAGAACTAATAAAATCTTATATATATTGAAATATAGATTCATCTCTAAGTCATGTTTGACTAGCGTTAGAAAGAAAAAGAAAACAATTTGATTGTTTAGTGATGAAGCAAGCTTCCATTTTCAAAGATATAATCATTGTTAGAACTTAGAACAGTTGTAATGGTAATATTCATGTAGGTAAAAAACACGTCAAAACCATCACTAACAACAAGTCCCATTCACGTGACTTACTTGACCCAAATGCAAACATACTTGACCCGACCTGTATGGCCACTATGCTACAGACGTAATTGCAAATTTTTAAATTATGTATAATTGTGAAAGTATAATCAAGTGTAATTTCTTGCAAAAAGAAATGGGAATATCATCACATCAGATTCTCGGTGGAGTGGAGACCAAAAGTAAAACATAATAAAATAAACCTGCTAGCTTGATTTTGTGTCACAACTTTAACAAGATAATTTTTTTTTTTTGTCTAATCAAACTTTTTTCTCATCTGTCTATCGGCACATCTAGTCTCATGCCACTCCTTTTCTTCTCCATCTATCATTTCTTGTAGTACGATTTTTTTTTTTTTTATATATAAAACTTTTTTTCTTGTTCAATGTTACCATATAAAGTATGATTGTTATTAAGAACTGGTTAGAAATCAACCGTTCGTACTGTTACCAATTGGTGTAACAGTTGTAAATTTAAGTGAAGTTAAAACCTTTATTTTTGGTCCATGACGGCAAGGCTTTTGTTGCCTAAAAGATTACCAATAAAACAATGGCAGAAAAATCTAGTTGAATATAGAGACTGCAGCAATAATATGAATATATGATGATACATATGTAAAAAACATACGGCAGTTATAAGCAATGAAGCATGTCGTATAATCTTTGCTAATCACAGCCATCTATCTAAATAACACTCTTTATCGTTTTAGAAACACAATCATCTTACAATAGTGCGTAAAAGTAGGCAACCAAGTATCAGATCTTGGCATCTTGGTACATAGTGTAAAACAGTCGATGTACTAATCTTAATTTGGTTTGGAGTCAGCAACTATAATTATGGTATGTTTATCTAAACTTATATATAAAAAACTTAAAAGGGATATAGAACACAGAACTCAATTATGAGAGTCATAAGGTAATTGGAGTGAAACACAAAGGGATTCAAATGCTTTTATTGGACATATAGGGTTGTCCCATGATTTGACTCTGTCCTTCTACAGCTGTCTTAATTAATCTTTTGCAATTTTAATATATCTCTTAATTGTTCTATTTCTATCCTTCAAATTTTGAGAAATAAAATAAAAAGAAGAGATATTGATAGAAAAAGTGAAGCATGGAAGAAAAAAACAGAAGTGGGAAACAAAACTGCAGAGATTCCATGAGTCTCTTGTTACTTGCTTCAGTCTTCTTGTAGTCTTCTCATAATCATATCAGCCTGTGTCACAGAACAAAATTTATATTATTTAATTTCCTGAAAAAACTGAATATTTCTAAGTTTATAAAGCTTTACTGACATCATATGATAGTTCAATGGTATAATGAATAGTTTAATTATTTTATCAAGGTTAGTTTGTTATAAATAGCATTCAAATAACAAAAAACAAAAAATACTGACTAGTTCCACTTGATCTTTCTATCATGATAACAAATATTTATTCTGTCAATTATTTTGTCTTCCCCGAAATTTTCGTTTTATCTACAACAAAGTTATATTCTCTTTACTCTTTAGGTCGTCGACGACATATATAATTTGATATGAATATGTACCTGAAAACTTGATTGAACTCTCCAAACTAACTTAATATGTGGTTTGTATATAAAATATAAAAATTTTGGTGTAAATTGTTTGGTATTGCAAATTGGGTATAGAATGTGAATGGCTTTATGTTGAGGTGAAATGGAAACACACAACTCATGGCTAAGCAAACTCTCTCTCTCTCTTACCTGTTTCATTTTTTTAAAAATTTTATTCTAAAAAGAGTGAATCCTCAGTTTTCCCCATCACTTGATATGACCATTCAGTAACATTTTTTTTTTCACTTTTTTCCATTTTTCTTTTGGTTTTACATTTGTAGTTTGATACACTTACCTATCTCCAATCTACTACTCTCAAAAATACCTATCTACTCATATACATATATATAATCTTAAGATTGATAGAATCTGAAAGTTTGGGATTCTGCAAAGTAGAGGCAGGGAATTTTACATTTCATTTTACAAAATACAGTATAAAATGACTCAATCAGCTGGCCAAAACAAACAAAAAAAACATACATAAAAAATTCAATATATGTTTTGGGTATATTCAGGCCCGTTATTATAGAGTTGGCCCATATATTCCTATGAGGATATAAGCTTAGTAGGCTCAAAAAAAAACTTTCACTTTAGGCTCAAGTGAAAAATCCAATTCATGTTGATTTGTAGTACTATTTTTCCGTTGTAAATATTTACTATGTTGACAACGAAAGCTATATTTTGTTCAAAACAATGTTTGGAACTAAACTCGATAAATTGCGTTCATACCGTTTCCGTTGTGTAAACTAATTTTCTTATATATGATATTTTTTTTATTGTTGGATCAACGAATCAAGTCTAAACATAACAGATGTTTTGTTTTCTTATGAAAAGTTTTGTAAATTTTTGTGGGGGGGTAAGAAGATATAAGAACATGGGAAATCATAATTGAACCTTTATCATTGAAAAGTAGAGATAATGATTTTTAGGGGAGGGAAGAAAGAATAGGCGCAATCAGCGGCATGAACATTGCTTTACTCAAATTGTCAAAAGACAATATAGAAGAGTCAATTCCTTTTGATGTTTTTTCTTTCTTTGCATGCGTTGTTAATTGTTATGTTACTTTCTCAATCATTTTAAATCTCACTACATTTGTAAGAATCTGAGACAAAACATTTCAATTCAAGGTGCAACAAAATCCTTTGAGTTTCGCTAAGGATTATATTAACTATCAAGAGTGTGCACACTTACGAGACTTGACAATATATATAAATAAAACCGAGTGCTAATCTGAACTATTCAGTTTTACATTTTAAAAGATCTGAAAAGTCATGAACAAACCAAACAATCATTTTGTTAGAATTTCAAATCCTAAAACGAAACTAGTGTAGTAGATCCATTGAGTTTAAGTTTTTTTAAATATATTTGGTACATGCATCATCATTTACTCATGGACCTACATTTAACATTGCCTTTTTTTAGTTTCCTTATTACACAACTCTTTAGAACATTTTCCCGAAGATAAACAAAAGAGTTAAACGAAAGAGAAACATGAACTCAAAGTCTCTCACTTGCTGTATTGTGTTCTTACTATACACTAGTAGTTTGTTTTCTTCTACTTCGGAATCCTCTCTTATCCACTTCAACTCCACAACATCCGTCCTTAATGTCACTTTACCACATTCCTTGTCTCAATCCCTTGAGAATTTCGCCCTCAAGACGTTAACCACTCGACATCATACCGGTGCTCTATACCGAGCTATCTTACCCGAAAATCTCTCCGGTATCGAAGTCTACGTTGTACGTCTCACAGGAAAGAGCCTGTGGAACTCCGGGGCCAAGTTCAGCAACGTGCTTATTCCGGCAAGGTCAGTTTCTGTTCCTCCTGCAAGGAGAGTCGCTATTGTGTACCAAAATCTAGGTAATTGGTCTAACCATTGGTATACTGTACCTGGTTACCGGTTGATTGCTTCTGTCTTAGGGTTTAAGGTCTTGGACGTTTCGGATCAAGACAATGTCAAAGAGTTAAGTTTAAGGATCAAGAATCCTGTAGAGGTTTCGTTTAGGGATCTACCTAAAGACACAAATGAGAAAATGCTATCTAAGGTACGATGCGTGAGCTTCAAGGCACAGACCAAAGACGAGGAAGCGACTCATATAAGCCGAATGGTTCTACCGGGCGTGTGTTACGGCTCGAGCCACGGGGATTATTCGGTGGTCGAGCCCTTAGAGAACAATAAGAAGAAGGTTGAGTCGTGGTGGACTTGGTGGTGGTTGTGGATCGTGGGATTTGTTTTAGGATTTGGCGTCTTACTGTTCCTAGGGCTAGTGTGTACAATGGGGATTAGGGTTTCAAGAACTAAGAAGATTCAAGTGATGATGGAGAGACATGCTGTTGATGGTGAAGTGTTTGAGAGCAGATGGGTTGGTGGAAGTAAAATGCCATCTGCAACTGTAACCAGAACCCAACCAGAGCCGGAATCCGGTTTTGAAACCGGGTCTCTCGGATAAATGATAAAGAGTCCTTTTACTTCAAACTGATACTTACTCCTAATACGTCATCACTTACTTTAGTCTTTACTCCTTAGTCCGACCTGCAAAGCATTTAGTCCACGTTGGTCTCTTTCCAGCGAGTCTTAACACTCTGTTTACACCCATTTCCTAAACTGGCCCCAAAAAGATATAATTGAACTCGTATCGATGTAGTGTGTACTGTGTAGTATCAAGCCAAAACTCTATAATAAACAACATATATTTATGATTTTCATAGCCACAAAACAAATGGAAGAAGATGGAAAACAAAACGCAGTTTGGTTGGGTTCGCAGCAAAGTATGTGAACAAACACAATTTTGTTGGCTGTGAGTACAAAAGAATCACAACTTGACCAAACAGTATCCTACGAATCTGCAAATTATCAAACAAAAGGACCATAAGAGAAAAAAATCAGAGAAAGAGAGACTCTGAAATGGGTTTTTGGAATACTTTTCCTTACCTTCGGAAGCTTCATACAGAATGCAACATCCCATCGTGCATCAAGTGTGTTCTCACACAACAAACTTCCCATCACGAGATGCTAACACCACTTCCTCTGAGCTGCAACAGAACTCCATTTCCATATTTGCTTTTTTTAAGACCGTTCTAAACACCAAGCACACAAATTATTTCTATTCAACATCGTTTCTCTTCTGTAACTTATTGGCCTTTCTCACAAGATATAAAAAAGATGACCAAACACACTATAGCCTATGATTTATGATTAAAACCCACCTAAATAATCTTAGGTACTAAAGAAGACCATTCATTTTTGTTCAAGTAGAAACCTGACCAATCAAATCCATTGTAAGCTGTTGGTATTAATACTGATCACGGCTCACATTCAGAAGCTCTTTTGCTGCTTTATCTTACATGGAATTAACAATATCATCCTGTGCTAGCAGACCTTTGATCCTTGAGGCATTTAGCTGCATCTGAGTACTCACTAAACAAACTCATTCGCCTTTTATTGGAGTGTAGCACAACCCTTTGCAGCATCAATCAAGACCATCCACCGCTTGCTCCTAATAAAACATATGGAGAGATAAATAATAGAAAGCAATACGAACGAACATCTTCAAGTCCTGTACACACTTACAATAAAGAAGTATCAAATCAAGCCAAAGTAGTTCCTCCAAAAAACATTTAGTGGTTTTAGGCTTTTATTATTGATTGATATAAATCATCAAACTGTGCACAGTTCATTTCTAGATATCACTATTAACAGCAGAAAAACTATATCAAAAATATATGGTAGGCTGTATCTAACTCACACTCAAAGATTATGACAAGAAAATTCACTATGCTCAAGGAGTTGGACTGTTCTAGGCATAGCATCGCTAAACCTCAAAATATGAAATCCAGCCAGACATTCAGCGATACCATTGCAAGACACTGACACTGAGTAAAATGAGAGATGAAAAGATAATGTAAAACAACACCTACTTGGGAAAGGGAGAGCCTTCTACCGTGGTTTCAGGGTTTATCTTAGTCAACTTCACCTGAGGGGACAAACAAATATATCACAGGCATCTCCTGTAAACATAAGAGTGAAACACAGGATAAGCAAACCAGAAAATTCAGTTATATACCCAGCGTACAGGAATATGATATGTAATACATCTTGACTAGATTCTATTCAGGATGAAAAAAGAAAGAAAAGATTATCAAGCTAACAAGATTCTATTTAGAAGTGTTTCTCATCTGCACAGCACGATGCTTTACCTTCATAGATGGTTCTGAATTTGTGAGGTGGCCTGGTTATTTTCACCAATCAACATCAAAGTTTCACATCTTCAAGTCATTAACTGCGCACAGAAATAAAAAAATGAGATTCAGACCCTAATAGATTTGCCTTTTCACTAGTAAAAGATAATGTAAATCATGTTGAAAAGATGAGGATACGTGGATTTCCAAAAAACATTGCTTGTAAGTCCTTAAAAAGACCAGCCATCTGCAACCTCAGGATACAAAGTAGAACCAGGATGATCCAACTTCGTATACAACATCTGCACATACCACAAGAGCTTATATAAGTTCCAATCTCCAATAATAGTACTGAAAGTAAAAGATAACTAAAACCGCTAAGAAACATCATTAACACACTATGGTCATCCAATTCTGAGCCATAACAGAATTGTTCATATGAGTACTGATCAGAGTAATCAACACCGAGTTAAAGCTTTTCAATTTCACACACATGGCAGAAGTTATAATGTTTCCATCGAGAGAATACACAAACTCAATTTGGATTCAATTCGAAACTATCAAGTAGAGTGAGCTACTCCTCCACTGACCCAACACCCAATATTTATATTTTCATAGAAATTTCAGCTCAAAAAGCTTAGGTTTTGAACTCAATTAGATCCGAGTGAAGAAGAAATTAAAAAAAAAACCGGACCTTTATCGACTAATCTCTTGATTACGGTGTCGCGGATTTCATTGATGATCATGGGAAATCTCAGAAAAGTCGCCGGGAAAGTTGCCGGACGAGAGAAAGAAGGTCGTTCCCGGTTCTTTTTGTTTTAAATAAAATAAATATAGTTTTCCTTTTTTCGCGTAATTAATTTAGCTTTTGTTTTTGGTTTTTTACATTAGAAAAGGAAATTCATAAAGAAAAGGAAAAAACAAAAAGGAAATAAATGTATTTTCCCCAATATAATAATAAATTAATTAATAAAAGATGATAATAAAATGAAAATAGTAAAAGCTGTCAAAAAAGAAATGGAAATACTTATAGAAAAAAGGAAATTGTTATAGGAAAAAGGAAAACTTTAAACAATGACATGGGCCTAAGCTTTTAAAGCCCATCACAATTACTAAACTAAGAGTTCTATATAAACAGAGGATTCGATGTTTGGTAATTTTCAGTTTCTCACAATTTCAATTCTCTTCCTGGCTCTCGTTTCTTTCCTCTCTGCAAGTTTTGGTTTTTGTTCAGGCAAATCCAAATCCCTCTTCTTCTGTTTCTTCTTCATATTAGGGTTTCTAATTGTTTTGTTTCGACATATCAAAACTCCTCTTTTTCTTCTCTGTCTTGAGGCGAATTAGAGTTTAAAAAAAAAAAAAACCCTCTTTGGATTCAGTCCTCGTCGGGGTTTTTTTTCCAAAGACTTCGTATTTATGTTGTCTTTGGTTTTAGTTTTGTTTTAAACCCCAAAGGAAAAGGAGTAACACATTACATGATTGTTGTGTATGTCCGATTTCTAAGTTGGGGAAATTGTCCGATATTACGTCCGTAAAAAAGGAAAGGCTTGTCATGTCCGAATAATATTGGGGATAATCAATCTATACGTCTTGCTGTGCTGGGACAGCTTGACAAACTTCAGTTGCGCTTGGACTATGTGTCCTGAGAAATTTCAATCTCTCTGCTGCCTTTATTAAGGCTTGGACTATGTGTCCTGAAAAAATTCGGTTTCTGCTGTCTTTGTTAAGGCTTGGACTATGATGTGTCCTGGGAAAATTGTCCGATATTAAGAGAAAAGGCTTGTCATGTCCGAATAATATTGGGGATAACCAATCTTTATTGTCTTGCTGTGCTGGGACAGCTTGACATAAACTTCGGTTGCGCTTAGACTATGTGTCTTGAGAAAGTTCAATCTCTGCTGCCTTTATTAAGGCTTGGACTATGTGTCCTGAGAAATTTCAATCTCTGCTGCTGTTGTTAAGGCATGGACTATGATGTCCTAAGAAAGTTCAGCCTATGCTACCCTTTGTTAAGGCTTGGCCAGTGGGTGTCCTGGGAAAAGTGTCCGTTATTACGTCCGTAAGAGGAAAGGCTTGTCATGTCCGAATAATAAGATAATGAATCTCTATTGTCTTGTTGTGCTGGGACAGCTTGACACAAACTTCACTTGCACTTGGACTCTGTGTCCTGAGAATTGTTAAGGCTTGGACAGTGATGTGTCCTCGGAAAATTCATTCTCTGCTGCCTTTATTAAGGCTTGGACAGTGATGTGTCCTGGAAAACTTCAGTCTCTGCTGCCTTTCTTAAGTCTTGGACTATGATGTCCTGAGAAAATTCAATCTCTGCTGCCTTATTTAGGCTTGGACAGTGATGTGTCATGGGAAAATTGTCTGATATTAAGTTCGTCAGAAGAAAAAGGCTTGTCATGTCCGAATAATATTGGGGATATTAATCAATCTCTACTATCTTGTTGTGCTGGACAACTTGTCACAAACTTCAGTTGCCTTTGTTAAGGCTTAGACTATGTGTCCTGAAAGAGTTCAATCTTTGTTGCCTTTACATCTCACTGAGATATTCAATGTTCTGCAAATTGTTAGAGAGCAAAGGTCCTTTAAATAAGGCTTTTTGAAGAAAGGATAGTTTGTTACAAACTTTAGTTGCCTTTGTTAAGGCTTGGACTATGTGTCATGAGAAAGTTTTATCTTTGCTGCCTTTATTAAGGCTTGGACTATGTGTCCTGAGGAAGTTCAATCTCTGCTGCCTTTGTTAAGGCTTGGACTGTGAAGTCTTAAGAAAGTTCAGCCTATGCTACCCTTTGTTAAGGCTTGGCCAGTGATGTCCTGGGAAATTTTTTCGATATTACGTCCGTAAGAGAAAAGGCTTGTCTTGTCCGAATAATTTGGAGATAATGAATTTTTATTGTCTTGCTGTGCTGGGGACAGCTTGATAGAAACTACAGTTGCACTTGGACTATGTGTCCAGAGAAAGTTCAATCTGTGCTGCCTATAATAAGGCTTGGACTATGTATCCTGAGAAAGTTCAATCTCCCTGCTGCCTCTGTTAAAGCTTGAACTATGTGTTCTGGGAAAAAACAATCTTTGATGCCTTTATTAAGGCTTTGACTATAATGTCATGAGAAAAATCAATTGTCTGCTCAAACTATAAGGTTTAATATTCTGGAATTTGATGGAAAATAAAAGTCCTTTAATAAGGCTTGTTCAATGGGGGAAAGTCCGAGTATAAGATATATTGATGGAGCTGGGGCGACAAGACATTTGATGTTCTGATATAGAGAGAACTTCAATATGTTTTAAGATAAACCTTCACTATGGTTTGGACAAAGATGTCCTGAGAAATTCAATGTCCTTTATTAAGATTTGTTTGATGGGGAAATTGTCAAATTAAAAGATCTTTTGCTGTAACTGGGACAGCGTGTTAACATAAATACTCTACTATGAAGAGAACTTGAATCTCTGCTAAGATAAGGCTTCATTAAAATTTGGACTATGATGTCCTGAGAATTCAAATTGTTAGGGAATAAAAAGAGTCCTTTGAATAAGGCTTGTTAGAAAATTCAATTCTCTGCTTAAACCAAAACACTTCCAATATTCTGCAAATTGATGGAGAGTAAAAGTCCTTTAATAAGGCTTGTTTGATTGCTTTTGAAGAAGGAAAAGCTCAGTTGATAAATATATTTTTTGCTGGAGCTGGAGCAGCAAGTTAACATTCAATATCCTGCTAAAGAGAGAATTCTATACTCTTCTAAAGAGAGAACCTCAGTCTCTGCTAAGATCAGCCTTAGGCTTGTACAATGTTTTCCTGAGAAATTCAGTTATCTCCTTAAACTATAAATCTCCCTGAGATATGATTTCAATATTCTGCAAATTGATGGAGAATAGATGTTCCTTAATAGGAGTTAAGTTTAATGGTGTTCTAAGATTGGGATCTAAACTGTTCGTTTAAAGATGGTTTGCTGGGGCTGGGACAACATGTTAACATTCATTGTTCTGCTTCTATGGGAATTTTTTTTTCCTTTTAAAGAAGGCTTGTCTCTTCTAGAGATCAAAACCCACAGTGTCTGCTTAAACTCAAACTTAATATGCACACTGATGAATAATAAAATGTCACTAATAAAGCTTTTGTAAAGCTGTTAAGACTGGGAAAACAATTGTCTGCTTCTTGTTGGCTAGGGAGAAATTTCAATGGTCTGCTTATAATGGAAAAGTTTCATTGGTCTGCTTATAATGGAAAAGTTTCAATGGCCTGCTTATAATGCATATATCAGCCTTTATTAAGGCAATGATGTCTTGAGGCCTGCTTAAACTATACATCTGGTTGAGATATGATATGGATAAATGTTCCAGCCTTAATAGGACTTGTGCTTCAGAGATTGGAATTTCGATTTTCCATTTAAAGATAGTGTTGTTGGGGCTGGAACAGCATGACACAACATTCAGTGTTTTGCAATAAGGAAAACTTCAGTCATCTGCTTAAATTATACATGTCGCTGAGAAAAGATATCCAAGATTCTGCAAAATGATGGAGAGTAAAAGTTCTTTAATAAGGCTTGTGTTCTAAGACTGGCTCGTCAAAGGTGTTCTAAGGTTGAGAAAAATTCAATACTCTGCATATTCAGGTTTCTGCATATGACCTTAATAGTTATGGAGCTGAGTTAATATGATATAATTTCAATTTTCTGCTTAGACCCATCTTTGAAAAGGCATGTCGATTCTTATCCCAATATATATAATTCCAGTCTTCTGCATAAAGGTTAATTCAAGTTTCTGCAGACTCTATATCTTGTGGAGCTTATGACATTAGTAGATGGATAAATGCTTCTTTATAATAAGGTTTATCTAGAAACATCTCAAGACTGGGAAATTCAAAATTCTGCATATATACTACAAGAACCTGCGTTTGGTCGTGGACGTATGTATTTCTTCTCTAACTAAATTGTAAATTATTAGTCTTATGTTAGTTCAAACCAGCTTAATGTAGGATTATGGAAATTAAAATTTCTGCACAAACCTCTATATTTTGTAAGTTCCTTTTTACGTTTACCTGCTTACCTTCCTTACTATGTTCTAACCACATCTTTTGATGATTCATACTTTACATGGAAACAGATGTATTGCAGATGATCCAGTGTGCAGACAGTATCTTTCCCTCTTGATTAGGTAAGTGTATGTTCCCTCTTTTAAAATAAGGTATGTTCTGCATAATATTTTCCCTAGTATATAGTTCCTTGATTGATCACATCTTTTGATCAAGTAGTATTTTATCTATCTTTTATTCTTTTTAGCTTCAGAAGACCAAGAACTAGGGTATGTACATGATCTTTCTCAGGTTCTGCTTTCCTATAAGAGATTTCTTCTCTGCATATCCCTTTCAGCAATTTTTGTCTCCATAAAGTAAAGCTTTGGTTTCTCAGGTACGTCTTGCTTTTGATTTCAATAGTATTAATTGTGACTGTGTTTAGTTTTTGTAGTATTAGCATGAGGTGCTTGAAGGTTTGAGTTAGGGGTACTTACCACTTGCAGTCCACTGGAGATTTCTTCACATATGTGTTTGGCCTAACAAAATTTGCACTTACCATTGCAGAATCAAAATTTTGATATTGTGTATGTCTAAAACCTCAATTCTCTTCTTTGAAACCAAAGGTATAGCCTATAAACATCTGGTACAGTTTCGAACCTTACAAAGCATAACTCTTTGATTTCCTTTTTTAAGCAGAACCATGGTTGGAGGCTTGGAGCTTCTGTGGTGCACGCCTTCCTTTAAACTCACCTCTTTCCAATTAAGTTGGTATCAGGTATCAGGTTTGTATTCGATTCCCAAGTGTCTGCATGCATATTTTTTTAGTATTAGGTTCCACGTCTTTAGTATTAACACCGATACAAACATATAAACGCATTACACGAGCCACATACACTAAACCGTTTAGTCTAAACGTAAACATACTCACAAATGTAACTGTTGTGCTCACGCTTATACAAACATCTAAAAATGCTAACAGCCTAACACTGATACGAACATAAACACATAACACAAACAGAATACACTCGCAAAACGTAAACATAACTTGCTCATAACCACGATCGAACGCCAATACTAACAAAAATAAATTGAAATGCTACACACAGTTGCATACACAGTTGCAAATGTTTGTACTGAGTTGGTTAAGTATAGATTGTTTTCCCTGCAGTACTTTTTCCTTTTATATATCTTCTTCTTTTACATCTCCTTGAAAAAAAAGGCATACATATTTTGGGAGTTTAATGTTTTCTTCCATATACAATTGGATATACAATCTAATCCAATCAAGGTAGTCATTTTCAAAAAATTGTTATACGTACATGTCTGATGATGTGTCTGATGTCTCTGTATATCTTTTGCTCTTTTGTATATAACAATTGCAAAAGAATTATAGTGGAGTCCAAAACGCATAATTACAAAAGAATTATCATCAAAACCATCTTATTCAATCGTTTTCCAATTCTATAATGCAAATTTATCTAGCATAAATCATAAGGATTGCAACGTGAGAAACACTAATTCATATTTTATCGCCTATCGGATTATTGCATGAATCATTTTTAAAAAAGGATAATCAAAGAAACTAATGATTACACAAAACAACACGAATGTGGGACGACCAACGGCGTCGCATAGGGACGTAATTGACGCATTAAAAGATATCATAGGTCGGCATAAAAGACAAGAACAATGATTAATACCTTAATTTCCCACGTTTCAATCGAATGTTGTAGAGTAAAACAGTTGATAATTAGCAAATTAATACATAACATAAGTGTTTTTTATTAGATACATAGTTCCACACAAAACCAGTTAGAGGTGATAAGCTTCTCTTACAAGAGTAAAGACCAATTCCCACCAAAAAAAAAAAAAGAGTAAAGACCAAATGAATCTTGTTAATAGTTATCTTGTGATCTTCACATAATTCCACCAAAAGTTTATTAAAACACTCGTAAACTTTATACATAATCTTTTGGAAACCAATTAATAATACGAAGCTTCTTATAAATCGTGTTTGTTTATTATAAACGAACCTTCGTTTTATCAAAGTCCAAATAACTTTAGAATATATGGTGGCTGACGCTGTCTCTTTTAGATTATTTGGTTTGTGCAGACGTCTTCGTTTGATTATTATTATTCGCTACGTTGAACACACATTTTCGTGTGATGTGTACTACTAGTACGCGTGTTTATTTATATGCTGAAATGGCTCGAAAAAGCTTTAAGAAACTGTGGACACAAAACTACGACTAAAGTTAAAAATTAAAACTTATAAAATTGATTTAATCAGTAATTAACGAATATAAATAACTTTTTAATTAATCCCCCCTCCAAAACTGAACAGGTAGTTAATTCCGTTAATCATGGTCGCATGTCAAGATCCAAACCCCATCACCACCAGCTGTCTTCCTGCCATCATCTTATTTGTTTTTTTCATCATTTTCTTTTTGCAACTAGCTAGATTCATTTCTTTTTATCATATATTAACTCATCCAATCAGATTCAAGAAAAAAAAAAACAAACTTAACCTCAACAATCTAAAGTAACAAGTAACAACACTAGTGAAGTGAATATTAATAGAAATTAAGAAGAAAAACTAAGGTTTAAATTGTTTGAAACGCAAGTTTTAGATGTGACATTTCATGAACGCTGATAGGGTTGGTTTTTTTTCTTGTTTCCTGTCAACTACATAGTTTGGTCTTTTTCTTGTTCATGTCAACTAGTATATAGTTTGGTCTTTACATTACCTAACTAAACAGTAAAAACACTAATCAGTCTTCTAAACTTGATAGATGACTCAGAATTTATAACCAAAAAATAAACATTTATAAAAGTACCCATTTGCAATCTTTTTATTTAACCTTTTGAAACTTTTCCTTACATATCTCCCAATTTCTTCTGACTTGTGTCTTTGAAATATCTCTGCTTTGTTTCCCTCTTCCGTGTCAAAAAAAAAAAAAGTTGTGTGTTTTGCCTTTCTGGGTTTCTTGATTTCTATACGTAATTTCCTTGTAATCCCACCTTAATCGTCAAACTTCCCTGGGGAAAGCTTTGTGTTTTGATATATGGTTGGACCATTTTAAGTGATTCTAAAATCTCCAGTACAGATCTTTGCGTTTTCAATCTCAACCTCACGATCTGTCTTTTATCATCTATTGCAACAACAACAACAACAACAACATAAGAGAAAAAGAGTTTTGTGTGTTGCAGCTTTTATTGGTTTTGTAAGAGGAAAAGGACTTATAAGCAGTTGAGAGTGGTGGTTGAGGTTTCGGTTTCATTTCCACGGGATAAGTTTGGGTTTCTTGTTCATCTTCCCACAAGAAAGCTGTTTCCTCCTTCTTGTGATTCCTTCGCCTAATTTTTAATTTTGTTGGGTGGATTTAAAAACCCCCCACAGAGTCTGTGTTGTAATCATCGAATCCGTGTGTTTTGGTTTACAATGGAACCATCATCTGGAGTCGGTGCTGAGAAGAGACCAATGGTTGACTTGGTCAAGGATAAAAATGGAACCGATCAGATCCTTCTTCAGAATCCTAAAGGCGCTTCTGTTAAGGTTTTATAGCTTTTTGTATTTTAATTTCTTGTTTCCAAAAGATAGAATGATTCTTCGATGCCAAAAGATTCAGAATTTTTGATTCTTTAGATTCTCGTTTATAGAGGATAAGATGTTGACTTTTTTAAGATTAGATTTGCCTACTAACTGTTTGTTGTTATTCCTCTTCCAAACTCTTCTTTAGGACTTAGAGTTCATCTTTCTGATTCAAGATATGTGATTCTTATTGGTTCAAGGATTTGATAATGCTAGATTCTCTATACTGTTGGATTGGATTGTATCTTCGTACTTTTATACATTTGAACTGGTCCAAAGGTTTGATTTTTAGGGAAATAGGTGTAACTGGCTTCTCAGAATCAGAGGGCTATATATAAACGTATAAGGGTGTTTGAATGCTCTGTTTTCTATTGGTGATTTGGGTTCTGATTCTTTAAGTTGAAGGCCTAGTTTATGGCTGTTGTAGCTTCATACTCTCTTAAGAGGAACTTCTTAGCTATATATCTATCTTTCTTTTGTTTTTGCTCATGGAAACTGTTGTTGTTGTGATGAGCATTTCCATTTCGCCTTATTGAACTGACGGTTTTTCTCGGATGATGCTTTGTTCAGATTAGTTTACATGGAGGACAAGTTCTTTCTTGGAAGACTGAAAAGGGTGACGAATTGCTATTCACCAGCACCAAGGTAAAGAACTCTGCTTTTTCACCATTTTTGATATTTCTTATCAGATTTGGTGAACTTCATACTCTTGTTTCAGGCCAACTCGAAGCCTCCCCATCCGGTACGAGGAGGAATCCCTATATGCTTTCCTCAGGTACATAGACTCTTAAACTATAGCATGTAATGTTGGACATAAATAACTTTGGTTTTGATCTTGTTTCTTAAAAATATGTTTATTCTTCTTATAAAGTTTGGAACTCGGGGATCACTCGAGCAACACGGATTTGCAAGAAACAAGATGTGGCTTGTGGAAAACGACCCGCCTGCTTTACCTTCATTTGACGCAACCGGCAAAGCCTATGTTGATTTGGTACTTAAGTCATCTGATGAAGACACAATGAGGATCTGGCCTTACAGGTTGCAAACCTGATCAAAAGATTCTATTTGATTCCTGGATATGATCTGATTTTTTCTTCGTATTAACTGGTATTGCTCTTGTTTCAGCTTTGAGTTTCACCTAAGAGTCTCACTGGCACTAGATGGGGACCTAACACTGATATCACGAGTCAGAAACATCAATTCAAAGCCTTTTAGCTTTTCCATTGCCTACCACACTTACTTCTCCATTTCCGATATAAGGTGAAACACTGAGTTTAGCCTCTCTAATCTCTACTGATCAACATTAGAAAACTATAGAATTCTAATGCTTTCTTTCTTTTTTTTTGGTATATAACAGTGAAGTTAGACTTGAAGGGCTGGAAACTCTGGACTATCTTGATAACTTGCAGGAGAAAGAGCGGTTTACAGAGCAAGGCGATGCATTAACCTTTGAATCTGAGATCGATAGAGTGTACCTAAACTCTAAAGACGTGGTTGCGGTTTTCGACCATGAAAGAAAACGCACATTCCTCATCAGGAAAGAAGGTCTGCCTGATGTCGGTAAGAACTAAATAATCGAAAAACATTTACCGCCTTTTTTAAAAATCGGTTTTTAACAGAATCAGATTCTCGGTTAATGGCAGTGGTATGGAATCCATGGGAGAAGAAGGCTAGAGCACTGACAGATTTGGGAGATGATGAGTACAAACACATGTTGTGTGTTGACGGAGCAGCCATTGAGAAACCCATTACCTTGAAACCAGGTGAAGAATGGACTGGGAAATTACACCTCTCGCTTGTCCTATCCACCTAAAAAACGGTACCGGCTTGACTCTTGAGTCTCTGTTCCGAGTGTGACTTTCATTTACCTTTTGAGCTATTTTTTTTTAATTTCTTTGCTGTATAGTCAGTCTATTAGAAGAACACATCATCACAGTGTATGGTGATTCTTCAGTATCAGAATCCGAAATATTAAAAAGGAAACCTGAGATTTGAAAAAAGGTCACCCATTTTTTAGGAAGTGACTAAGATCCTGGTTTTGTGCGTGATTTAACTTGTGTATCAAGATATTGTTATACTACTATATGAAATTTGTATTTCATCTTTATTTTTTTATTTTGTGAAATCTCCCATTACTAATAAATAAAGCTTTCTTGTCCTCATGGTTAACAGTTTTGGAATAAATCATTTCTAAAGCAATAAGCTAAACTAAATGGGTATTTCAAGTAAGAAATAAAACTAAATAAATAAATCAAAATACTGGATTCAAAAAGCCTTTTATTTAGTGGCCTTATACTCATTTGCCACTCAATATTGGAGAAAGGAATCAACCGTGGTAAGATTGGTATAAAATCATCACAATAATCATGAAAGAATTGAAATTATTGGTCGATTATGATGGCCATGCGAGTAGCACCATAAATTCTATAATTGGGTCGGTCCAATATTTAATACACCGAAGAAATCGTAATATTTTAAAACGAATATACTCATATTGTATATTCTTATTTAGTGCCCAAAGAGATGAAGAACAGAAAAAGAATTAAATTAAAAATGGTAGAAGTGTCGATATGCATTGATGATGGCTTTTGTAGCTTCATTATGACAAGTAGTAAGTTACAAACAAATAAAAACGTAAATTTGCCTAAAAAATTTGGTAAGTAATAATAATTTTGTAAGCGTTGACCAAATTAGGCTTATGTCTTATCATCCGGTTAGGTCTATACCGGTTCATCAAACTAACCAATTGAAAGCTCAAAACCGTGATTTAAGACAGTAAAGTTCCGTGTACATATAAAAGCAAATGGTCCCCGGTTTGGTATTAAATAACCGGCAATCACAGAGTCACCGATGACCAAAGCAGTAAACCGAATAAAGAAAAACAAAAAAAGTCGCATCAGTACAGTAATGGATCTTCTTCCTCTTCCCTCGTCACTTTCACCACTTTAATGCCAAGAAAAAAGAACAAAATAAATTTTATATCCGTTGCTTGTAATTAAGAAAAAATAATAAAATAAATAAATCACAAGCTCTTTAACTTCACACTAGTGTTGGTTTCAATGGCGGTTCTTAGCTCCGTTCTTCACGTTATCATCATCATCACTACGTAAATTTACTATAGAGCTCGTCTCTCTTCTTCCTCTAAAATTTCTTAGCTCTCTGTACAGAGCTGATTCGATTCTCGAGAAGAAGAAACACTGAGCGCGAGGGTCGACAATAAAGTTCAGATCTGGAAAATAAAAAGCGAGGTTACCAATTCTTTAATCTGATAGCTTCCGATTTTTAATTATTTTTAGACTGTTAAATAGAGTTAAGCTTCCACTTTTTGTCACTTACAATTCCCAGAAAATTTTAGGGTTTTTGTTTAAGTTTTAAATTAAAGCTTCGAAATGTACATACCCAAAAAAAAAAAAAAGGACTTTCATTTTTTCGTCATTTTCGAAGCTTAAAGTCTCTCTCTTTCTCTGTCTCCCACACCTGTTTTAAATTTCTGGATTTTTAAAAATCATCTCAGTAGTGGTCGCATAGAACAACTTCAAGATTCCCCTTTTACTTTTTGTAAATCCGCAGTCTTCCTAATCGCTTTTTTCGTACCTTTCATTTTTAAATTAAAGTTTACAAATTTTTCCACTATTTATATTTCTCATCATCACCATCTCCATCATTATCAATCAAATTGAGTTAATTGGTTTTTGATTGTTTCTTCTTCTTTCTTCTCCAGCTCCAGATTAAAAGAAACAGCTCGTTTTTTTTTTTTTTTGTTTATACTATCAAAAATGGAAGCTTGGAGGATTTATCTATGGAGTATCTCTCTGTGTTTGATTATCTATGGAGCAAACGCAGATCCATCAGAAGACAAACGCGCATTGCTCGAGTTTCTTACCATCATGCGTCCGACACGGTCACTGAACTGGAACGCGACTTCACCTGTCTGCAACATCTGGACCGGAGTTACTTGCAACAAAGACGGATCTCGAATCATAGCTGTTCGATTGCCAGGCGTTGGACTCAATGGTCAGATTCCTTCCAACACTATAAGCAGGCTCTCTGCTCTCAGAGTTCTCAGTCTCAGATCCAATCGTATCTCCGGCCAGTTTCCCGCTGATTTCGTCGAGTTGAAAGACTTGGCCTTTCTTTATCTTCAGGACAATCACTTGTCTGGTCCTTTGCCTTTGGATTTCTCTGTTTGGAACAATCTCACTAGTGTTAATCTCTCCAACAACCGGTTTAACGGGACGATCCCGGGTTCGTTGTCCCGTCTCAGGCGTATTCAGTCGTTGAATCTTGCTAACAATTCGCTTTATGGTGCTCTTCCGGATCTGAGTCTGCTCTCTACTCTGCAACACATTGACTTGTCCAACAATCATTTTCTCAATGGAGATGATATTCCGGGTTGGCTTCGAAGATTCCCGTCGTCATCTTATGCAGGCACCAACATTGGCGTTGTTCCTCCAGGTGACGTCTCCATATTCAAGACGCCGCCAGTTGGCGAGCAGACTCTTCAGAAACCGAAAGCTCACTTCTTGGGACTATCCGAGACGGTTTTTCTATTGATTGTCATCGCTCTTTGCATTGTTGTAGTTGCAGCTTTGGCATTTGTGTTGGCTGTTTGTTACGTAAGAAGGAATTTAAGACGCGGTGATGGGATCATTTCGGATACTAAGCTGCAGAAGAAAGGCGGGATGTCCCCTGAGAAGTTCGTTTCGCGGATGGAAGATGTGAACAACCGGTTATCTTTCTTTGAAGGATGCAATTACTCGTTTGATCTTGAGGATCTGTTGAGAGCTTCTGCTGAGGTTCTTGGGAAAGGCACGTTTGGTACAACGTACAAAGCTGTGCTTGAAGATGCAACTTCTGTTGCTGTGAAACGGCTTAAGGATGTTGCGGCTGGAAAACGCGATTTCGAGCAGCAGATGGAGATCATTGGAAGTATTAAGCACGAAAACGTTGTGGAGCTTAAGGCTTACTATTACTCCAAAGATGAGAAGCTAATGGTTTATGACTATTTCAGCCAAGGAAGTGTGGCTACTTTGCTTCATGGTATGTATCTCTTTCTCTTCTTATGTTATCATAGCTAAAGCTGTGGTTAGGCTCATTTTTGTTTTATGCGACTGGATCTTGCAGGTAACAGAGGAGAAAACCGGATTCCTCTAGACTGGGAAACCAGAATGAGAATTGCGATAGGCGCAGCTAAAGGGATTGCCCGTATCCACAAAGAAAACAATGGAAAACTCGTCCATGGGAACATCAAATCTTCAAATATATTCTTGAATTTAGAGCATAGTGGCTGTGTCTCTGATCTCGGATTAACCGCTGTAATGAGCCCCTTGGCTCCACCTATATCGAGACAAGCTGGTTACCGAGCACCAGAAGTAACTGACACAAGAAAGTCTTCTCAACTGTCGGATGTCTACAGCTTCGGCGTCGTGCTACTGGAACTACTTACTGGAAAATCACCCATTCACACAACTGCAGGTAAAGTTACAACCAGAGAAGACTGAACCATTTAAATGGTTATAATATATATTCAGTCTAAATCATTTTTTGGGAAATGGAAACTGCAGGGGATGAGATTATCCACTTGGTTAGATGGGTACATTCAGTAGTGAGAGAGGAATGGACTGCAGAGGTTTTCGACATCGAGCTTCTTAGGTATGCAAACATAGAGGAAGAGATGGTTGAGATGTTGCAGATTGCAATGTCATGTGTTGTGAAATCAGCGGACCAGAGGCCAAAGATGTCTGATTTGGTTAGGCTGATCGAGAACGTTGGAAACCGACGAACCAGCATTGATCCAGAACCCAAACCAAAATCCGAAAATGAAGCCTCGGAGACTTCCACGCCGAGTGAAATTTGAAGCTATCAAATTCAAACTGTTGATTCATCATATTTATATGTGAAGTTGTATACTCCTCTCCTCTCTGTTTATTTTCTTCTCTCTTCGGTTTAGAACCGGTTCATCAAAACACATTTCTGTTTAGAGATTCTTCTCTTGGTTTTCATCAAAATTGAGTATGAAATAGATTCAAATTTCCAGTTTATAATTTATATTGCGTAAAGAAGAAGAAACACTTTGGATTCGAATATGATCAGAAAACGCAACACAAGATCCTCCAAATGCTTTATATTTATATCATCAAAGCCTCTGATAAATCAAGGAAGCCAAATGCTTCAAACTTCAGAGCACACAAAAAAGCCCACTGGGCCTATATAGTTTTAAGCTGCGAGAAAGATCATCATGGTTCGAACTTCTTTTTCTTTCTATTACATTTTTATTTTACCCGTACTCTTCTTGGGCCTTTGATCATAATCATAAGTCCGACAAAAATCGAACAAGTGGTCTCAAGAAGTGCCACAATTGGAGGGTCCTAACTTGTAAGAAGCACCACCAGTAGCCTTAAGATCACAGCCACATGACATGGTTATCCTTTATGTTTGTTATAATTCTTTTTACTGAAATAACAAAATTGTTTTGGGTGAGTCAAAAAGAGAAGGAGGAAGATGATACAGTACATAGTTTTGTCGCGAATGTGTTTTGGAGGAGGAACAGGTAGGTGGCAGAGATTACAATAGGAAGGAGACAAATAAGGCAAGTTACAACGTGAACTTGATTTGTCTAATTCCAGAAAACGACGTGTCATCCTGCAAATAGGGGCTTTTTTCATTTCTTCTTCTTCTTTCTTTCCCACCAAGTTGCGAAATTAGAAACCTCACATATATTGTAATATCAAAACATGTCAATGTTTATGTAAATCCTCATGTCCCCACGAAATCAGTGGTTCAACATGTTTTTTGTTTCAACTTCTTTGCTGTTAAAACGACTGTTTATTTAAGAAAACAAATGATAAAGATCGAGTTAACCCATATTTTTAAATCATCTTGATTGCAACAAAAATTCTTATTCGAATGCTATCTACATTATTTGACTTGCATTTACGGGTATAAAAGTTTAGATTGTACAAATAAATTGGTGTTTTGCCTACAAGTGGTATATATAGGTAGTACATATATCTCTATAGTGTGTGTACTGATAAAAGCATCATGTTTGTTTATACATTTGGAAAGCTTATACGAGCGATGAATAAATAGAAATGTATCATCTTTTATTTGATTTTTTTTTTTTTTAAAGAAGAAGTAAACATGAGAATAGACATAACAGTCAACGTCCACTTGCTTTATATGTTCTTCTTTGCCTTTTCTCAAGTCAGGGTCAAAAACATTGTTTTAGGTGTTTTGTCGACAAAAGTTACAAGTTACACAAAATTGAGATACACGACAATGTAATTGCCTTGTTAATATGTGTTAATCTATCCAAACATAGTGACAGTAAAAAAAAAAAAAAGTCAATCTCATGCGTGTTCCAAAACAGTGGTGTGTAATAGACCAATGGTTCCTGATTTCCTGGTAAGTAAAAAAAAAAAAAGAAGCTTTTTACCCCCTAGCTCTCTGTCTATAACGCTACGATTATCTCCAAAAAGTTTTTTTTGATTTTTTTGTTTATTCTAACCATTGAATTAAATTTGATTGGCTGTGTAGTCCCTTAAAATAAGGAGTCAAACTAAGACATTTGTATCTCATTTTAACTTTAGTAGTTAGCTCTCTTTTATTTAGTTTTTTACCTTTGCAAAGACTTATTGATATGGGAATAATATTTCACAGGGAAGTACAATAATTTGTTTTATTATTGAACCTGAATCTTTCCGGTTGAGGCTCCGGGTTTATGACACCAAATGTAAATTAACAATGCAATATTTCATTGGAATATGTGTAGTTTGTCTAAGTTTTTCAACAAAAAAAAAAAAAAAACAGTACTGATATATAAAAAAAATTCTATGAAGTTTATAATTCTTTATTTGAAACCATTACGACCCATGTCTACACATTCGGTCATAGCAGTGAACTGGTTCTCAAATATTTTATAGATGCAGAAAAGAAAAAGAAAAAATCGTGAGTACTTTCGCGACAGGTACGGTTTTCAAACATTTTTTAATGTAATAGACTAGTTAAGGTCATTTTTATAATGTGATGCACTTGCAAAAACCAACATGATTGTTGTATTAATCCAATAGTAATAAATTGGATTCAATGTACATACTATATAATTGGCCGGCAACAGGGTCGTGAGAAAGTGTTGGAAAGAGTTCGTGGTTCCATAGTTTAAGGGTTCCCTAGCTAATTAGATTTTATTACAACATGTCAATTAACTTACAGGGATAAAGATGGTATTATTTATTAAGATTTGTCTTCACTATATGACAAAATGTGACAATCACTTGCTAGCTCACCACCCACCTCACCTCCACTCCACTTTGAATATGTATGCAATCCAACTTATTTATTTATATATAAGATTGTGATTCGATGTTTGTGTGTTATTTTACTTCATCATTACGAAGCACAAATTAATTCTAGCGATAGTTAAAATTTCGATCCTAGATATTTTGATTTTTGAACATATCATAGAGATGTCAGAATTATTAACTAACTCTCGGTGCACGAGGTACCATGTTAATAATTGTGTAAGGTGGGCAATCTCGAAGACTGAACAACTACAATTTCGAAAAAAAAAACAAAGGAAATAAAATGTACATGATAGAAGTAAATCACAAAATAAATATTGTATTTAAACGAATTTTAAGCATACTTCAACACTATACAGCACATTAATCAACCGTATAATATACCTCGTCTATTACAAGTAAGTATCACTAAATCTAAGTAATCCACAAGTCATTTGATCATTCACTCAATTCAAAATATGACCTGCATAAACTACATATTGATATTTCACTTAGGTTCTCGGTTTGAAAGTTTGATATAAGTAGGTTTTATACATAGATAAAATTGGGTTTTAACCTGAATCAATGTCAATATATGTATCGGGCCATAACAGCTCATGGAATAGCAGAAACAAGCGTATGATAATTGAACTCCTAATTTTCTCGAATAATGCTAATTAGTTAAATAAACCTTAATTGTGTATAATGACCAGCATCATTGAAGCACTTTCCAGGTACATTTAAACAAGATAATCAGGTCATTATTGAAACTTTTAACTATTTCTTTTTCATTTTTTTTGTGCTACCAAAAATTTTCTAATCATTTTGTTTGAGGAAGGAACTAGGAAGTTTAAGAAGTACTCCATTTAAAAAATAATTGATAAAAACAACCCTAAAATGACATCATTTTGTGTCCCCTCCTTTCCCCAAAAAAAAATGATCGGAAACCATATTTGTCGAAACTAAAAATTAAATAGCCTACAAGAAAGGTTTATGGTTTTCCCATTTTATACCTCTGTCAAAATATTATGGGTTTTAACGTAATTTAAAAGAGAAAAAGAAAAAGAGAGACTGAGGAGAAGACGTCAGCCGTCAGATGACGGGAGAAGGAAGTGACCAAGTGGAGGGATTAGAAGAAAGGAAAGAAAAGAAAAGAGAGGACGACGCCGTTAGCTAGCGGAGAGGGGTAGGGTCCCGTGATGGACCTGAGTAGTACCATCTCGTCGGTCCAAAGACTGTCTTTGTTTTCTTGGACAAATGTATCCGTACGGTCTCTCTCTTTTCTTTGCTTCAAATCAAACTATGTATGTATACCTTCTTCTTCTTCCAGTTCACCTCTTACGAGTTACGACTTAAAGGCCATAACCATCAACTCTCCAAGTCACCCTCCACAAACATCATCAGTTTTTATATGTAATACATGTTTTATACGTTACCAATACTAACTTACCAATACGTCAACATATGATTTGATAGAATTTGTTAAGCTGTTTAGATTATTGAAAACAAAATATTCTGAATTCTACAATTTCAATGGGTTAGCTTGTAATCTAACATGTCAGAAGAGACAAGACTCACAACCATAAAAAAAAAAAAGCAATATGTAGTTATTTTACATCTGTAATCAATACTATAGCTAATATCTAACCAAACATGCATACAGTAAACTACAAAAAAAGAGTTGTGAATTATTTTATTTTTTATTATTTTCAAAGAGAGAAAGACTATATTAAATTCACCTAGAACTAGTAGAAAAAATTATACAAACACAATATAAAATGATTTTTCCAAATTTATTGTATTTTTGATAATCAGTGTTTCCAATTTGAATGTAATTAAGTGATAATATCATAGAAACAATAAACTGTAAAAATTATTTAATCCAAGGCAGGGTACATGGTCTACCATTTCTTTTTCTTATCCAGTTTAAAAAAAAAAAAAAAAAAAAGATACTTTCGATCCTCACGTAGAAACTATGAACATTAAACATTGTGTGATGTATCAAATTTCTATGAAATTATTATTGTTGTCACAGGAACTGATGATTGTGTAATGATTATTATTTCGTGGACCAACGTATTTTCATTATCTTAATATTTATTGTGCGTAATAATACTAAACTAATTTATTTCTGGATTCGAAGTTTAATTTGCTGAAAAATGAGAACTTATTTGTCTTTTCCTAATCACCCAAATAAACCGTTTTTTTAATTACATATATAACACAGCATACGAAATCATATGTTATGGTCTTATGGGATTCCTGAATCATTTACGTGGCTCGAAGTTAATTTGCTCATCTAGGTTTTGATGCATGTATCTGGCTGTAGTGATTTACAATCATCTATTTCACGTTTTCCTCTCACGCATTTAAAAATCTATTGTCTGCGAAAATCTAAACCACATTACTACAACTATATCAACTTTATTTAAACAATGTTCTAAGTCTAATTGTATTTCTTGTCATTACGTATTAACAGTTCGAGAGTTAGTTAGATGATATTCACAGAGAGGCGATAATGAAATCTTCATGTGATAATTATTTTTTTTATCAAACGTAAGTAATTTATTTCTAAATATTAAAACATCCACTTAGAATTAGTGTGTTGTGTGTAATGTCATATATATAATATGTATTGGACAAAAACTGTATAACATAGAGGAGGCAAATAAAATAAAAAATATGAAGGGAAAGACAAGAAAGAACAAAGTGGTACATGGTTCACATACCCTGCGATCAAAAACTGCTGCCTTCTTTGGCAATATAGCATGGGCTTCTTATATCTTTAAACTTACATTATTATATAAACTTCTATGATAATCACATAAACAATACTGTTTAGATATGTTTCTATCACCAGTCTAAGGTTCATGTGTCAAATTAGTTGGAAGTATTAAAACTAGCAAACATGTTTAAGCTTTTGTGATAAGGGTTAAATTCTCATAATGCAAGTTCACAGCATTCGATGATCACTGAAAACTCCTAACAAAAACAAACGTCCAATACATATCAATCATGCATGATCGGGAACTCAACCCTACGTCGTTTAGATAGGGAAAAGTCGATGCTGCATAGCATAGTTGACCATTGGTCAATGTGTTTCAAACTCTAAATAATTTTTTTCCATATTCTCTAGTTTAATTTGCTTCTCAAGAAAATGCCAAATATGCTCGTCTTTAAAATATAATGACATAACGTCAGTGGAATTAAAGGCACTCTGTTACAACTTACAACTCACAATTAAAAAAAAAAAAAAAAGTTAACAAGATTAACGAGTACTAATCACACAGTTAAGAACGAGTACTAATACAAATGATTCCAAAAACGACTGTGCATTTTAAATTAAATTAGTGTCATTGTGTGTGTGGCGCAACGTCCAAGGTTGTTGTCTGCCACGTTAGCCACTCGCCTCAGGCTGTAATAACTAAAAAGTGGCAAGGTTTGAGTCTGGTAAACAGGTAAAGGTTAAAACCAGTGTAAAGAACTACGAGCCGTAACGGTCTTTTGGGATCTCTTACAACGCAACTTGCCTTTCTGGTAATGACTCAAATACCCCTGTGGTTAGAGAGAACTTCGCACGGAGGTTTTTTAGATTAATCACCTGACCTGCCCCCGTTTAATTATTAATTAATGGTCTCTGGTCAAAAGTGAGACTGTGGACCGTGTCTCCGGTGTCACGTGACCTGAATCTCCAATTACGAGAACATCTTAATTTATTCTTAATTACACTCGTAATTAAATTTATCAGCTGCACAGGGAAAGGGCACGTCCCAGCCGTTGGATTGGACCCAATTCTGTAATTACACGTGTCGATATCTGGATCGTTTGACTTATGCGGCATTTTGGTATCGTCAATCCTCTTTACTTTTTTTCCCCTATATTTTGTCATATTAGTTTTTTCTTTGCTAAAAATCAGCCAAAAAACTTATGACTTCTTTCTAATTTTGCTTTTTAAAAATGTTGTTGGTCGGCACTAATATCTAATTGTATGTGCATTAATGTCATAATTGTTAGTATTTGCGTTACGACACATGTTTTTAGTCTGGTTTTGTTTTTTAAATCTAATTTTATCACTAAAATTTAATTTCTCAACTAAATGTAACGTTTTGGATTGTAATAAGCATAGTATTTGACAATTGTCTCTCGTCGTTTAACATCGTCAATGGACGCCAAAAAAAAATAAATCAAAATATCTTTACACTAGTCAATTTTTGTTTGAACGTTTAACACTATAAACGAAACATTAGAGACAAAATAAAGAGTTTAATACATAACCAAAAGAGTTAAGATACAAATGAAAAGTTCACCTTAAAGGAAAAAAAGAAAAGAAATATCTTTATTTTGGAAAATAATATTTTTGAAGATATATTCCAAAAGTAAATTAAATAGCAGAGAGAAAAAAAGAGGAGTAAAGAAGAGAGTGTATATGAGCCGTTTCAAGATCCTATAAATAGTCTCTCTCTACATTACATGTGCTCTGCCGCTTTTAAATCTCTCTTCTTCTTCCTCGTGTCACTCTTTCTCACACTCTCTGCTCAAACATTTTTATTGTCTCTCTGCCCAAATTTATATATTTCTTTATCTTTTCCCGGAATATTTCCTAGAAAAACCCAAGCAAAGCTTTAAGCCTTCCTCACCCCCTAAAGTAGCATCTTCCTCCTTTTTTTTCTTTCTTTCTTTCTTATCTCTCTCTCGCGTTTGTGAACGATTCCTTAAGAATATAACCAAAAGCTCTTTTTTTTTACCCCTTTCTTCAACTTTCCTGGGAAAAATCTTCACGCAGCAAGGTTTTCTCTCTCGCAGTGTTTTTTCGTGCCTTTTGTTCTTTCTATAAAACAAAAAATTCGCTTCCTTTGAGAAAACTTTCTTTTCTTTGCAGAGAGCATCACTCTTGTTCTTCAAGTTTCGTCTTCCTTTTTCCTTCAAAAAAAGAAAAAATCCATCTTTATTCTTTGTCTCTTTCCTTTTTTTGCTTTCACAGTCTCTCTATGCTATAAAAGGTCACAAAGAGAGACACAGTCACAGTCTTGAGCGAAACAGAGAGAGAGAAAGAGAGATGGAAGCTGAGAAGAAAATGGTTGTACCGAGAATCAAATTCACAGAGCACAAAACCAACACGACGAGAATCGTGCCGGATTTAACCAACACCCACCAAACCAGGGTTCTTCGTATCTCAGTCACTGACCCTGACGCTACTGATTCCTCAAGTGACGACGAAGATGAAGAACGCAACAGGTTCGTCTCTAAACGCCGTCGTGTCAAGAAGTTCGTCAACGAGGTCGTTCTCGATTCTGGTGCTGTTTCTGGAAGCTGTAGTCAAATGGAGTCGAAGAAGTCACGAAAGAGAGCCGTTAAATCGGAGTCTACTGCTTCTCCGGTTGTTTCAGCTACTACGGCGACGACGGGAGAGAAGAAGTTCCGGGGAGTGAGACAGCGTCCGTGGGGGAAATGGGCGGCGGAGATAAGGGATCCACTTAAACGTGTACGGCTCTGGTTAGGTACTTACAACACCGCGGAAGAAGCAGCCATGGTTTACGATAACGCCGCGATTCAGCTCCGTGGTCCCGACGCTCTCACTAATTTCTCCGTTAATCCGACCACCACGACGAAGACAGAGAAAAAGTCTCCACCACCTTCTCCGGTGAAGAAACAGAAGAAGAAAAACAACAAAATCAAAAAGTCCGTTACTGCGTCTTCCTCTGTCAGCGGAAGCAGCAGCAACGACTGTCTCTGCTCTCCGGTTTCAGTTCTCCGATCTTCGTTCACCGTCGACGAATTCTCCGAAAGCTCTTCGCCAGCCGCAGCGGCGGTTGTAGTCAAAGAAGAGCCTTCGATGACGACTGTATCAGAGACTTTCTCGGATTTCTCGGCTCCCCTGTTCTCAGATGATGACCTGTTCGATTTCCGGAGCTCGGTGGTTCCAGACTACCTCGGCCTCGGCGGTGGCGATTTGTTCGGGGAAGATATATTCACGGCGGAAATGTGTACGGATATGAACTTCGGATTCGATTTCGGATCTTCCGGATTATCCAGCTGGCACATGGAGGACCATTTTCAAGATATCGGGGATCTATTCGGGTCGGATCCTCTTTTAGCTGTTTAATATTATTTAAATAAATAAAAAAAATAGTTTAACCGGCCGTTACTAAACGGAACCCGGAGAAAGTTTTGTATACCGGTGAAAATATAAATCTCGGTCATGTTCGTTTTTTTTAATTGTTTTTTTTTCTTTTCTGTTATATATAAATATATATAAGTCAAATTGTATCAATGTAGTTACTGGTGATATTAATTAAAGTTAGTAACGTATTTTATTACAAGTGACTCCGTCTGTTAACGGTACTGGGAGGTCGTGTTTCTTTTAGCTTCCACGTGCCTCTGCTTCTCTTTATCTCTTTTTAATTATATATATTTTGTCGACTGGAAAAATTCCTTTATTAATTCGCTTTTAGTGTTGTTGGTGAGGCACGTGTGATCTCACGTGATGGGAACAATTGAAAAGCTTTAGCTAGTTTTGTTTTTGTTTTCTTAAGGCTAATCATGATATTTACGAAAGAAATAAAAAGGCTGATAATTAATTTATTGTAACACGAACACAAAAGCTAATAATCCAAACTAAATAATAATACAGTGTGATATGCCAGGTAGATAGAGACTACTAGATACGAAGAAGAAGGGGGAATCTAAGTTGATTTGAAATGTGGCACATCATAGAAGCTAAAAATATTATTTTTGTCAGTTTATTCACAAGAAAATAAGCAAACAAAATTATAAAAAATATTTTCATTGAGGAATAAATGAATGAGGCAGTTGGGGTAGTTGATTGTCTAGTGTGCTTCAATCGCACTCTGTTAACAGTTTTACCAAAGTACGATGTTATGTAGTAACTACGGTTTTTTTTTTATGCACGCAAAAAATCTAACTAAACTATACTTTTTTTATACTAAGCTAGATTGTAGTAGATACAGTCGACGAACACTGTTCTTCTTTTTTTTGTCCATTAGATTAATCTAGCTACATAATGATCTGATAGTTGTTTTGCATTGATGTTGATTAGAAGACGTGGACAATTTGTAGTCGTTGATTTTATTCAAGGCTTACAAACAACATTATTCTTCTTTTATAGACCCTAAAACGTAAAATGAAGTTGCGTTTTAAACAATCTAATGAATGAAATTCCTCTGGGTTTAGTTTATCAAATCATATTTGTTTAGTTCGCATAAATGTAATGGTACTCAAGAATAGTTAAAGCATTTATAAGTGCCTTTTGTCCATATATTGTTTCATTGTTATTAAGGAACAGTGATGTTGCTTGCGATAGGTCGTAGAAAACTGGTCCATGCATTGGTTTGAGTCCGATACGGTCTTTGATTTAGCCAGCGGATCCCAAAAGGTAATTAACCGGTCAATTGCGAAAATACTATTACAAACGTGTCTACGTCAATAATATATTTGTTCAGGCTCGTGCCAGCTTGCTGTTTTGCATGATTTCTGGTCCTCCACAATAACATGATCTTATAATTTAAGATAGTTCATGAAGCTTACACATTTGGTCTGATTCATGAACAACTGTTGGTAACGTGATTCACATTTTTTGATGCCATTGTTGTTGTTGCTGCCTTGTATGTTTTTGTTGTTGTTACTTCGAAACGAAAGAGTTAGGTGGATTATTCATAGATATATTAAAAGTGTTTCACCTTATGGAACTGAATTAAGGTTCACATTCCATTGACTGAACCGGTAACTCACTACTCATTGGTGTTGTTTACAATGTTTTTTTTACCTTATTAAAAAAAAATACATAAGCAAGTTTAAAATCTAAAAAATGTAGAATAAAAAAAGATTTTTGAGAAAAGAATAGAGAGAGAGGTGCAGGGAAAAGAACTGACGACACGTAGGCTAGAGCCGCAACTACTCGAGAAAGAGCATTGTCGTGTCGCTTTCGTTAAATACTGCTCTACTGTACTCTCTTTCTTTTCTTCTCTGCCCACCCGTAAGGTTGGTTCAGAGGCTACATACAATTCTCTGTCCTTTTTCTTTTATATAACTTCAATTTCGTTTTTTTTCTTTAGAGTTCACCAGAAATTGCATTTTATATAAAATACAAGTTGCATATATAAAAGTTTGAGTTCACTAGAAATTTAAATATGGTTCCGACCATCTCAGAAATAACCATGCAACTTGCTGATTTTAATAAGCGTCTTAGATATTCTAACACTTAATGAGGGGAAATAAAAAGAGAGGAAAAAATAGATATTCGAAACGCTTTCAAACATTTATTACGTACACAATTCAAAGACGTACGGTTTATTATTAGAGAGAACTCAGAATCTAGATGCAAATACTCTATGCTGTATACCAATATTGTAAGATTTGTAGATACGAAAAAATTGCAAAGTATTAAATATACAGTTGGTCCCCAATTCCCAAAAATGTTCATGTGAATTGCGTGATTTTTCATGCATACCCATCAATATAGCTACTGTTCCATTCTATACAATTTATAAGAAATATTCAAAGTTTATGGACGACGACTAACATTTTTATCTCATGCTACCTTATTCAAAGTTGATCAACATGACTATACTGAATCATAATTTACATTAAGCACATATAAAGAGTTTATTGTGTTTAAAATTTTTAATCACGAAGTTGATAAGTTTAAAAATAAAATCTTTTGTATGGGGTTCAAACTTCAAATATTGGGCCGTCTATTAATGAGGGGTTGTTTGCATTTATAGTATTTTGGTCATTCAAAAAACAAAAATAGTAAACAATCACATGACTTCCCCCGGCCAGTGCCCCTTCCTAAATTCGTAAGGCTTGAAGATTAGATGGTCATCATGGCCCAGAGATATCTACATGCATGCATACACACATACATACATTCATACTTAGTAGTATATTATATAGATGTGTATGGTGTCCCCTCAAGCAAAGATTTTGTTTGTCACAAAATTCCAGAGCTCACTTGCAAGATTTATGCCAAAAGATAAATGGGGACCTTTCACCAGAGATCTTCTCTCGTGATTTTTTTCTTTCTTCTTTCTTCTTCCTAATGACACTTTTAAACTTTAGAATATATATATATATATATATATATATATATATAAATATACAATCATGATTCAGTATGATACATATCTTCTTATTCTTTTTATCATTTTGTGACACATTATTCAACCGTTAATTCCGATATATATGGTTAACTTGGAAAGGTAGAAAGTATAACACAAGAAGGTGAGCAAACCTCATGCAATTGCAAAATCCTAACCATTCACGTCACGACATATAATGATCCAACGGTCTCCAACTGAGAGCATTTAACGACCATGTAAAGGAGAGGAGACAACTATACGATGACGCGTCTCAGATATCAAAAAATGGTACGGCCTTTTTTGGATCCCCCGTGGACCAGCGAATCTGGACCGTCCACTTGCGACCTGTCTGGGCCATCGGATAAGCTTTTTGGTGGGAATGGTTGTAATGTAACCAAGTGTCTTCGAGAGTTATTGCCAAACCAATTGTTGAACCGGATCAAACCACAAGGGTTCTGTTTATCTGTACCGGTAAAAAAAAAGGACATGGTGTAAAAGTTTGACTTCTTCCTGCAGGTGAATCTCAGTTGACCTTTCCGTATACATAATAATGCTCTGTCTCCGTATCTGTTTCCGTATTTACGTTTTGTCTATCATCATCATCCATTATCTTGTTTCTTGATCATGTTGTCCATTTTTTCAAATGATTCAAAAAAGGCTGACATGTAGTGATCTTGACTGAGATTATGATAAGTACATACATACGATAAGCATATATAAACCGTACCAATTTAGAGATGCATTATTATGAAACAATTTGGAATAATATATATATATAGAAGCAAAGTGTAGAAAAATACATGTGGAATAGAAAGTGAGAGAGACAGTGTCTCATGAAAAGTGGCAGAGACACCACATTTAATACAGAAATTACATTAAAAGGAAGGACCAACAAAGGAATTAAATGATGTTGTCTTTCGATTTTCATATTTCACGTACCATTCTCGTGTCCTTCCCATGCACTTAACATGTTTGCTCTGCTCTCCCTTCCCTTCCCCCTTCCTTCAGTTCCCCCCCTCTCTTTTAATTTTACTGAACTAACCTTCCAACTACTTTTTCGGTTATCAACAATCTATTAAAAAAAAAAAAATGAGAAGAAGAAGATGAGTTTGAATATCTTGTACTATCGGGTTTACTAGTTTGGTGACAATGGTCACGGCTTAAACAACATCACAAAATATCTCCGAGAGTTTGTGTTTTCCTCTTATACTATATGCAATCACTGATCATCTTAGCTATTACTAATCAGCTCTTAGTTATTACATGAGAGGTTTGTACATCGTCCCCATGTATTACGTACATGAGCAATCCAAGTATCCAACTAGCAAGTAGCGAGCAACATATGGAAAGCCTTCAAAGACGACTGAATAGTTTACAGTTTGAATCTAAATGTACTAGCTAGAAACAAAAATAAGGTTTAGCAAACAAATTGAGATCAGTTCCATGATTGATCGGTCTAACTGTCTAAGAAGACAGGACATGTAACTCAATCAAACATTGTTCTATTTGTTTTTGGTAAAATCACAAATACAATGGTTTTGCACAAGTTTTATTATGTTTGAAGCAGTTGCCCAAACAAAGGTTTATTAACTGAGCTTAATAAAAGGGCTTTTCTTGAAGTAATTAAACTGGGCTTTTAGGCCCATTAAAAAGGTTTCGTTCTTTTGAGGTCATCTCCCCGTGATCGTGGTTGATCCGTCGTCTCACCGGAATCATCATCATCTCTCTCTCTCTCTCTCTCTCTCTCTCTCTCTCTCTCTCTCTCTCTAGGGTTTATACCTTTCAATGGAGAAACAGAGTCTCCAACCAGTTTGCGGCCAAGAGGCTCTTCAACTTCTCAATTGCGTCGCGGATTCAAAGTTCGATCAAGAGAAATGTCTCCGACTCTTGCAATCTCTCAGAGAATGTGTTCTCGCAAAGGTTGGTTTTGTTATTTCTCTATTGACTGATCTACAAGTTCGCTATTCAATTTGTAAAGTACTATTGAGTGATTAGTATCATAATCTCAACTAAAATCTTAGTTTTTGGTTTTTGTTTACTAGTTTCGTTTTTTGTTTTTAGAACGCTTAGAAATGGAACTTACGTATAATATATACATCATTAATGGATCCAAGTATGCTTTAGTACAGCTTTGATGCTACTCTTTGGTGATTGATTTACTCATAGAGAACTCTGAGAGATTAGTAGTATTACTAAATATGAGAATGCCAAGTTCTTGGTGAAGAATTTGGTATGTAAATTATGGTGATGGGAACTCTTGTTTTCTAAATATGGTAGTTCATTATGGAGGGAAACTAGTACTCTTACTCTGGACCAATGCAATACAATGATGATCCTTAAGAAAGGAAAGACTTTTCTTGAGGAAGCCATTAGAGAATGATGAGGCTGAATATTATCTGACAACTGTTGTTAGTTTTTCTACGGTATTATGGTATTAGCCCATAACTGGTAGGAGTCAGTGTTGTTTTCATTCTTGATCTTGGTCAATGAATTTTCTTCATTGTTTCTTGAGGGGTTTTACAGAATCTCGTTTAAGTGCATACTAACGAAATCTTTCTACTTTCCACTAACGTTTTCTTGCTTTCTGTTTTGATGTCAATGAATGTTACAGAAAGTAAAGAATTTCTCGATACCGAATCAAGACCATGTCTCTGACGGAGCAGCTTCAGCTACAAAGAAACCTTCATAACCTTCCTTGTTGTGATTTTCTTTTTATCTTTTGAGTTGTAATCACATAATGTAATGCCTGAACTCATAAGTTGGGGGTCATGTCACGTTTTCCCCCATTGTTGTCTTCTGTGTTGAATATTACATGTCACGGTTCCACATTGACATCGTGAACTTCATAACCTTCCACACTATTGATTTAATGTAATGCCTCGAACTTCATAACCTTCCCCCATGCCCTGTCCCTTTGATTCTCCATCGCTAACTTTTTAAATTATCTGTGTCAAACTTCTTCTATGCTACTTAGTGACCGATTCTATTGGTAAAGATCATCTTTTTCCATGTTATCTGCTTCCTTCGATGATTTTTGGATTCCCTAATTGTTCATCTTCAAATGTCATTAAGGAACACAGCTTAACAGATTCGATCAATATAATAAACAAGCTTGTCACTTGTTTCTTATCTAACAGTTTATGGAACAGTCTTAAAGTAAGATTTAGGATGGAACCTGCTTCTCTTACTACCTTGTGTCAGGCTAAATTCACTTACCATAAAAATACTTTCATGTCTTAGTCTCCAAACTCCGAGCCAATAACAATAACATGCAGGGAATATTCATAGTCATATATGTAGAAATAAAAGCAACAAGAACTACAAAACTAAAAAGATTTGATGTTTCCAGTTTCACCACTTCTGAACTCTGTGGCTTCCCCACCTCCTAGACTGGTTTCAGATCTTGATTACGAATTAGAGGATCCTGATGTGGTGAGTTCAGATCTTGATCAAAAATTAAGGGATCATGATGTAGGGAGTTACCATTGCTTTATCTTTGATTTCCATCTTCATCGTCACTAAGCATTATCACATCTGCATAGAGATATTTGGTCAAAAGAACATGTTTTTTTAGTTTATCTAAAGCTAAAACACAATCAGGGGACACACCACATGTACAAAAAAAGAACACTTAAAATCACCTTCTTTTGAGACACTGTTCTCCACTTTAGGTTTCTTTGCAGGTCCTGCACCACTACCTGAAGCCATACCGATCATCTCCATGTCATCATCAACAGCCAATAGGAATTCGACATTCTTTTCAACAGTCTCTAGCTTCTTCTGCATTTCATCCAACTTGTTGCCCCACTTTGCAACCTCTTCCTTCCTCCCCAATGCTTGTTTTGGCTTTTTCACAAGATCATCTACAGTGACTCCATGCTTTATCTCTAGAAGCTCAAGCGCTTGGATTAGACTCTCATTCTCTTTCACCATATTCTCATACTTCTCTTTCAGAATCTTGTACTCAGCAATTGGAACAGTATCGGAAGATTTGTTGTTGTTCTTGTTGTTGCACCTCTTCTCCGATTGGTCCCAACGACTAGACATTGTTGTCAATCACTTCAAGCTTAACCTAGATTTAAAAACAAAAACACAAGTCACACAAAAAAAAAAGTCTGGATCTTTAATAAGACGCTCTAAAATCTACAAAACCCTAAAACTCAGATCTTCGTTGACTAGACTAAAATGGTAGAAACAGCTCACAAGATTTGGTCTATATACCTAACACGGATTCCTACCATATTGTCTTTAAACCACACCGGAAACAAAATAAACAGAGACGAGAAGGGATTTTTCCCGAGAAAATCTTACTCGGAAGAGAAAAAGTGTCGATCTTTTTCTCAGTTACAAAGAGAGGAGAGCTGAGCTCGAGTGGATGGTAAGCGACAAAGATGGAATCGTATCGATAGAGACCTATAAACACACGGAGCGGGAAAATGCGTAACGAGTGTGTTACTGGAGTAATTAATTACCATTATCCAATTAAATAATATTTAGTTTAATCCACACCACTCATTAGCCAAGTGGCCTAATCCCATCATGTCCTAACCACACAAATTTTGATTACATACTCTTTTTGTCCGAATTCTCCAACTTTAATTTTTACATTGTTTTCTCTGTAAATTAATCACTATGTTAAAAGTGTGATCCAATTCTCCGGTTAATCCTGAAGTCGACTTGGTTTAGCTGGTTAATGATGGTTCAGTAATTTGGCTTTGGTTTGAAGTCAAAGAAGGAAGAGGGTTTGGAGTTGCAAAAGGATTAGGGTTTATTCTTTTGTGCCGATACCTATATATATCTATTCATACCTCTCTTCTCTTGTATCTAAGACCTATCTCTATCTCTGTAATCCTCTTCAGCTCTGTTCTTGAGTTGTAGAGAAACATATTATTTGTCATAGTGAATTGCTGGGTTGAATCCAGCCCCATACGTAGATTCATCACATCGGTGAATTGAACTGGGTAAACAATCTTGTGTCTTGCATCTTTTACGTTTCTGTTATTCTTTCAAAGTATTGTGTGTGTGAGATTGAGCTGAAGCAGAGTTGTGTTCAACAGAGTTTATCACCTGTAAACGTAACACACTAATTATTAATTAGGCAAATAACTCGTATAACAAACCATGATGAGAGAAACATTGTCAATGTCCGTATGATTAATGATCCTGCTCTTCCTTATTGAACAAATTATGTTGCAAGATTGGTGTACGCAAGATGTAGGGAATGAGTTTAGAGTGCGAAGGCATATAACAGATTATTATATGCAGAGATCTGGGTATAATACCTCTGCTGCTCTGCATGAAAGACCATTCTTTTTGCAGAGAGATTTCAGGGCAATGCTGCAGTTAACTCTTCTTTTGTTGAAGCACTCTAGATATGGTAGCAGAATTTGAGTGCACTCTAGGATATCTGGAAGGATCTTGAACCTCCCAGTACGAGCTATAATCATCTCTATCTTCCGAGAGAAATGATCTATTCTGATCGTGGTTAGTAAATGCTTAACATTATCTAGTCTCTATATGTTCATCCTGCAGATGCCTCTAAAGAACACATGCTTAATAGATTCAATCATATCCTAAACCAGTTTTGTTTATTGAAACCTTGTTTAATTTGTTATATTAATGATGGAAGTTACTTTTCTTACAGCTTTGTATTATGCTAAATTCATATATACATACCATACAAACTTTCATGTCTTAACCCTCCTAACTCTGAACCAAACAACAAGAACAATGCATTGGCTATTCATATTCATATCTACATCTAAACAACAAGAACTACTAACTTAGCTTTTTTTTTTTGTCAACTTTTCCAGTTTCCACCATTTCTGACTCTGTGCTTCTCCATCTCCTAAAATTCTCTTTGGTCTTAATCAAAGGATGAAGGAAAACTCTTGAGTTCAGATGTGATGATGAGTTAATGTGTTCTCTTTCTCTTAGGTTTCCTTCATCATGGTCACTAATCAATATCACATCTGTAGAGAGATTTGGTCAAAGAACATAATTAGTATACATCTGAAACGCAAAATTAGTATAGACACATATCAAAATCAGTCAAGTACTTTAGTACAACTGTTTGATACAACTCTTGTTCACTTCAGGTTTCTCTGCAACTCTTGCAGTCCGTAACACACCGTTCATCTCTGTTTCCTCAACCGACCTTTAAGTCTTATACTTTTCGACGGTCTCTGGCTGCTTCTGCATTTCAGTCTCTTCCTTGGCCACTTCTCTCTGCTTCTTCCCCACCTCATCTACAGTGAAGTCGTGCGTTTTAAACTAGGCTTTTATCATGCACGAGTGTTAAGTTAATGGAGATGATGATCCTTTATTACGTACTTATAGTCATTCAAAAATATAATATTCAGTTTTAGTCTCTAAGTACCCTAACCAATCATTAGCCAAGGGGCTCTCAGCCTCAATCATCAGTTGACAAATTACATTATTAGAATTTTGCACCTTTCCTTGTTTTCTACTCTTTCGGTGTTAATTACACACATTATTGTCTCCTTCAACTTTACTTGAGAAGAGAGAGATAAAGACAAAGTGATCAATTATACGTATTATCAAACGTATTGATAGTATGAGATACTGATCATAACTGTTGACTAAAAATTTCTTTAAGTTTTGGAAAAAGATGTATAACAACTATTCCAAATCAAAACTATGTCATTAATTAATCGTTGAAAACATTTGTAATGTTCTTAATTTGCTTAATTAACTAACTAACTATCATCTAATTAGTATGTACCAGTTTTTGTTTTAATCGTTTAACAATTTGTTTTTGATTTTTTGTTTTCTTAAAGAAGCTTTTGTTCAAAAAAAAAAAGAAGAAGCTTTTGTTGAGATTGAATCGAACATTCTGTGATAACTCAAGGTTGGTGAAATTTTGATATATAATCAGAAAATTAGGTGAAATGCGTATTTATACATTTATTTGACAATATGGCTCTTTTTTAGAAATGTTCGAATGATTGATTTTATATACATAAAATAAAGACAAGTCCCCTAGAGCTTTTGATCGGTCGAATAACATAACACACATTCCAAAAACAGCACACTGTGCATATCTTCTTCAGATGAAGCTCAAGTGGAGATCAGTCTCCATGAATCATAAGAATGTGCTTCTCATCAAGCTCATCTCCGCTATCCTCATAACTTTTTTCGCTTTCCGTCTCTTCATTTTACACTCCAGCGAGTTTTCTCCAATCTTTGCGTCGGTCACCGGTAAATTCGAAGCTCGGTTACTGCCGCCGAAGGTTCTCGTGCCGGAAAACGAAGATCTAATTCCTCAGGGTAAGATCAGTTGGTTTATTAGAAAGCAAAAGTATTTGACTTCTTTGTCAACTGTCCATTGTGTTTGACTCTTTTTTTTTTTTTGTCTAAACCTTGGTTTAATGAGCATCAATATGAGATCTAGAGGTTTTGGATCTGCAAGATCTAAATTTTTGTTTAAAGGTTTTTATGAATTGTGGTATTAGAGAAATTGTTTCTCTGCGCTTCTTCACTTCTGACTCGTGGATCTTGCTCTTCTAATTGATAGTCAAATTCTAATGGTTTGATTCTTAACATTTAAAACTTGTTTTGATGATTTGTATCATTTGGCTCTTAATTACACATTTTCATATTGTTTGGCTTTTTTTTTTTTTGACAGTTATGTTGTGATTTATAAAATTCTTTGATTAGAGTGAGCTCTCAATTAGCTGCAATGTTCAGTGACTGGTCTTTGATAATTTGATCTTAACTAGTGTTACAACATTTTGATTCAAAGATGATCTCACATTGGGACTAAGGAACAAGTTCTTGTTGTTTCTTGAATCAGATATTGAAGTAGAGAAGTGCAATCTTTTCGCCGGGAAATGGATCCCAGACTCATTAGGACCAATCTACACAAACACCTCTTGCGGCTCGCTCATTGATGGCCACCAAAACTGTATCACCAATGGCCGGCCTGACTCAGATTTTCTCTACTGGAAATGGAAGCCTCATGACTGTTTGTTACCACGTTTCGACCCTCTAAGATTTCTTCAACTTATGAGCCACAAATCTTGGGCATTGATTGGTGATTCCATATCGCGTAACCATGTGGAATCTCTTCTTTGTATGCTCTCTACGGTATAATACTGCCTGCCTACTTTTAGCAGCTCTTTGTTTCAATATCTTACTTTCCAAGTTCGTTAAATCTGTTAATCTTTTTGGGGTCTCTCAAGGTTGAAGTACCGGTTGAAGTATACCATGACAAGGAGTACAAATCCAAACGTTGGCATTTCCCTCTACATAACCTTACTATATCCAACATTTGGTCGCCATTTCTTGTTCAGGCCGCTATTTTCGAAGATTCAAACGGTGTCTCGACCGCTTCTGTTCAGCTACATCTTGATAGACTCGATGAGACATGGACCAAACTCATGCCTACCCTCGACTATGCAATTATCTCAACGGGTAAATGGTTTCTTAAATCCGCGATTTACCATGAAAATGCAAAACCCGTCGGTTGCCATAACTGTCAAGAAAAACCTCACTTGGAAGAGTTAGGATTCGACTATGCTTATAACGCATCTCTGCGGAATGTCATGGACTTCCTAGCTGGGGAAGATAACTGTAGAGGCACGATATTTTTCCGGACTTCGACCCCAGATCATTTCCAGAACGGGGAATGGCATAGCGGTGGGACGTGTAAGCAAACAGAGCCGGCCAGCGATGATGAGATAGAGATTAAAGATGTACATAAGATACTAAAAGATATTGAGATTGGTCAGTTCAAGAGGGCGGTTAGAGAGAAGACGGGTCAGGACGGTGGAATTCTTAAGCTTTTGGACTTCACCGGGATGTTGCTGACCCGACCGGACGGTCATCCGGGTGCATACCGACAGTTCAGGCCGTTTGATAAAGACAAAAATGCAAAGGTACAAAACGACTGCCTACATTGGTGCTTGCCTGGTCCCTTTGATTACTTGAATGATGTTATATTGGAGACCATAGTAAATGGCTGAGCCGGACCAACACAGTGTGATTGGCACATTGCTAATGGTTGAACCCGGTAGAATTGAAAAACCGGTTCTCTGGGGTTACATAGACTAATATTGGTGCAAATTTGTGTGAATTGAAAATATGTAAAATTGTGTAAGAAAAAGTTGAGATACTGTGATTCTGATTATTGAGAGCTAGCCGGTTGAAAAAGCAAAATCGGTTTGGTATATCGGTTAATTTTTTCCCAGGTTTTGTGAAATCAAGTTTTTTTTTTTTTTTTTCTGTTAAGAACCAAATTTCCGGTCTGAACCCGTTTTAGTTGTCATTAATTTGATATAATGAACCCACCCACCTAGCCAACTTGATTAAACAATGTAAAAGTAAACATTCTTCAAAATTAAAAAAATAGAAAAGAGGATAATGAAGAAATATTCTTCCACCTGTCAAAATTCAAAAAAGGTTAACAAATCTGCAGTCGGACGCCAAACAAGTATCAAATCCACAAAATAAAAAAATTTGAATTTCGAATTAGGAAGCCGTTGTGCGTTTCTTTCTATATAACTCCCGAAGATATTTTACAGAGGCTCCAGCTATATTCACAATCCCTAAAATTTCGAAATCTTCATTCTCTCTATTGCATTTCGATTTGAAAATGGCTTCTACCGCAGATCCAGCTCCAGCTCCAGCTCCGACGAAGAAACCAAGGAACAGTAGAAAGGCGTTGAAGCAGAAGAATGAGCTCGTGGAGACGCCGCCGGCGCCTGTTTCTGCCAAGGGGAAATCAGACAAGTCGTTCGAGCAAGATCTGATGGAGATGCAGACGATGTTGGAGAAGATGAAGATCGAGAAGGATAAGACGGAGGAGTTGCTCAAGGAGAAGGACGAGATTCTGAGAAAGAAGCAGGAGGAGCTAGAGACCAGAGACGCTGAGCAGGAGAAGCTTAAGTTGGAGTTGAAGAAGCTCCAGAAGATGAAGGAATTCAAACCTAACATGGTATAATCTCCAGATCTGGCTTTTAATCCTCGATTTGGCTTAGGTTTTGTGATTTGATTGGAATTTGGTTAGGTTTTCGCATGATAGTACATTTCTGGATCTGGATTTTGGCCTTTTGATATGCTTGAGTTCTTAGATTAGGTTGGAGTGTATCTAGTTATATGCTGATTACTCATTTGTGCATCGATCTTTGAGGTTTTTGGCTTTGATAGTTGATACAAGTTTCGTCGTAGATTTGGGATTAGTCGATTCAGTATTGCAGAAATGTTAGGATACGAACAGTTACCGAAATGTTAATTTCTGTTGGCTGATTGATTAGTTAATTGATTGTCTTCTATGTCCTTTCCACACTTCTCTGTTAGGTGATGGTATCGATCAAATGGTATGTGATTAGCTGATTGGAGAGTGTTTTGTGTTTTTGCTTTTCAGATTTTCGCTTGTGGTCAGTCATCTCTCACACAGGCTGAACAAGAAAAGGTTAATAAGAAGAAGAAAAAGGATTGTCCTGAGACAAAGCGACCATCATCATCATACGTATTGTGGTGTAAAGAACAGTGGGCTGAAGTCAAGAAGGAAAACCCTGAGGCTGACTTCAAGGAGACTACGAACATCCTGGGTACTAAATGGAAGTCTCTCAGTGCAGAAGATAAGAAGCCTTACGAGGAGAGGTACCAGATTGAGAAGGAAGCTTATCTCCAGGTCATTGCTAAGGAGAAGCGCGAGAAAGAGGCCATGAAGCTCCTGGAAGATGATCAGAAGCAGAAAACTGCAATGGATTTGCTTGATCAGTATCTCAACTTTGTTCAAGAAGCTGAACAGGACAACAACAAGAAGAACAAGTAAGATCCAAAATACCTCCTAGTGACTGAATCAATTGATCACCAATGGTGTAAACTGACTACAGCTATTTATGGTTTGCAGGAAGGAGAAGGACCCTCTGAAGCCAAAACATCCTGTATCTGCCTTCCTGGTTTATGCAAACGAGAGGAGAGCTGCTTTACGTGAAGAAAACAAGAGCGTCGTGGAGGTAAATCTAATTACTTTAGTCACTCTCCAGATCAGTTTTTTTTCTCAAATTTTGAAGCTAACTAACGTTAATGGTGGTTATAGGTTGCAAAGATAACTGGAGAAGAATGGAAGAACTTGTCAGACAAAAAGAAGGCACCCTATGAAAAGGTTTCTTTCCATACACATGTTTATATTCATAGCCATTAAGAGATCTTGGAGTGACTGAACTAAAGTGTAATATTTAATAATAGGTGGCAAAGAAGAACAAGGAGACGTACCTGCAAGAAATGGAGGTATACAAGAGGAATAAGGAAGAAGAAGCACTGAGCCAGAAGAAAGAAGAAGAGGAACTCCTGAAACTCCACAAACAAGAAGCTCTTCAACTGCTTAAGAAGAAGGAGAAAACTGATAATCTGATTAAGGTAACTGACTTGCACTTTATTTACAGTAGTCCACTACCAATTCAGAGACTTAACAGTGTCGTAATGATTGCCTCTTGCAGAAGGAGAAAGCGACCAAGAAGAAGAAGACTGAAAATGTTGATCCTAACAAACCCAAGAAGCCTGCTTCTTCTTACTTTCTCTTCAGGTATGAATTACTTCCAGTTTAATATTTAGCTCCGAGTTGATCTTTTATTCAAGTGTTTAGCTTCTAAAAGAAAACATGTTTTACAGCAAGGACGAGAGGAAGAAGTTGGCTGAAGAACGTCCTGGAACAAATAACTCTACTGTCACTGCTCTAATTTCAGTGAAATGGAAGGTATGCAGCAAAATCACACTTACGAGTAAAAGAAACATTTGCTAATAACAATGTCAAAGATGTAGATTTATGTGAGTGAATTATATCTTTACAGGAACTGGGTGAAGAAGAGAAGCAAGTTTACAATGGAAAAGCTGCAAAGTTGATGGAAGCATACAAAAAGGAACTCGAAGCTTACAACAAGAAGTCTGCGGCTACTACCAGTAGTTAGATAAAATCTCTCTTAGGATTGAAAAAAAATATATGTTCAAGTCCTGTTGAACATTTCTTATTATGCAGTGTTAGATTTGCTATTAATGACTTTTTTAACCCCAAAAAAAAAAAGTAATCTACTATCTTAATTCTCGCTGATTTCTTCTATGGATAAATGAGTCTTTTACAGTATTTTTAATAATAGATCGACTCGTGTAAAAAACTGGGAAAGGTTGTGTCAATCTCGACCGTTGGATTGAACCAGTCAGCAACGTCGAAGATGGGAGGAGAACTTTCCACGTGGCTGAAGTCGCCGTAAGTATAAAACGGTGGCGTATCAGGGAACGAGAAAACGTCTTTACCGTCGTCGAGCCCGTCGGTTCGAACGGTTAAGTTGGATTTAAGGCTCTGAAGAAGGTCCTTTGGCTTTTGGGTAGTAGTACTAATGGCTGGTCTGAGTCTGGTGTCTTCTTGCTTCTCCGGAGAGGCTGGTGGTGGTGTGATCGCCTGGGAACAAGTGTGTGTTCCTCTGTACGTGACTTCGAAAACAGTCGCATCACCGTCCGATCTCTGGACTTGCTTCGTCGCCCAACAGTTCTGTGTGCTGCGATGAGTGCATCTGTAGTAACTCCTTGGGAATTTGGCTCCCAAAATGTCTTTCTGACCATATTTTCTCCAGCTGTAGACATCATCTTGAGGTCCTTCTAAGCCTCTCTCTGGGCTTATTCTCACTTTTTCTGACCACTTTGGTAACATCTTCCTGCAAAAAATTACCCAATTTGCATATTAGTTTTACATAAAGATCAGATTTTTACATTATGATCACATCATTTAATTTGGGTGAATTTGCTTACCTTTTCTTTGAGTTGAAAATGTAATCTTGGCGATGATGACTGTCGCTGGAACCTCCTCCGTCAACGAACTCTTCACTTCTCGGACTACCGTTAATGGACGCCGGAGATTCAGGAACTCCGCCGGAATTCACCACCGGGACTACAGTTGCCGGCGTCGGAATAAGTTGTACGGTCGTAGGTGAGGATGACCAGTTTAGCATAAGAAGAGATCTTTCGCAGGAAGAAACTATCTGGTTCACCAAAATCTGGTTCGTCTCAGCCGTCGTCGGAGAAAACAAAGGCGAGGGAGCTTCTCGAAGTCGTGTCTGAAGTTTCTTGGCCGCTTCAAGTCCAACAAGAAGCTCGTTTAGCAATGTCTTTTGTTCCCAACTTAACATATCCATACCTTCCATTTTTGAGTATATGATTCCCAAAATAGAAGTTAAAAAATAAAAATATAGAAAAATCTTTGCAATTCAGTTAGATACTTAACTAGCAGTTTCAATTTAAGAAGATTTTGGTCTGAAATTGCTACCAACGTACGATGAGAAAGATATAATAATGTGTGTAAAGTATGATCAAGAATGGGTTATAAAGAATATGAAGTATGATGAGAATGATGAGAGTGTTAAAGGCTTGTGGTGAAATTGATGAGTGAGGAGGTTTGGAATATATAAGGTATGTGGATTTGAATGTTTGAAATATTGACCAAATGACGAACCAGAAATAATTAGTTATTTTAAAAAATAGAAAAAGTATATTTCTTTTAGAAGAGAGACGAAAAAAAAACTTTCAAAGTGAAGAAAAGTCTTTGGTATAAGGAAAAATAGGGCCAGAGTGTAAATCTAGAAGTGGGGGTGGTGGTAGTGAAGGTCAAAGGCTGACCAATTCAAACATTTCATAATTTGTTTGTTAATGTAGTTATCTACACTTATAAGTTGTAACCAAGTGATGAATCAAATTAGTTTAAGTGTAGTGGTTGATTAAAATAACTAGACAAAAAAGAGTTAAACAAATGTCCCTTTTGAAATGTAACCTTTCAAAGCTACGACTATGTACATGTGGTTGAGATTCCCTATTATTAAATTCCAAATGTGTATGTATATATGTATGTTTTGTTTGTTTGATCCTTTTATTAGTATGCATTATATGTGCAAGAGCAATGCAACAACTTTTATATATATATATGGATGATATATGAGTTGTTTTAACTATATATGATTTGCAATGTCAACAATAAACTTGGGATCACGAAATAATTTATTATTGTATGAGACAATTGGGAAAAATAAATTGTATAAATGAAATGTTCCATAAAACAGAAGGAATTAAACAAGTCATTTACAAAAAAATAAGTTACAATTAATTCACGACGAGTATGATAAGGTTTCGGCTGACCAAGTCACACCATTAAGTTTTCTCAAATAGTCCATATATAGGTATGTAACAAAGAAATGTTAAATTAAAGTGAGCAAAAAATATTTATTATTAGTTGAGAGTTGAGACAAATGGCCACTTATTTAGACAAAAATATATCTATAGAGAATGATTTGTTCCAAGACAAAAAAAAAATAGAAAGAAAAAAGAAACAGTCGTGAATTTATAATAAAGCAAGAGTATGATAAGGTCTTAGCTGACCAAGTCCAAGATCAAAGCTATAGTAGTGTAGTCTGATAAAAAAAGATAATTTCCAATGGAACATTCATTTTTATTGTGATTAATACTGTTTTAACTTTATTTGGCATCTAAAACAATATTAGTATTAAAATGTATTAGGACCACTTATATACGTATGAATGAAATAAGAACCTTAATTTGTAAGAATTGATTTATCCAAAAAATTGCAGCAAAATATTTCAAAGCTGAAGTTGACATACAAGAGTGTAGTGTAACAGTAGTACCAGTAATAACCATTTATATGCATATGAACTTACTACATTCACAATACTTATCACTAATGGAATTTTACTATTTACTTATCTTTGTTTAAAGATATATACATATGCAAACTACTCTTTTTTTTTTAACCAACTACAAGCATATACTTAATTTACTGTGAAATTTACTTCAACGTATAAAGAACGTAACGTAATTTGTTGATTTAATAATGATAGCAAATACAGAAAAAATCTATAAGAGAAGGAAGGATAGAGAGAGATATTCAAAAGTTTTTTTTATTTTCCAAAAAGGACAGATATATTGGACCGAAGACATTTCAAACCTCTCTCCGCGTGGATTCCTCTTTTTCATTTTTTATTTATATTAAGTTCTACTTGTGAGATTAATAATTTAAATGGCGTCACTATCTTTGCGTCATTCAATCATTTTTTATATAAAAAAAATTTGGATCTCATTCATTTCGTCATTCAATCATATCTCCAGACAACACATCATTCAGTAACTAACTTGTAAATCACTTTTAGAGCTAATAAAACTCTCATGTAATGTGAGTAAGTAATCCACAAAAATATTTTGGAATAGTTCAGTTCACATATTATTGTCACAATCCGAACTTGTAAATCAACATATAACCGGAAACCATTACATAAAAATTTAAGAAGTGTCTTCTGAGTTGTAAACTTTACTGGCATTAACTAACGATCTGTATTTATTTTGTGTGGGTCTGTTTTTTTTATGTGTCAACGCTATATACCTATACATCAGTGTACACAATTCCCATTTTCTTATTTTATTTTCTTAGTAAGAATGAAAATAAATTAATTGCTCTAAGCCTCAACAAAATAATAAAAGGAGCAATGAATTCGTAAAGTTGGAGGGACAGGCCAAACTTAACAATCCAAACACTCACTGTACGGAAAACCCAAAACCAAAACCACTTCCTTTCAATTTGTTTAACACATTTAGTCAACGCTTTCACACTTCTTAACAAAATATCCCTTCAACTCTTTACTTTTGTCCTCACATATTTTTTTAAATATTGTCATCCATATACCACCAAACTACACACTATATCAGTATATATCAGTCTTTACATTTATATAATCCAACTGCATTTTTTACTGTAAACTTTACTCTCTCTTTTTTTTTTTTTTTTCGTCAAAAAAAACATACGGATGTATGACACTATCGGAAAGATACTCTCCGCTAGGGAGAGCCAACTGGGGGCCGAAGTGCTCATATGAGAGAAGATACAGGCTCGGACACGAGCTTTCTTTGCAAGAAAGTCAGCCTGGAGGTTGGAGAGACGAGGAAGAAATCGTAGGCGGAACGTCGGAAACATAGCTCGAAGAGACTTGAAGGAGGCTAATTCAGCAGCGAAGGTTGGCCACTCCTTGGGATTTTCCACCATTGCAATAAGATCAGAGCAATCTGAGGCGAAATGTACAGAAGTTTGTCCCAATTGAATCATACAATCCATAGCCCAAAGTAGGGCGTCAAACTCGGCATGGAGGGGCGATAAGCTCCGACGAATACTTCTAAGGCCTAAATGCTGGACAGAGAGAGCCTCAGTCAACACCCAACCCATTCCACACAACGAATCTGAAGGGTTCCAAGAGGCATCACAATGACATTCTAGAACAGCAGAATTGGCCATTGGAGATCTAGTCTGAGCGACTGAGAGAGCATCTGACTCCAAGTCTTTTGCCATAGCCCTTCGCCACACTTCCTCCTCTTGGAGGGCTAGGCATAGAGTTTCATCCGGTGGTACCCGGAGATTTTCGAAAACAAAACGATTGCGGCATTTCCAAATGAACCATAAAATCCAAGGAAAGGCTTGTAAAACTGTGGCATTTATCCCTTTTTCTTGACCCCTCCAGAAAAGGAAATCAAAATTAGAGAATAGAGAAGAACTTGGGAAGAGATTCCCAGAGGATGGGATGGGAGAGAGGGCCCAAACCTGACGGGCCAGGGGGGCATTCGAAGAGAAGATGATTAATTGTTTCTTCTTCAGCGCCACATTGGGGGCAACCTTTATCCCTTCCAATATGACGATAGTGTAGGCTATGACATGTGGCTAAACAACCAGATAAACATTGCCACAAGAAGTGCTTGATCTTTCGTGTTGTTTTAATTTTCCAAACTTGTGCCTGAAGTGCCGTAACACTGGGTCCCTGAGAAGGGAGGTCACAAGATGGTCGACAGAGGGCCTTAGCAGCCCAATATCTAGATTTCACAGTATAGTTTCCAGACTTAGTATGGACCCAACTATAATTATCACTCAGGTAAGTTCGACTGGGACGAATTCCCAAAATCAGCGGAATGTCCTCTGGAGCCACTAGTTCTTGAAGCCGGAATAGATTCCAATTTTGTGTATCTCTTATCAGGAGGTCGTTGACATAAAGATGTGGATCTTGAGTGCCAAGAATACTTTTAGCCGGTCGAGAGGGTATTGTTGGAATCCAAGGGTCACTTCCACACCCTGGTAATCATCCCAGACCCAATAGTTTTCCTTAGTCCAGAGACTAAGAGAGGCTTGGCGGCAAATATGCTTCTCCAGCCATATGAGGGGCGATTGGCCTTCTTTATCTCAAGGGGATCGCTATAGCGATAATATCTGCCCCGCATTACTCTGCTTAGGAGGGAGTTTGGAAATCTTAAGAGTCTCCAGAATTTCTTAGCTAGTAAGGCTAGATTAAATTCCTCCAGAGTCCGGAACCCTAGACCCCCTTCTGAGAGTTGGGTACAGAGTTTATCCCAAGCTACCCAGTGGAGGCCTTTACTATCTTCCTTTGAACTCCACCAAAAATTTGAAATGGCACTACTAAGCTTTATCCTAATGGCCTTAGGCAGTAGGAAACACGACATTACATATGTCGGAAGTGCTTGAGCGACTGATTTGATCAAAACCTCTTTGCCCCCTTTAGACAAGAATTTTATCGACCAAGTATTTATATGGCTCTGAAGACGGTCTCGAACAAAAGAGAAAACTTGGGTCTTCGAGCCATGAATTTTCTCCGGAAGCCCGAGATAAGTACCCATCCCACCCTCTAAGTGAATGTTAAGGGTATTTTTTATAATATTCCGCGTAGGAGTATCAATCTCATGTCCGAATAATATCGAAGATTTTGCCGCATTCAGTTGTTGCCCTGATGCCTCGCCATAACAGCGGATTATATCCAAAATTGCTTGGCCTTGAGCCGGGGTTGCCCGACAAAAGAAAAGGCTATCATCCGCAAAGAGTAGGTGGGATGTCGAAGGACTCGCTCTAGCAACTTGTAGCCCTTGAATCCGTCCAGCTCATTCTGCTTCAGTAAGTTGTGCTACTAAGGCTTCCGTGCACAAAATGAAGAGAAAGGGCGAGATCGGGTCGCCTTGGCGAATACCTCTAGAAGGTTGAATATGGCCTCTTGGCGAACCATTTATGAGGACTTTGTACGAAACAGATTTTATACAGAACATGATTAGGTTAATCCATTTTGGAGCAAAACCCATTTTAGCCATCAAAGCCTCAAGGAAGGGCCATTCCACCCGATCATAAGCCTTGCTCATATCTGTCCTGATAGCCATGAAATGTTTACGACATGAAGAGTTTGTCCGTAAGGCGTGAAAATTTTCCTGAGCAATCAGGATATTATCCGTGATAAGTCGTCCTGACACAAAGGCCGATTGTGTCTCGGATATAAGATCCGGAAGTAGTTTCTTTAGCCGTATGCTAAGAATCTTAGAAATGACTTTGTAACTTACGTTACATAAGCTAATTGGACGGAACTCTGTCAATGAGCGTGGTCGGTCCGTCTTAGGGATAAGACAAATGTTTGTCTCATTCAAGGACTTGTCAAAAGTTTCTGTGGTGAAGAAATCTTGGACAAGTTTGATCAAGTCACATCCGATGATGTCCCAGAATTTTTGGTAAAAGAGGGCCGTCATTCCGTCAGGCCCAGGGGTCTTTTCAGGATTAAGTAAGAAGAGAGCTTTCTTAATTTCCTCTGGAGAGATATTCTCCAGGAGCTTTTGGTTCATATCGTCGGTAATGCTCACAGGAACATCCTGGATGGAGGCTTGAACATTCCGAGGAGAGGAGGTTGAGAAGAGATCAGAGAAGTAATCAACCGCTAGCGCTTCAATGTCCTTTTCCTTAGCGACCCAATTATTTTCCTTATTTAACAAACCTGTGATTCTATTTCTGGCTCTCCGTTGTTTAGTTGTTGCATGAAAAAATTTGGTATTCTTATCTCCAGCTTGTAACCAAGATTCTCTGCTCTTTAATTTCCAATATAATTCTTCCTCGCGATAAGCGTCACAAAGTTTCCATTTCAAAGCAAGAATGGCTTCCGGAGAGAGGTTTGTATTCTCGTTTGCCTCATCTATCTGAGATTGGAGGGATAGGATGAGCTTTTGAGAATTCGTAATATTTGATTTCCTCCACTTAGAAATCGAAATTAGACAACTCCGAATTTTATGTGGGAAAAAGCCTCCTATGTGTCGCATATGGAAAGACCAGCCTTTTTTTACAGCCTCCTTAAACCCCGGTTTACCAATCCAACGTTTATCAAACATAAACCTTTTAATGAATTTTTGGGGTCTATTACTTATAGAAGCCAGAAGAGGCCGGTGGTCAGAACCCCACATCTTTAGATACTCCACATTTGTGTGGGAGAAGATATTGTGCCATTCTTCATTACCAAGGGCCCTATCAAGGCGAGAGCGGATAAGACCGCATTTCCTACGCCCTGCCCAAGAAAGAGAGTTTCCTTGGAAGGGGAACTCAAGCATGCCACAATTGTTAATCATTGCCCTGAAGGGGAGGAAGGAGGATTCAGAACGTTTCTTTCCACCTACTTTTTCATGATTCCCAATTATTTCATTAAAATCTCCGATCATAAACCATGGTTCAGACCTAGTGAGTCCTATTCGGGTTAGTCTTTCCCAAACTTCTTCTCGGTTTTTGACAACCGGATCACCATACACAAAGGAAACGAAAACGCGATTTCCATCAATAATAGTTTCAATATCCATAACACGGTCACTAACAAACAAGAGTGTAACCGGATAATCACGGGAATACATAAGGGCAAGTCCACCACTATAACCGGAAGGGTCAACAGTCTGGAGACAATCAAAACCTAAGTTCACTTGCATATCTTCTAAAAACAGACGATCATTTTTCGTTTCCGAAAGAAAAAGAAAACCTGGAGAGAACTTGCGGCAAAGCTCTTCCAGTCGGCGTTTCACCCGCCCCTTGACAATTCCAAGCAATGATCTTCATAGGACGTCACTCGGGGGAAGGAGGCCCCAACAACAATCGAGCACGGATCTGTGATCCGGAGAGAGGGGGATGGATAGGTGTCATGTTTTGGTAATGAAGAAGTTTTCTGGTTATCAAACTCTGGGATACAAACTGGGATCGTAAACGGATTCAAAAAGGCTAGGCTACACTTTTAGCTTTCTCTTGGGCCGTAAATCTCTGAGAAGTTCATTGAGAAGAGGGACTGAACACAACAGTGTTGAGGTATGGCTGAGGAGTAAAGTGTTGAAGGAGACTCAACAAAACACTATGAACTTTTCAGAAGCTTAATTCCAACGAAACCCCGCTCAATCTTCGGATCAGAGACGAAAAGAACAGCAATAGGCAGCAGAAACTCCAAAAAGGGAATACAGCTTCAAATAAACTACAGCAGCGTAGTAAAAAAATTCCATAGCCAAAACAGGGAGTAAGAGGGGGTTGGAAAAACGCCGGTACACCAGAAAAAGAGAGAACTAAAGGAAAAAGGGGTAGGGGGGACGAGCCCCATTCTCACGAACACACAGTGAGAATTTGAGCTAGTCTATACTCTTTTAGGTCTTCACTGCAACAGTGAGAAGGTTTTTCAACAGAAAATTCTGTCGAGACTTAAAAAACTGGATTCTGCAAAAGCTAAACAGAATAAAGCTTCCAAAACAGGGACCAAGCTAAGCCAATCCATAATCCAAAGAGAGGAGACGGAGAATCTTGCTTAACTTTACTCTCTCTTTTCGTTAACTTCCTTCATATTCGAATTACACAATATACTATATTGTTTTCGCTCTTTGACGTTTAAACATACAAATTACAACAAACATAGATATATTAATGGAAGGAACTCCAAATGCTGTAACAAATTACATCTTTTGAAAAAGAAAAAAATTGAACCGAAGATGTAAAGACTTGCTACTCAGAAGTTTTCAGAAAGCGGAAGAACACACATTAGATCCTCCACTAGTTCTCAGCTCCGAACACGGCCATGGACTGACCTTCATTGAGGTTCCAATAACATCTGCGCACTTCCACGTCCGGTACATATTCAAACTCCCATGGAGATTTATCTCACTCAAACATATCCCTGTGATTTGTTTTCCAATTTATACAGCCATATATGCGATGGGATATATAGTAAACAATGAGAAAATGTATTAGTATTTCTTTACCTGTAAATGGTGAACCCTTAAGGCCTTGAATAGAGCCAGCTTTTCGAACGTTTACTCCCCAAACGTTCTTGATATGTATTCCCTCAACCACTGGAAGAGCGTTCGGGTTATAATTCGCATCTGGGTGATCCCCAGTGTCACCTGCAATCTTGATACCGTACTTTGCTGTATCTACATAGACGTTAGAGATTCTGATGTTTTTAATGTATCCTCCACGACCAATGTTTGTTTTGATGTTGACCCCAACCCCCATATTGGATAGAGTGATGTGTTCTGCTACAATGTTCTTGATTCCACCTGATGTTTCGCTTCCTATTGCGATACCAGCAAACGGGGAAGATCCTGTGATGCGCCGTATCGTTATGTTTGAGCTTGGACGGCCATAAGCAATCCCATACTGGTCCCAACCGCTTTTGATGGCCACCAGGTCGTCTCCTGTTGAGATATAGGAGTCTTCTATGCAGACGTTGACGCTGGAATCTATCAACAAATTTAATCATGTTCAGATGATAGTAATCGGCTCTGATTCAGACATAGAATTGTCATTTAAGTTTGAGTATGTCTCAAGTTTGCACAACGATGAGCTGCAATCTCTAGCATGAAATAGCTATTATACACACAAAAACATTTTCAAGTTCCTATCTAACTAAGACACCACCAATCTAGTAGTTGACTGAAAAAAGTTAAGAGTTAGAAAAAACCTGGATCGATTCCATCGGTGTTGGGCGAATCTTGTGGAGCTAAGATGGTGACGTGATGTATGACAACCTCACTGCCACATATCAACGAGGAACAGAGTCAATACTAGAAGAAAAGGAAAATATATATTCTTGGGATATCTTAAGGCCAGGGTAGTAACTAGCTTTATATACCTGCAATACACTGGATGGATGTTCCAGAAGGGTGAGTTTTGGAAAATAACATTGGAGATTATAATCTCCTTAGAGTTCTTGAACTCGATTAGGTTCGGTCTTGTGTACTTTAGCGTTCTACTGCGCCACAAGTTCCACCATACTTCTCCTTGACCGTCTATTGTCCCGTTTTGTCCTGTGTATATAGTTTTACAATGTAATGTCAACACAGTGCTAAATATCATATTACCAAAAGGAAACACATTAAAAACACTTTGTTCCTCGACTTGTATCACTACTATCCATAATCCTCTGAGTAACTATAGTAAAAGTCTTCAAGCCATACATATATATACATATAACTGAGATGTAAGATGGTCAAAACTAACCAGTGATGACTACATCACGAAGACCATCACCATGAATTAAGCTCATATACCGTCCTCCTGGTAACTCCCTCCCTCTTCCATAAGAGGGCAAATGATCAATTAATGGCCAATTCCAGGTATCCTGAAGTCAACACACAGAGCAAAATCCAAAAGGTTACAAAACAATTCAAAAGATTCACATGCTGCGTTTAATCATAATATTAATGATCACCCAAATTTCCAAAGCATCCAAGTCTGAATAAAGTAGGCTCAATCAAAGTGGTGTTTTCTTGATTCTGTCTCAGACCAAATGGTTTATAATCTCAAAATCGGTCATAAGATACACACAGACACATTGATGATATGCACTACAATGACAAGTAGTGTTTGTTTTCTTCAGTCACTTATTCACTTGAAGACAAACTAAGCCTAACATTTTAATCAAATAAAAAATTGAACTTGAGATTCAACAATCAACATATATGGCAGCATCCTTACTTCATTGATCTGAGATTATCACTAAACAAAAATGGATGCCCATAACTGCCCATAGTCCCAACTATACTTTACACTCTAACCAAAATTTAATCTATGGTGCTTAGGTGAATCTCTTAAATATTTTCTTTAATATAATATGACATACACTAATAGCGAATAAACTAACCAAATCTTGACAAAATTGGAAAACGCGAAGGACAAAAATTGCCAGCTATGTAAACATCGACATAAAAGCAGTACACCACATGCATACAATAACGTTTTAGCCCCGAAAAGGTCCCATGATGCTTTGGTATTGGACCTACCTTTACCAATACCATACCCCATACTTATTACTCATCACTTATCATATATACGTGCATGGTTCCCTGAATTAATTGTTACATAAACTTGATCACAAAGACGAACTCAATTCCATTTTCAGAAATCCAGATCCAAGCAAACAAGCAAAACAAAAAAAAAAGCAATTCTATTTTTAGAATACTTTGCTTAATAAAAACATACATAGTTGACAAAATTTGAAATGAAATATCTTCACTAGCAACTCGATCATTGCAGTATAATCAGCCACAGTACTATCAAACTCAGTTCCAGAAATCAGATAAAGACCACTCAACAAGAAACAGTAGTAACCATAAATACATTAGTCACACTGCCTAATGAACTAACTTAAATTTCAAATCAGCAGCTAACACATTATACCCAAATCCAAATTCAGAATTAAAAAAACTGAAGTAATAAACCCAAAAAAAGCAACAAAAAATCATAACTTTACCTGAACAGCTTTGATAACAGCTCCTCTAGCCAAGTAAAGAGTCATATGGCTAGTGAGATTGAAGCTCTCAGTCAAATAAACTCCCGGAGGTATATACAAAAGCGTACCCCCTCTCCTCTTCAGATGCTGAATCCTATACATCGCCGCCCTAAACGCCTTCGTGTTCACCGTCCGGCCATCCCCCACGCCTCCGAAGTCTGTTATCGAGATCTTATCGTTCCGGTACCGTAACGGGACTATACCGGAGCACGTCACCTCCGAATCGCCGAACGACGACGACGAAAGGACGAGACATGAGAAGAGGAGAATCGAAGCTGAGAGTCTCCACATTTTTGGTTTGTGACAAGGAGATGCCTACACGGATTGAGATTATAATGTAAGGTTTCTTTGGGATGAGAGTAAAATCTGTAGAATTGTCTAAATTGTGTTTTTTCTATTTAATCCCATAAAGCGCGCAGTTTAATATAAGTGTGAAAACTTCAGTGGAAGAAGGCACGTGCTACCACACGTGTATCAACGGGCTAATACAAGCTAGATTTGTTTGGGCTTAACTTTAGAAGCCCAATAAGGATCAACATTTTCTCTTTCATTTATGTAGTAGGGTTTTTATTTATTTAAAGTTTTGGGTTGGTTTGTAAAAAAAATTGGGAGCTACGATCAGAAACACAGCGATCGGAGATGGAGATGGACAGTCCGTTGGTGCGTCTATGCATAGAGGAAGCTTGTAAGAGCGGAGATGCGGTGGAACGATGGCGCCTTCAGCGGCGGAGTCTTGAGAAGCTGCCTCCTCACCTTGCTGATGCTCTCCTCCGCCGCCTACTCCACCGGCGACTTCTTTTCCCTTCGTTACTCGAGTAAGCTCTTTTATTTCCTTACATAATTATGGTCGTTTTTAGCATGCATCTCGTTTCTGATCTCGAAATGGTGAGTTATATATGCTTGGATTTGAGCTATTGAGTGATCGTTGGGGTCTTAGTTTTATTTTTGGTAGAGAGATTTGATTAGAAATTTTCGTTTCTCTTTGTTTTATTGGACTTCATGATGGAGTAGTTATTATTGAGTTGTTAGATCTGGTAGTACTAGAGTCGTGTTGGTCTTGGTACTTTGTTGAGGGTTAACTTCATTTTAGATTAGTCAAAGTTGAGGTAATGCAATGATTGATTCGAGACTGAAATATTGAGAGCTCTGTCAGGATTTATAGTTTGGGCAAATATCACTTTAATCTATATAAACAAGCTCAACCAGGAACCATTACTTGGTATCTCTATCACAACTAAGCAAGACTCTGTTCTGTGCAGAGGATTCAAACATTCTGTAGAGAATATAGATCTCCGAGGCGAAAGCTCCATTAACGCTGAATGGATGGCTTACATTGGAGGCTTCGCTAATCTATTGTCTCTAAACCTTTCAGATTGCCAGAGAATCAACAGCTCTTCCCTCTGGCCTATCACAGGTATGTTACATGAAATACCTTTGATTTTGCAATCGAAGTTTATGACAAATGTGAGTTTTAATTTTTAATATGGTATTGGATTCTTTTTAGGATTAACTAGCTTGACCGAGTTGGATCTTTCAAGATGTATGAAGGTTACAGATACTGGTATAAAGCACCTCCAATCTGTTGTAAACCTGGAAAAGTTGTGGATTTCACAGACGGGTGTTACAGAAGCTGGGATTTCTCTTCTAGCTTCGCTTAAAAAATTGTCTCTTCTAGATTTAGGCGGCTTACCTGTAACTGATCAGAACTTGATTTCCCTCCGGGTACAAGATTTTTACCTTTGCTCTTTCTTTATTTTGTAATCACTAGTTACTTAGGTTGTTGATGATTTAGTTTTGACTGCTTGATGTATGTGATTTAATTGTGTAAGTTCAATGGTTGTTATATATCTTGTTAAATAGTAAGAATTCTGCTAAATCTGTAATGTTCTATGTTGAGTGAGGAGTATTATGTGCATAGAAACTATTTAGTCTTATTTCAGGATTATGGATTATCTATTTAGTCTTATTTCAGGATTATGGATTATGTAGTTCAAGCATCTTGTTGGTTACTCAACCTTATTGATAATCCATACAAAATGAAGTTCGTGTATGTGCGATTTAGTATCCTTGCGATAAGTATTTACTACAAACATACGTACCGGTGTAAAAAATATTTATGAACCTTCCTCTGACCGCCAGTTCCTTTTTGTCCTCAGGCTCTAACAAAGCTAGAGTACCTTGACATCTGGGGAAGCAACGTAACCAACCTAGGAGCTATCTGTATACTCAAATTTTCAAACTTGAGCTTCCTCAATCTCTCGTGGACCAGCGTCACACAGACTCTGAACATACCTCACCTTGAATGCTTACACATGAACAAGTGCGACATTGTCTCCATATCAAAAACGCATAGCTCCCCCTTAGCTTCCTTGAAAAAGTTAGTTTTGTCCGGAGCTACTTTTAGTGCCGAAACCGAGTCCTTTTCCTTCACCAACCAAAGCTCGATAACCTACTTGGACGTTTCCAACACCCCCCTCCGAAAATTCAGTTTCTTAGCTACTATGATTAACCTGGAACATCTTGATCTCAGCTCCACAGCATTTGGGGATGATTCTGTTGAGTTTGTAGCATGTGTTGGCGAGAGTCTGAGGATTCTTAATGTCTCATATACAAAAATCACTTCTGTTGGGGTCGGGAATCTTGCAGGACATGTGCCGCAACTCAACACATTATCTCTGTCTCAGACATCTGTGGACGATCTTTCCATCTTACTTATCAGCACCATGATGCCTTGCATTAAAACCCTTGACTTAAGCATGACCAGGATCCAAGGTATGTATGAGCCTTATGAAACCTAATGAGTGAAATAACCACAATATAACTTCACGACTTTCTTTCCTTTTTCAGGATTTATGCAGCGACAAACTCAACAAGCAGAGCCGTCGTTTGCAGCACTACAATCTCTAACGTCCCTTGAAATCCTGAGTCTAGAACATGCGTACCTGAGCGATACTGCTCTCTCTCCTCTAAGTAGCCTTACCGGATTAACACATTTGTCCCTTAAAAGCACTTACCTCACAGATTTCACTCTCCACCATCTTTCCTCTCTCCCAAACCTAGTCAGTCTCGGAGTCCAAGATGCAGTTTTGACCGACAATGGTCTCGAGAAGTTTAGCCCACCTTCAAGGCTGAGAACACTTGACCTCAAAGGTTGTTGGCTTTTAAGCAAAGAAGCTATCACTGCTCTGTGCAAAAGGTACCCTCACATTAAAGTGAGGCATGATTTTGCAGATGACTCTTCTTCTCTCGAACAAAATCAACTTCTTCCTCGCTCATCGCCTCTTGAAAAGTCCGGGAGGAGGAGGAACAACCAGAGGCCTGAGAGTTCTGTTGCTGTTCCCAGGAATTTCGTAGGTTCGCCCTTTTCTCACTAACTCTCTCTATTATAACAATTTATAAGGAAGAATGGCTCAAAATTTAAATGTGTGATATTTGTGGATACAGATCAGAGACTGAAGTACAATAGGGAAGAGTTGGTTGCTCTACAAAATTCGCCTTTGTCACAATTGCTTCCACGGGAAGTACTTGTCAGTGTACCAGATATTCTAGCTGATTTGTAATTCAATGATGTCCAAAAGGGGTTGAAAATCAAATTATGGGAGATCTTAGCATCTGTCTTGTTGTCAGTTTTGGCCTCATTTTTCCTTTTCAAATTTGTTAGAAGATGTTTAAGACAGTCAGTCAGTTTTGCTATCTGCCTGTACACGATACGTTTACTAAATTGCAATACTACATTTTGGATATTAGTTTCGACTTTTTGCGAAAATAGCTGAAAAGTAATGTATTGTCTGTTTGATCGGATATTAGCTTCCACTTAAACAATGTGATATGGCTAACATGTATTTTATTGAAAAGTTAGATAACATTAAAGTAGATTTTTCCAAATAAAAGAGGTTTAGCGGCTGTGATCTGACGCTATAAAAGTATGAAAGACCGAAAATATTGTACACAGATGATAAGAAGAGCCAATTAAGTATTAACAGTCTTGCAAGAGACCCAAAGAAAACGTAAGCAAGAGACCGACCATGAGGACGAATCTACCCTCTGGAAGCAAATTTTTCATTTGTGGTCTTGTACATTTCATCGATCACACTCTGTCAGATGAGGAAGAGACCGTGTTAGTACTAAATAAAAATGGCAGTAGATTTTGACGTTTATTAGATGTTACAATACGCAATTGAGCGTTTCTGTATTACCTGGTAGTATTTTTGTAACTGAGGCCTTTTCTTTTTGTAGGTTGGCGTAAGAAGATCGCGTTCCATGTCAAACGGCACAGGGTCTAGATGAATTGCCTTGATGATCTCGAACCCCTTCATCTGCAAAATCAAACACAATCAAATAAAATGATATAAATGTAGACAACAACGAATCATGAATCCATTGATGGTCAACTCAAATGAAAAAAAAATATCTAGGAATAACCTTTTTCTCTTTGGCCATTTTAACAAGTTCTCCTAGTATGAATTCCTTTGCCTTTGCATTTTGACAGAGAGCCTCGTAATCACCGCTCACACCGTTTTCTGCAGCCCAGTGTTCAAGGATATGCTGGTTTGGATTGGCGACTGCGACTAGGAATGACTCAAAGCTGTTTCCGTACACCCACACCTAATAATTTTGATGAAAAGTGATTAGATGAGAATCTACCAAACCTATGTGAGGGAGAAGACTAAAAACTGCAGCTATACTTACGGAATCAACAGCTTGCACTTCACCGTAGATGTTTTCTATGTTCTCAACCGCCACATACTCTCCTTGTGAGAGTTTAAAGATATTCTTCTTTCTGTCAATGATCTTCATGCTTCCATTTGGTTGCCACTCACCGACATCACCTGAGAGTATGAAAAGAAGAGTGTGAGAACTGAGAAGAACCCACCGGATTCCAGAAACCGATATTCTAACTAATTCTAAATTAATTGAATACAGCTTCAGAGAAAGGAATACCTGTGTGCAGCCATCCATCAATGAGAACCTCCTTTGTGAGGTCTTCACGTTTGTAGTATCCAGAGAAAAGGGTTTTTCCTCGAATGCAGATTTCACCACGTGGAGTACTTGCAAGAGCGTCATATTCCATCTCAGGGACAGACTCAAGGCGTATATCAACGTTTGGCACTGGTGGACCAACTGTGCCGAGCATGTCCAGCTTGTCTGGCAGCGAGACAAAACTTCCAGCACAGCTTTCGGTAAGACCTACATAAAAATAATCATACAAGGAGAAAACAGTTAACTAATCACATTCTCTGTTAATGAGGGATTAATATACTACGATTAACAGAATCATTGGGAGACTCAATGGCAAAGACCCATGGGGAGACTCAATTGTAATACGTTCAGACAGAAAAATAGTCCATTTGTTGCTCACATTCATAGGATTGATGTGTAATAGTGTCTTTATTGAAACTGGTTTGTTTATGCAGTTAATTACTATCTAAAGAATTCAGTTTAGTGAATGGGTACCGTATCCTTGTAGAACATGACAGCATGCCACCACTCTCAGAAATGACTCTACATGACTAGCAAGAGGAGCAGCTCCAGATAAAATAATTCTCACATTGCCTCCGAGTCCTTGTTTAACCTGAGCGAGAAAGCAATAAATTAGTTGCTATGAAATTTTACGGAAGAGTGGTAGCCTCTTTAAATATGTGTACCAATTAGCAGCAGGCTATTTTAATGAACTTTGCTACCTTGCTGAACACAAGTTTGTCACACATTGGTGAGGCCTCCACATGAGACTGTCCCTTCTTCATATGTCCAAATTTACTGCAAATGTTAGAGTGTGTTAGATCTAACATAGATAGGTGAAACAGATAAGCAACGAGAATTCTGACTTACTAGGAAAATGCAGAATTAAACAGCAACTTTTTCAAGAATCCACCATCAGAAAGCTTCTTCTGAAGACCTGTTGGACATAATAGGTCAATGTGATAAAACACGGTTAAGTCAAGAGAAAAAATTAGGATATACATAATTAGAACGTGCAGAGGATTCACCAAAGAAATAAAGAAGTAAGCCTAACAGAAAATTCTTGGAATTGAGAATAATATTTACATTTGGGTGGTTAACGTGGTATGAATGTAAAGGCTCGGAGACAGATATTTGGAATAAACAGATGGGGAACTGAAAATACTTGGAACATATGATATTTCAAACATCTGACCTGAGTATACTCTATCCAGGACACGAGGTACAGCGCAGAAGATAGTTGGTTTAAGCTCACCAAGGTCTTCTATCAACAATTTGACATCCTAAGGAGACAACCCAGAGAAAGTTAAAGTAACAAACTCAAACTGGTTTAAATTATAATCTTTGAGCTGTACTGACCCCACGCCAGAAGCCAATTGCAGCACCGTGTTGAATGAAACACTCCTCGATAACTCGGTCAAAGATGTGGGCAAGCGGAAGATAAGAAAGATACACATCTTTCACGGACAACTATTGATTTGCACAACCAAAAAGAAAAACGATTCAGACAAAGGCAGGTACAAGAGAAACTAAATGATTGCAGCTTTTTTGTGGATAATGACAAATGCATGAAAGCAAGAAGGAAACTCACGGCCTCATTAGCGCTTTTCAGTAGACGGATCACTCCGGCGATTAGTGTAACAATACTTTCATTAGATATCATCACTCCCTTTGGGTCACCAGTGGTTCCACTAGTATACATAATCGTGCAAATGTCACTTTTCTTTTTGATGGGGAGATCACATTGCTTTCCATCACCCTGGGGGAAACATTCGTGATTGGAAAGTAAAAACATGATAAGCATAGATAATAGACCACTCACATAATCAGTATATTTCAGGAAAAGCAAATGATAAGTTTCATACCAGCTTCAAAAATTCATCCCAAGCATATATGTCCAACCCAAAATTTTTAGCTTCTTCTCTTTGCTCATGTGAGACACCACCGAAGCTCACAACAGCTGTACTTATAATTAAGCACATTCGATCATAAGCATCATAAGTTAAAGGCCAAACGAGAATCAAAATATAAAAAAAGAATTACTCACTTTTCATGTACTCTGTCGAGTTTGGGCATGTCTTAAATAACTGATAATTAAAAGGAAAAGGAAGTGATGAGAAAAAGTTCCCCAAAGTATAAAATCTGGTCACGGTCATTGATACATAAAAGTGATAAAAAAGACATTTAACATGACTACATTAGAGATGTACTCTTACTGTACCTCAGTAATCTTTTTCTCTTCCACAAAGACGATTGAAACCTCTGAATGGCGAATAATGAATTCCACAGCACCAGCACCTATATAGTTAAGACACAGCGAAAATGACAAATCAAAGAACTAAAAATACTGTGGCAGCCCACTGGATACTGACTGTGCATTTATCCTTCTGGTATAAATTGGAAACGACTGAAAAAACATACCTAGTGTATCATATAACGGAACACAATAGAGTCCATGTGCATTACAGGCCTAAATCAAAATTTCACTGTCAGTCTCTTACAAAACACAATCAATGATATTATCATGATCCATCCAGCCAATAGATTACCTCCATGCTTATAATCCACTCAGGAGAATTGGCACCATAGATACCACATTTTGCTTCCTAAAATCCCACATATCAGCAAACACAAGATTAAGAAACTGTGAAACCAATCACATCTGAAGCAGAAAAAAGAAGGAAATAATGATACGAAAGATAGATAATCAGGAAGGAAAAGATGGATCTTACATCCTTAACTCCATGACTTCGGAGAGAATTTCCGAGTTTGATGACAATGTCGTAAACTTCTTGGTATGTTTGCCAGACATACTTACCCGGCTGAGAAGAATCAAATACAAGTGAATAAATCCGTAATTACTTCACACAAAAAAAATAAAGCCAAAAAAAAAATGGAAACAGCAACAACACCTTTCCATCCACAATCTCGCGGCGTCCAAGCATTGGATTGTTTGGATACTTCTCCACTACAAAAAAAAAAAAAAAAAAGGTCAACCAAACAATATCACCAAAATAGACGACACAAATCATAAAAATTGTCAACCAAAATACATGCAACTAAAAATTAACCACATGGCACTCAAAACGAAAAATGGCGAAATTACTTTAATGCAAAATGATTAACCAATAACAAATTACATTTCTAATGATTAGAGCTCTTAAATAGATCTGCTTACGATCCGCAAAACTTAAACACACATAAGTCAAAAACCCAGATAAACAGTATACGAAAGTAAACTTTATAGTCCTTACTACTTGAAAACAATTTCAAAACTAAGTCAGAACCATTTCCACGATCAGTCAACAGGAGCTCAAAATCTCAGCAGGGGACTCATGCAAAAACAAAACTCCCGATCTATGCTTGAGCTCAAAAGGAAAAAAAAACTCACCGGAAAACATCCCAACAACTATCCATTCCTTCGATCGGCTCGGGGAAGCCGTCCTTAGCAAAGATACTGCGGTAAACAGGTCCAACTGAAGGTCTACCATCGCTACCTTCTTTGCCTTCCTCAACCTTGAATATGTATTTCTCCGGCTCCGCCATGATCGATCAAACTAACCAGAAACTTCTTCTTCTTTCTTCTGAATCGTGGGGAAAAGTGTGAGAGAAATAGGGTCCACGCGGTTGTGCAGATCGGAGGAGAACAAGTTAATAAATACGCCTGGCCTGCCTACTTCGATTGTGATTGGTTGCTCTTCGCTGACCATAACTTGTCAAAAAGTCAAAGTTCATATTCAACCTCTTAATGGGCTTCCTACCATCATATAAAGCCCAATAAAGTCAATATTATGATTTTTTTTTTTTTTTTTTTTTGTGAACCAGTCAATATTATGATCTTATCCGAATGAAATTTAGATTTAGCCAATAATTTAGATTTTTAGCAGGTAAAACAACAGAAAAACAAAACAAAATCAACAAGTAGACATGAAATGTAAGTTGTCGAAAAAAAAAAAAAAAAGACATGAAATGTAAGTAATTCGCAAATCAGTGACTAGATCAATGATATTAACGTATATCAATTTTTTTAGCACGAATTTGAAATCGCGATATCCTTCATTTGACAAATGAGTACATATTTTACATGTAAACTCTCGTATCGTATCCAGCGCCCAATATTTTAGAATTTTAGTTGATGATATAAGAGAGCGTGGAGGGAAAAAGGGGAATAGTGTTTAGCGGGAAAATGTCAATAAAGTCCCTGCTGTATATATTTAACTTTTTTTTTTTTTTAGTATCGCTACGCTAGAATAGATCCTTCTTTCTCCCCAACCCTTGTGTGCTAGCGAGCTTCTTATTACCTTCATTTCCCCCAAAGTATTTCTCTCTCTGCCTTGGTTTTTCTTCTATGTCTTAAAAAGTGAGAACCTTTAGGTATTTTTCAAGTCTGACAACTTCATCAATTACTGGGTATGTTCCGATTTAACATTACTTTGTTTTATGTTTTCGCTGAAGAATCTAGGGTTTTCATTTATTTTTTTCCAAGGAATTTAGGGAATTTCTCATTTGAGGTTTTCAAGTGGCGTTACTTTTATCCAATTTCATGTTTTTGGTGGTGATTTCAGCTGGATTTCTTGTGAGGAGTGATTGCGGAAATGGCATCGGGTGGTTTCGAAGAGGATGACGCTGAGGGAACTATAACGATCAATGAATATATCGAACGCATGGACGCAGAAGAGCTGGTAATGTGGTTCTCTTTTCTCCATTGTATCAATTTTACATGTTCCTGATGATTCTTACTAAAGTTGAATACTTTCCCCCATTTTCACTCCTTGGTTAGTCATTTTGAAGGGACATATAGGTTCCTGATTTTGGGGGTTTTTGTCTACTTATGTTAACACTATTGCGGAAGCCTTTAAATTTGAATTCCGTTATGTCCAGAAATTGAATTGCGACCTTCAATTCACCGGCTTTCTGAATCTAATACAGTATTTTGGATGGGGTTATTGTACAGTTTCTGAGCTTCGAGCTTACTAGTTATGATTTGTCTGCGTCTCTTTATCTGTTTGTACTACTACACTAGTGTCTGTGTTTCTGTAATATCTTTCATTAACTGCTTTTGTGATTCTTGGTGTGAAGGCAGCGGATTTGGTGTTGGGTGGAGATGAGGGAGATGAGTGTACTTACCCCAAGGGTTACATGAAAAGACAAGCAATTTTCTCATGCATTACATGTACACCAGAGGGGGGTGCTGGTATTTGCACTGCTTGTTGCCTATCTTGTCATGATGGCCATGAGGTAAATATTTGGTACATGTGTAGCCCGATTATGTACCTTCAAATTTGACTTCGATGTGTTTATTGGTTTCCTAATGGTTTGAACATTGTTGTTCTGGTTATGAAGCTTTTGGAGCTGTGGACTAAGAGAAATTTTCGATGTGATTGTGGGAACTCCAAGTTTGGAACTTTAGCGTGTAAGCTTCTCCCTAGCAAAGATATAGAAAACTCTGAGAATTCTTACAACCATAATTTCAAAGGCTTGTACTGCACTTGCGGCCGACCTTACCCTGACCCAAATGTGGAAGAACAAGTGGAGATGATACAGTGCTGTCTCTGTGAGGATTGGTTTCACGAGGAGCATCTTGGTCTCAAACCTTCAGACAGTGTTGGTAGCCAGGTCAGTGGCCAGTGCTTAATCTTGTGTACGATTGACTTTTCTTTGCATTTAAGTTCAATTTCTATTGTTATTATAACAGATTCCAAGAGATGAAGAAGGCGAGCCGATCTATGAGGATTTCATTTGTCAAAACTGCTCTCCACTTTGTTCGTTTCTGACACGTTATCCTGAGAAATTGTGGGTTGCTGCTCAAGTAGATTCCACAGGTTGTGCTAATGCTTGTTCAGAGACAGTTGAGTCAAACAAAACCCACATGGATTCGGAACCCGGCCAGCTAGAGAACAGTACTGAAGCCGAGAAATCTGTGATGCGTAAATGTTCTGAGAAGATCAGTAAATCTGAACCTGGCAATCTTGAGAACAGTTCTGAAGCAGTGGAATCTGTTGTGCAAAAATGTTCTGAGAAGATCATTGACTCTGAACCCGTTCCTGCCAATGGTTGTGCTATTGGGACGGATATAAACTCCTTTCCTGATTTTGAGAAGAAACCTTTGTTTTTGTCCAAAAACTGGAGGAACATCCTATGCAGATGCGAAAAGTGTCTTGAGATGTATAAGCAGAGAAAGGTAAGCTATTTACTTGATGCAGAGGATACAATTGTTGAGTACGAGAAGAAGGCGAAAGAGAGAAGAACAGAGAAACTGGAGAAACAAGAAGGTGAAGCACTTGATCTTTTGAATAATCTCGACCACGTAGCCAAAGTTGAAATCCTTCACGGTATCAAAGACTTCAAAGATGAATTGAAGGGTTTACTGGTATATATCGTCACCTCTATGAAAAAATTTGATTACATTTCTCAGGAACTCTCATCTAAGAGTTTTTTTTTTGTCTTATGTAGGAGTCTGGTAGTGGTGGGCCGTCAAAGGCGATAACATCTGCAGATATCGACCAAATGTTTTCAAATCTGAAAAACAAACGCAAAAGGATGGAGTGAGAGGAGAGTTATGAGATTTTAAGGTAGTAAAACTCTTTTTTCATCTGATGGTAACTTTCTTTAGATATGTTGTTTCGTTAGTTTGAAATGGGAAGTGAGGAGGTTCCTTGTTCCTCTGCTCTGGTCTATCTTTATTTTCTAAGTTAGGCAAAAAAAAAACTCTTTACTTCAGTGTATGAGGTTTGTAGCGTAATTGTAACAGTTGACTATTATATATAAGCTATTAGTTCTAGAACTACTATTTACTATTTTTCAACTGGTTTTGCATTGATTTTGAATTACAAAGAAACTCCACTATGTGTAAGAAACGCTTAGGCCAGATGACCAACGCATGAAGTACTCTGAACATGCTAAAAGGAGATATCTAAACAACTCATAATAGAGAGGGCCTAAACAAAAATTAGAAGCAAGGAACAGGAGCAACAATAACACAATGATCGTCTTCTCCAAATCAGAAAGATCCTTATAGTCACCGAAGACCACCCCTTGGGGCATACAAAGGAAGTCTAAAGATCAGCAACCACACTTTTCGCATCCCATATGCTCCTTTGTCTGAGTGTAGGTGGTTCTGTAACAATGTCCCACTTGAGCATTCCTGCATACCTTTATTCTAGAGCATGCTAAAAGAAGAGCTAGCCTTAGTACCTAGAAGAAGAAGACAACTATTCTAAATTGGGCCATTAAAAGTACTTATATTTTAGGTTTTGGGCTTCGAAAAACCAAATTCAGTTTGCATGTGAGATCGATCATATAAAATAAGAGTAGAATATGAGATCTGTTACTGCCTGACCAACAAAATGTATTTGCTACAAAACAAAACAAGAACAGAATACTTTCACCTCAGTTATTGGTTTTATTTTTGTCGACATAAGTTATTGTTGATCTAATAAATAAAAAAATATTGATCAAAGTTGGAAGCTCGTGAGTCGTGGCCCCTTAGGGAAGAATAAGTAACGACAACCCCCGTGACACCTCCACGTACATGTCGTCCTTTTGTAAGTTTCCACGAAGTTTCTCCCATTGATGAGAAGAATTTGATGCACTCCAATTATTATATAACGCGTGGTGCTTAATGATAGGATCATCTTGACAAGATCGCTTATTAATGAGGCTTTTACGTTTACATGTGTTGTAGGACTAGACTATGGTGAAATTATATTTGGTGATCAAATGTTATTATAAGAATAAATGATTCAAGTGTGGTATCGCATCACAATCGCACACTTAAGCAAACGATGTAGCCATTACAACGGTTTCAAGTTTCAACTGTATTTTGTGTACCTTTTAGTCTTATGAGAGTGTTTGAAACTTCGTGAAATGGTTATCTAGTTTTGATTTGAGTTTAAGAAACCGGTTTTGTTGGTTATTTTTGTTAAAATCGATCTTGTACTATTGGTCCGTAAAATCCGGAGAGAATAATTCAAAAAAGAAATGGGCTTGACATTGTTCTGAAACAGATCATACTATGAATGATTGGATTCTATTAATTGATTGAATATTTCTCTGAGAGGGAAACGAATATGAATGTATCTAACTACAACCACAAGCTATGTAACATGTAAACACTTATTTAATGAGTAGATGAGTGATTATATTCGGATTAAAGTATACTACTATATGTGACTATTGAATCTAACGACGTTTATAATAAAAATGAACAAGACAGGTTGGTGGTTGGTATAAATGTGAGTATGCCAGGTTTTAACACGGTTTTGGTTTGGTTTAAAGACACCAACTAACCCGATAGAACATGTACTTTCCTTCTTATGTCTTTTACTCTCATCATAATTATTTTTCTACGAAAACAATAGTATTTTTCTAAGATAGGATTACAAGGTAGTAAAGTACAATGTCCAGTATATTAATTAATTACTAGCCAAATTAATTCTTATACAATATGCAGTAAATTATGATGCGTGCATGAACAGTTTCTACGTACTCGCATTGGATATTAATTGAATTAGTATAGTTTTCTTTTGACTAGTATGAACTTTGATTAACTTAATAACCTAACTTATTACGAGAAAGAAAAAAGAAGAAGAATACGACGTTATTTTCTATCAAAGATTTTATAACAACAAACTCGCAAATTAAATCAATTGAAAGATCTGAAAAGGTCTCACGATTCGTCAGCTTAATTAGTTAAGCCATCGCCGTTAATGTTGTTAGCAATATCGTCTTCTCTCGCTATATCACCATTGATTGGTGACGTCTAATTACTTTATTTAGCTTATTGAAGTTGACGTGTTTAGCTTTTCAGTTAATTTCAGTTTCTTCACAAATATATTGCAGTGGAGTAAGTAGTCTACTTATTTGTTTTGCATATAGTTTAATTTTGTATAATTCGATTATCATAATTAAAAGTTTCAATTCGATTATCATAATTAAAAGTTTCAATTTGATTTTATATATGGTTAACTAAACTAAACTGGAATTAGCATCACATAACCGCATAAACAAACTTTTGGTTGGTCGAAAAATCAATTAAAATAACAATGATATATAGTATATACTTTTATATTAAAAAATGAATCCAACAGATCAGCATCCTTATCATGAGTTATTGATCCATACATTAAACAGAAACGCACAAGCATTATATATAAACTCAACATCACGCAATGATCCATACAACTCTTCAAGCATCCATCAACTTGACCCACACAGAAGAAGAAAAAAAAGAGAAGAAGAAAGACTTTTTTTCTTGGGCATATCCCAAGTTTTCTTTTTTCTTCCTCTTAACCTTTTTTTGTGGGTACGTACGTACTTTTATTTTTTTTGTTCTTGTTGTTAAATCTACTTTTAAAATTTTATTTTTAAAAAATGGGAAACTGTATGATGGGAGGAAACAAGATTGAGAAAATGGTTAAAGAAGAGGAAGAAGTAATGAAGAAAGATTACAAGAGAAAGGATCGTAAAGTGAAGATTGTTTTGAGAAGAGATGAGTTGGAGAAACTCATTCTCTTCCAGTTAAACGCTGGCGGCAACGTCGAAGGCAAAGGAGAAACAACTTTGGCTTCTTTTGGAGATTTTCTCAGGGAGTTAGAGGCGGAGAGATTTGCCGGAGAAGCGGCTGCTAAGGCGGCTGAGGAAGAGGAGGAGTCTCGCCGGAGAAGTAGAAAGTGGAGGCCGTCGTTGGAAAGAATCACTGAATGGCCTGAAGAAACACTTTCGTAATCACTTTCTTTAATCTTTTTTTTTTTCTTCATTTTAGAGATTTTTTTAAGGCTTTTTCTTTTATTTTCTTATTTGAATAGGATTTTCTGTAGGGGAGTTTGCTCTTTTGCTGATTGTTTTTCCCTTTTTTTACCGAGGGATGTTTTTTTTCACCTGAGAATTGTGTTTGACTCAGAGTGTTTGAAATCGGCAAAGGCTTATTTACCCTAGAGAAAATCCAAAGAAAAAAAAAACGAAATTATGTATTTTTATTTTCGTATGTCATGTAAGGTTTTCTGTTTGTCAACATAAATAAAGTAGTAGTTGTAGTATAAATTTGTTTTGTTGCTTCTAAATCCATACTTTAATTAACCAATGTGGTGATGATTAAGTTAGGGTTTTAACTATAAGTGATGCATAGATTAGTTGAAAAATATCTCAATGCCATTTCGAAAAATGGAAGTACATGCACTGATATTCGATAACTTTATGTGACTTGTGCATCAAATAAGTGTATATATAAAAATGATTTGCATAAAAGAGGGGGAAAATGCTTTATACTAAAAAGTGTGGGTAGTTGATTGTCAATTCTAATTAATTTACATTAAGCTTTTTGTTGAAACCTACCCACAACCACAACATTAATCAACGCATAACTGTTACAAGAATAATTATTAATACGTCCTACTACCACCATTATTATCTAAAATTATACTATTATCTACCTGTGATGAAGGACCCAGCTGATCTGTCCTCTTCTCTCTTTGGACATGTATGTAGAAAAAGAGACTACATAGATATGATCAATAATATAAAACTAATCAACATTTACCTTTTTCTGTAGAAATTATATCAATACCAGGATAGCAAACACAATGTCAATTGGTAATAACTTGTCAAGTGGGAAGGTTGTTAAAGGGTGAGGACCTGAGTTCGAGGAACGCCAGGCGCACCAATAACCTACCTAGTGGGCCAGGAGGCTGCGAGCAAGTGGACTGCGCAGTTTGGTCCCATAGGAGAGAGGTTATGGTCGATGCGCTGCAGCGCTGTAAGGATGCCATGTGGCGGGATGTGCCACATGGCGGATGATCCCACTGGACGAGTTGTTACATAAAAAGTCCAAAACTCATATTATCGTAGCTAGAGACCAATAAAATTTACAATATTTGATACATTAGCTTTAGCTATATAATTTTCTGTTCTATAAAAAGAAAACATCTTCTTCAATTGTATATTTGTGTATAGAAACACCATGGTAAGAAACTAACAAAAGATAGGGATATATAATTGGGTAATCCATGAATTCGGCTTCACTTATTTTGTTCAATCAACTTATCTCCACCATATGCCTTGGAAAATATAACTCATGGTTTGTTCAACGTTCTATGCTTTGTTTCTGTGACAGAGGTTTTTTGTGTTGGAATATACTAATGTCAAAAATTTAACACATTCTTATTTATGAGACAACAACGAAATATTTCCCAACACCCTGTTACTTCTATATTGATATTTAACAAACTATATTCACAAACATGATATAACTAGATAATAGATACTACCCTAAAACTACAAAATTCTGATAAATATAATTAACTGTAAAATTATTTCAGCTGGGATAACCAGCAGCCATTTCCTTGTCGCTCATCATTACAACCAACCATTACCATAGCGACTTGAAGCTGATGAGCAGGGACGTGTGCAATCTGGTCCACAAGGTGCTCCAAACCGAAAACGCTGTCGTTTTTGCATTTCGACAACAGCCTTTGAGCTTCCTGCTTTGTCATCTTGATCTTAACCCTCAAAACCTTTTCATCCCCTTCAACCATTTTCAAACTCTCTTTCTCCTCCAGAGTCTTCTCCTTCGGTTCCAGTTCTTGATCAAGATCAAACCTCACCGTCTTCTTCGGCTCGAAGATCTTATTATTCTCTAACTGAAACCTCACAACCTTACGTGGCTTAGCCGGAGTCTTTTTCATCTGTTCATCTTCTTCCTCTCCGGCTTCGAACCTCAGCGACTTGTCGATCCTCTTGGCTCTCTCCAAGCACCGATACTTTTTGGTCGATTCTACTGAGACCTCAGAGCCGTTCAGAGGCAACGTCATGTCTAAGTCGTCTCTGTAAATAGGTTTCGTTTCTAGAACGTTTTCGTACCGTTCTTGAAGTCTGTTGAAGCATTTTGACAAAGAATCCAACATTTTTTATCCGCTTCTTGAACTTCTATGTTAGCAAATACAGAGAGGGAGAAAAAGAGAGAGAGACCTTTATGTTATCTTTGAAAGTTCTTCTTTACTATATATTGAAATATTGAAATGGGGCAGGGTATTATATAGGCGACCAACTTTACCATTATTTAGAGTCTCAGACACGTAGTGGAGTGTCCTTTGGGCTACGACAATGACGTCAATTTGCCGTGGGATACTAAAAGTTAATTATTCCTCTTTTTTTTTGCTCTGCAATGCAAAAGGGTATAATAAGAACCATCTTTTACGTTAGATATTTAGCAATTAGCATGCATATATCATACAAACAATATTGACAAGTTAATTTGTTTTACAGTTGATGTTGAGTTACGTAAGAGAAAGTTAGGTTTAATTGATGAGATTAGAGGGTACAAACTAGAGAACATCAATTATTACTAACTATCATAATACATTATTACATAAGTATCTGAGAATATTTGCTCATGAGTTTGAAGGTTTGGAGTTAAAAGTCATGGTCTAATGAATGAATTTAAGGTAGATCAAGTAAAAGTGACGATGTCAATATGTCATGCATCATTTATCAGTCAAAAAGCCTTACCATGACTTTTCAAGTTTTATCTCATAATATGTTGCTTATAATCTGAAAATGACATTTAAGTGTATTTGTCACTTTTATTATCCAATTTCCAAAAATTATCCATCAGAATAATCAACTACCAGACGTTGTAATCTACTTTTAAATGATAAAACTTTCAACATTTCCACAAGTAAATATATGGTGCCGTGCCTCTGGGGGGATTCTTCTGTATGACATGGTCAATTACTCCATTTTGAATCAGTCTAACTAAATTAAAAAGAAAAAAAACACCATGATAATTGAAGTAATATCCACAATCTAGCTAGATAAAAAAATATATGAAAATAAGTGTTTTGTCACATATTCTTTATGTAATTTTGGCGTAAAGTCACGTTCGACCATAGCAACTAGATATTTACAATGTTCTAGGTCAAGTTTAAGTATGCAAATCTACATAAATAAAACACGAATTTGGTCATTACTCAAAATGAGAAGATAAATTGGATCGGATTAAGACACTCAACATGATCATATACCCCAAAACAATTGTATGTATCTTCCGTTACTAGAAACTCCAAATCCTCTATTATTGCTTTCTCAATATGAAGAAGCTAGCTAGCCACGGTTTCTACTAGGCGGAGAGGTTTGGTTCGTGAAAATCTTAAATAAAAAAGGAGGTCAACATTTGATTACGAAGATATATACCAATTGTGAATGTGAAGTGTATCCATACAGTTGTTGTAATTGTCAATTATGTTAATATAGTAACAAATAACACACATTCAGATTTTGGATTTATTTTTGTTTGGTATGATATCAAGAGAATATGGAAACAATATAATCCAGGCGGAATATACACCAATTCCAGCAATAGATCAAAACGTCTATATATGGACTTGGAATGTAACTTATCGTATTCATATACAGTATACCCCATGCATTGTCTAAAGTTTCAAGTGGAGGTGTTTATGCAATGGCAAACCAATCTCCACCGGTTCGACTAAATATTTTATTTCTCTCTTCGCTCTCGAGGTTTTTTTTGCATTTCCTTTTAGAGTTTGCTAACGAGATTTTGTTTCTTTAATGTGTTGTAGACTTGCGTTCTGAGAGTTGGACTCAAATGTTGCAAAGGTTGCCAGACAAAGGCAAAAAGGAAGATGCTAAGTGTCTCTGGTAATAAATTCACTAGTGAACATTGCTTTTTTTTTGGTAGGGACTAGTGAACATTGTTAAGGCTAAATTGCTGTCAAATATGCTAATATTATTTTTGAAACAGGGGTGAGTGCAGTTGAGTATAACGCAGTACAAGGGCTCTTAACAGTCTCAGGTGACGTCAACCCAACGATATTACTTCATAAGCTTAACAAATGGGGCAAAAAGGCAGAGATTGTCTCTGTTCTTGGAGACAACTCTTCCCATGTTCCTAGTACCCCGGAACAAAACCAAAACAATGCAATGGAGAAGGAGGAGGAGAGACCAACAAAGTGTTGTCTTCTGTTGTGTTTTGGAAAGAGAAGTAGTAAATCAAAGGTGGAGCCTTTTGCGGCGACCCCAAATTGGCACCATGGAGGAGTAAGGGCTGGAAATGGCAGTCTAACACCCTTAATCAACGTTGGTGCACCTCCCATGGTGTATCCTCCACCTCGAGCAATGCCTGGCTTTGCAACACCCATACCATACCCTCCTCCTTCCTTTTTTGGACCGAGACAACCACCACCACCATACACTTACACTGGTGAAATGTTCCGGTCAGTTCCACCACAGTCCCCACCATATTTCCATTCAATGCAGACAAGGTTTTCACATATGGTCGACTCTAGGCTGCATTACCCGCACCACTGAGCCACAATTCTCTTTAAATGATACATCCAATGCTTTGCTCCTTGCTCTTATTCAAATGCTACGTAATAAGACGACATATTATTTTATTTAACATGTATCCCATCTCAAACATTTTCGTTCAAAACACAAATATATCAAAAGAACCAAAGGGTTGGAAACTAATTTAAATTCTTTTAGCCTTTTTAAAAAAACAATTTTTTTTTCTTTGGATCGGACTTAGTATTACATTTGATCGAAGTAGTTTTATTATAGAACCGTATCCGTATGGTGGATTCTTGAGCAGTGGTAGACAAAGAGTTAGAGGCAAAGGAGTGGTTAATTACTTGTCATTGAGATAACGCGTTGAAAGCTTATCAGACTTTTGTGGATTACGACCAACCACCCAATAAAGTTATTTGTTGCGCTTGACTAAGTCATATGATTCTCTCTAGTCTCTCTATACCCTTTTCCTTTTCCATCAAACACTCATATTCTGATATCTCATTACAATATGACAACACCAATTATATCATTCTCTCTATCCTTTTCCATCAAACTCAAAAAACAAAACATAGGACTGAGTCAAACAAATAAAAAGAAAAAAAAATTGTCCTAGTTTGATTTAGACTTGAGACGAATCTTCCATATAATTCCATGATAACATAAATTAGATTGAAAAAATTGGGAACTAGGCTTATTATAAGTAGGTCATAATGCTTATATGGGCCTTGCGAAGGTATAGTGGCCCAACTTTGTAAATAAACCCGAAGAAGGTTCGAAAAAGTCCAACTTCAACCAGAGTAAAATTTTCCGGTCGCCGTCTGAAGAACATTCTCCTTTGGTACTACGGACGAGAGCGAAAAGATCGAGAGAGAGAGAGAGAGAAGATGAACGTTGTTCAAGGTTTGAAGAGGATCCCTCGCATCAAATTCCCACAGCGACATGTCAACCCTTCAGGTTTTTGATTTCCTCCAAAATCTTATATCGTCCTTCGTGTTTTACGTTTTTCATGACCTTTCTCAGCCTTTTCTAGCTCGATTCGAATTTTTTGTGTGTGTACGGTCTTCATCGTCACGAATCAGATATTGGATAGAACTTTTTGTCCTGGATTATTTTGTCCTCGATCTGTTCCCGTATGAATTAAAGGATTTGAATAGTGTTCTAGGTACCTAAGATTTCAATGATACACAGATTTGTTTGGTCATTGAATCGAATCCTTGTCTGTTATCAACCTGGAATTAAATCTCGATTCATTGTTGAAGTTTTTATGTTTTAGCTTTGTTTTTGGTAATGATCTCCTTTGTTGATGGAAAACTTCATGCAATGAACTTTGCAGCTTCAGAGGGAAAGACTGATACATTGTTCTTCTCCAATTTGAACGTCCCAAAGACTATGGGCGGGAAGGCATCATCGCAGCCAAAGCGTACACCAGTTCCAAACGAAGAAATGGAAGCCATTTTGGTATGTAACTTACTTCATTGGAACATGAATAACAGCTTAGATAAGTCTTGCACATATTTCACGGTTTATGTTTCATTCCAACATTTCATATTTACTTCTTTTTTTTAGTTTAGCTGCGTAGAACACTTATTGCGGTTGATGTGACCAAACTATAAAGTTTGTGGACCAAAAATAAGAAAAGAATTTTGAGTTTCTTGCTTTCTTTAGTATGTGTTAGTATTGTTCTGTTTCTAACTTCTTCTCTTTTTCTGCAAATTTTCACAGTTGGGAGGCTGCCTTTGATCATTCAACCTATTGACTAGAAATGGTGGACCTCTTCTCATCTTTACCATTTACAGAGAATATACTCTTTAGTCAAGTAACTGATATGGTTGATGTTTACAACAACCAATTACACAATAAAACAACTTTGTTGCAGTTTTATTAACTTCTTTAATGAATCATTATTGATTGAGTGCATTTCTAATTTCTGTTATGCTTTATGGGTTTGAATTCATCGTTTATTCATATCTTATATCACATGATGAAGCTCTTTTAGAACTAGTCAGAAATCTCGTAGCCTAGACACAAAGGTACGTTACATATACATTCACAGGAACTTACATACAGAGAAGGGCAGATCACTTATGGTGCTGCCTCCTCCTTTTGCATCTGTTCGATAAGAGGCTCAAGGATACAAGACTTTGGATTCTTACCCGGTGGACCTTTCTCTCTTCTTTCAAGCTCTTCAAGCCTGAATGTAATGAGACGGTCCCAGTTTCCTCCTTCAAACAAGACACCAGCTTTTCCATCTGTGATCCTCTGCACAATCCCACAGTACATGTGATACGGACTGTTCTGGTTCTTGACTATAGCAATCATCCCGGGCATGAGAAGGGGTAGCGCGGGTGCTTTTGGTTTCTTATCTGCAGCAACCGCGGATACATCGGTGCCTCGTTTTGTGGGTGGTGGTGGTGGAGGTGGTGGGTTTTTCTCAATGAACGTTTTCAATCCCTTTTCGCCACCTGGAAATCCTCCGGTGAGACCCATCATTTCTTTCTCAAAACCGTCTTCAGGTACTTTAAATGACAAGTTAGTGTCATCACTCTCTTCCTCTGTTCCATTCTCAGCCTTTGATGTCTCTTGCTCATCTTCAATGCTCCTCTTGAGCTCCTTCTCAATACCTTTCTCTCCGTTGCATAATCCTCTTCCTCCCATCACTTCCCATAGATTGAATTTACCCATGGCTTTTACTTGATGAACGTTTGATTGCTGCTTTGGAAGCGGGAAAATCGACCGGTTTGCAGTTGAGAATTGATGGGTTTGGCCTAGGAATTTTGATCCATGAATCGGAGTTCTCATGGTCGGTATAGTGATCGAAGAAGTCGCCATAACTTTTTTTTCGTCTGCAGAATAGTTTAGAGCTGCTGACCAAGGGAGATAGGAAGAAGAAGAAACAAGGAAGAAGCGTGTGATTCGCTTGTTATAATGACCACATATCATGATTTCAGTTAGATGAGTTCTATCTATTTCAACTTGGTGGACCTGATGGTTTGTCTCGACTCGAATAATGATTTGGGAGGAAGAGTGGTGACATTTGGGCTTTGTGCTTTAGAAGGACCAAATCCAAATACTGTATAATACTATGGGCCTAGATGAAACATATCGCTAATGTGATCTTTGGTGATTAAACGTATCGGTAATGCCTAATAGTGTGGGTTTGTTTGATGATGATTGAGAAAAGGCAGCAAGAACAAGATAAAGCATATTATTAGTCAACGACATTAATAATTGGAATCCCATACTCCCAAATCATCATTACACATCCATCTACTTTTGTCTTAGGCTGTCCTTTAAACTCATCAGCATCACCAAACACTTAAGAGCATGATTAATGGTAAACTCTTAATGGAAGCAGTAAGTGTATCACAACCTGCTACTTTGATGTTGATTTTAAGTATGTTTCCCCTTGCAAAACACAAAAATGAGAAAGCTTATGATGTTTTCGTTTAGGCTGATATGGATGGAGATGAACGTTCGTTTAGGCTGGCTGAAGTAACTAGGGGGTACAAACGTCTTTTTGTTCCATCGTCTTGCTGAAGCAGCAACCAAAAAAAAAACCAATTGGGTCAAAACACTTTCCCTTACAAACAGAAATCACATTTTTGAGTTTGTTTTTAAAATTGATTCATCTTCAAGCTCTCTCTCTCATTCGATCAGGTAGGTACGTATAAACAACTTCTGTCGATCGTCATTCTAGCTAATCCTACTTTCTCGGAGATTCTATTATGTTTTTGTGTTTTGGTTTAGGGTTTTCAATTTTTGGGTTTTCTTCTTTGCCTATTTCCAGAGAATTCCGTTTCTGTAACTTTTGACTTTGAGCTTATAAACTTCAGAAGAGTTGTTTGCAGAAACTTGAATCATATCTGCTGCTGCTTTTGTTTTACAGCTTAGATTTATAAAAAGGAGATTAACAAATTGTTCTGTGAATTGGTATTATTAATTTCCAGCAATGAAGTTAGAGAATACATGTATGTTTCTTTCTTGTGATGATTCTTCTGCATTAGTTATATGATAAGAATAAGCATACCACAGAGACTGAGATAGGTCACTTAGCAAGATTAAGTGTTCAAGGATGCTAGAATTTGTATAGGTGATTGCTTCATATCATAATCTAGATTAGATCATGCTCAGATGAGTTTTCTCAACTGTGTTGTTTGACTTCTTATGGGTCAACTTATGTAGTTTGTCACAATGGCATACAAATTATTCCCGGATTTGTTGAATATAGAAGATGTGATAGTAACCAGTAGTTTCATTTTGAATGAAGGAACTCTTGCTACTTTTAATTCGTCATCTGGTGGAAGGTTCTGAAATCGTTTCATTTGCCAAAATTCATGGGTGATGGTACTCCTAGGAAGTTAAACATATTACCTGATTACTTTAGTGCTCCTAGTCCCAACGCGGAATCTTCTCAAGACAATACTCCATCATCTTCGCAGCCACAGGACGATCTTCCTCAGAGGTAACTTGTTAGCACACCAATATGCTAGAAACGGAATCTTTGAGCTGACATGGGTGCTTTGCTTTAGAGTAGGTCAAATAGTCAGTCACGGACTCGTAGAAAACTGAAAAGAGCAGCACTTATGTTGAACTTGTTCACTCTTCGCCGGCTGCCTTGGGTTTCAGACGGTCAAGATAAGGTTCCAGTCTCACACCTTTCTTCTTTGTTTTTGATTCACCACGTCAAAGTTTGAGATTGATCTCCTGATCACATCTCTCATTTGCAGGTTGAGCTTTCAGCAGCGGAGTTAGAATCACTTAGATCAGAACTTTCTGATTTGGAAGAAAGAGAAGCTTACCTCAAAGCCCAGTAAGCAATAATGCTCATATTGTTCCATTATTCCATACTCAGATCAAAACTGGTTATTTGACTTTCTTCTTTCTGTACCCTTCCATAGATTGGAACATGTGGATGAAGTCTTGCGCTCTGCTCGTTTATCTGGCTATTTGTTTATCCGAAGTGTAGGGTCTTACCCTGAATTACTTCTATCATCGATCCATAAGACTCAAAGTTAGCGTATCTTATATAACAAATTTGCCTCTCTTTTTTTTGTTTAACTTCAGCGTTGGGCAGCTCTGCCTGGTGAACCACCACCAATAGATGATACAGAAGTAGACGACTGGCTTCCTCGGTTTGTCGTCCTTCAAGGCCCATGTCTTTTCTTCTATTTATTGTCAACAGGTGAGTTAATTTTTAACGTTTACAACCTTGTTTCAGATTTATATTCGTCTTGTATTGTCTCTTAAAACTCTCCATTGCAGATTTAAGCCCTCAAGATTCAACATTGCTGGCGGATATTGTAGAAGTTGGTTCGTTACCTACCTACACTAGGGAATTCGATGAAACCCATCATTGCTTTTACATCTTAACCCGTCAAGGTCTAAGATTTGAGTGCTCAAGCACCTCTAAAACACAGGTGAACCAACTACATATACATCTAACACACTAATTTGTTGCTGAGAGATCCTACAGCGTTTGAACATGATCAAATTTCGGTTTTGCATGATATTAGGTTGATTCGTGGTTGTCGTTATTGCGCCTTGATTGCAAGATTGAAATAGAAGAAAAGTTACCAAACGGATCAAGCAAAGCTCCTCAATAAATTGAAGATTAGTCACTGCTCTGTATAGTTTTCATTTCTATGTATATAAAATGCTTACTTTAGATGTAGTAGAATTCACGTCAATAGAAGGTTCTTTTATGGAACTGGTGATTACAATATTTTCAGTATACTTCTTTTAGCTGATAAAGACATTGGAATACATTCGTTTCTTGAATAGGCTATAAATCTAGTTGGAAACAAAGTAATTAGAAAGGCAATAAATCCTGAGCCGTTAAGTCTTTCTCTGATCCGACCAAACCAACACTGACCCATGCCAGTTCGGTTGAAACATGGCATGCTGGTATAAAATCCTCCAACAGGGTCTCATTTTAGAGTCTCCTGTTTTTTCACATCCCTCATCTCAGTCCTCTCGCATTTTGTAATAAGAGAGATGAGCTCCCAGATCTGCAGATCTGCTTCTAGAGCAGCCAGGTCTCTTCTTTCTTCAGCCAAGAATGCTCGTCTCTTCTCAGGTACGTGATAAACTTCATGGGAGGATATATGTATATAGATGCGTCAAATATTTTCTGAATTTACCATCACTTTTTATCGTCCTCTCGGTCGAATCGAATCAGTGATCTGTTGAGTCATTCTCAATCAAAATTATTTGATCAAAGCTTATACATGATCCTACATGTGTTCCCATCATTTCAAGATAATAACCCTTATTGTTTTCTGAATATGACACTTATGTGGCTGGTTCTGTAGGGATATTCTTGTAAGAGAATGCTACATGTTAACACATTTTATGTGAAACTATAGAATAAACAAAATTAGGCTCTCATGTTCAGGTTTTTGTCTCATGATTGATTTGCCTACATAAGATTGTTTATTGATAATTCCACATCTTTCATTAACGTTTTGTGGATACATCGATATTATTGATAATTTTTACATTGATAATATGTTTCAGAAGGCCGAGCTATTGGTGCAGCGACAGTGGTGTATGCATCTGGAAAAGTCCCTCAGTATGCATCTAGCTTTGGAAAATCGAGTTCTGGCTTCGCCTCTAAGAGCTGGATTACCGGACTCCTCGCACTTCCTGCTGCAGGTTTTACATACATAATGTTGGCTCTGATTCACTGTTTGAAGAATATATTCTGTAGGACATACACTCACATCTTCCTTTGGTAGCACACTTAATGATAGTTAGGCTTTTCAACATTGATAACTCAAAAATGATATCTAATTTCAACATTGTTCCACGACTTCTTCTTATCCACCTTGCTTTCTTTTTATCGTTTCTTGTTATATAGCTTTCATGCTTCAAGATCAGGAAGTACTTGCTGCAGAGGTAATATATCCTCAAAGCAAAGACATATTGATATATCTTTCTCTTGGTTATCCCTGATCTCCCCTTTTCACTAAATTTCTCTGTTTCTATCAGATGGAACGCACTTTCATCGCTATAAAACCTGATGGAGTGCAGCGAGGACTGGTTCGTCGCTGGTTATTTTTCATTTGATTTCAGTCCTTACATCTTATGAAAATGCTCAAAAGCTCTTTAATCTTACGGTTTCCTCACCAGATATCAGAAATCATTTCCCGGTTTGAACGCAAAGGATACAAGCTTGTAGGTATCAAAGTCATGGTACCTTCAAAGGGTTTCGCACAGAAGCATTACCATGATCTAAAAGAGAGACCTTTCTTCAACGGCTTGTGTAACTTCCTTAGCTCAGGCCCTGTTGTTGCCATGGTAAAGAAGCAACTCTCACTCAAAACTTTGAGAACCAAAAAACAGATTTGGTTAGCTCTCATTATCCAAAAAAATAAACGCTGAGACTTGATTTAGGTATGGGAAGGTGAAGGAGTGATTAGATACGGACGTAAGCTGATTGGAGCCACAGATCCTCAGAAATCTGAACCTGGAACTATCCGAGGCGATCTCGCAGTTGTTGTTGGAAGGTACATACATTCTATTGTTTTTGCATTGTATATACCTGTTTAGTTCGTTCCTTATAGAAGATTATAGATTTGGTTTTGTTTGTGTGTGTTGATGGGAAATTGCAGGAACATAATCCATGGAAGCGATGGACCTGAGACAGCTAAAGACGAGATCAGCTTGTGGTTCAAGCCTGAAGAACTCGTTTCTTACACCAGCAATGCTGAAAAGTGGATCTACGGCCAGAACTGATCACCAAATCCCATTCGCCAGCTTTGTAAGGCAAGGGAGCTGGTTACAACATTTGATAAAAATAAGGACACGTTTACATTTTCATAACTCATGCATAACTTTTTGCGTACGTACCATCGAGAGTGTGTGTTTGTCTTTTCATTTATTCAAGCTGAATGTATTTTTTTTTTTATCAAATATACCTAATTCACCTAATTTATTGAAATAAAAACAAATTTTACTCAAATTTATTCAGACACACAAAACAAGAAATGTCTTGAAAGACCAAATATTATTGATTTCATTAAAATATTGATATTAATAATATAGTTACGACCCACAGAATTTTACAAATAGAGTAATTACTTTTAATTCCATGGAAAACACCTATTAGAATGTTTGTCGAAGTATCCTGAAATACATGGACCATCAGCCTTAATAGACCAATAACATCGAAGACAATTGCCTTTTTCTCTGTCAGGTCTATATGTATCAAACCATTTAGTCTGGTTATTCCAAACAAACTTGCAGGTAAAAAATGTTTGTCTGAACCAGGCTGGTCTAAACTTCCACTGAAATCCTTCCCCAAACAGCAGCACATGCTCACCGAGATCATCGTCTCTAGATTTACAACTTATTGTCAAAGGTGTTTGAGGGATAATATTGTTGGTGACGGTGACAACAGTTTTAGGAAACAGAGTGAATCCATGACAAGAACTGATGAGATAGCAAAAAATTATAGAGAAAACAACGAATTTTTTGGATGGACTTTTCATATTTGTTTTTCCAGTTATTGGTGGTGTTGTGTTTGTTTTAGATTCATGTTTATAACCAAGTTTCTTATCTAAAAAAAAAAAAAAGTTTCTTATCTAAAGAGTTGATTTTAGTAATCTTATGAAGTCAGAATCATTTTTAGTAACATACATTTGACTGACACAGTGACAGGATAATACAGATTTTTTTCCTATTTTTTGGTGATTAAAAGTCAAAATCCAGACAAATGAGATAGGCAACATTAGGCATTAAAGACTATGACTAGAAAAACAAATGCATATACAGAATGAAATAAAAATATTAGTGAAAAAATTGGAATCAAAATTCTAATCGAAGCTACCATAAAAGTTGAATGTTTATCCTTAAAATGATTGATTATATGAAAAAGAACAGATAAGAGTTGATGACAAAAAAAAACAAAACAGATAAGAGTTAAAAAAAGAAAGAAAGTTTGAATATGTATATTGATATGTTGTCAATGTCATTAAATGTTCTTACAACAATAGTAATTGTACATTTAAGAGAAATAACATTTTAATTAGAAGGTTTTCATATGAATAAGTGTTAACAGTATCAAATTTTTAAGTCACTTTAGACATTTGGAGTCGGTTTTAGTTTGATTCCATTTGGTTTCAAATTTTTTGTTACTAAAAATTATGATTCAATAATGTACCAAAAAATAAGCCTCGATTCTGGTTTAGATCCACTTCTTTTGGTTTCTAAATTTATGATCTCAGACATTTGAATATTAATAATAAAGGAAAAAAGAAAAGTTAACCATATGTAGATCATGTAATTAATAAAATACTTGCAAACACAATCGGATCTAGGGGAAGAAATGACACGAAGCTCCAAACAATAGCGTTTGCGATGTTTGCTTGTTAATGTGAAAATCATGTGCTCGACACTCATTTTACAACTTTAATCTGCAATTTATTGTCATTTATTTGTTAATGTGAAAACATATTTTTATAAAAGATATTTATTAATTTTAGAAATTGAGAAACTAAACTTATCATAACAGATATCGGAGCGATATACATGATTATGTTGCACACGCAACAAAACACCAATAACGAATCGTCGTAGTCCCCTAGAATCTATCAGAGTTAGGGTCAGGGTTGCAAATGCAACCACAAACACCACTTCGGCTATCAGAAACTTGACGATTAATAACCGCTGCTTTGCCTGGTCACAATACCAAAAATATACCGCTAGATACAATGTCATGATACTCACTCCTATCCTATAAGTGATAAGCATTTGAGTATTTTTACGAAACTACACGAAGAATCTTACGGGGAATTGGGAAAGTATATAAAGCAATAGTAATACATTTAAGAGAAAGAACATTTTAATTAGAAAATTTTAATATATGTTAATAAGTGTTAGGCATTTTGAGTCGGTTTTAGTTTGATTCCATTCTATTCCAAATTTTTTTGCTTCTAAAGATTATGATTCAATAAGGTATCCAACAAATAAGGCTCCGTTCTGGTTCCGATCCACTTCTTTTGGCTTCGGAGTTTATGATCTCATTCAGACATTTGGATATTAAAAATAAAAGAAAAAAAAATAGTTCACCAAAACTAGCAAAACATAAGTAAAATTTAAGCCAAATGTAAGAAACAAATAGCAAAACATAAGTAAAATCTAGGCAAATATAAGAAACAAATAGCAAAACTATATAATTATTAAAGAAATTTAATGCATTAATAATGATATTCTCTCGTTTGCTCTGTTCATCCCATCGTACCATATTGATAGTAAATGGCATTGGAATACTCTGATGGTCGGAATAATTTGTTGCGTTATTAATCTAGCCATGCATGCGGGTAGTCTACGTGTTATGGTAAGTCCAATTCCAACCTTATTTTTAATTAATTAATTGAAAATTAAGATAAGTAATGTATTGTCTGCTAGAAAACGGTAATCCTAACAAAAAAATATGGATCATTGTGACTATGGTATGTGATTTTTTTTTTAGTTTTTTACTATGGTATATGTATAATGTATTGCATACTTTTTTTTCTGTTTAAAAAATATTGTCTTCCTTTGATATGTTTGAACTTTGAAATAACATGTGTGATTGAAAGAAAAAAAGAAAAAAAAAATGGTTGTGCGATTCTTTAATTTATATGATTCATTATTTGCTCACCATTTTTTTATTTTGCCATTTTCCCAATTTTCTTTCAGATAGCCATGTTTTACAATTCAAAAGAACTAAAAGTTTGTTTAAAATTTTCATACAATTCATACTTAATAACAATTACTATACCCTACAAAAAGATAGAACCAAATCAACCTAAATTAAACATTATATAGAATTGTGTTTTTGTATAAAATATAATGGTAATTTTGAAATGTTTTTGCCAAAGTGGCAAAGCTTATAAATGCCACCAAAAAAAAAAGCCTTATCTCATAAATAAAGGAATTTAAATTGCCGATAATTGTGACTTTTTTCTTGGTGGTGTTTGTAACTTTGTATGCTAATTTTTATTAGTTGTATTCTTGTTAAATAATAAGCCAATGAAATTGTGCCACGTAGGCGATTGATGTTTACGCGGACTTGAAAACCGATTAACCAGCCGGTTTGTTTCAATTTCTTGTTGGAATTCGCCGACTCCATTAGAAAAAAACTCGTATAAAAAATGAAATCTCAGAGAAGTAGCTTACGCCGATGAGTTGTTGACTCGGTTCAATTTGTTCTTGTTCACAAAGACTCATAGCTTCGACCTCGCTCTCTCCGATCATCTTCTTCGTTTTTTCTCATCGCTTTCCCTTGTCGATTTTGCTTCATAATCGGTAAACCTTCCTCTTCTTTGGGATTTTTCCGACGAGTTCCGGTATTTTAGTTTTTGATTCTTAGTTTTGCTCAGTTTGATTTGTGTAAATTAGAGTTAATTTCTTCTCATGGATTCGGCGAATGTAGTCTTATCGTGATTTATTACTCGTTCGCTGTGTTCTTTGCGGATTTTTTTTTTGTAATTTCATTTGTAGAATTAGGGTTTCTTCCTATGTCTTCAATCTTTTGATTCTCTTGAGTCATTTGTTACAATTGTATTCGGCGTTTTGTTTGATTTGTGCAAATGCTTGAAATTTTGGGGTTCTTCGGTTGAAGAATTTGCCTTGTTTGTGCAGATGGAAACTGAAGTACCGCTTATTGCCGAGACCATAGCCGAGACCATTGCCCTCACTGAGAAGAAAGTCGCCATGGCGTTAGGTATTTTTTATGTTTATGATACATTTTATAGCTTCTATTATGTTTACGTTTTTTTTTATTGCTCATGAGGATATCTATATTGTCTTGCATTAGATGATATCATCAAGTTGTCAAAGAGACAAACCAATGTGAATAAGGGCAAGAAGTCACGAAGAGAAAAGGTAATACACTAATACCCTTCATTATATGTCTCTTGGATTACTTGCCTCTTGTTTTTGTGAGACTGTTGTGTTGTCATATAACTGGTCGTTTGGTATATAATTTCGTTTTTTTTTGTGCAGAAGAAAACCCGAAACCTTAATGGTGCTGCGGTAAATGATACATCTAAAGGGTGGAATTATATGAATTCACTTTCTGCTGTTAGACAGGTTCGGTTTTTTTAGCGTTCTCCTCCGTTGATCTGTTGTCCTGCCTTCTATGTCCATTATTTGGATCTTGGTTTTCTTTTGTTAGGATTTCTCTTCTGACTTCTCTCATAATTTTCAGGGTGCTGTTGCAAAGAGAAGGTCCAACTTCCAAGTAAATCGGTTTCCTTTGACAACAAACATCGCTCGTAAAGCCGCTACTGCTACTCCACTCAATGTCCGCGGTAGAGCTTTTCATGGTGGAAGGATGACTAGTGCGAATCAGTCAAGGTCTAGAATGCTGGATAATTCTCTGACCTGTTTGTTAATCTGGAGTCCTTATAGTATCTTCGATTGTTTCTGATTCAAGAAGCTTCTGTCTAAGCTTCTGGTCACTAGATGGGCATCAGCTTAATGGCTGCATAATTACACAGCTTTATGTAGTTGAGTTTATGATGGTGCTTAAAGGAGTCAGTTCACATTTTTGGATTTGAGCTAGGGTGTTTGTCTCAAGAATTGGTTGGCCTTTGATATGACCTTGGGTGGTTAGGGTGTGGCTAGGTTGAGCATAAAATTAGCTTTGCTTGAAGTTGGTGTTTTTACTGTCAGATTATCCAGTTGAGAAATCTGATACCGTGCTTGGCGTTTGATATAACATCATTGGATTCATGAAACTCATTTGCATTCATATCAGCGGCATAGGTGTTATGTGTGATCTTCTTCTTTTGGCACTGTATTGGTAGAAACCTGTTACTGGGAAAATTATGAAGTCAGAATTCTGGATCTTCATCAGTATATACTAGCTGTTGCTTGGTTGCACATCGGGTCCTCTCTTGAGCTCTCTTCTCTTAATATTTCATTAGTTGCTTTGAAAGGACGAAGACCATCTCTTGGTGGGTTGACCTGGAAAAGAGCTGCAGGTTTTCTGTGTACTGTGGGTTTGGAGTTTTGTCAGTGTCTGGGCGCCTCTAGGACTTGGAAGTGAAGTGTTGCATGCTTATAATAAAATGGCTATTTGCCATCTTTTTGTTACTTGGATAATTGGATTTCGTCTTAGATCCTTGATCCTTCTATGTATGAGAGGTTCAGCTTTTGTTGTTAACAACTCCATAATAGATAATTTCATCTGTCGGTGCCAATTACCGTCTGCACTTCAAGTTTTTGATGTTCTTAAAGGTTGTCTCTGTATGTCTTCTCCGTTCCTTAGTAATTCCTTTCACTTTATTTTGTGCAGGCGTATTGCTCCACCAGTTCAAAATAGATCTGTACAGGCTAGAGTCAACGCAAAGGTAACTTATTCATGATTATTTGTGGACTGCATTATACTAGCTTAGTAGGTTGTATAGTCTCTTCCTCAAGACTATTATTATTCATGTTTTTCATGTGTTAATGGGAGGGACCTGAAGATGTGCATTGTATAGCCTTCTGCATCCATATGTATATCTGCCTTTCAGTGTTAGGGAGTAAGGGTTTATGGATTGACTATGCCTTTGGGTTTGTAAATCCCAGACCATCGAATGTGATAGGGGATTGATCTAATAAATATGCATGGCGTGTTGATAATGACTTAATGAGCATGAATATTGAATCATATATCCAAGAGCATTATACTGAATGTCTGGAGGGCTATTAATAATTGATCATTTGATCTTTATCTGCAGAGGCATGTGGTAGATCAGAAAGTAGAAAACAGAGAAGGGAAGAGGAAGACACTGGACTCTCGCTTTGCAATCATGAAAGAGCAGAGAAAGATGATTAACAACAACTATGGTGCTACAGTTCACCTTCCAAGATTGCCACCATGGGCTAGAGTCGGAAGATTTCCTCACTGAGGAACAACGAAGCTTTAATGGATCGTTCCAGTTTAGATTGTGGCTTTTGGGTTTAGAACTTTAGATTCTAGTTAAGCACTAAGCAATGTAATTCTTTCGTGACTCTTTTTTTTTTTGATCAATCTTTCGTGACTCTATTACTTGTTACTTGTTAGTATCTTACAATTGCATCTAAGGAAATAATAAGAAGAAAAATTCATTCTTATTTGCATTTCCTGTCAATCACATGTTATACCTCTACGTCACGTGAGTAACGTCTCGTCGAAAAAGCCTGAATTTAAAGGTTTCCGGTTTCATTGGCGTTTGCACTTCTGGTGACTCACATGTCGACCCTACGTGAGTGTTGTCAAAAATGTCTGTCTGGAAACGTTTCACTATAAAATTGTGTTCTAATAATAACGATTCACTTTAAAATTGTTATTACAAACTAATATTGTTGTAGCATGCTAATAAGCAAAGTTGGGGGTGTAGCTCATATGGTAGAGCGCTCGCTTCGCATGCGAGAGGCACGGGGTTCGATTCCCCGCACCTCCACTTTTTTTTGGTAACGTTATTTTGCATTTCCCGTTACTTGTCTAGTTGTATACATTGTTTACCTCAGTTGATTCAGGCGAAAGTAATTGGGTGCTTTTTCTCTCGTTACTTTGGCCATTACTAGCCTAATTCCACTTTTCTTTCTTTCGAAGATGCAATTGCTAAAGAAACAATATATTATGATCTAAGTAATTATGGCATATTCCAAAAACTGAACCAAACAAAATATCTTACGTTTTCAATGCGTTCACCACACGTTAGGTATTTAGAGTCCGGTCCCTTGCCCTAAGTACAATCGAGAAGCGGCTAAAGACTTCGACCTAACCTAACACATACAGTCGTATTTTTATCTTTTGGATTTATCTTCAAGATCATGTAATGGCACAAAGACTCCATAACTGACTCTTTTTGTCTTCTTTTTTTTTGGTTTGACCTAATCAGTTTACAAAACAGACTTAACTGGTCAACTCATATTCTAATCGTTTGTAATATAGTAATATACAACTTTCATATGTGACGAGAAAAATATTACTGTATACTTTGGCCACACGTATTACCGACATAAATATATACATATGTAGTTGAGTATGGGGACTGCTTCATAAACAAACAAATATTATAGAAATTTGGCAATCATCTAGTACAAAAATGATAAAACTAGTATATGGTTTACTTGAGATTAATTAATAAAGATTTCGAAGTTAAACTTGTGTATTCAGTGTATATATTAACATTGAAGATTTTACTAGCAAAGTGGACAAGTGGCAGTGGTCCTTGTGTTTTTGACTTTTAGCCTTACTCTTAATTTTGTTTTCTACGCACTTTATTTGACAAAGCGGAGCTGTGAAAATGAACCGCACTTCTCAGTTCTCAAAATGGTTATTATTCCGTTGCTTAGACTTATCCCAAGAAAAAGGAAAATATCCAACTTTCGTAGAAAATAAAAGCAAATTTGATTTTCCAACCTAAATGATTTACATGTATCCACCTCTGTATATTGATTTCTTTAGAACATTCACGAGAATTGTAAGAAAACTATAAATCTGAATTAACAGAGAAAAAGGTGATAAAAAGAAGACGATATCATCATCATCGTCATACGTTTCGTGGCCGACTCATGCAAGTCACGGAAAGTCCTTGGAGAAGTTGATATCAAGTATCAACAAGACAACAACGGTGTCTCACTAAAAAATTGAATCCAAATTTGCTCTTTTCTTTCCAAAAACGAAATCCACTAGTATATATCCTCCCACATGTTTTCCAAAATTTAGCTATCTCTTTTAGATAAAAAAAAAATGTCATAAATTTTTGTAAACGCCGAAATGGTATGGCTTATCTTTCTAATATCCATGTTTCTAATTGTGTTTTTCTGCTTAATGATAAAAAGGAAATAGAGATTTAATTTAAAACTTAATATATACCTAAAGGTAATATAACACAATCTTAGAATGCTAACATACTCAAAATATATATTCTCAAATCTCGTGACCCCGATTTTTCTGCACATATAAATTCCACTTCTACCTAAAAAAAACTCCTCTTTACTAAATAAATCCATCGAATTTTTTTTTATAACCCATTCGTTTGTTAATTTTTTTTTTGTTATAACATCTTAAAATTAATAAATCTATATAACAATAAATAACATTTTGCAATAACAAAAAAAAACGTCAAAAGGGTAATAAAGAGAAAACACAACATTCCAGTATATTCGCAACCAAGCCAAAAACATGCCACGTAGGAAAAGTTTTCTCTTCCTTTCTCTCTAGAAGAAACGTAGAGAGAAAATCAAATCAGAAAAAAAAAAGTAAATTATACAGTCAAAACCGCTTCCTCCTTATAAAAACCCTCTCTCGCTCGCTTGCTTGCTTGCTCGATCCCCCCAACCAAACCAAAACGCTCTTTTCGAAACGTTCTCCGAGCAAAAGTATTATATTCTCCTTTAACGATGGCTAAGAACATTCTGGTTACCGGCGGCGCTGGCTACATCGGAAGTCATACTGTTCTTCAACTGCTCAACGGTGGTTACTCCGCCGTCGTTGTTGACAATTACGACAATTCCTCAGCTGCTTCTCTCCAGCGCGTCAAAAAACTCGCCGGCGATAACGGAAACCGCCTCTCCTTCCACCAGGTTCTGTTTCCTTCTCTCTCTCCGTTTGTAAATGATTTTTTTTTGTTGGTTTTACGAAACGTGAGCTTAAAACGTATCACCGTTTTGGATATTTACGAAATTGGAATTACCGTTTTATGTTATGTGAATTCTCTACACAATTTTGATTCTACGACGAACACGATTTTTTTTTGTTTTTTTTTTCAAATTTCTCGTATCAATGATGATGGGTGTTTGATTCCAGGGTTCTGGTTAATTTGTAATCTGTAAACCATGTGGCTAATTACTTTGTGTGTACACTTATAAATTCCCCTAATAAAGTATTGATTGATGCCAAAAAAAAAATATATATTGAATGATGCCATGTGAATAGAGTTATTTAAATACTATTATCCTTTGAAGTGTTTTGTAATAGTATTTGTATATATAATTGACAAGTTTGTTGATCTGTCTGGAATTTGGGATGTTCTATGGGGAAGCCGAATCAGATTTTTTTTAATATCATCATGCCCGAGAATAGTTAAATTTGTTGTAGCCTGCCATTGCTGAAATTAGAATCTTTTTGGTCAATTTGTTACCTGCAGGTGGATCTCAGAGACAGGCCTGCGCTTGAGAACATTTTCTCAGAAACTAAGTAAGAAAGTAAAAAAACACTTTTCGTTTTATGACTAAATAAATGGTTTAGACTGTTCATATAATTGGGGGGATCGAAGTTTGATGGAAATGTTGGTATTTTATTATTGTTATTATAGGTTTGATGCAGTGATACACTTTGCTGGACTTAAAGCAGTAGGTGAGAGTGTGGAGAAGCCTTTGCTCTATTATAATAATAATCTTGTTGGGACTATTACTCTTTTGGAGGTTATGGCTCAATACGGCTGCAAAAACGTATGCTATTATTATTCCTCTTCCTCCTCTCTGTTTTGCCTTATTGCCACCACATGCGTTCCCTTTTTGAGTTTTTTTTTTGTCTTGTTTGATCTCATGATTGGCTTTTACTTACTCTGTTTTTCCAGCTTGTGTTTTCGTCGTCAGCTACTGTCTATGGCTGGCCTAAAGAGGTTCCTTGCACTGAGGAGTCTCCTATTTCTGCCACGAATCCATATGGCCGTACGAAGGTAGTGATTTTTGCCTGAGTACTTACTAAAAGCCACCTCGTGGTGGTGATGATTGTAATAATAATCAGGAAAGTGAATCTGACTTAGAGTCTTTGCTTGTGCTATGTTAGCTTTTTATCGAAGAAATTTGCCGGGATGTACATCGTTCTGACCCTGAATGGAAGATCATATTGCTTAGATACTTCAACCCTGTTGGTGCTCATCCTAGTGGCTACATTGGTGAAGATCCTCTTGGAGTTCCCAACAATCTCATGCCTTATGTCCAACAAGTTGCTGTTGGCCGGAGACCTCACCTCACTGTGTTTGGAACCGACTACAAGACTAAGGACGGTACAGGGGTATGTATATTTTATGATGTTTCTGATAGACAAGCAACCATATGACAAATTAACATTACAGTATCTCATATTGTGTTGGCATTTGGAGAATTATGAAGTTTATCTTAACATATTTATATGTCTTTCAGGTTAGAGATTACATTCATGTCATGGACTTAGCTGATGGACATATAGCCGCTCTGCGTAAGCTAGATGATCTCAAAATCAGTAAGGATTATCTTTGAACTCTATTCTGTTTTTCCTCTCATTATGATTTGTCATTGGATCCAAGCTTAATTCTTGGAAATGGTCAGGTTGTGAGGTATACAATCTTGGAACGGGTAATGGATCATCAGTCCTAGAAATGGTCGCTGCCTTTGAAAAGGCATCCGGAAAGGTAAACAATAATTGGTTTGTTTACTAGCTCAATGCTCAAACCAAATTAGTTGTTATTATCTTTGCCTTTTTAGTCTCCAAATTTCAGTGATTTGGTTTGAAATATTTGATTGTATCCAATCAGAAAATCTCGTTGGTGATGGCTGGACGACGTCCTGGAGATGCTGAAGTTGTTTATGCCTCAACGGAAAAAGCAGAACGCGAACTAAATTGGAAGTAAGCTCATTTTATATCGTCAACATAATAGAAGAACCATAAATTGGTAGAAGTGGCAGTTTATCATAACTATGATTATGAATGATAAACATGAAATTCAGTTCATCAATCTCTCAGTTAAAAAAATGTTGCTATTGAAATGGGTTTGCAATAAATAAGAGTTTGAACGTATCAGTTTTAAATCTTCTCTAGTTGGACCATTTATGTTTTTATGTTTGGTATGTTATGAATGCAGGGCTAAGTATGGGATAGAGGAGATGTGTAGAGATCTATGGAATTGGGCAAGCAATAACCCTTACGGCTACAATTCCTCCTCCAATGGCTCCTCTTCATAATTCTCCTTTTCATTTCTTAATTTTGCAATCTTTTTTTTTCTTAGTTATTCGTACTTTTATAAACACATGAAAGCTACAGAAGATAAGAAGGCTGACAAAGTAGAGTACCCAAACTTTGGAAGACAATGAAAATTCGTGTACTATTAGTTATTTATCATATATCATCTGCTCCAATGCGAAAGTCTCTGTCTCGCCGCAATGATCACCTGTGCCGATGGGTAATACACCGCGTACACCACTAATTGGACTAGTCCAAGGAACATGCACATCGCAAAGGAACTCTGTAAAACAAAAAACAAAATCAAAATTTAAATAAACTCATGTTTTCATTTTTTCCAGAATCCGGTATATGTAAATTATGTAATAAAAATGACTTACAAACATAATTGGATCCAAAGAAGAAATGACACGATGCTCCAAACAAAAGCGTTTGCAACCATTGCAAACGCTACCAAGAACGACATGTCCTCAACACTCTTGGATTTTACAACTCTAATCTGCATTTATCATAATTTACTTTGTTAATGTGTGAACCATTTTTTTTAAGGGATATTTATTAATTTTAGAAATTGAGAAAAATAAACTTACCAAAACAGATATGGGAGCGATGTACATAAGGATGTTGCACACGCAACAAACAACATCGATAATGAACTTTTGTGTCCCTCTGGAGTTTATCGTAGTCAAGGTCAGGGTTGCTAGTGCAACCACAAACCCGACCTCGACTATCACGATCACAACGATCAATAGTCGATGACTAAGTCGGCCGGAGTACCTAAAGTAGGCGGCTAAATACATAGCCATAATGGTCACTCCTATCCCATTAGTAATGAGCATCGGAGTACCAAAAGGCTGCACTGCCGGCAATCCATAGACAAACCATACCATACAGTTCCCGAAAGTAGCTAGGTATGGTATGGATGTCTTCTCCCCCACAGATTTGTTCTTAACTATATGTATAACTGTGGGCCTATTAATAAAATTCACAAACTAATTAGTAAGACATTTATATAATTACATATATTCATATATAAATTATGCCTAAAAATAACATAATATATAATACAATTTCTTAACTTCGAAATATGTTTTCAAAATTGATACTTGTTAGATTTAGAGTTTGAGTTTTAATAATGATATAAATATTACGATACCTTCACAATTAATCAATATATATCTTAAATTGAAAATTTATTTAAGACAGGGAAATGAAGTATGGTGCCAAAAGAGGCATCGTGTTCCCTCTGAGTCATATGAGTCAGCAATTCATTATGACACGGCGTATGAGTTAACATTTTAACCATGGAGTCTGAACTATTTGTACTAACTGGATATAAAATTTGAATTAATTCGGTATGAAATTTAAATTTATCTTGAGTTTGGGTAGAAATTCGCATTGTGTCTTTGTACAAGTAAAAATCGACACTTTTGAACTTGTACATGTATGAAATAGTCATTTTCTCATGCACAACCATCTCAAAACCATTTCAGTTTTTAAATACTATTCACAAAAGTTAAGAATTTTAAAATCATTTTTTAAAACAAAAAGCGTACATACTAGCCCTAAGGTTAAAACATCGTAACCGCGGATATCCATATCAGTATACGTCTGTTACCCAAAAAAATATATCCGGAAAAACAAATACGGATACGGATAGTAAAATGATGGTTTTTTGGATACCGATATGGATAATGTGATTTTTAAAACCGTATCCGTATTTTGTATTTATGTACTTTACTCTCTCTTTTTCGGATGAAAAGATTACGCATTTTTTATTACCTTCATGATAAGACTTTAGAAACTCGATACCAAGTTACTTTTAATATTTTCTTAATTAAAGAGTACTAAGTTTAGAGTTCATAATACTGTAGAATATATACTTAGTAATATGAATGTATAGTTCATAATACTGTAAAATATTTACTTGAAGAGTTCATAATAAGAATCTTCAGGTTCTAATTCTTCTGTAATTTTTTTTTTTGGGCAAACAATTAATTATTTCAAACAATTAACTTATATTCTTCTGTAATATAAGTTATAGTTTTCCTATTACAAATAGAGAAACAAAAGTTAAGTAAGTTTGACTTACAAGGGTGCCAAGAAGAAACAGCCAGTAATAATGTTCCCTGAAAAGAAAAACCAACCTTCGAAAATTACTTTTTTATTTTATTTTATTAAAGAGTTTTCATGTATATAAAAAACAAGTAAATGCATGGGTACGTACTCATGACCACGAACGTCAGTCGAACATCGTAGACATCCGTATATAGCCCCTGTACAAAAACCAAGAAAATTGGTAAGGCAATTTAATGTATCGCAATGTTAATTAATCGAGTCCATCATAAGAAGCAAGTTATTAGAATCTACAAGTTCTTAGACGACATTCTGAATCGGTTTTATTTTTGATCCCATTCGATTTCTTCTAAAGATTATATGATTCAAAATATACCCAACCAAATAAGGTTTGGTCTGGCTCGGATCTGTTTCTTTCGGTTTTGGAGTTTATGATCCCATTCGTATATTTGGATATTTTGTGTATATTTAGAAACTTTTTGATATTTTTTAGGTATTTTAAAAATTATATTTTGGCTATTTTTGGTTATTCGGTATAAAAATTTAATATTTTAGAAATATAATTGTATTTCATGTATACGTACTTGGATACTCAAAAAAAAATCGGTTTGGCTCACTTCTTTTGATTTTGAAGTTTTTAGAATTTTGGTTTGATTTTGGTTCAGTTTCTTTTGGTTCAGATATAGTCATAACTATGTAACGACTTTGTAACACACTACATATATAACTCCGTTACTAACTTCCATTAACTTTGATCTTCTTCGTCAAGTTTTGTAATATACACATAATTGAATTAATGTAAATCCAGAGATTTTCATGAGAGAGGAAACTTTCCTATATCTTTCATTCTTTTACATATTAGATCAATAAGATTTGGTAAATAAATATTCTCAGGTCAAAATTTCAGCGGTCTCATGACTATATCTTACATTTTTGTACATATTTTTGGTCAAAATTCACCCTTAACTAAAATATACTAAAATTCTAAATACGGTAAACCCTCCCTAAAATAAATGTGCATATATAGTAAATTTTTGTAAAATAGTTTTATATTCTCGACTGTAGTTTTTTTTTTTTTTTTTTCGTAAAACTTTTTAAGAATTTATTATATAAATTTTTAAAAACATTACGTAATTGATATCACACCTCTTGTTGTGGGAACTTATGCGTTTATATATCGATTAAGAGGTGTTATAGGTTTGTAAGTTAAATAGAGTTTTAGTGGCTTTAAGTGTTACTTAGAATTTCTTGTTATTCTATTAAGATTTTGTTTAATTCTTTTAAGTTTGGGGTTATTAGATTGTGATTTGTAAAAAGTTATTTAAAATCTTATTAAATTTGGTGTTGGATTTAGAATTTTATAAAGTTAATGAAAGTTTTGTGCTTTCAATTAAAACAAAAGAATCTAATATTGTTAATGAATTCAATTATGAAGTTATTGATTTATGATTTTCTATACTTTTCTTCACAAAATATAGTCATGACAAATATCATTAAAATAGAGACATTATTTGAGAGACTTTAGAGGATTATATAAAAAAAAACTAATCAATAAGATTGTATAAAAATTTCTAAGCAATCTCTTAAAATATTTTCACTTATTCACTTTTTATGATTTTATCAAAGTTTCTAATCCGAAGAATTCTTTTTTTTTTTTCTTTTTTATAGCCGCATGATTCGTATTATTATTATCTAGTAAAGTTATAATAAGATACTCCGATGTATTATTAGCATTTAAAAGGTGAATACCGATGTAAGGTTTGATATGTATTCAAATTTCTAGTTACCATTTGTGTTAATATTTTATTCTCTTTTTAGCATTTTCTGGTCAATATCTTTTCATATTCAGCTTCTCTCATTGGATACATTATATGTAATGATAACCTAAATTAACTCCTAAATCATGAAATATTTTGAAGTTACCATTAAAATAATATACTCTTTGAAGATTTACCCTATAAATACGAATCTTATAACCCAACCATTTCATTCCAAAACTTCTAATAAAAAAAGAAAAGAAAAAAAAAAGATGAAAACACAGTTGAAAATATTCGCTGTTCTTTCAATATTTTTTTGCTATAGCAGCTCTTCTTGTCTAGGATTCAATCCTGTGGGTAAAAATGTTGTCACGGTCACCAATGATATCGGTCCAGGAATAGTTCTAAATTTACATTGTAAATCCCGAGACGACGATTTGGGAGTGCAGGCGTTGCAGCCCGGACAACAATTCCAGTGGAAATTTAGGGAAAACTTGATTAAATCAACAGAGTTCTACTGCAATTGTGGTTGGAATAATCAGCTTAAACACTTTACTGCATGGACGTCTTACGAAGAAGAAGGCACATGCCTTAAATGTTTTTGGTCTATTAGAGCAGACGGTCCATGTCTCTATGCTGATATTACTAGAAAAACCAAGTGCCAACCTTGGAAGAACAATTGATATGTAATCGCCTCTAATGATTTGTAATATTTTTTTTTTTTTAAAAATAATGGATAATTGAATCGGATCTACAACATGTCTCTTATGTAATTTTTGGTTTACTTGCTTGTACCAGTGTACTTACAAACATAATCGGATACAGGGGAAGAAACGAGACGATACTCGAAACAATAGTTGTTCTTCAGAATGGTCACAATATTTGAAATATGCGACTACATATAAACACATCAAATTCTTTCTGGCGTTAAAAAATATAAAGAAGTTTATTTCTCTTTTTTAATGCGTTATGAGAATAAACTGTTTTTCTTTACTACTATAGCTCTTTGACAGTCTTTGTGGTTTTTTGTGGAGTCCGAATTTCAGTTTTAGGTTGATATCAATTTCAATGTAAAAAAGAAAGTGAAAGACAAATTAACCCACCAAAATTTTGTGGTAAGTAGTAACTTGTTAAGTATACGTATAAAATTTGAAAGTCTTTGAAACAACATTGTAAAAAATAACTTACATTGTTCATTTTGAACCGAACCGAACCAGATCCAGGCTGCATCAACACAAGTACACAACAGTAATGAAAAATAAGCTGAAGAGAGGCTAATTAATAGTTTTGATGTTTACTCCTAACTCCTAAGTAAAGACTAAAGTAGATGCACTTATACAATGTCACTGAAAAAAAAGAACAATCGTAACTCAAAACAATCATAACCAGTGTACCACACAAACATAAACATCTCACAAACATAAAAAAAACCCACACTAGATTGAATAAAAACCACTTACAATGATAATGTGAACAAAGATGTGAACAATTCCTAAAAACTTGATCTCCTTCACCAACAGATGGTCCTAGGGTCACAAAAACAAAACACTAGCATTATACTCTTAAATTGATAATTCATTGTTAGATCTAAAAAACCCCATCAATCTCAAAAAGTTCTAAAACTCCCAAATCATCATTCTCTAAACAATAACTACAACAGCAACAAAAAGAAACAAAAATCGAAACTTTAGCAAGTTAATGTTGCTTACTCAAACCGTAAGTGAGGTATCGTGTAAAACAGTAAAAGATTCGTTCCGTAGAAAATTGAGAGTGAGGTAACAAGAATGTGTAGAAGATTTTTTTAGGAGATGAAAATCGAAAGAAGAAGATGAGAAATTGGGATTTTTAGATTTTACAAAATAAAGAAAGTGTTATAGTAAATTACAGGGAAACGAACAGAGAGTTAGGTACTAGAGTAGTAGGTACAAAATCTTTCTATTTTTAACCAACAGAGTTAGGTACTAGACTATCATACATGTGTTTTTAAGTTTTGTAAAATGAACATGTCACACTTTTTTTACAATTGTATTTTTAATCAACAACGAACGGCTACGATTGAACCACCGTTCGTGGAAATCGCGATCCTACAGTTACATTTTGCCGCGATTCGGTGTGTAAACAAACCGAGAACCCGAACCCGACCCGCCATCTCCAGCTTTGACTCTATTTCCACTGTTGACCCGGACCGATTATCCAACTCCACTAATCCGGTTCCGTAACCGGATCCAAAATTTCGAAACTCAGCGGTAGCGAAAGGAAACGACTGTACGGAGAAATCGGCAGACATGCGCTTCGTTTGACCCGATTCGATCACACCAGCTGGTATAAAAGTGGAACCGATCCGGTTTCCGTAGTAGAAGAGCTGGATTCTGTTGTTGTAGTGTGAGAAAGCTGCGCGATTCGGGTTTCTAACGGCGGAGAATTGGGAGAAGGTGAAGCTGACGGAGCTGTTGGCGACGGAGAATGACGGGACCTTGACACTAGTGACAGATATTTCAGGATCTTTCGGTCTAAAGACGGTGAGATAAACTGTAAGGGCGGCGATTAGAAGGAAGACGATGAAGAGCGTAGCGACGGCGCATGAAGCAAGGTTTGAAGAAGGCTTCGGCATTTCTTTTTTGGAGGAGATGTGTTTGGTGGCTATGATTTAAGTGTTCGACTGATTGGGATAATACTGTGCTTCTTCTTTTTTTAATTTCAAGTTTTGTCAAAAGGGAAAGCAATCGTCGTGTAAAGCAAAGCAAAATGCTATTTTAATTTGTTTGGACGTAGTGATAACGAGAGCTAAATGACAAAGAATTATATGGTGGAAGTCGGGTCAACCCGATCCGGAACTAGCTTTACGAAGTCGGATCGGAAGCGAAATGTTGGAATAGTGTCGCCCGATTGCTCATTTTGCTCTTATCTAGAACCGAAGGCGAATTCAAAATCCTCAATGCAATTTCATCTTACAAGTATCAGTTGGTGAAGCTTAGTACTCTCTTTTGTACATGGTTATCCGTGAAATATGGCTTCTGTAGACACTGTCTTCTCACTCCGTACTCGTTTCCCCACAATAATCCCGGAAATTCCCAAGAAATCGATCTGGAAACACGCGAATGCCTCTACTTTCGCAGCGAGAACTCGATGGAGAGCTCCAATTCTGCGCCGGTCGTTTACTGTTTTGTGCGAATTGAAAAAATCTGGGGAATCGAGCTCCGGCGCCACTGCTGATGATTTCGTAACTAGAGTTTTGAAGGAGAATCCTAGTCAGGTGGAACCTCGTTACCGAGTTGGGGATACGCTGTATAATCTCAAGGAGAGAGAGGATTTAAGCAAAGGCGCCAATGCGACTGGTGCGTTTGAATTTATCAAAAGGAAGTTTGATTCCAAGACGAAGACGGAGACAGAGAAAAGCGATATTGGAAATGAGTCTGTTTATCTGAGTGATATATTAAGGGAATACAAGGGAAAGCTTTATGTTCCTGAGCAAGTTTTTGGGCCAGAGCTATCTGAGGAAGAGGAGTTTGAGAAAACTGTCAGTGATTTACCAAAGATGAGCTTGGAAAATTTTAGAAAAGCTATGAAGAATGATAAAGTTAAGCTGCTTACTTCCAAGGAAGTTTCTGGTGGTCCTTATATGAGCGGCTATAGAGATTTCATTGTTGATCTTAAGGAGATTCCTGGAGTCAAGAGTTTACAGAGAACCAAATGGTAAATTACTTGGATTGATAAGAAGAAGATTAACCGTTACTTTTGATGTATTATTGCTTTATTTCTTATTCATCTGTTTCTTGATAGGTCAATGAAGCTTGAACTTGAAGAAGCTCAAGCTCTTCTGAAAGAGTACACGGGTCCCCAGTACCAAATAGAAAGGCACATGACGGTGATCACTCTTTTGTTTCTTATCTACTAGATTATTTAGTCTTAACGTCCTCGATGTTTTTGTACTGTGTTGGTTAGGATTTCTTTCAGAATAAATTCACTAGGTTGACAAACATATGTAATGTATCCGTTTATTGACTTAGTTTCTGCTATTATATGTTTGTTTGCAGTCTTGGGTTGGGAAAGTGGCGGACTTCCCAAACCCAGTCGCGTCTTCTATTTCAAGTAGAGTGATGGTTGAGCTGGGAATGGTGACAGCAGTTATTGCTGCAGCGGCAGTTGTTGTTGGAGGATTCTTAGCCTCAGCTGTTTTTGCAGTTACTAGTTTCGCCTTTGTCACTACAGTTTATGTTGTTTGGCCCATAGCAAAGCCATTCCTCAAACTTTTTGTTGGCATCTTCCTTGGTGTTCTTGAAAAAACATGGGATTATCTTGTTGATGTTCTCGCCGATGGGGGGATCTTCTCAAGGATATCTGATTTTTACACATTTGGTGGTGTATCATCAAGCCTGGAGATGCTCAAACCAATCCTACTTGTTGTCATGACTATGGTGCTTCTTGTTCGTTTCACTCTGTCACGAAGACCAAAGAACTTTAGAAAATGGGTATGATACTTTAATTCTAAAATGTGTGCTTTACATGTTTTCAGTGATATTGCTTTTGTTCTCAATCACTTAAAACTTTTTTGCAGGACTTATGGCAAGGGATTGCTTTCTCTCAGTCTAAAGCAGAAGCTCGTGTTGATGTAAGTTTCTAACCATTACTCCTATATGCACGTTTCTTCAGTTCTTACCGTTTTGGTTGAGTTTTTGATGACATCGAATGATTATGTCACAGGGTTCAACCGGTGTTAAATTTGCTGATGTTGCAGGGATTGATGAAGCAGTTGATGAACTTCAAGAGGTATTACCAAATTTATCGAAAAATTATTACTATAAAATTCAAAACCTTAAGCTTGTTTAACCATCATTGCATGGAGTTGCTTATTGTGTTTGAATTTTGTTCTTTTGTTAGGCTTGCATCAGTTCTTCCCTGAGAGTGGATCTCTTTTTATAATATGTGCACTATTGGTTAGCTTTTACTTTTCATATTAGGGATTAGATTGCTTAGCATTTAAACCCCTTACCATTAGGGCTTTACTGTTACACCATCAAGTATGAAGTTGCATGACATTATTTCTTTAAAATCTTGGAAGCTTGAAAGAACCGGGAACGGAAGCTTACTAACCTCTCATTTTTATTATGCTTTTCACATTCTCTTGATAGCTTGTAAAGTACTTGAAGAACCCCGACCTGTTTGATAAAATGGGTATCAAACCTCCTCATGGAGTTCTTCTAGAGGGTCCTCCAGGTTGTGGCAAGGTATGTCTAACCATCTATGTTAATGCCAATCTAAAATGTTTATTTTAAAAATATATTTATAGTAGCATTATACTCTAGAATACTAAGAAAGACTATAGAAACAGTTACTGTTGAGACTAATTCTGCTGAGGTTGATAGTTGGATTTCAGAGTATTCTGAATGTTTGGAAATTTCATAATTTGGCACTGATATTAGAACGATCTTTCATCCTGAATTTTTTGTTATGAAGTTTTGAATGATTAGATGCTATTATAAAGTCATTACTGATTCTCTATTCTCCTTTGCGATCTTATAAAATGTCTTAGGAAATTGTCAATTTCCTTAGAATTTTCAGTGATCAGTTAACCTCTTGTGGTATTCGAGTAGCTTTTTCTACAATAATTTTTTGACAACCCAATTGCTAGCAATAGATAGCCTAACCTAACCTGATTTGTTTTCATAGACACTCGTCGCAAAAGCCATTGCGGGGGAAGCTGGTGTGCCTTTCTACCAGATGGCAGGATCTGAATTTGTTGAAGTTCTTGTTGGAGTTGGTTCAGCACGTATCAGAGATCTGTTTAAAAGAGCTAAGGTGATTGGACATGTGTGTATTTATGCATATTTGTGCTGAGATGTTCAATAGTATTTGACGATGTCCATATCCTTGTGCAGGTAAACAAGCCATCTGTAATATTTATCGATGAAATTGATGCCTTAGCAACTCGGTATACACAATTTTTATCCCTTCTATCTAGATTTTGATTTAGTCACTGCCTTCCTGCCTAATTTTTCAACTTGAGATGGAGTTCACTGATGTCTCTCTTTATATTTTGGTATTTTCGTTAGACGTCAAGGGATTTTCAAGGAAAACTCTGACCAGTTGTACAATGCGGCCACTCAAGAAAGAGAAACCACATTGAACCAGCTACTCATCGAGCTTGATGGTTTTGACACCGGCAAAGGTGTTATTTTCTTGGGTGCCACCAATCGCAGAGACTTGTTAGATCCTGCTCTTCTACGTCCAGGTCGATTTGATCGAAAGGTTTGTGATTAACAAAATCCAGGCACTCGATCTTCTGGTTATCTCAGATTTTTTATAGTTATTTCAAATTATTAATCTACCAAACCACAATCTTAAGCCATTTGATGTTTTCTCCCAACAATTAAGTAGGCTAAGAATTTCTGAAAGACCATAAAAGTTAATCTTCTTATCAGATAAGAGTCCGTCCGCCTAATGCAAAAGGGAGATTGGATATTCTGAAGATTCACGCCAGCAAAGTCAAGATGTCGGATTCTGTTGACTTATCATCGTATGCAAGCAACTTGCCAGGTATAAAATCTACAGTTGATGTTTCAAAGAATATTTGTTTTTCTCATGGTGTGCCTTTTTCCACAGAAAAGTTATGTGTCTGAACATATTGGTTTGTATCAATTTTTTTATATTAAAGTAATGGTTGATATTGTATACAGGATGGTCTGGAGCAAAACTGGCACAGTTGGTTCAGGAGGCTGCTCTTGTAGCTGTCAGGAAAACACATAGCTCGATTCTTCAATCAGATATGGACGACGCTGTTGACCGACTCACTGTTGGGCCGACACGTATTGGTTTAGAATTGGGACATCAAGGTCAGTGTCGAAGAGCCACAACTGAAGTCGGAGTGGCAATCACTTCTCATCTTTTATTGCGGTACGAGAATGCAAAGATTGAGCGGTGCGATCGCGTATCTATCATCCCTCGTGGTCAGACCCTGTCTCAAGTTGTGTTTCATCGACTTGATGATGAATCCTACATGTTTGGTCGTCTTCCACAATTGCTTCATCGTCTTCAGGTGCTTCGTTTTCTCTACAGTAGGCCTAATATTATTGCAAGTTTTTATTTCATTATTTCATCGTCTTCAGGCATATATGCCCACAGCCCACCTCTATATGATATTATGAGTTTATACTTGCAAATCTTTCTGTTGCAAAGGTCTTGCTCGCAGGAAGAGCTGCAGAACAAGTGATTTATGGGTCAGATACTTCAAAAGCATCAGTTGATTATCTCTCTGATGCCTCATGGCTAGCTCGTAAAATCTTAACCATGTGAGGCCCAATTTTGCACATCTTCACATTCCCTTTAAGGATAAAAACTTCTTGCTCAAGACTTGTATATTTGGATTTCAGATGGAACCTGGAGAACCCAATGGTGATTCATGGCGAACCACCACCATGGAGAAAGAGGGCTCAGTTTGTTGGACCACGCTTAGACTTTGAGGGATCTCTCTATGATGACTATGACCTCGTCGAGCCGCCGATTAACTTCAACATGGACGATGAAGTAGCACAGAGAAGCGAAGAACTCATCAGCCAGATGTATGACAAAACAGTTACTCTCCTCACGCAAAACCAAACCGCCCTCCTCAAAACCGTTAAGGTTATTTTCAGACATTTAACAGCAGTTACGGCTATCATTGTTTGTTCATACTTTATTTTGTATATGTAGGTACTATTGAACGAGAAAGAGATAAGTGGAGAAGCAATCGATTTCATACTTGACCAGTACCCTCCTCAGACTCCATTAAATTTACTCTTACAAGAGCAGAACCCGGGAAGTCTTCCTTTTGTCCCTGAACATCTCCGGCATGAATCCGGCGACTTCGTCGTTGTAAACAACACAACCGGCATCAATGCTCAAGCATGATTCTGGCAACCCGTCTCCCAGAGAAATCAAATCACCTAGCTTAGGTTTATTCTTTGTCCGGCATTGTAACTTTGACTCAGTCTCTCAAGTTTCGGACTGTTTATTTTACAGGAATAAGATAGAAAACTTGGGTCAACGACACTTTTTTGATTTGCTAACAATAGAATAGACTGAGTATCCGTTGAAAGTTAAAACAAACCGAAATATTATTACTACACTTTTTTAGAAACAATTGAAAATTCCGAAGAAATCGGTCTCTCGACGGACAAAAGTGAAGCTTCTTCTTTCAAACCACACAAAGAGAGCAACACGAGTCATGTTGTCTCTCTCTCCTTTTTCTTCTTCGTCTGTCTTTTTCTCTCCTTGTTTCTCGTGCCCTCTTCTCCTTTGCTCTCAGATACAGGTCATAGTCGTACAAGCAACGATCTCCCTCCATCTGTGCATGCACGCACAAGTATAGTAGATCTCTGCGCTGCTCTGCTTATAGATATGGCGAGGCGCGGAAGTTGTTCGACGATATGCCTGAATGAAAAATTGCAGAGGTTTCGAATAATCTCCGAAAAGGCTGATAAGTTTAAATCAAGAAGTGGAGGCTTCTCTGAGCGTTCTCTCTCTCTCGTTCTCTTACTCTGGTGCTTCCTCTTCCTCGTCTACTCCAAGCTTGGCCAAAGCCATGATCATGGAGGTAAATGTTTTCTCTTGTTTCCTCCGCAAATGTGTTTCAAGTTGCACAGAAATGTAGAGAGATAACATGATTTTCAGATGTTAATAAAGAAAGTTTTATTTATCTATGAAATTATAATCATCTTTGATTATGAGCCTTACTATTTAGAAAATGGTCAAGACGTGTAACAAATTTAGGATCTTAGTAACTTGGGTATATCTCTGTGAATGTTATACTGTGCTGCATTGTGATTCTTTTTCATTCTCTGAATAAATCAATTTATTTTGTAGATAGAATTGGGAAGTACACTGATGGATCAGTTTCAAAGATCCTCAATTCCACGAGTTCTGGAGATTCTGTCTTCCCTCGAGCCACTGGGAAAGAAAACAACTACTGTCTCCTTAGAAACGGCCAGTTACAAGATGTGTATGAGCATGTTCTTGGGAACAATGCTTTGTTGATCTGCAAAATTGTGATGCCAGAACGAAGAATAAACAAGAAGGCCCTGGAAGCTCGTGATCCCAGATATGCCAATCTTGAAGACAAAAGTCTCAAAGCAAATGGCTCCGGCGTGCCATCACAGGTTGCGAACAATGCAACTCATTATAGGTTAGAACCAGATGGAACTGGGTATAACTATGCTTCTGCTATTAAGGGCGCAAAAGTAGTGGACCATAACAAGGAAGCAAAAGGAGCTAGCAATGTGCTTGGCAAAGATCATGATAAGTATCTAAGAAATCCGTGTTCAGTGTCGAATAAGTATGTCGTGATTGAACTCGCTGAAGAGACGCTAGTTGACACAGTGAGAATTGCAAATTTTGAGCATTACTCTTCGAATCCCAAAGAGTTTAGCTTGTCAGGTAGCCTGAGTTATCCAACCGATATATGGACTCCCGCTGGCAGTTTCATGGCTGCAAATATTAAGCAGATGCAGACATTCCGGCTCCCGGAACCTAAATGGTTGAGATATCTCAAACTTAATTTAGTTAGTCACTACGGATCTGAGTTTTACTGTACTCTGAGTGTTGTAAAGGTATTTGGCATTGATGCTCTTGAGCAGATGCTTGAAGATCTATTTGTTCCATCAGAGACTCTTCCCAGTAAACCAGCTATGCTGGAACTAAAAACCGCAGATGAAAAACAAGATGGGGAAGTGAAGAGCAATAGGACAGATAAGATTGGCAAGGAAACTGAAGCGCAGAAGAAGAAAGATGATGTTGCGAAGACGATTAATATCACAGGAGACAAGAAATATGAAGTTAGGGAGAAGCATAACGTTTTAAAAGTGATGATGCAGAAAGTGAAATTGATTGAGATGAATTTATCAGCTCTTGTGGACTCTGTGAAGGACATGAACGAGAAGCAACCAGAAGTTAGCTTGGAGATGAAGAGAACCCTTATGCTTGTGGAGAAAAGCAAAGCTGACATCAGAGAGATTAGAGAATGGAAAGGAAAAATGGTAAACTAATCCTCATCCTAGTTTGTAGTCCCGAGTTCTTTCATCTCCTATTGTTTTAAACTTATAAGTGTTTATCTGTTAATAAATTTTATACTTGTTGAGCAGGAAAAGGAACTTAGAGACCTAGAGCTATGGAAAACTTTTGTAGCTTCCCGTGTAGAATCATTGGCCAGGGGAAACACTGCATTGAGGTCAGTACTCTTTCTTTGTATTCTTAAAAAGAGAACACCAAAGATTGAAAATGTACAGCAGAGAGGTGACTCAAAACGTTCTCTATAGCTGACTGTATATTTCTTTTTTGTTCCTTGTATTCAGATTGGATGTAGAGAAGATTGTGAGAGAGCAAGCAAATCTAGAGAACAAAGAGCTCGGGGTTTTATTGATAAGCCTCTTTTTCGTGGTCTTAGCAACGATTCGGTTGGTCTCAACACGGCTCTGGGCGTTTCTAGGGTTGTCTTTTACAGATAAAGTGCGATCGTTGTGGCCGGATAGCGGTTGGGTCATGATATTGCTAAGCAGCAGCATCATGATTTTCATTACTCTGCTCTCTTAGTTAGCATATAGGAGCTAGGCTAGGTGTGTTTTTTTTTTTTTAACATTGACTTGTTATTCAAGTTTTGTAACCCTAGGATTAGGAATAGAATTTGAGAGCTTAAAATCCAGAGCTTTAACTGTGTGTTTGATACTTGTGGAAATGTTATATTATTTGAACAATTCCGGCCAGAATCATGGAAATGTTATTTACGATTTCATGCTCTTAAACCAAATAGATTTATAACCAAAACTAACTAAACCGAACCGAATTAATTAACCGGCCACTCGCCGGAGAGAAGAGAACGGTTTTAGGGTTAATTTGATAAGGAACCACAAAAGAAAACGGTTTTTAGGGTTAATCTGTGATCACTCACTCGGATTTGAATATATCTTAGCCGCATCTCACCCTCCTTGAGTCCACCATCAATCCGGCCAGGAGCAGGGAACAATTCTTCGATATGGTGGTTTCCACCGTGTCAAAGGCGGCGATGCTCGCTAACGTTACGCCGGGATTTTCCATGATCGAACAGCTGCTTCCGGAGGTGACGGCCTATATACTCAGTTTCTTGGATCTCACAAGCCTCTGTCACTTGTCAATGACGAGTTCCTGGATGAGAAAGGCCGCTAATGACGATTACCTTTGGAAGTCCCTTTACTGCCAAGTAATTTTGGACTCTACTCTGTAACCATCCTGTGCTGTTGTTATTGTAACTTTGGGAACAATGGTTCCTAGGTTTTAGGATAATGTGGTTCTAGGTTTTGTCTTATTCTTCTTTTGAATTCTTGAATTTATTTTGATTGCCTTAGAGAGTGGTCTTGCTGATCCTTGCTTTCTCTTTCATTTGAATCTCTACAAGGAGTTTACAGATGAAGCAAATGGTGAAAACCCGGTTAACGGGTGGAAGGCCTACTACGTAGCTACTAAAGAAATCATGGATGTGAACTATGAATTCTTCGGCATCGTTGTGGATAGGTCACTTCACCAAATGACTAGTTTCTGGCTGAACTCTGACTATGTCACGTGCTACAACGGCTCTGGTGAACTCGTCTCCGGGTAACTTGCTTGTGCCCAATATCGAATGCCTGATTATGACCTTTATCATGTTGCCACTGTCTTTTAAATGTGGCTCATTCCTATCCTATGTTCTTTTTTTTATGAAAGTTTGGTTTCTTGGAGCTTTTCGTCACATCCTCTGAGTCACTCATCGTGTTGATGATATGATTACTCTTGTATTATTCGTCTATAGGTATGACGCAGTGATGCAGAGATGGGAGTTCTGTTTTGACAACTGGGAGGCAGGGTATAATCTAGACCCCATTGGATGGCGGATACGGATTCGGACCAACGTGGCTTGGGTCACCACGAACGCGATCCATCGAACATTTGGCGATCTATACAACGTCACCAATGTCTTTGAACTCCATAATGGCCGGTGGCTCATGGTGCACCATCACTCCTCGACCGTCCCCACAAACGGTGTGGAGAATCATTAATAATAAGTTGTTTTCATCAAGAGTGTATGGTTATGAATCAATCTTCCCTTAGAGGGAGAAGACAAACTAAAGAACAACAAAACTGCATTTGTTAGATTTGGTTAATAAGACAAAGTTATGTTTCTATTCCACAAGTCGAATATTGAAAACTGTTTTGGTAATTGTTTCTGTAGGGTTTATCTCATTGTTTAAGTCATTCATCACAATGAAATTCTGAACGCTGTTACTTGTAACTTGTTACACCATTTATAAATTTTTTAGAATCCCGTAGCTTTTCATGTGTAATGTAGGATCTGCAGCTTTATAATGTCATAGACTAACCCATAGAGCGTAGGTCTAATCTACAAATAGCTAATGTTTTATATATCGGATTGCCTCTCGCTAAACATATTCTCGCTAGTGAGAACATCTAAAGCATAATATAATATTATCCTATAGAAAATATATACTGTAACAGCCTCCTAATTCTCCAATCAGAATCAAGATAGATAAGTAACATCTATATATATAGTTCTCCTTCAACTGTTTTAGACGCTTGCATGGAGTCAAGGTACGAATATTATGTTATATAGCCATCATCCACAGTCATCTTTGAAATGACATAATAACAAAAAGACACAAAAGCATATATATGCCGTCTACAATGCATACCACAGATACAAGCGATGACTATAGTCTATATATAGCCGCACATATTCAATATACGAATACTATGCTCATACACCTTTCAACAACATGCAATAACAACAGTGAAAGATTAACGTAGCTAGCTTTAATTATATCGGAAAAAAAGAATTATTATTACCGTTTGTATAAAAATTTTCCCCATGCTTTTGGATGTTTATGACAGTGTGAAATTTAATATCTAAAAACATTTTCTACAAAAACAAAAAAAAAATCCTTATAAACATAAATAATACTTATATAGTGAACAAAAAATTAAGTTGTTGACTCATAATCTCATATATATAATGGCGTTTGTTTGTAACTGCACCAGATTCGTGATGATGGTAATCCAAGATTTGGAACCTCCGAATCCGACGGACTCAAAAAGAGTCGCCAAAGATCCTACGGCTAGGGGAACCTTAGAGAGAGCAAGTCAATGAAAGTCAACATCATTAGGAGGAAACGTGAGGAACAAAAATCCCACTTATCCCGGAACATTTTGTATTGTAGCCAGCTCCAATAATAATATCAAATCCTACTAAAACCATTATTAGTTTACTAATTAACTATATATAATAACAAGAAACTCAACAATGACCAATGCCAGTTCCATACATAAAGTTTTATTTATCCAGCTGCTTGATTCAATTTAAAATTATGTGGTCCTTTGCTTTTCAACTTACAATACATTTTATAAGTTTGGTAATTCCAATTTTTAAAATATATGAAAATATTTTATATTAGAGAAAAAAAAAAGAATATCAAAAAAGTGTCCCTCTCATATTCGGATTGTTTTTATTGTTTAAGACCCAAAGATAATATATTCCCGTGGAAAATGTCTTAATCTGAAATCCACGGATAGGCTTCTTGTATATCCAGCATTTTCCAATTTAATATATTTCTGAAAATTGTTATATAAAATAATTATATATATACGTTATTTGTAAATATATACTTGACCAACATCAATGAAAAATATGATAGTGCATGTGGATACGATTTTTTTTTATTAGTGCTGGAAAAATATTTCTAAAATTAGCATAAATACCTTTTCAAGTATTTACAACTATTTTTATGAATTTCTTCTCTGAATAACTGTTTCTTTCAAATGCATGAGAAGTTGGCAAGAATAAACCTCGAAATGATAAAATTAAAATTGAACTGTTTCCTAATGTAATTGTGTTTCTTTTTTTTTTAAGTCCAAGAAAAGATTAATATGTTAATGTATGTTATATTATATCCATCTAATAGTATTTACTAAATCTGGTCTAAATTGCGATTATAAGATGTTTATATCCATCTTAATGTGAATCTGGTCTAAATTGCGATTAGAATGTATGTAAAGTAATACAACTCGTTAATTAATGGAATAATTAGATATATACATACAAATAGGCCATGAAACATTCAAATGGTTGGTCTCCACATGGGTGCGCAAACTCTATCTTTGTCCAGCCAATCATAGTACTCTATATCTTCTCCTATTTTCTTTCTTTATTCCTTTTTTTATTTTTATTTGGAAATTATTATATGTATTTTTAAGATCTTGATCTACAAAAACTGAAAAGAATGTACAAACTACAAAGTTAACGTGTGCAGAAAAACAATGTAGGTAAATCGAGTTATCTTTGAATTTTGATTAGAGTGTTGTTGACATTGTTGTTCACACGTATAAAAGCTAAACCAAATTATTATTATTATTATTATTTGATTATAGATCTTATTCCGGTTATGTATTACTACGCATCTAATTAGAATCTCCATTTACTAGTTAGTACTCCTAACTAGTAATATGACTTGTTCAACTACATAATCAACATCATAATTAAGTATCAGTTTAATAATTTAATAACGCTAATTAAATGTGACCCTTGACCTTTAAGAGGGGGTTAAGGGACACTTTGATTACAAGTATAATTAAGTTTAAAACACACACGAGCACACACACACACACAATGTAAAGCATGGTCCATTATTATGTTTAAGAAAAAAACAGGTGTCAAGCAATAAAGCTAGGTATACAAAATTCTATTTCCAACCATTGTGGCGCAATAATGAGGAGTGTAGAGACAAATCATTCACACAAATCCTTTATTTGATTGGCAACTTCTTTCCTTTTTGTAGCATTTTTATGATTTTAATAATACAAACTCTAAAAGCCAAGTTAATTGATGTTTATAAACCCTTAATTATCATCTTTCCCACTATCTTCTTCTGTGGGTTTTTTGTGTGTATTTGTACGTACTAAGCAGTAAGCCTACTATATATCACTCCTTTTGCGTAGCCACTTAACCATATGACATATATACATATATATTTCATTTCTTAAATTTCGAACGGGAAAATTCCATAAAAATTCCCCATCTAATTTTAATTTGGAAGTTTAATACCCAATGTAATCTGATTGGAAACAAAATGCATGGTTTATTAATTTGTTGTCTATTAATACATCAAGTATATAAAAATTGTCGAATCGAAGAAACCGCTTAACAAACGATAATCAGATTGACGGAATCACTAAACCGGGATTAATGGAATTACACTATACTTAGGGTTTATCGATCCCAATTCGATTTGGGGTAATAGCAAAGGACAATGCAGTCTTCGGATAACCCCAAATTACCCGTGTGTTTAGGGATTAATGATTTCGTCAACCTCGGTTTAGTGATTCCGTCAATCAGATTAAGCGGTTTATTCGATTCGACAATTTTTATATACTTAATGTATTAATAGACCAAAATTTAATAAACCATGCATTTTATTTCTAATTAAATAACATTGGGTATTAAACTTCCAAATTAATATTAGATGAGGAATTTTTAAGGAATTTTCCCAATTTCGAACTATACAAACATTTTTAAAAAGTGTGTGTGTGTGAGATATAATATAAAGACATATATAGGCCTAACACTGGCAAATCGCTACTTCTGTCAGAATCTATTTCAAACAGCAAGCCACAATTGGGAGAGGCTCACTAGGTAGCTAGCATAGTATATAACCTTTGTGAAGAACAATGCTAGCTGCTCAAAATCGATAGTTCATGTGAAACCCTAAATTTTATCTTTTTGTATGAATTTCTGTAACCATGGATCACGGTTTATATATATATATATATATGATAATCTATATACTTATCATAGATGAAAACTGACGAAAAAATAAAAAAAAGATGAAAACCCAGAGTTGATCATATAGACCTAAAATTTACTGATCACTACTGCAAAAGATATAGCTTGGTAATTTCAAGAATCAAGCATATCGAATGCTCTACATGCATATGTGTTACATTTATCGTCTTACTTTCCGTGAACCTTTTTTCTTTCAAATGTAAGTTTTTTTAATAGATGATTCATTGACTTGTTATTCAAGAAATTAAATTTTAGCCAGCTTTATTTATATGATACACCCAAGTCAATGCTCATGATTTTGAAACATACACACACAAATATGAAAATATATGAACAAATGATCTCAACTTATAAATAGCTAGCACTACTATAAATTGGTTAAGATCCAGTAAATGAATTAATTAAACTCGTTTGAGACCAAACATTTGGGGACTATATATGGGGAATGAATGATCTCTCTCTATAAGTGGACCGACGAATTGTTTTTATAAGAAACTGTTTGCAGTTGCTTACTAATTTGTGAGATTCGTTTTGAACAAGCTCTGGGAATATACTGAGACAAGATACCAAAGTTATTATTATTTTTAAAAAGAACACACACGAGACTAAAATAGTCTAAAAATGAGAAGAAAAATGTATAAGAAAATCCGGAGATGGTGGTGGTGGGTTTGATGGCATCTTCCTTATTTATATCCATCCTTAAAGGGAACAGAAGTTGTCAAAACAACGTCATACGTGACGTTTTATGGCATTTTTAATCATATTTTAAACATAGTTATATTAGGAACTAAACGTTAAAGTTTTCTTTTCTTAATTTGATTTTTAAATACCAAAAACAAAAAATCGACTATGGAGATTCATCTTTCTATTTTGCTTATATTTTCTTAAAATTGTTTGGCATTATATCAAATATTCGATTTGTTTGGAAAACAAATAGAAACTTTTGATCATCTAATTAAAGCGTCCATACTTCGTTCTGGTGGTATAAGGTAATCCATTACATACTGAGTATACGACACTCTTAGAGATAATGTAAATCCTTAGACATTTAAAGTTATTGCCAAATCTTGTATCAAAAGTAAATACATATGTTAGCACAATGAAAATGTTGAATCCATTGTTAGGTTTTGCCAAAACATGCATTATACATTGCACCAAAAAAGTGGATTGAAATGATAATACAATGTTATTTAATTTGGACAAATTATTATGTTATACATCCTGGTTAAATGTATGGATATATTACAAAAAAATATAAAAAACTGTTGAGTTTTTTATATTTTAATTTCTAACTATATTTGGAGGCTTTCTGATTTGAGTGTGGGAAGATTTTTTTTTTTTTTTTTAATTATGTTGTGAGTGATTTTAACCGTTTTAATACAACGATTTTACCTGATTTTAGTTGAAGGCTTTACGCATAATAATAATGTTTAACAAAATTCGTTTAGTTTAAAAGCTTTTTTTAATACAACAACGACTATGTGAATAACTTTCTAATGTTTTTCTCTAATTAGTAAATGATGGAGTTGGACAAACAATTCTTGCAGAGGTAAGTAATGAAACAAGTAAGTAATTAGTGAGAGAAAAAAAAAGATTAGAGAACCAAAACACACTTGCCACAGCCCACATGGGTTAATGTTGGGGTAACACAACACAGCCAATACCAAAGTGGCAGAAATAGTAAATAATGAAAAGAAGTGAGGTCAAGTCAGTCACGTGTTGTTTCTCTCTGCTTTCCCAATTCTAGCCAATCCTGTTGCCCTGCTTTGGGGCAGACGGTGAAAGTGACGGAATCTTAACGATGACGGACGCCTGTTACTGTTTACAACCTCCTCTTTGATCAAACTATCGTTAGCGTAACGGCACGGCACGCGCCTTCACGCTCCTGTATTAGCCACTAAATAGTATTAGAAGGCAACACATTTCATTTAGTATCAATTTATCCAGTAATAATTATCCACGAACGCAATTTGCATTTAATTGCTGGGTTTGTATTTGGAAAAAAGGTAAAAACAAAAAAAAGTAGCTACGTACAGTATAATTATAACTTGTAAAGTTTCCTCTTTTGCAGAACCAGAAAAAAATAAAGTTTCCTTTTTCTGACAGCGTAAAGTTTCCTTTAATTTAGTAGAGTGTAAAATAAAACAAAATCTCTTTTGCCATAGTGTTATCATCTTAGAAAAGTCATTAATTATTTTTAACCAAACATTAAAATCGTTATACATACCAAACTATTTGAATACTTTTTTTTTGTCTTGAATAGAATTTAGATTCACATTTTTTTATTACTATGTACAAATCTTATAAGAAAACGAAGATCGTCGCTAGAATTTTAAGAAAATGAAAACGTACATGTGTTTAATCAGGTAAAAAACTGGTAAATTAACAGAATTGAGATGGTAAATATTTATTTATGTCATCATCATCATCAGTATCACTTTGCATTAATATTATAAACCAGAAGTAGAAAGTAGTAATGAATATTACGATTTGGTTAATACCATAAATTAAGATATTAGTGTAATATTATCATAAACATACCATATAAAAAAGGTTTCCACATATAAAAATCGATTAATAGAAAAAATTAATTAAGATAATAATTGTTTTTTTTAAGGTAAGAGAGAGAGACTGGGGGAGAAACGGAGATAAAAGCAACGGTGATGGTGTGTGTGTGTGTGTGGCGTTTAACATAAAGACTCGAGCGACTGTTGTAAAGCACAGAGAGAGAGAGAGAGAGAGAGAGAGAGAGAGAGAGAGAGATTCTTTTTTTTTTCTTGTAACGGCGTTGTTTGACGATTGATAAGTCACAAAGCGAGGAGGAGGGAGGAGGAGGAGGTTACAGTTACAGAGAGAGAGAGAGAGAGAGCAGAGCAGGAGGATTTGGTGACTTTGGTTGCGTTACGATTCAGATCTCTGGATTGATCGTTACTTACATGCATTAGAGAAGACCCACACTAAGACAAGAAACGTGGAGACGGAATCCAAGGAGGCTCCTGTCCTTTTCAACCCCTACCACCACCACCACTTCTTACGCCTCTTTCACCTTCTTCTTCTTCTTCTTCTTCCCATTCAAGACAGAAGAAGATACTGTACGATTCAGAATATTATTAGCTTTTTTTTTTGAATTTCCGGCTGCGGCGGATACGGCTGGTTTTTATAGTTGGAGCTGATGGCGAATCACGCAGGTATGTATGTTTGTGTAGGTGGAGTCGAGAATTTAACCGGAGTTTTTTTCTCCGGCGACATTTCTGATAATTTTTTTTAATTCCGGTGTACATTTTTGCTTTATTTTTAAAAAAACAGGTGAATGTTTATACGATGAGCTATGGAAATTATGCGCGGGGCCTCTTGTGGATGTGCCTCAAGCGGGAGAAAGAGTTTATTATTTCCCTCAAGGTCACATGGAACAAGTATGCTTCCTTTTCCATTTTTAGATCGGTCTTGTGAAAACTTTGATTTGACCTTTTTCAGATTTCTTACTGAATTTTTCTTTTTTCAAATTTTTGTAGCTGGAAGCGTCAACGCGACAGGATTTGAATACGAGGAAGCCACTTTTCGATCTTCCCCCTAAGATTCTCTGCAATGTTATGAACGTTCGTCTTCAGGTATGTTTTCTTTTTTTCATTCTTGTTTCCTTCAGGTATTCGCTTGTTTATGCTTCTCTTTTGGCGTTCGGAATTTGTTATAGATTTGCCATATATGTTTAGATTAGTTTGGGGACTTTTGGGTTGACTAGCTATGATTTCTCAAATTTAGCAAGAGAGGATTGAATTAGACTAATGGTGTCTTCTTCTTCTAGGGAAATGGCCATTACTTTACTGCAATAGCTAGAAATGATTAGACTAATTCATATGACTGGCTACTTTGAAATTCCGGATCTTGTTTGATTTTGTTATAGAATACTTTTGTTAAGCTAAAATTTTTGATGGCGCAAATTTGTCACTTGTGTTGTTCACAGGCGGAGAAAGATACAGATGAGGTGTATGCCCAGATTACTTTGATCCCTGTAGGAACTGTGAGTGCCATCTCAGTTTGTTTTTTAAGTTTTCAATCCAATGAATGCTATTTCTAAATGTTTTCCTGATTGATATAAATTGCAGGAAGTTGATGAACCTATGAGTCCTGATACCTCTCCTCCCGAAACGCAAAAGCCAAAGGTTCACTCTTTCAGCAAGGTTTTGACAGCCTCTGATACAAGCACCCATGGTGGGTTTTCCGTTCTAAGGAAACATGCGACCGAATGCCTTCCTCCACTGGTAATGAGGACTCCCTGACTGTATTTTTTCTTTGTTTCCTACCAAATGGCTTCACATTTGACTTGGATTTCAGCCTTAATATGAATTTCATTTGTTGGTATCCTTTAGGATATGACCCAGCAAACCCCGACCCAGGAGTTAGTAGCCGAAGATGTGCACGGTTATCAGTGGAAATTCAAGCATATTTTCAGAGGTGATGCATCCATTTCTTGTGAACTCGTATCAAAATTCATGTATCCATGACAGTTAAAGAAAATTACAATTTTCACCTGGGATATATCAACAAGGTTTACTTATCTTGTTTTTCCTGAAACCTATTGAACAGGCCAACCACGCAGGCATCTATTGACGACAGGCTGGAGCACCTTTGTTACATCAAAGAGATTGGTCGCGGGGGACACTTTTGTATTTCTGAGGTATACTTCACGCTGCTAACTTGTTTTGTTTTTTTGATAATCCATTGGTAGATTTTGAACTTAAATCAAAACTATATTATATGTCTAGAGGGGAGAACGGAGAGTTGCGGGTTGGAGTCAGACGTGCTAATCGTCAACAGAGCAGTATGCCTTCATCTGTCATATCAAGTCATAGCATGCATCTAGGGGTGCTTGCTACTGCATGCCATGCTACTCAAGCTAAAACTATGTTCATTGTATACTATAAACCAAGGTATACAGTTAATACTCTACGGGAACATCTGGGATGAGTTGTTTGACACTCTGCTTATTTATTTACTTTTGGTTTGAGCAGGACAAGCCAATTCATCATTAGCTTGAACAAATATCTAGAAGCTATGGACAATAAGTTCTCAGTAGGGATGAGATTTAAGATGCGGTTTGAGGGAGAGGATTCCCCTGAAAGAAGGTAGTCTGAATCTTATCTTTTGTTATGTACCCAGCGAATTCTTTGTCCCAAAACTGTTTCTAACACATCTGTTTCTTTACAAAGATATTCTGGCACGGTTATTGGTGTTAAAGACTGCTCCCCTCACTGGAAAGACTCAAAATGGCGATGCCTAGAAGTAAATTTCCTTCCACTTTTATACATGCTTCTTTTAATCTTTCTTGCGTGTGAAAACTCAATTAGTCTGCTATATGTTTGTGTAGGTTCATTGGGATGAGCCTGCATCGATTCCAAGACCGGATAAGGTTTCACCTTGGGAAATCGAGCCGTTTGTAACTTCAGAAAGTGTTCCCCAGTCAGTTATGGTGAAGAACAAAAGACCCCGTCAATTTAGTGAAGTATCTGCTCTTGGTGAGACACAATCTAAGGCAGTGATCCTTGCTAGTCCATAGCTCAAGTTTCCCTTTCTACATATCTTACTCACATGTTATGTCTTCAGATGTAGGCATAACAGCTTCAAACCTCTGGAGTTCTGTATTGTCGCAATCCCATGAGTTTGCACAATCGTGCATCACCTCACAGAGGAGTCCTTCTCAGCAATGTTACCGTGATTCAACTGAGGATGCTAAGAAATCTGACTGGCTAAATAACTCTTACTCTGTGTCAAATGTATCGAAGGAATCAACACTGAACGACCAAATGATTTCCCCAGTCGAGCAGAAGAAACCCGAGACAACCGCTACTTATAGATTATTTGGAATTGATCTGATGAGTCCAATCGAGGAGAAAACTGCACCTATGCGACCAATCAACATAACCACACCGACTATGGACAGTAACTCAGACCCAAAATCCGGGATTTCAAAAGTACCAGAAGAGAAAAAGCAGGAACCTGCGCAGACATCACCGAAGGAGGTCCAGAGCAAACAAAACAGTTCTACAAGAAGCCGTACCAAGGTATGTAATGAACAGTTGTTATGAAGATTTAAGAAGATAGGTATCTTTTTACACGATCTAGATTTATATCTCTACAAGGCCATGGAGAAGTGTAATCCATGAGTTCCAGATCAAATACACAAGTGTATATGATGTCTGCGGAATTGAACATGACCCTGATTCCGTGATTGATGAACAGGTGCAAATGCAAGGCGTACCCGTGGGCAGGGCTGTGGATTTAGCTGCACTAAATGGGTACAATGAGCTTATAGAAGACCTTGAGAAGCTGTTTGACATAAAAGGGGAACTGCAGAGTCGCAATCAATGGGAAGTAGTGTTCACAGACGATGAGGGAGATATGATGCTTGTCGGTGATGACCCATGGCCGTAAGTTGTAACAGCCTTTATCTCCTATTCAATAAAATCACTGCACAAAACTCATGTATCTGTTGGCTTGTGATGCAGTGAGTTCTGCAATATGGTGAAGAGAATATTCATATGGTCGAAAGAGGAAGTGAAGAAAATGACACCGGGGAACCAACTCCGGATGATGTTAACGGAAGTTGAAACAACGTTCACAACAACTTCCAAAACAGATAATCATTCCAACTGATTCTTTCGTCTTTGTTCTCACTGTCTGTGTTGTTGCGAGGGAACAACACAACAAATGGGTTTAAACAGGAAAACCACATCCCCCTTATGCTTGAAAAAATGGCTCGTTTTTTTGGGAGCCTCTTGTGGAGAAAGAGGGTTTAGGATGAGAGAGAGTTTTCTAAGTTCAAATGTAGGCTTTTGGAAGTTTTTATTTATTTTTATTTTTCTAATTAGGAGCTTTGTATTAAATTATTAATGTGTAAGAGTAATTAACGAACAAAAAAAAAAAAAAGAATGAGAAAAATGAGATTTGTGAATAACTGATGAAGGACTTTTGGGACGTGTGAATCAATAGTACCTCATGCATGGCTCTCTCGTGTGTAATCCTTCTTTTTTCTCTTTTCTTTCACGTTTCTTAGTTTTTTTTTTTTGTTTTTCTTTTACTTCAGCAAAGTGGCACTGAATGTATATATTTATGTCTTTATAAGAAAAAACTTCAAGCACGACTCTTTCGTTTTCTCTATGGGTAGGGTACTACTTTGTGGATTCTAGATGAGCAATTTTAATCTACGTAAATCATTAACACTTAAAAAAATGCAAATAATGTAACGTATTGGTACGTACTAAAAGTCTAAATCATAAATTTGAATGTAAATTGTTAAATGGGCCAACACCCAACAGTTACTCATATAATTGAGACGACACCGACACCAAACTTGCTAGTAGCTACTCTTGGGAGTTTTATGGTTTGACTTTGATTTGCTTCTTGTGCACCCTTTTTGGCACTACATACTGCCCTTTTTTTTTTTTTTTTTTCATACTGCCCTTATTACCGTAGGCCTTCAAGATGAAAGTTGTAAAAGCCTAGACTAGCTATTTGTAAATAGTTCATATGGGTTATTCACAATATACTTAGAGTAGTCCAGTTAGTCATCTATGTTGTGTATTACCAGTGTACCTGGTGAGATTATAAATTGTAATTTCTGTCTCGTTATCTCTCTCACTAATAAGCGGTCTTTTTTTATTGAGAAAAGTGTCGTCTGTCTTTTATAGATAGTTATGAAGATATCATTTCAAATCTCAAACCAAATATGTAAATATATATATATAATGATTTCCAGCAAATTATAACTTACATCTAATTCATTTACGAGCAGAAAAACAAAAAAAAAAACACAAAACAAATCCGTGCATGCTTTGTATGTATCAATATAGTACGTACGTATGTATGATGTATCGTACAATAATTACAAATACACTTAACATTTCGACTACACAACTACATATACGACGAATCTCTTGTATACATTACAAGCGAGTGCGACTGTGGGAGCATGGTGGTACACTGAAGTGATGATTACGTTATTTATTGTCTTGTCTCTATCTCTTTCCGAAATATGTGAAAGCGGTCGGTGGCTCTCATCACAATCCCTAAAAAATTAGATTCATGTTACCATTAAAAACTTACCAAATACGTACTAAGAATTTGTATGTATATGCATGTGTGTTTACTGGAAATTACTACTGTATTAGAATTGATGATCATCATTTTACTAATAAGAAAACTTTTATTAATTATTTTGATAAAAGTTAGTAGTTACAGTCAATCTATCACCTTAAACTTGATTCAATTATTTACTTTTTTTTTTTTTTTTTTTTTAATATTCAAATGAAATGAACTATATATACATTAGGACATTATAGGTAGAGATTAACAAAGATGTAACCACATATTTAATAAAGTTATACGATTCAGTACTTACGCATATTTGCAAAATCCTATAATCGAGATGTAGAATGTCTACTCTGAAAAAGAAACTCGTCTATAAATATATCAAAATTCTATGTAGCAATCTTCTCATATTTGTCTTAATACAAAAAGAAAAAAAAAAAAAAAGTAACACGATGGAGCGTCAGAGAAAACACTCGGTCGGCGGGACAACCCTCCATACGTGTCATCCTTGCCGGCGCACCATTCCATACAGAATCTACGCCCTAGTTCATACGTGTGGCATCATAGCCCTCATGTACCATCACGTACACTCACTTCTCACATCCAACACTCCTCTTATAATAACATGTCTTCTTCTCCTCTCCGATATCGTTCTCGCCTTCATGTGGGCAACCGCAGCTTCTCTCCGGTTTAACCCAATTCACCGGACCGAGTACCCTGAGAACTATACAACTGAACCGGAGGACTTGCCAAAGCTGGACGTGTTCATATGCACGGCTGATCCATACAAAGAGCCTCCCATCATGGTGGTCAACACCGCCTTATCCGTGATGGCATACGATTATCCATCCGATAAGATCTCAGTGTACGTATCGGACGATGGAGGATCCTCGTTAACTTTGTTTGCTCTTATGGAGGCTGCTAAGTTCTCTAAGCATTGGTTGCCCTTTTGCAAGCATAACAATATCCAAGATCGGTCCCCTGAACTTTATTTCTCGTCAAAGTCCCATTCTTGGAGTGATGAAGCTGAAAATCTTAAGGTATGAATATATTTATCAACTAATCACTTTGGTTATAGTTTAGTAATCTTTTTAATCTTATTATGACAAATCCTCAGAGACGTACGTAGGTCAACATAAGTCTAATGAGTCTTAATTAATAATTTCCTGAATAATCTCTTTTCATTAGATATCTTACATCGAATGCTAACAATTAGACATATATATATATATTTGTCGTGGAAGGAGTAATTCATAACAAAAAAAAAACAATAGATAGCGAGTAGAAACAGACAAAAGTAATTATTTGCTAGATTTTCTTATCCTTCAAAGCCTTATCGTATCTCCTCGACGGTAATAGCGATTTTGTCGTGTTTATAAACCAAGACTTCGGAAGACTGTGACATCACCTTTATTCATTTATTAATCATGTTTAAATATTCATGATTTCTTCTTAACGATAAGAATAAGACTCGTCTTAGTGACCTTGATGATTTCTCTTAATACGATAGGCGTATATTAGTTAAATCTAAATGATATATAAACTTTTAGTTGTTTGAATATTCAAACATCTATGATTGCGCATATATAGTACACCATATATATAAGCTAAAAGAAGGAAAAAATGTATGTTAAAAACTTAAAAAAGATTGCCCAAAAAAAAAAAACTTAAAAAAGAAAGGGTGTACTCTAAAAGTATTACAGTTCTATGTCTTTACGAGAAGAATACACATTTTTATTTTCTACAAGTATATACTTTAAGATATTTTAGCACTCCGTTATTACTTATTAGTAATTTGACTATTTATAAAAGACAAAAATATTGAATTGTGTGGTGGTCTTGAATGGACCAGTTGATGTACCAAGACATGAAGAGTAGAGTAGAACATGTGGTGGAGAGTGGAATAGTTGAAACAACGTTTCTCACTGGCAATCACTTTTGTGGAGTATTCGATTTGTGGACCAAAACATTCACTCGTCATGACCATCCCACAATTATCCAGGTATTATAATAATAAAAATTCTCACTACTATTCTACGATCATATAAAACTGCATTTTCAATATCTATTTTTTTTTTTATGATCAAATATATTAAGGATTTGCCATATATATATATATGTTGCTCTTTATCTTAACAAAAACAAAAATCAATAATTTGAGGGCAGGTGCTACAGAATAGTGAGACTGATATGGATGATACCAAAAAATATATAATGCCAAACCTAATATATGTTTCAAGAGAGAAGAGTAAGGTTTCATCACATCATTTCAAAGCCGGTGCTCTTAATACCTTGGTATCCACTAAACCCTATATATCAGTCCCGTACGTGAACTAGCGTGTCCGGTTCAATTAAATTTTTTTTTTTTTTTTGTGTGTCTCTTTTCACTATAGCTACGAGTGTCTGGAGTGATGACGAACGCACCGATCATTCTAACACAAGACTGTGATATGTACTCGAACGATCCTACAACACCAGTTCGTGCCTTGTGCTACTTAACGGACCCTGAAATAAAAACCGGTTTAGGGTTTGTGCAGTTTCCTCAAAAATTTCAAGGAGTGAGCAAGAACGATATCTATGCATGCGCGTTTAAGCGTCTTTTTGAGATCAATGCCGTTGGTTTTGATGGTCTAATGGGTCCGAATTATGTGGGAACTGGTTGTTTCTTCCATCGACGGGCCTTTTATGGGGGTCCATCTATTCTTATTTTGCCTGAGATTGATGAACTTAAGCCCGATCGTATTGCAAATAAGCCCATCAAGGCTCAAGATGTTTTGGCATTGGCACATCGTGTAGCCGGATGTGTCTATGAGCAAAACACCAATTGGGGATCCAAAGTAAGATAAAACTAAACCAACCCTTGTAATTACCATGAATGTCTAGTATTGATTTCTGTTTGTTATAACTTCAAACTATCGTTCAAAACTATATTTGCAGATTGGATTCAGATATGGGTCTTTAGTAGAAGACTACTACACAGGGTATAGACTCCACGGTGAAGGATGGAGGTCAGTTTTTTGTAATCCCAAAAGAGCAGCATTTCGTGGAGATGCCCCAAAAAGTCTAATTGATGTAGTGAGCCAACAAAAAAGATGGGCCATTGGACTTTTTGAAGTTGCCTTCTCAAGGTATAGCCCCATTACCTATGGTGTCAAATCGATGGGTCTAATGGGATTAGCCTATTGTCAATACGCGTTTTGGGGGTTTTGGTCACTTCCTATTCTCGTCTATGGATTCTTGCCCCAACTTGCTCTCTTATATGGTGTTAGCGTGTTCCCTAAGTCATCGGATCCATGGTTTTGGCTTTACATCGTCTTGTTCCTCGGTGCATATGCGCAAGATCTACTAGACTTCGTATTAGAAGGAGGAACTTATGGTGGATGGTGGAACGATCAGAGAATGTGGTCGATAAGAGGATTCTCTTCGCACGTATTTGGTTCCATAGAGTTCGCTCTTAAAGCCCTAAACCTCTCCACGCATGGATTTACCCTTACAAGCAAAACCAACGATGATGAAGAACAGAGTAAGAGGTACGAGAAAGAGATCTTTGACTTCGGCTCTTCGTCCATGTTCTTGCCCATGACCACGGCGGCGATTGTGAATCTCCTTGCTTTTGTCTGGGGGCTTTATGGCCTTCTCGCTTGGGGAGAAGGGTTCGTTCTTGAATTGATGCTGGCGAGCTTTGCAGTGGTGAATTGCTTACCAATCTATGAGGCTATGATGCTGAGGAACGATGACGGGAAATTATCTAAAAGGATTTGTTTCTTAGCTGGGATCTTCACATTTGTTCTTATTGTGTTAGGTTACTTATTCCTCAAGTAACTGCACCCATTAGGGTTTTGTAGTTTCATTTACAATAAAGTTACGTATGAAGATTGTGGTAAATTACAGAGAAGAATGTCACAAATCTATGTAATTTGATGAAATATGATCTTTCACCTCATTATACATACATAAATTTGGTATTTTGATACAGCAAAATTTTAGTAAACTGAGGATATATGTATATACATATTTATCTGTTTTTTCACAAAACATTATTTTGTCTTTCTTCATCTATGTTTTAGGCTAAATTCTAGTCAACTCGAGTGCAATAATTTAATGGAGGAACAAAAAAAAAAAAAAATGTTTTCAACCATGAAAGTTAGAAATATTGACTCTAGATACGTCGTACTATATGTAGTAGTCAAGAAAATGTTAAAATACATGTACTGTCAATTGAAAAAAAAAAAAGTATACTAAACGATAAGAAGTTTTTCAATTTCACCAATTGGTACTTATCTAAAGTTTCTTCTAGAAAGTAATTATAATACTCCAAAAAAAAAAAAGGTAAGTTAAATGATGTAGTTGGTAGGACATTGATATATATATACTCGTTATAGTCTATTTAGTCAGTAGAAATGAAATGATTGAAAAATTTATGTCGTTTGGACTCTGTTTTTTTTTTTTTTCCATCAAACTATGTACTTTGCAGTTTGCAGATGGAAAGTAAATAGTACGTATCACATTTTTCTTAAAGTCTCAGCCTTAAAAATAAGTAAACAACTATTCCGTGTACGTATTTCGAAATACTATATGTCTATTAGTCTATGTATATACACATTACGTACACACAACACATTTGACACAATTTACACACTTATGTGTGATTGTAAACAATCGACGTTTTGCTATAGCGTGACGTGAATTGTGTGAAGGCACTAGTAGTTTAGTCTACTTTTTAGTAGTCTTTCTCCCTTTGATCTTTCATATTTTCGTCTCTTTCTCAAGTTAGAGAATTTTAACTTAACTTCTTCATTGGAAATATTCAAACTATATATTGACTGTTGTATTAAATTAAAGTATACTGTTCAAATTCAATAAATAAATAAAAATCGTTAACAAATTAGTATATAATCGAGGTATTTGGTGTTTTGACTCTGAAAATTGGGAAGTGAATTTGGTATTTTCACTTAAAAGATGACACAACCAGAAATCACAACGACTCAGGTGCAAGTATGAATAATAATAATAAAAAATGTATATATATATATATATATATATATATATATTTGATTGACTTTTAGAGATATCTGGAATATATGGTTTCAACGAAAAATATCTCTTACGTTGGACCCATAATATATGGTTCTATACAAAATGGTGTATATGGTCTGTGTACAAATTAATGGTTTCTCAATAATTTCATAAACCCTGTTGTTATCTCTGTCAATATCATCTTCGAAATCATGTGAAGCCGGTGATTCTCACAATCCCTATTAACTTTAATGTTACCAACTTACCAACTCACCAAATACCGACCTCCGTTAAAACCAATTAATGTATTTATCAAGAATTTATAGTTTGTACTGGAAAAAACACAACTATTAAAATTAATAATCATCATCTAATTACAGAGTATAAAAAGTTAATTCACCCATAAAAAAAACTTTATATACAATTATTTTGGTATAAGTTACAGTCAGTATTGGCATTTTTGCAAAATCCTAAAATGGACTAAAAAGATAAACTTGTCTATAAATATCAAAAATTCTATGTAGCAATCTTCTCATATTTGTCTTTTAAGTTTTAACACAAAAAGAAAACAAAAGTAACATGGAGCGTCACAATAAACATTCGGTCGGCGACACAACCCTCCATACGTGTCATCCTTGCCGGCGGACCATTCCATACAGAATCTATGCCCTAGTGCATACGTGTGGCATCATAGCCCTCATGTACCATCACGTACACTCACTTCTCACATCAAACACTCCTCTTATAACATGTCTTTTTCTTCTGTCCGATATCGTTCTCGCCATCCTGTGGGCAACTACAACATCCCTCAGGTTAAAACCGGTTCGCCGGACCGAGTATCCTGAAAATTATGCAGTTAAACCGGAGGACTTCCCGAAGCTGGACGTGTTCATATGCACGGCTGATCCATACAAAGAGCCTCCCATCATGGTGGCCAACACCGCCTTATCCGTGATGGCATACGATTATCCCTCCGATAAGATCTCAGTCTACGTATCGGACGATGGAGGATCCTCGTTAACTTTGTTTGCTCTTATGGAGGCTGCTGAGTTCTCTAAGCATTGGTTGCCCTTTTGCAAGCGAAATAATATTCAAGATCGTTCCCCTGAAGTTTATTTCTCATCTAGTTCACATTCTTGGACTAAGGAAGCCGAAAGTATTAAGGTATTTTTTTTATAAAATTACACGTCCATTTATCTCTAATTAGGTTTAACGTTTTTTATTTCCTTAAATGCTTATACGAGTGTGTCAACGTTTGTTATAAATTCTAACTTTCATTAGTTTATAGTAATTCTAACTTTGATCAAACTAACATAAGTTATATTGTACGATGAAAAAATAGACGATGTATGAAAATATGAAGAAGAGAGTAGAACATGTGGTGGATAGTGGCAAAGTTGATTCTGACCAGTCCATAAAATCAGATCAATTTCGTGGAGTCTTCGATTTGTGGGATCACAAATTCACTCCTCATGACCATCCTACTATTATTAAGGTAGTATTTACTCATTTTGTATCTCATATAGTATCATATATACCTCTTAATTAATGTATCTCATATAGTATCATATATACCTCTTAATTAATTTATTTTCACAAAAAAAAAGATTCTACAATAAGAACTCGTTTATTTCTATTTGTGGAAAGGTACTACAACATAACGAAACGGAGATAATACCAAACCTAGTCTATGTATCAAGAGAGAAGAGTAGAGTGTCACCGCATCATTATAAAGCCGGTGCTCTTAATACTTTGGTATATCATCAACCTAAATCACCTACCTTAACAATCTTGGTTCGGTTTAAATGACATTTCGGTTTAATATCTCGTTAACCACAAATTTTAACTTTTCATTGTAGTTACGAGTATCTTCATTGATGACAAACTCACCAATAATTCTAACACTAGACTGTGACATGTACTCAAACAATCCTACAACACCACTTCATGCTCTATGTTATCTGTCAGACCCTACAATCAATTTTGGTTTAGGATTTGTGCAATTTCCTCAAAGATTTAAAGGAATAAATAAAAATGACATTTATGGATCCGAGCTCAGACGCCCATTTGACATCAACATGGTTGGGTATGATGGACTTATGGGCCCTGTTCATGTGGGAACCGGGTGTTTCTTCAACCGACGGGCATTTTATGGACCCCCGACCAGTTTGGTTATGCCAGAGATAGATGAACTTGGACCAAATTGGATTCCTAATAAACCCATTATGGCCCAAGATGTTTTGGCACTGGCACACGATGCAGCAGGATGCAACTACGAGCGCCACACCAATTGGGGATCGAAGGTGACATAAAAATGAATCCTTATGTATCATGAGTGTTTGTTTGTGTTTATTTATTTATTTAATTGGTACATGGCATTAATATTTTCTTTTGTCTCAAAACGTTACAGATAGGGTTCAGATACGGGTCATTAGTAGAAGACTACTACACAGGATTTATGCTCCATTGTGAAGGATGGAGATCAATTTATTGCAGCCCCAAAAAAGCTGCATTTTATGGAGATTCTCCGAAATGTCTTGCTGATGTACTAGTCCAGCAATTGCGATGGTCTGTTGGTCTTCTTGAAGTAACCTTTTCGAGGTATAACCCAATCACCTATGGATTCAAGCCATTGGGCTTGTTGATGAGCTTAGGCTATTGCCACTATGCATTTTGGCCATTTTGGTCAATTCCTCTCACCGTCTATGGACTCTTACCCCAACTTGGCCTCATTTATGGAGTTAGCGTCTTACCCAAGGCATCGGAACCTTGGATTTGGCTTAACATAATCTTGTTTTTTGGTGGTTACGCGGTAGATCTATCAGACTTTTTATTAGAAGGAGGAACTTATCGGAAATGGTGGAATGATCAAAGAATGTGGATGATAAAAGGGCTCTCTTCTTTCTTCTTCAGTTTTACAGAGTTCACTCTCAAAACCTTAAACCTCTCCACTCAAGGATTCAACGTCACCAGTAAAGCCAACGACGATAATAAACGATTGAAGCGGTATGAGCAAGAGATTTTTGATTTTGGCCCTTCTTTCTTGTTCTTTCCCATGACTATTGTAGCAATAGTGAATCTCATTGCTTTGATGTGGGGGATCAGTAATCTTTTCACTTGGGAAGAAGTACCCGTCCTTGAACTGATGCTGGCGGGTTTCGCGGTAGTGAATTGCTTACCGGTATACGAGGCTATGATGTTGAGGAAAGATGACGGAAAACTACCAAAAAGGACTTGTTTCTTAGCTGGGATCCTCGCATTTGTTCTTATACCGTCAGGTTTCTTCTTCCTCAAGTAGCTTCAACTACCTAACTTCGCCTGTTAGGGTTAAATATACAACAATAATACATCTTGCTCAAGAGTGAGTAGTGTGATGAATCTGTGTAACCAATATATATATAATGGTGATGGAATACATTTTGGTATCTTGAATCAGCAAAATTAAGATTTACATTTTCTATTTGATCTATTCACTAACAAAACTTGTAGTACTTCTTTATTTTTCGGGCTTTAAGTCAAACCGGTGAAGTTTGAGGAGACTCGGGATGGTCGTTAAGGTCGTCCCCAGAGGTTTTGGTGGAAGAGACGGAAACAGAGGAGCGACACAGAGGACAAGTGTTGTGAGAATAAAGCCAAAGGTGAATGCAGTCGATATGAAATATGTGTTTGCATGAAGGCATTTCCACCAACTCTTCCTTCAATTCAAATTCTCCCAAACATACGCAACATCTGCAAACAAACGAAACCAATCAATCAAACTTTCAATCCACCAAAACAATGATCATATAAGCCACAATGACTTGAAAAGTACAATATTCAAATCACGATATCTTGCAGACTTTTTAAATTAGATGTTGAGGTTCCGAGATTGGTATATTACTACATATTTAGAATGAGGACAAAAATCCAGTGAATAAAAATACGTCTTGTCTAAAATCTTGATTTTGGTCTTATATATCTGGAATTTAAACTTTCCGTCTTTACTTTTAATATTCCTTAGCTTTAAGCAACGGCCTAAAAACACTTATGAGCAGAGAGCATCTCAATTCGCATTTCAACTTTCAAGAGGATCATTCTTAGATATCTCAATTCGTATATTGACACTGTTAACGTAATTCCAAAGTCCAAGCTCATGATAACACACAGACACTAAGATTAGATTGACCAAGTAGAGGATTTGATGACTTCATTTTGAAAACCAGGACACTGAAAAGATCTAAAAGGGTTTGGTAAAAGTGAATTTTTGGATAAAAATGGACTTTTGTTGAAAGCAAGACAGGAGTAACTTACAGAGAATCTCTTGTTCCTAGTTCTTCATTGAACAAAACGAGATGAAGCTTTTCTTTGAGCTCTACTTTCACATCTAACAAACAAATCTGCAAAACAAAACAAAATCAATCTCAGCACTATTCTTCATTCAACTTTATATAGTAGTCCTATAGATAAAACAGGACCATAAAATCTCACATTTGTTAATGTAAATGATTCATTCAGTTACTTTTGCACATATATACAAAGACAATGAGACACTTACCGAGGGGAGATGAGAAGAAGGCTGGGAGGAAACAGGAAGAATCATGGGAGGAGGAGAGAGAGAAGAGGCTCTTCTCTTGAGGTAAAAGAGATAGAACAACAGGAAAAGAATGATGGAAAATAAGATGGGGATTGAGAAGATGAAGGCTTGGTACAGTTTGAGTTGAATTGCTTGTGGGTATAGGTGTGGTGTGATTGGTGATTGAGGATCAACCATAACTTAAAAGTATTTTTGAAATCACAGGCAACAAAAAGAAAATTGAAAGCAGGAAACACCCAAATGAGAAATGAGGGTTTTGATGGGAGCTGAGGAGGCACATGAGTAGGTATATATAGATATCCTGTGTATGTGTATATCTAACCAAAAGCAGGTAACTGTGCAACTATATCAGATTTGGACTGCGATTCTATAATAATATAAAATATCTTGAACTTTCTTTTTAGTAAAATAAAAGTAACTTGTACACTATTGAAATGCATCTTTATATACCAAATTGCAAGTTATTTTACTTTGGAACCAGTTAATTTGTTAGATCAGAGATTTTACCTCTACCAATGCGAAATTCAACATATATCCTTAAAAATAGGGGCTAGATCTGATGATATAAGAAATATAAACTGTACACATATCACATGTGATATGAATACATGTTTATGTACATCATCAGTAAAGGGAAATGGTGGATAAAAGAGGCTTTTCATCATATAAAATACAAGGGTATATATTCCATATGGCTCTTTTAATATAATGAAAAGGTAAGAAGTGAGTAAGCAGGTGATGAGGTTCCACTAAACAAAATGAATAGAAACTTTATAATGCTAAGGATTAGATTCAAATGTCTCAATCCTCATTAACATGGGACCTATATAATTATTAAAACCCATCATTTCATTTGCTGACTCATTTTTGGTTATTAGATCATTTGACACTAGCTAAGCATCAATCATATGCTTCTTCTTTGCCTACCCTTCCCCAGAAAAGAATGAAACAAAACAAAATGTAAACTTTTCTTTGGCAACTAGGTTTGAATTATTGGTGATCAAGTCCAAGCAAGCAGTTAAAATCAATCACAAACTTCAGTCAATAGACCAAACCCACTAGAATACAACCACACTGTTACCATGTACAGATAAGCATTCATTTCTTATATTCTTCTCTTTTACTTTTGGAAAGTGGTGATCACTTAAATATAGATATACCTATGGCCTCTTCACTTGGATTATGACAAGATTCTCAACTCAAATCTAAGAACTTTCAGTTATTTATATAATTAGATTCGAAACAAGTCAATAAAACCTACCAGTAGTAAATTACCGAGATTATATGATTTTAACTTAAGCAAGATTATCCAGCTAACTTTTCACGTTTCCTCCAAAATGGTTTTCCTAGTGAACTACTCAACTCAAACACAAATGAACAGTCAACCAGTAACTTCATTTCACAAATCTGTTAACCTTAGGGAAAATAGTGGTTATACTTTTTGAACAATAATTTTTCACTACCATTTTGTCATCTTTTAAAAGACTGACACATAAACTTACCAAGATGATTGTGCCTAGGACCCCCAAATAAATATCTTGATTTAGGATTTGATTTGTGACCCACATTGATCAGTTTTTTCCCTTTTCCCTTTAGTGATAGACAGCTTTTTGTATTTTGACGTTTGTTTATCAACAACTTGGCCCTTTTAGAATGGCATATATATTGCTCATTCTGTTGAGGTCTTCTATCAAATTAGCTAAAACTTCCAATATCATTTTCGATATAATATCTGGTATGGAAAAGAACATCTACGTATAGAGAGACTAAAATAAGCCTACTATGTCTATTATCACAAAAAAAAAAACTATAGTCCCAAAAGGTTCCATTAACTAGATAATATATATTTTGTATATTTCTATCACTGGTGGTAGTGGATCCTGAGGGGTGACCTCCCTCGCTCATAGTGGGAATGATCAAAAGATATCACTAACTTAGATTCTAAATGGATGAGTTTAGGGATTATAAAACTATTTGATATAGCTTTGCTAAAATACAAAATATGAAGACCTCTGAACTTTTCAATTTTTTTGAAGATCTTGGTAGAAGCAGACACATACTAACTTTTAAGGTTACAGTATGTGGTTCTTATGGGTTTTGGCTAAAGGACTCTAGTCTCCTGTTTCGTCTACACTACATTTTGTTACTAACCTCTAAAACAGAAACAAACTTATATATCTACGATACCCTGGATTAGGTCCAATATAGCACATATTACTTCATATCTTATTTCATTCATATTTTTCACAGACTTGTCTCTAGATCGGTTACACCGAAATAAACTTGCTAGGCAAATTCAAGTTAGTCAAAGAAATGCCTAGTCTTTAAATCTCGATTGGAAAGCAATAATTTTGAAAGGATAAAGTCACAGCAAGAATAAGGTAAAAAGGGGATATCTACCTTTTTAGGTGTAAATGTGATGTTGATGTTTGCTTAAACTCCAAGGTCCAAATCTGGAGGGTCTTGCAGATGTGTAATTGAGCCATCATTTTTACCTGCAAAAGAACTTTCACGCACCAGAAACTGTTGGGGATAAGCAACGTGAAAGGTTGGTAGAGACAAAGACACGTCACTATGGAACAATAAGTATATGAAAAGCTGACTCTAGAACCTGTAAAAAATCTATGATGCATGTATCGTGGGACATTTTCTGATCTCTATATGCTGTTTTTAAGCAAACATAAGCCAGTGAGTAATGTATATATATGCTTTCTAGGTGGATCAATCTTTCTCAAATTAACAACTCACTTTTTCATGTTAAAGTTATAACCAAATGAGATATTACTTTCGTTTAGACAATTACAGTTGCATCTCAGCCTTAGGAAAAAAATTGTACTTTGGTTCTATAAAGCTTTTCAGTCTAAACCAAGAGAATTCCGTACTCACCTCTTGATGAAACAGCCTCCATTTAGTGGTATCAGATTCTGATGACGCTTTTGTTGAGGACATTGACATTTGCGACTTATGATCAGAACATGTTCTCTGCCATGAATAATATGATTGACTGCAAAGAGAAAAGAAAGAGGGCCATGACTGTTATAGAGAGGTTTCAAGAACTAAGCATAATTATATCTGAGAAATCCAAAACACACAGAATGACAGTCAAGTAGCAGAGGCTTCTCTGCACGAAAAATGTAGTAAAGTTTCTGAGAGATACGCCAGGTAAAATAACAGAGGAACAGAGATATTAAAATAAAAATAACCGTCGGGTGATGAGAATGGCCTAAATCTAAGTTTCAAGCCTAATGTGATGTAAAGGCTTAGCATGAACGAGAAATTAGTGAAACAAAGCTTCAGTGTGAATGTAAAACAATTGGGAGGAGTTATCTATTTGTAGAGCAGGTATAGTAATCATAACTATCCATTTAATGGACTGTACATATCAATGCATGTTTAGTGACATGTAGATTTATTGTTACTTACTAAAGTTGAAAAAAATGTGAACGTCTCACAGTATGGTAGAAGAAATAGATTCAGCTCTGTTGTATAAGCGTGAGGCAAAAAAAATCCTAAATTAGTTGAATGCTTTTCAGCCAGAGGTGAAATGATACGGGATTTTTGCTAGTCACTATCTCCAACAATAATTGTATTAAACATATAAAAACGAAAAGGATAAGAAAGCATGCGTACAACAAGATAAGCATGCGTTCACCTTTTTGTCGTTGGATTTACTGTGTCTGCACTGGACTTAGTGCTCCGTACCTATGCAATTCTTCTCTCTTTGGAATACTGAAAACGTAAAAAGGAAACTCATGAGAAGCTCGAAGTGCTCACTTTCTATCTTTTTTTCACTTTTCACAGCTTGAATAACTAGTCAAGAAGTCATCATAAGAAGTAAGTTGTTGATAAGAAGAGTTACAGTTCACCAAGCTAATGGCATCACCAACTGAATTCAACTTACGTGTAAATCACATTTTCTGAAACTTTATGCCACCAAATTAGACACTCTTCTGCTAGAAAACAAAATCGAAATGAGTAAAATAGTCGATTTCCAATACGAAAACTTTCCTTTGAGCAGAAAACTCTAACATAAGGATACATAGATACAGTTTTACAGAAACACCAGCCATAAACTGAAATAGATTAGCTCATTTTCAGAATCCCTTTTCCAATCCCAAATTCCATACCACAAGGCTCCATATAAGCTCAAGTGAGATTCAGTACACAAACTAACTTGGAAACCAAAATCAAACTATGAGTCGTTTACCAGCTTACCTCACGATTTAACAAACAAATACAAAATCAACAACGAAACCCAAAGTCAGCTCAGTACAAGTTCGGGATAATCTCCTACAAACAATGCGACTACTACGAGACTATCCGAACGCGATGTAATCACATTACTACACGAAATCGAAGAAACTAAAATCACAATAACACTCATCAGTTTTACTGAAACAGAGCCTGATTCTGCAATTCTAAGGAAACTAATTGAAGAACAACGAGATTGAGCTCTGAATAAATCAATTTTAACGTCATCAAAAAATTGTCTACAATGAATGAAAAAAAACCTTTATGCTCGAGATCTGAAACTATACCGTCCTACTCCATTCTCTCTTTTGCTTGATCTCTCTTCTTCTCCGCCATTTTACTTTTTCTGTCAGATACGAGAAAAAGAGAGTGAGAAGACTGCATTTTTGCTATTTTGAATGTTTCGAAAATGGGCCGCCAAAAACTTTGAGATCGGAGCCCGAGAGGCTTTTCGACTGTGCGAGTGTTGTGGTGATGATGACCCAATACTCGATTTTTTATTTTTTATTTTACGTTTGACGGTAAATAATTCCAAAAGACTTATATGTTTTTTTCTATTAATTCACCCAATGTAAAATTGAAAATGTGATCAAGACGATTATTAAACATTTAACTGTGCATCAAGCTGAAATTCTTAGGTTTTCATATTAAAAAGAAATAAAAAAAAACTTAGGATCAATGGTTTTAATTGTTTTATCAGTTGGCTAGTGGATCATAGTTTTGTACAACATGCATTTAACTGTAGATGTGGTTAAGATTTCAAAACTTTTGGGAATTTGTATCATAATTAGTCCAACATTGACTATTATTATTAATATGAAGATGCGATCATGTTGTATGTTTTTTTAATTTAATATATTGTAACGGGAGGTTTTGATTTATCATTTGACATTTGGGAAAAAGTCTCTCAAGTCTCAAGTCATATTAAAAATTAATTTTCTTAGTGTTTAATTAGATCTTATCTTTCGAGGAAGGTTTGTTTGATCAATAACTTCTTCAAATCGTCTATATATATACATAATACATTCTTCACATTAAAACCAAAAAAATATATACATAATACATGTCTCGTGTGTTTTCTACACGTAATTTGCTAAATTACCAATCTACAAGTTGACCCTGTTATCTTGGAAATGTTGGCATGCGTTGACATTTTTATAATTTTTTTATCTCTGTTTTTTTTTTGTTTCTTATGTCAACTATAATATTTTATGGGTCCTCGGTTTTTTTCCCT